GAAATCCATTGTTACCCATTGCCATGGATATTCTGGTGCTTCCAGTGGTTGCATTAGTCCATGAGGTTTGTGCCTATTAATCTTGTTCTTGTGACACTGGTCGCATTCCTTGATGTGGTTCTCGATGTCTCGAATCATTTTTGGCCAGTAGTAGTTCCTCGTAATTCGTTCTAGAGTGTTTGATACTCCTGGGTGTCCTGCCAATATGTTGTCGTGATGAAGTTGGATAATTTCCGTTCTGAGTGTCTTTGGTACATAGATTAGACCATGCCAAAATGCTAATCCTTCTTCCGTCATTGTGATTCGGTCATCCTCATTGTTTACCATGTTGAATATCAGTCCGTCTTGCTCGGTTTCTTTTGCGATTCTGTCTTGTAATTCCGAGTCTGTTACTCCTTCTAGTGTTGCTGCGAGTATTGCCGTTTGAGGATTATGTACTAGTGTTCCCCTATCTGTTTCCTTGAACAGGGCTGGTTCTGGTGATCTGATTCCTTCTTCATGATCCGGTCTCCTGCTTAGAGCGTCTGCTCGTTCGTTGTCTTTTCCCTTGCGGTATTCTATTTCGTACCAATAGTTTGCTAGCAATTCCGACCATCTCGCTTGTCTTCGGTTAAGAACCTTGGTTGTGAGGAAGTAGGTGAGGTTCTTGTGGTCCGTGATAACTCGTATTGGGAACTTAGTTCCTTCCAAGTAGACTCTCCAATGTCGAAGTGCTGTCACTATGGCTAGCAGTTCTTTATCGTGAATCTCGTAATTGAGTTCTGCATCAAGCATTTTCCTTGAGTAATACATTACTGGTCGTAGTTTCTTGTCTGGTCCTTCCTGCATCATTGCTGCTCCTATTGCGAAATCTGAAGCGTCTGTTTCCAACACTGTTGGTTTCTCCGGGTCGTGTTGCATCAGTATAGGTGCGGTGGTGAGCCGAAGCTTCGCTTCTTCGAATGCTTTCTGGCATTCCGTTGTCCATTCAAACTCGAAGTCCTTTCGTAACAGTTTGAATATGGGATTCATTATCCCTGCGTATCCTTTCACGTATCGTCGATAGTAGTTGATTAATCCGAGAAAGGATTGCACTTCTTTAACGTTCTTTGGTGTAGGCCAGTCTCGTACCGCCTGTACCTTTTCTTTATCCATTTGGATCCCTTCTTGAGTGATTCTGTGTCCCAAGAAGTCCGTTTCTTGTACGTGAAACTCGCATTTCCTAAGCTTCAACTGTAGCTTTGCTTCCCGTAAGCGATGTAGGACCATCCTTACGTGTCGTACGTGATCGTTCATGCTGTCTGAGAATATTAATATGTCGTCGAGGTATGCGACAGTAAAGTCGTATAGGTAATCCCCGATTACATGGTTGATGTACCGTTGGAATGCTGCTGGTGCATTGGTTAATCCGAAAGGCATAACCAGATATTCGTAATGTCCAAACTTGGTCTTGAATGCAGTTTTCCATTCTTCTCCTTCCTTGATTCTCAGTCTGTTGTACGCGTCCGTAATATCGAGTTTCGTAAACCATTTCTTTCCTCGTATTTTGTCTTGTATTTCCGAAATCAGGGGTAATGGGTGACTGTCTCGTATAGTGATTTTGTTCAGTTGTCGGTAGTCTATACATGGTCGTAGGTCAGTAGTCCCCTTCTTTCCCACAAAGAGTACGGAGTATCCTGCTGGCGAGCTTGAGGGTCTGATGTATCCCTTTTCCAAGCTTTCATTCAGGTACTTCTTAAGTGCTGCCGTCTCATTTTCTGACATGGGGTAGATTCGTTGAGGTCTTGGTTCTTCGTTTTCTTTCAATGGGATGGTATGGTCCCATTCACTGTGTTCAGGTAATTTCTTGTATGTTCCGTTGAACAATTCCTTGAATCGTTCATATTCTTTAGGTAGTTCAGGTTCTGCGGTTGCCGCGATCTGACACTCCTCTTTCAGGTGTTCGGTAATGGCCTCCCCTTTGGTCCCATTCCGTATAAGAGTCCACGAGGAAGTCAAGTCGTCTGCTTCTTCCGTCGTACTCAAGTCTCCCGCCTGTCCGGTGACTTCATCTACCTGAGATATCTGTCCACAATTACAACGATTCATTTTGATTTCGCCAGTTCCCCAGTTTATCTCCGGGTTATGAACCTTGAGCCATGGGATTCCAAGAACTATGTCGTTTGGTCCCAGTTCTGCGACGTCAAAGTTGATCATCTCGTGATGGTTTCCTAATACCATGGACAACCACCCTGTTTCATGTGTGACTCCCCCTTCTTGCAGGCTCACCCCGCTGAGTCCTGTGATGGGTACTGCTTGGGGTTTCTTCCTTCCCAAGATTTTCAATGTTCGTTTTGTTTCTTTATCCATGAAGTTGTGCGTTGCTCCCGAATCGACCATTGCTTCGATCTCTATTCCGTATATGGCCACTGTGGTTCTTAGTTGCCTTCCACAAGCCGTTGCGTTGAGTTCTGCCCTTTCGTATGCACAGTTGTCCGCATGCTGCGGCCATTTCCCTTTTGGAAATTCCCCAGCCCTAATTTTAGGGTGTACGTGCGTTATACATTCGTCATTGTAGCAGATTTTCCATGATAACATCCGATGCTTTGGATGTTGCTCAAGCTGTAAGCAATTGCACCATGCCGTCTGGCATTTCCATTCCTTCATTTGTTTCGTTACGCTCATTCTTCCTTCTTTCTCATACCATGGTGTTATGATGCACTGCATCCTTTCAATTCTGGTGAGGTCATGGTTGGTATGGACACATGGCTGATTCTTCGGGTCTTCGCCATAAGGTAGTTGAATGTAGTCGTTCATCCAGGCTTTTACGAATCCATCTCGTGGATCATCGTCTTTTCTGCCTATTTCGGGGTTACGAGTTTCTTCGAAACTCCCAGCTTCACTGAGCTGCACCACCTTTTTCTTCGAGGGGCTGATGGTGTTCCATTCCTGCGTCAATTTCCATTCGCAGTTTGATATCTTCGCTTGCTTCCTCTTTCTTGGGAAGTAGCCCTGGCTTTCTTTTGCTTCCCCATGGATTGTGCATGAATCCATTGTGCAAAAGGTCCAATGTAATAATCCGTGCCCTGGGTGGTCTTTCTCTTCAAAGATTACCCTGCACTCGGCTCCACACTTGTTCTCGAGGTGTGTCCGAACTTCGTAAAGCTTCTGCTTTCCTTTTTCTTTGTCAGCCGTCTTTGAACTCTCGATGTCGTTCAGAGCTTCGTTCAATTGGCTTTCTATCTTTTCGACCTGACTCATCCCTTCGTACTGTCGCCACCCTTGGCTTTCTGGGATTTCGTCCATTTCTGGGAACTCTTCGGTGTCTCCCGATTCATACTGTTCCGCGTCGTCATAGTCGTATTTCGGGTAAGACTCTCTGTCTTCCTCATTTGTCGCATTCAATTGTCGTCCTTGTGGTTTGACTCTACACTCTCTCCTGAAGTGGCCCGTCTTCCCACAGTTGTAACACTTTATCTTTGACTTGTCGAATTTCGTTTTTGGCTGTTCTTGAGTGGCATCAAGTTCCATAGGTCGAGGTCCATACGGGTCCTCCCTTTTCTTGTGGTGGTATGGTTTCTTGCCACTGCTCCAGTTTCCGCCGTATTTCTTTTCCATACGTCGTTCGTAGAGCCTATTGTCGAGTTTGACTGCTACATCAATCATGTCCGTGAGATTGTCTGGCCTAGTGGGTATTCTGGCTATCTCATCCTTGATGTCGTCTTTCAGTCCTTGGTAGAATCGATCTGCTTTGGCCTCATCATCCCATCCGAGATGAGAGCTGATCTGGTAGAATTTCGACGCATAGTCTGAGGCTGATGTGATCTGCTTCAGACGTTGAATTTTCTGAGCTGCGTTATTTCTCTCATCGATTTCTCCAAAGGTTGATTTGATTTTTCTGACGAATACATTGTAGTCCGCAAAGGTTTCATCGATCTCGTCTTCCCTGTCATCTGGGGCTATCTCAAACCATGCCCGTACATAGGGTTCAAACCAATCCATAGCTTCTCCTTCTAGGAACGTTGAAGCTGTCAAGACCTTGTCTGGTTCCCCATGCAGCAAGTGCGAGTTGACAGAAAAGTACAACTGCATTTGTGCTAGGTAACTCCTCAGCTTGGTCCTATCTCCTTTGAACGGAGTTGGTTTGTTGATCTTAATCCTTGCGTGTGATGCATTCTCCAATTGGCTAATTCGTTCACGTAATTGTTGATTGACTGCCATTACGGATTGAACACTGGGTGTTTGTCCTCCAGTGGTACTGGGTGTTGGAGTTGCATTGTTGCCTGCCATGATTAGTAGTCTTGTTGGGGTAATACTTTCCTAATGTAGTAATTGGCCCTGCTTGATAGTACTTGTCCCGTATCGTTCCTCGGGGTCAAGACGATAGTTCTTTTGTCACGCACCGGGACCCACTCTAGTTGTCACTGGCTGTGTCGAGGAGCGATACGATGTGTTGAACCACACAGAGGTTCCTTGAGGGTAACTAGTAACGAAGTACAAAGGTTGCCGAAGGGTAAAGGTGAGGGTAAGACACAACTAAAGTAGGAGCGATGCCTTGAAGTGCCGTAGTACTTCAAGTGGGATTGCCTTGCTGACCCTTACAGTGTAACTGATAGTAATAATCGTAGTGACTTATGTTAAAGAACTATGCTAAGGTAAACTAGATACATGCAAATGGGTGTGTTTATATAGATGTCGTTCCTACAATATCCCTACAATCTGTCCGTATACAGATTGTATATCCAATCACCTTCTTGTCTTTTCCTACACTTCTCCTACACTCTTATTGTATACCCGAGTGTAGTTGCTTATGTAATGTGTAATCCCGTGTGAGTAGCAAACGGGCTGTGTGTGGTCGTGGTAACTGGTTGGCCGTGGTGTTAGCCGCTTTAACAGACACTTGCCCTGAAGTGGCTTAAGACATCCTAATCTGTCCTTAGCTTTGCATATGTTGGTTTCGTAACACGGGTGGCCGGGGTGCTTGTGTGGCTGGGGTGCTTGTGAAATACGTTAATCTTTGTATCATTAGTAATAGCAGTAGGGGGTGTGATAAGACAACAGGCGCGCCTTGTGCGATGTAGGGAACCTAACCGCAAGCGGGAATTCACAAGCCCTCACTTTTACAAGCGAAAAACGGATATGAAACAAGCTAGGCATTTTGATGGAATAAGCCAAGAATATTTCCGAAATCTATTTCGACCGGAAAAGGGTTTCACCGCTGATTTGGTAGAAATTTGACTCGGATTCCGGGTTGAAATCAAAAGTTCTCAATGGTCTGATTAGACACAGCCACAGCCACAGCGCTAATCGCTGAAGGATCATTCATCGAAAGCAGGAAGTCATCATTTCAAATTTAGTTGTTTTTTACTGGTAACGAGTCCTGGTCTATTCAATACTCAATAACTGGGGTCCAAGGAGATCATTCTCTTCTCCAAACGCAGCATCAGCAAAATCCAATATCATACTAATTCACGCGAAAAATCATGGAGTTCCTCTGCTCTCTACTACCTATCGCCATTTCATCCGTCTTCTCGATGAGATCGGCAAGCCTGATGATGGTACCAACAGGCTATGTCTCATTTTTCGGCCTCACCTGGCTACCATGGCATGACGATCTGCCCTTCAGGGTCCTTTCTGATGCCATTATTGTCGCCATAATCAACGCGATTCTATCACTTCTCGCACCTCGCTTTCCTCGACTGCTTGCAGCTTATAAGGACAGTGGGGGATCACCGAAACTCCCATTGGGTTTCCATAAGCTGCACCCCAACAGCCGGATCCCAGCAATTGCCTTCATCACAGTTGCGGTCGCCGGATGGCTGGTTACTGCCTACGGATTGAGTCTACCTTACAAATTTGTGTCGAGCCTGGCTCTAATATCAATGATTGCGGGTATTGTGCTCTACTATGCAGTCCAGTTGGTAAAGGTTTTCTGGATATATGTCAGCCATTATCCAGAAATGCCTCCCCTTGGATTGGTGACTGGAATGTTCTGGCCGCCAATGCATCCTTTTCATCGGTTTCTGGTGCGAGCTTCGCATCGTGTTGCGCGATGGTTGGAAGGATCTCCTTCTCAACCGGTCGTCACAGATGAGCACAAACACAACCCAGTTGAAGAATGAAGAATGGTACATCTGCTAGTAGAATTCTTATTAATAATTGGTTATTTCAGTATTGGCAACCCCTATCGTTTCCGATATAGATTAGAGCATTTCTCTCTGTCATGAGAAACTATGATCTGTAAGCGCTAGTAACAAGAGGCTGGGAGAAGCAAGAGAGGGGAAAAGGCTGGTCACAGGAAAGCTTAGATTAACCTAGAGGGCTTTCTCTCCTCCCGATTAGTGTATAAGCTCCTGTACTAACCGGAAGCGACGTGGCTAGCCTGACTACTGTCTCGTCTCATCTTTGACTCCGGACTTTTGTATGCGCGAGGGTGAGGCTGAGTACGAAACATTGCCCTGCGCCACAGACCCCTCCACGATCTTCTTACCACCCAAGATAGTCTTGAACACTAATGCGACGATTATCATGATATTTAAATGAGGCCATTCGGGTTTGATTTTTCCCATATCCAAACATATTATTTATTTAGAGGCGCCAACAATACTAGAATTGTCCCTTAGTGCTTCGACCCGTGCTTCCTCCAGTACAGCAGGCAGCATGCCTTCCATTGAATTGGAGAATTGGGATAGGGACAGCATTACGGTAGTGGCATCCAGCACCAGAACTTCAATAGACACCACTGGCGAAGACGGCACCGTACACATTTCACAGTCGCAGAGCTCCCAGCGACAGCAACCGCAACGTGTAAATTCATCAGCGGATCGAACGGGAACACCAGCAGGAGCGCCTAATCAGCCCTCACAGCAGGGATCGCAACAAGATCCGGAACAGTCTGAAGGAGAATCAGAATCCGGATCAACATCGCAAGGCCAGCAACAAGTTCCAATACCAGTTCCGACACCAGTTCCAGCGCCAGTCCCAGCACAAACAGAGCAACAGACTGCCAGTCTAGTATGGCTGCAAAGGATCGTAACAAAGACATGGAAATTGGCTAAAGAAGTATGGGACAAAGGAATTAAACATCGGCAGGCAGAAATTGCTGTAGTGGCACTAATAATTGGCGTTCTCATGGTATCGCCAACCTTTGGTCAATACGCCGGGTCTCTCTGGTCTAATGCAGTGACTTATCAAAGCTGGTGCAAAAGCGAGCAGGTGGGTATACCGGGTCGCCTTTATACAATACCAGACTGACTAGATTTCCCCTTACCTCAGGAAGCAAATCATACTCTTACTTCTATGTGCAACATGATCGTGAACAAGCCAATGCCACCACCACCAGGACTGAATGAAGTATTCAAAGATATTGGACGGCGAGATGCTGCACCAACTAATATGCCCAAACCCCCAGTCCCCATCTGGCCCACTCCCACAAAAGAGGAACTGGAAGCAGCGCGTGCCTTCGCGAATGGTCCGGTCGGCACTGGCATCTACTTTGCTATCCATGGCTTCATCGCACTCATGCTTCGACTAGAAGCCGAATCCGGAAAATGGGCACGGTTTCTCTTTATTTTCAATCTGTTCTGGTTTTTCCGCAGAATCACTCTCGTACAGGCCGTGGCCAGTGTCTGTTTGCTGATGGACTGGTGTTATTGGCTGCGTAAGGTAGGTGTCAGAGGCCCATCACTAGGTGCTCTAGCCGTGCTGCCTATCTTGTACGGGGTAGGGTACATGTCGGAGAAATCTTTTACGATAAAGATAATCTTGAGTGTTGTTTCGGTATTAATTGTAGGAGACCATTACTCACAAAAGCTTCTTCCTATGCTTCAGATATTGGAAAGATATCCCGCTTCAACTAAGCAGGATACATGAAATTGATCGGTCTTTGGGTGAGTAAAAATGTATTCTTATTGAAATAACTGGTCGGATAACGGAAATTAATGGTCTCAATAGTCTCTTTGGTATTAGACACCTGCTTTCATATATTCTCAATAATGTTCTCATATTTTGCCTTCAACTGCACATACCTTCACATTTGATCGGCTGACCTAGAGAGAAAGGGGTGTATATAAATTAGTTCACAATACTAGAACATACCAATGATTATATTAGTTAATTATCAATGTCGTCGTAAATGGTGAAATATTTTGATAAGGAATAGGCAATAATATACCTAGAAGCTGACCGCATTGCGACAAATAACTTTTATGATACTAACGGGTAATTCTCTGGGGCACATTTGGACCCCTAAGTTATGAGGCCGAATGATATAGTAGAGTCAATACTGCTTCAGAAATTGGTCAACTCAGGTTTAGTAAGCAGGTGGGCTTCGTCAAACAGAGGGTGAACAATTATGCCGTAGATTCCAATGATGCTTTCGTTGTTGAAATGACTGTGAATGAAAAGACACTCCGCCGAGCTGACAATGAGGACATCAGAATGATCCATCCTGGGTACAGTCTCAGATGAGCTTCATTGCCGTAGCGACAGATCTCGTTATAAGAGTTGATGGTATCTGAGGCAGAACGACTGTCTCGTTTAGCCCCTGAACAATCAACAAAGGTTGCTAAGCTCTGGATCCATTAGCTGGCGCCATCAAATCCTGCCATTCCTAAAATTCCGTTTTATTATTTAGTAAAGCTACACTATGAATGATGTCTTCTTCTGTCAAGTTGTATCCTAGAGACATAATTCCACATTAGCAATACTGGGCAAGCTTAGCGATTTCAACCCGCTTCAAGAATATCTCAGAAAGTAATGATAGACTGCGGTAGGAAAAACGCGCTGGAGGTCAACCTGCAGGAACAAGAATTCGTAGGTAATACCATAACACTCATAGTTAGTAGATTGAAGCACCGTCTCCGCGCCGGAATTGTCATGTCGTGAATCTTGCTGGCAGGTACGAGGGCAACCGTTCCCACCTACCTCCCAGCGGTGTCTCTTTCGATCAAGTTTCTTTCTCGCAGTTTCCCAGGGAATGCCTTGCGAGCACCGAGCATACCGTAGTAGTGATCGTTAGCATGCGCAGGGAAACTGAGATACTTTGTGTTCCGTGCAGTTATTACCCATCCTACATAATCAGTAGCAATAATAACATACCCGTTTTCCACTAGGAGGATCAAGGTGTCATAAACATAGAGCTGGGCAGCCGTTAAGATGGACACCCTGCAAAAACACTGATTGTGCTGTATGCATAAGCAATGACGGGATTTTTTGTCTTTCCGGAACTAGGTGTAGGGAATTCCAATAGATATAGTTTCTGGGACAAGAATGCCATCTAGGTCCAGGGAAGTGCATTAATAGCGATAACTAGACCTCCCAGAGATCACATTGAGGGTGGAAGCATTGACCAGTTCGAGCTTCAGTAAGTCGCCTGAGACTGATTTCGAGAAATCTTTGGCTGTAGCATAGAAAGAAAATTCAGAATCGGCCCTATCATCTCGAAATCTTCCTCTTCAGCTACGGCAAAATAGCTCGGCAACTAGTATCACGTCCCAGGCACTAAAGAATGGCTGTAGAAACGTTGATATTGGCCGGGTACGAAGCTGCTGCTATAGAGCAGCCCATCAAGCCGAACAAGGTACCGAGAATAAACATAGACGATTAACAGAGAAGTTACGGGTGAAACCCAAACTAGAGAAAGGACAGACAATGCAATTGCAATGGAACTCGACACCGCCTAGGGATTTCGTGCACTCAGATACCCTCGGAAAGATGACAAATATATGGCACATTGAACGGTCACAATACATACTGCTATTCGATGTCCGCCCTGAAGATGAAGAATAGATATAGCATTGCAGAACGGTGCCCAAGTTCAGCCCTAAGGGACATCGCATGGCTCTGACCAGACTAGTCCACACTGGGTAATATTCATGCGAAGGTGGGTCGCATCAATGCTGCAATTAATCGCTGCCCAACTCTCTCAATCTCATTTACATCTTCAAATTCCCCCCGGTTGTTCACCATGCATTCCTTCCGCTTACGCGTACTCTGCATATCCAATGCGTGGTAGAACGCCTTGTGGACCTTGAGATGGGCTACGTATTAGCCGCAGATGTCTTCGGTGCCGGAAAGCACATATCAAGGTACGAATTAGTTTTATCACACAACATTATCCCGAATTGTGTAACTGATCCCTGGTTCGCATCTAGTAATAAAAGATAAAACCTTCCTTATCACGTGGTGCTCTTATTATTTCCTTGTCCTTGTCGGTCTATAAGATTGGTAGGCGCGCAAAGGACCTTAGACAGATCCAACCGTTAATGCACGTATAGCTCTAGGTTATATCGCTACATTTTTTTTTAACAAAACGGCGATTGATAGGGCAAGGATTACATATAAAATTACTTAATAAAATGGATTACAGTAGATAGATATCCATTGATATGTGCAAGGTAGGATACAATGCTGAATCAAATGCTATGTACTTGTCTTGGTCTGGTCAGTTCAGGGCTTGGTTCTCTGGTATCTTCTTTGCGTCCATGCGGGTTCATTAGAAATGCCTCATTCTCACAGGCCACGTCGTACAGATTCTTCAGTTCCTTCGAGAGCTTTTCACATTCAACGCGTTGTGCGCAGTCAATGGCAAGCATTCTTGACTCGATGATGTTCAGCAATTGAAAGATGGCTTCAGAACACTGGGGATGCTTGCGCAACGACGCGATCCACGAAGACACGCCTTGACGAAGCCTGGCCGTACAGCCATGACTACCTGGGTCACCTACCAATTTATAAAAGTAATCGTCGTTAATCTTCGTTTGTGGGTTCTGTTCGGCTCGTTTATCTGCCAACTCAACCACTCCAGGCCAACCGAGAAGTAACCACGATGCAAATTCGAGGTAAACGCAGCCCAGACTCCAAATATCGTACTTGCGTGAAACAGGCTTCCGCAGTTCAATCTCGGGTGATTGATAGGTGGGCGATGTCACCAACGTGAGTGGATTGACGTTGGATCTTGAATACCGCCCATGGAATCGACCCAGCCCGAAATCAGCAATTTGGAGGACACCCATTTTTCCATCCACTGTCGCGATTTGATCTTGGTGGGACCACAGAATGTTATCTGGTTTGAGATCGCCATGCCGTCCAAATCTCTTTTCTTGGTCATCATTGAGAACTTGTAGTCTTCTATCTCTGTAATCATCATCTGCCGTGTAAATGTGGACGCGAGACAAGGCAGATGCTATGCCAGATATTTGTTGGAAAACCCAAAGAGTCTTCTCATAGTTACATATCGGAGTGGCATTACGCTCCCAGTACTCGTGAAGATTTAATCGTGCGTACGGAAACATCATGTAGTAATGGCCCCGGTGTGAATACGCGGCTAGAAGTCGGATCAAATGGGGTTCTGCTTGGGACCTCAACTTCTTCAAGATGCTGACTTCATGATCAAATTCATTTTGATCTGTACTGCGCAGTTTCTTCACTGCTACAATAATGTGTTTTTCCTAAAAATGGTTTGGTCAGAAAAGATTCGGTGATTCGCCCACGTCCCGGTTCAAGAAATGACAAACTATATATGAGCTAAGATAAACCAAGACGAACCCTTTTTGGGTCAGGTGGTAAAATTCTCAACAAGAAGGAAAGTGGTTGACATACTGGAAAGCAGGCTACTTCGGAGTAAAAATTATGATGTGCCCAGTGAAGTTTAGCAGGAGATATTTTGCCATAACCGCCCTCGTGGGTCCTTCCACTGGTATGCTCCTCTCGCTCTTTTGTGTTTAGTTTGATAAACGGCAGCGGGCATTTGTCGAGATGGTACTCTTGGCCAATTGAGAATAAGGGTGCCTTCATGTATTCTTGGGCCTTAAAGAATTCTTCTCGTTCCTGTGCATCCCAATGTTGCATCAATACGTCGACCTCACGACCTCGTTGCGTTTTGAGGTGATACTCCGAGTCGTATTCATTTTTCCTGTCAAAAGGAAAATCATGCTCGTCAGAGATGCCTGCATCGAGGAAGAATTTAATGTCGGAACCCTTTTTCAGAAAGAGGAGGATAGCAAATATCTTCCCGGTCTTGGTGCAAACGGTATTGGCTAGTCTATTCTTGTCGTTATTGTGCTGGAATATTTCACGGGCTACTTCCTGGAGGTACGAAGACTTGAGAAAGTCGTTGGGGATGAAGTGCTCTTTGTCGTCATTTTCTATTCGCGCATTTCTGATATTGTTGGACCATTTTTTAGCAACTTCATGGGAAACAGCCGGAGACGCCATCCTGGTGATAAGGGAATGGTCTAATAACCCAGTGTTAGCTTCAGAACTTGTAAACCGCAATATACTAGTCCGTCGATGTTGTTTTCTTCCACGCAAAATTTGTATTTTCTATATGGTTGATTACAAGGCTGGAGGATACACTGTACTTGTACTACTCAGCCTCAATAATAGTATTTTTAGCTTAGCTAAATGGGAATGATATGTCAACTGATTGACCGGCATGACCTGTTCGTCATCCTCATGCAGCCTAAATTGTTTGCCTATTTGGCTGATTGCAACGAGAAACTAATATCACCGTTACGCAGCTATTTACTCCGCCACGGCCAGCCTTCCCCTTTCGCCCTATATATGCCTTAAGAACAGGCCAGCTAATGGAAATGAATATCCTTTTCCTTTGCTTGGTTTCCTTTTTTCCTCTCTTTTCATTTTACTTTTTAATTCTACACCTGTATACATTCATCTAGTTGTAATATACCCGGGTTAGCTCTGTAAACACCTGGGTGAATAGGATACGACGCGCTGAATTGCACCCGGGTGCCCCAGATTATTGTCTTTGTTAGTATAATTATCAATTCAACCACCTGTAGAAGCGTACCAGTTTGTTTCGTTTCGGTTGGGCCGCAAGGTTAAAATTGATGCTCCCGGATGCTTTTCCCGTCTTGTGATAGGATGGCATGGGAGTCGAAAAGCATACATTCAATATCAGTTGGCATGAACCGGTTAGGCTAGGAATAATTGATATTGTCAATTTTTAATACATGACGATATACGCAAATTCCAATGTTCGATGACATTTTATTTTAAAACATGGGTAGTGAAAGCTTATCCAGGGGGAAGAAAGGAATCAAAAGGCTTATTTAACTCCCTGCCAAAGTCGGTGTACATGAGTCACTGGTAGCAACAATTGGTACGAAACTTGATTTCCCCTGTCGCAATGATATTATTCCACGGCCCATCTCGAGGTCATTCTTTTCCCCCCTTTTCCGGCGCCGACAAAGTCGATCCAGTAGTTTGCTAGCGATAGCTCCCTTGCTCTGCCTCAATTCAACCTCTCTCAATAATGGAGTAGTAAAACGTAAACAGGCCCACCATAAGACAATCGTCATGCCGGTTAATGGGATGGCAACCGCAGCGAGGATCCACACATCCGGTGAAACTTGCATATCTTGGGTTCCATCCGCCGACTTGACAAAGACGGTGGAAAAAAAATTCTATATTTTTGCCAATTCATCTTCAGTAGCTGCCTTTTTCTCCTCATTCAGCAAGCATGTGGGAGGTGAAACTTACCAAGACAATCGTGGTCGGAAGATAGACCAACCCGATGATTGTAAGAATCTTGACTGCAATAGCATCTTTTGTGTTGCGAAGCTATTATAAATATATCTACATATTAATAACCGCAATATGAAGAAGGCTAATAGGAGACTAGGTGGTATACCGTTAATATTGACATCTTCTTGCTATCCTTACTCGACTCTTGAGCGAGAATGTTCAATGCATTTGCCTCTTCGTAGTCGAGGAAACTTGTCAACTATTTCATGTCAGTCGGCTTTTGAACGGTTTTTATTGAATGTTACAACGAACCAGTTGCATTGTAGATTGGATCCTCCGGTGGAGAATGCTTGCTTGGTTAATACGGAGCTTGATCTCCTTGACGTAGCGGTCAAACTCGTCCAGGTAGTCTGAGCAAATACATCTATTCTTGGATGAATAACATGTCTGCCTACAGTAACGTAGACATCGCTCTTTAACCCCAATGCAATTCTGGGCCATTATACCCAAAATTATTTTCAAGTCGCTTGCATACCCGTCCAATTGTTTCAGCTTCTGACAGTCCTCAAAGGTAACTTGAAACCCGTCAGAACGAAATTGGGTCTCATCTAATCCAGCCTCGGCCAATAAAATCGGTTCTGTCAGCTGTTGGAGTTCTGATTCTAACCATGATATATAAGTGGCCCATCCGCGAAGGCTGTCTGTCATGAGGAGCCAATGGATATGCCATGGCGAGGGCCTTTGTCTCTCCTCTATAGCGAGCTTTTGATATTGGACGAGCGTTTCCAGAAAAGAATCGGACGGTGCAATAGCAAGGTAGGTTGATTTCTCACCATCATCATCATTATCATTATTCCCTCGTCGGCTCTGGAGTTTATGGTAGAGACCGGTCTGACGAATCGACCATGGTGATTGTCCAGGAATTTCTGAGCGTCCATTCAACTCGACTCTTCGAACGACATAGGAAAGCTCATCGTAATCGTAATAATATGCTTTCCGCTGTTCTTCTGAACGTGTCTGTCTATTGATGAAGCCCGGGAAATCAAATTCATTCTCACAAGACTTTTTGCTAAATGCAAAAGCAACTTTCCAAAACAGCTCAAAAACGTTATGCACCGATAAAAAGCGCTCCAGAAATTGGCGCGAAATGTTCAGGGGTGCCCAGGTACGCTTTTGTCGAATAATATACAACTGAGAACTCCCATTGGCGGTCTAATTGTGAAACTTAGTCGGTATTCAAATGGATGTATGCAAGAAATAGTAGAGGGAAAAAGAAGAAAAAAGAAAAAGTGTACCTCTTTGTAACCAGTCAGCTCTGAGGGATTCCGAAGGAGCCGTGTATCACCCCCTTGCCATAACTCCAACACCTCCAATTGTCCATCTGCATTCGAGGACGGAAAAATCCTCCGTGACTTTTCGTCTATTTCATTGGATAACAATGTCTTTTCATGTAGCGCAAAGTTTGGGGACATTTGGGAATTGTTGATTCGGATGAGTTCAATTGCGCTGGTGTTACCTTCAAGTTAGATCTGGAGGTAGTTAATTTATCTACATGATGACTTTATTTATTTCAAATTCAACTGCCTCTGTTGTGATCCCTGGTTCTGCCTCGCAGGTTCACTTGGAGTGAGTGATATGGTCCGAAGCCCTCCTTGAAATGAATATGCAAGGATGCGAAGTGAGCACCATTGGTGGGCTTCACGACAGTCGTATGCATCCGCACCAGAATGGACCACACCACCTCTCTTCGCTCTGATCCAACCAAGGAACCTTATGGAGGCTGAACACGAGCCCCGGTTCCCACCCCCTAGCTTCACTGTTTCCATTTATTTCCTCGTGTCACGACCTCATTCACGGAATAAGCCGCTGCGCCAAGAGACCATCGAGTCTGTGGTTGGCTACTTATTCATATAAAGGGTTACTAGACATTAGAACTAGCTATCACAGGTTCTCTCACATGCACTGCGCCACTATTATATATGGGTTACACCCATTTGTAACAGGCTCTGCACAATAGCCCGGTTATTGGTATTGATCAGCTGCCAAGGGTTTCGAATGACTCAGTTATTTATCCCCCATTTTTGTTCATTATTATTTATTTAATCAAGTTTTACAACTGTATTCAGCCTCTGGGCTATGACGATTACGTTCCAGTAGTCCGTCAGGGGGCTTAAAGGGGTAAATCCTTCCACTTTTAGTGGCTTGACATCGTTTCTCTATTTGTGCAATCGGCGTATTTTTTTTAGTGGTTATTAACGGCTTGACACATAACCCACATACTCAGTGGTTGTAACCGGTCCAGCATACCAAGCAGGTATGAACTATTAGCCACTAAAGTAAACGTTTGAATACGGCCTACGAAGCACTCGAGTAGAATTGTGCTAAAAGACTAACTTAGCTAAGTTAGAATATTGAGGATATATAGTAAATGGTTGCCAGAACTGTCACCGTACACGCCGATAAGTATTATGATCACCAATTAGATTACACATTTTAGGAAAACACGCGGCGTAAATACACATTGAGCCTCTCCTCTTTTTTTTTTTCTTTTTCTTTCTCCCTCTGTCAATGAATTATTATCAACCCCTGCAACCCCCCCTTTAGAACTTGGAAATGGTGTGACTGCACTCCGACCGGCTGCCCCATCACGTAAAACCCATCAGTTCACGGATGGTTTTATAATCTGGCCGACATCGCAAGATTTCATCCTGCATAGATAGATTGATTGACCAAGGTCAGCCTTAGCCGCGCGAGGCGCTCAGGGAAAAAAGAAAAGAAAAAGCCGAAGAAAAATACCAATGTTAGCGGTTGGGCATTCTCAGGGCGATAGATTCTGTATTTTGCCATTCGCAACTATATCTCGTATTCGTCCTCTTTGGTTAGCGATCACCAGTGGACAATATCAAAGCAAATGGAAAAAGGCCTCACCTTGACATGAAAGTCCTTGTCCACTTCGCCGTAGCGCTCTCGCAAAAAGTTCATCAGCATATAAGGATCTATGCCGCTGCCCGATATGACCTGGGGATTAGGTGCAGAATTTTCCATTCTTCTATATTCCCTCCTTAGTGATGATGAAATTATTGATGAGCGTAATATTTATTTCTTGTGTGAATATTCCAATGTTTCTAACCAACGTACAGGTAGAGAAGGGCGATTGAAGTGCCCAACCCTTTGTTAATTAAATACCCCCTGCTTTTCCCGAGTCATAGTCAGGCGACACTAAATCAGGTTTTATTCCGTCAGCCTACTCATCACCCCCATTCGCTGTTTTTGGAGACAACGCGTACTTGCAGGTTCAGGCGCGGCAAGGCTGCTTTCCACTGTGTTAGTTACACAGCATGGGCATATAGCTATTGGTCCGCAGCACAACTCTCCAGTTGAGTCTATGAATAGATATCTGTCAACTTCCGCGAGATACTCCGGTTTGGCAATCCTTGCGTATGTGTAACAGCCCTGGAAAATACGAGAAGTAGAGAAAATGAAACACAAAAGTCCAACTTACCTTGCTCAAAGGAATAGGAGGGTATATTATCACTTTACCCATTCGCATCTATGAAACGACTCAATTCCATCAGTCCGGACTTGCCTTGTGTGATGAAAAACAAATTCCGATGCTGACATAACATGACAATTTTGGGAAAGCTTAGTTACCAGTACCTTTATTTCAATATTGTGATTGGGATACAACTCATCCAGCAAGGCCCTCAGCTTCTCTGGACGGACATACCGACCATCCAGTGTCTGAGGTGGTGGCGACGGTGGTGACGACGATGACACAGAAGAGGATGGCGGTGCCATTAGTTGATTTGAACCGTTGCTGCTTTCGTGAAGCAATGCCTGAAAGAAATGGCACGAATCGAGCGTAAAATAAACAAGTATCGTTTAATTATACTGATCCTTCGGAAGAAGAGATGAATTTGATTGCACAACCAAGCTGCTGGCATTTTCCCTTTGATAACACACATATCGCTGGATGAGGCTCAACATTTGCCCCCCTTTAGCGACTTATTACATAAATAATCCCTGATGCATATGTGGCTTCCCGAATAGGTAATTTGATTGCTAGTCCTGTGGCAAGGCTTGAACCCATTGATTCCGCGTCCTTTCTCCAATCATCGATAGAATGGTCACTCTCTGGAGGTCATCAAGACTGCCACACCGCATTTTCGCGGACTGGAGGAGCAACTTGAGACTGCTGTCCGATTGGAAAAGGCAGATTGTCTGTCAAATGACCTTTGAATATCTCGCAAGTTGACCTACCTCCATCTTCAGTCACTTGTAGACATTGGTCGCTGTGCACATGGTTAATATTTCCATGTGTCCAGTTGGCCAGCTACAAGACATAATGAACTAACTCCTCTGGTAGCTTCTAGTGTGACCCTGCAGTTTCTAATCTTCCTATTAAAATCAAATAAAACACCATCATCAATAATCTAGAGAATTTCTTTTTTGAAGTGGCATAGAACATATCGATTTCATTCTAGACTAGCCGCCTAGGGTTCCTCAAAAAACCGTCCAGGGGTTTTCTTTTTGTGCATGACTGGAGTCAATTAATAGACCGACGATGTAATCATTTAAGAGCATAATGTTACAAAAGCTTCCTCAAGCGTTACATTGAAAGCAGTAGCTGATATGTTACTTAACCTTAAAGGTAAAGGTGTTTATGCCGTTCCATGGATACCTCCATCTGAGATGTTTGTATCGATCGAGATCAGCAGCAAGCAGGCCGAAGAAATCGGCACCAAGAGTAATGCGCTTTGAATACAACTGGATTATTTTCCTTAGCAAACCTATCATAGATATCGAGCAGGTTGAATAGATACTCCTTGTCCAACTTTATCAAATGATACACTCGAAAATGGATAGGGGCACCATCCGTTGTTTTTATAAGGCACTGGGTGTGTGCAATCTTTGCTTCTATTTGCTTCTATCTCTCGGAGGTATTCAGCAACTAATTACTGGGTCCAAAATAACACAACACATCTTCGTGCTCTTGGCACTATTCCCATAACCTGCTCTATGATTGAAGGGATTGGGATGACGAGAGTGTCTCAAGAGGTGGCATATGAGCAATGCGGTTTTCATGTCGTATATCATAGAGCAATCTCTCAATATGGAATGGACCAAGTGAAGCGAGTAATATGACGTTTACGGGAAACCGAACCTGATGATGGTAAGCCTTACGGGCCGGTTCCGTTGTACCTTATAAGAAATGGTCGGTCTATTAAAGAACATTGAAAACCATCATGTTGTCCACAATCAACCATTCAATAGCGACATACCATCAGGAGACACTTAAATTCATATTATCATTGATATTGAAAAAACCAACTTTCTTACAGCCTTCATGATAAGTTTCCCCATGAAGTATATCGTATCCAGCCACTTGATAATGAGATGTAAACGACGATAGCGCCTGTCTCTTCTTAATCGGTTTAATGTGTGCGCCTAGGAAGATATCTGCTCAACGAGAAAGTCTCTAGTACGACAACCTTGTTTGCGAGCTTCGTGTATTTACTGACAACCATTATCGTTAAGAAATGACTACACGCAACCGTTATTCCCAGAGCGATGCCGTATCACAAACCCAGATTTCAGATCTTTTCAATGGATGAGGATAAGCCTAATTGTACCTGCTAACGAGCAGATATGATATATCTTTCACCAGCAGTTTGGTCGTACTATCACAACCACATCGAAGATTCGGATTGATAGAGGAAGAGAGGATGAAGGAATGAAAGCAAAGAAGAATTCTGGTGGAAATGATGTTTCCGTGTGTTATACAGGATTGCCTGAGCGGTCATTAGGTGAAACTGTGATGTGATCGACTACTTGTTTTTCTCGTCTGTTTGTTTGCTATGTTGGTATCCAGTGCATCCGACTCAAGAGTTCGTGCCTCTGACAAATTTTGCTATCAAATCTTACTCACTCGATCTTATTAGTTTATTTCTAATTGAAAAAAATAGTGTAATATTTCATTAGATGTTATTATAGCTAGTTACAAGACTAGCTATTAGATATTAAAATAGAATTTAATCCTATCTAATTAGGAGATAAATGTAAACAATTAATAGATAATATGAAGTGTCTTACTGCATGTCTCTTTTGACGTGTATTTTGGCTGTCCGCTGTAGCTCCTTACGGCGGCAAGCCGCTTATACATCAGTGCTGAATAATTGAACTTGTTCTCCTTTCTTGCAAAGAGACTACTTCGAAGGTTACCAAGTCATTGGGGTCAAATTTCCATTTCTAGTGGTTGGTCTAGTTTTGTACTCGCCGGAGCCGCAGCACCGTACGAAAGTACCAGACAAGTTAGTCCTCCCCACGTGCAGACTGTTGTAGACAAAAATAGTTTCATAGGAATCTGGAGAAATATCACAGTCACCAACACGAGTCAGTGGCGCGTTTAATTGAACTGTTAATGTCGAAGCAATTGTCGAAACAATTGGGTATTGATACTGTGCATCCAAAGCTGATATCTGCTATTGATATAAATACACGTGAAAAACAAAAGATATCCTGATCAGACAGCCAAACTTGCGCCAGTTCGCCGTTCCATTTTCCGTTTATACGATGCTTAGATAGATGATCCCAGAAACAAATTACAAAAAGAGTCTTGCGGGGAGATATAGTTCGTCATCGCAAGCCACCTTGTAGGAGTTGTTGTCGTAACAGAAGGATTTGGTTGCGTTCCATAGGCGGAAGTGCGTCGATTTGTGCCTGTGACATGCTCAACACCTGTTGTAGCAGCTCTTCCTGTCCTGGAACTTGTTGAGGTACTGCGGCTGGTTGTTGGGGCATGGGCGGCGGTGCGAATGGTGTGGCGTGGACAGGAGGCGTCGAAACCTGTGCTGGGACAGCTCCGTATGGTTGATACGGTTGATTTGTCACAGGGGCTGCTGGCTGTGATGCTTGTTCGACCACAGCGCCAAGCGTGTTATAGTCGACAAGATTCATAAGAAGTAAGGCTTGAAAGATGGCGTATGCCAATTGTGGAGCGGTTCTGAGAAGCTCTGTTGCCCGCGCAGGATCTGTGACTGCCAAGGACTTCATTTGTGAAAGGACATCAAGGAGTTGGTTCGGTGGGAGTTGTGACAGCGTTTGTGAAATTGCGTTTGGACAGTCGAGATGTGGCGGGATTTCTACACCTGGCGGTAGAGGAGGGAGAGAACTGGGATTTGGCTGTTGATGCAGCTGCTGTTGGTATGGCTGCTGTGTTTCAGAGTAGTCTTCAGGGACCGAGTCCTTCTCATTGTTATGAGGCCAGTCCACCCGGATTTTTCTTCCCATAATCTCGTAGTCGTTCAGATTTCGTACGGCTGAAGCAGCAGCGTCGGCATCTGCGAAATCGGCAAAGCCGTATCCTTTAGGCTTTCCTGTCTCCGGGTTCATCATGAGCCGAAATTTTGTGACTGTCCCAGCTGTACTGAGAATATCTTTGACTTGCTCCTCGGTAAGATCTAGACATAGCTTAGTACACATTCAATATCAAGGCCAAGTGCCGACTCACTGTAAGGAATGTTTCCCAAAAACACGCTCTTCCCAGTTCCTGGAGCCATGATGGGCGGGATCTGTCTGTTTTGTCAATTACGAGAACCGCCAATGGCAATATAGTTGCAACCGAAGCGTAAAAATGCGATTACTGTCAAGAAACACAGCCCACGCGCGCAAAAGCAAAGCTATGCAGGTGTCGTGTGGGGAGAAAGAAGCTTGCGGGAGTAATGCCCAGTTTCTCCGCCTACGCTAAGCCGCGTTGGGACAGCACCAGCCAGTCTAACTTCTCCGTCAGCGAAAGCTTGGGATCTCACTTCTGTCACACTCAGATCGTCACATTCCATCAAACATCATGGCCGGCAGTCCGCGGGAACAATGGGAGAGGCTGCAGGTTATTCTGCAGAACCGCACTAGGGGCGGTGGCGGCGGTGGGTTCAAATTCGGAGGAGGCTCGCCTTTTGGAGGCCCAACTGTGGCACTTGCTGTGTTGCTGGCTGGAGGATACGCTCTGTCAACCGCTCTATTCAACGGTGAGATATATTCATTTTTATTTCCTGATCTAGCTATATTCGTGAAGTCTAAATGCTGACCGTGCCTGTGGACTAGTTGACGGTGGTCACCGAGCAATCAAGTATTCGAGGTTATCCGGAGTGAAGAAAGACATCTACAGTGAAGGTATGCAAAGACCCACGCCAAAACCGATTATCTATTATACTCATGATTCTTCGTGCCAAAGGAACACATCTTCGCTTACCCTGGATCGAAACTCCGATCATTTACGATGTCCGCGCAAAGCCAAGAAATGTCGCGTCCTTGACCGGAACGAAGGACTTGCAAATGGTTAATATAACATGCCGTGTCTTGTCCCGACCACGAGTTGAGGCCCTTCCTCAAATTTATCGAACACTTGGCAAGGATTTCGATGAAAGAGTCTTGCCTTCTATCGTCAACGAAGTGTTGAAGAGTGTTGTTGCTCAGTTCAATGCCAGTCAGCTGATTACGCAGCGTGAGAATGTCGCTCGTCTCGTTCGTGACAACCTGGCTAGGCGTGCAGCTCGCTTTAACATCACGTTGGATGATGTGTCCTTGACTGTACGTTTTCTTTACTCCCTATATAACAAGTGTAACCGATCTAACGTTCTGCCTCAGCACCTTGCATTTTCGCCTGAATTTACCGCCGCCGTTGAAGCCAAACAAGTCGCCCAGCAAGACGCTCAAAGAGCTGCTTTCGTGGTTGACAAGGCCCGTCAAGAAAAGCAAGCCACAGTTGTCCGAGCCCAGGGTGAAGCCCGCTCTGCCGAACTCATTGGTGACGCCATCAAAAAGAGCAAGAGCTACGTCGAGCTGCGTCGTATCGAGAACGCCCGGAACATTGCTCAACTTATTCAAGAGTCTGGAAAGAACAAACTTTACCTTGACACTCAAGGCCTAGGCCTGAATCTCAATGCCAACGCTGAAAACGACAAGTAAAGACGCTCATTGATTGAAAAGGAAAATCAAAACCCAGCTAATTGCGTGTTTGAATATCTCTACTTCTCTTGCGAAAAAACAAAATATAAGTGTTATTTCTGGTCGGTTGCATGGAATCACATCATGTATAAATAGTGTACCCCATTGGTGCTAATTCAGTACTACCAATCTCGTTAATACGGGAGTGGAATATGATTTCCTTTCTCTTCTCTGAAATAATGTATATCTATCTACATTAGTAATTTATGTAGTCGTCTTTTCAGCTCATTAGAAGGTCATGTTTCATAGGCAGGCCATCTACAACGTTTGAAGTGTTCCGAACGTCAACTTTATGTTGTCCATGATTGATTATGGGGAAATTCGACTCTGCTGATAAGATAAAAAATTATTTGGTTGACCCCGCGGTACTAGCTTCACGATTTTTTTCATAAAGAGCTAAGCAATCTTAAATGAACACACTACTCTTTTACCGGACCAATTAGAGTCTCTGTCAAAGTCGTCTGTTAACACATCTCATAATTCCCATCATTTGTCCTCATTATGACGGACACAGACATTCACTTCGAAACGATCGACGTCGATCTTGACATCCAAGAAATCCTCCTTGCCGCATCTCAACACGACATCCCCAAACTACGACAATTAATCCGATCAAACAATGCCGGAGCAGAAAATCCCGTCAATGTAAAGGACCCCGAAACAGGCTTTTCGCCCTTACACGCAGCCATTGCGGCTTGCGAGCAAGATGACGACGAAGCGACCGAGTCAGCGCCGACGAATGGCGTGAATGGCACGCATGGGGGTGCGGATGAGACACTATCTGAGAATGAAGTATTGTTGGCTGCGGCGCGAGATATGGTTAAATTTCTTCTGCAGGAAGGCGGGATTTGGAATGATTTGGATAAGAATAATGAAACTCCGGGTTGTTTGGCGAGAAGGTTAGGCTTGAAGGAATTATATGACCTCATGGTCGACGCGGGAGTGCGCGCGGAGTTGCTGTTGAATTACATGGAAGGATACGAAAAGCTTGAAGAGGATGATGATGATGATGATGAAGAGGTGGGAGAGGCGGCAGATGAAGAAGAGCGTGCAAATGAGACATCTGAGTCTAATACACTTGAAACCACTACAACCGCCGCCGCTGCTGAACCTAATGTGTCAAACAACCGATATCTACAGTCAAACTTGACTTTCCAAAACGATCGCTTGCTCGACAATGACCAGAACGGAGTGATGATGGCCTGGGAGTCAGACATCATGGCCAAGACCGCGCGCAAGCTGCTTCCGACCGAGGGGTTGCGGGTGTTGAACATTGGACACGGAATGGGCATAGTCGATGGATTTTTCCAAGACCAAAAGCCCAGCGTGCACCACATCGTCGAAGCACATGGCGAAGTTGTTGCTGAAATGAAGCGGAAGGGGTGGCATGAGACACCCGGAGTGGTGATCCACGAAGGACGATGGCAAGATATTCTGCCAACACTGGTTGAACAAGGAGAGATGTTTGATGCAATCTATTACGACACTTTTGCCGAGTCATATGCCGATTTCCGCGAGTTTCTCTCTGAGCAAGTTATTGGTCTTCTGGGGACGGCTGGACAGTGGAGTTTTTTCAATGGGATGGGTGCCGATAGGCAGATTAGTTACGATGTATATCAGAAAGTGGTCGAGATGGATGTTTTTGAGGCGGGGTTTGATGTCGAGTGGGAGGATATTCCTGTGCCTCAACTCGAAGGTGAATGGAATGGTGTGCGACGGCGATACTGGGTGGTAGACAACTACCGTTTGCCTATTTGCAAGTATATGGATTAATATTATGGAATTTCATCTTTAATGTTAATAAGGCGGTCATGTCTTGAGCGGAGTTTACTATTCAGGGTTAGGGTATCTTTATTTTTAATTATGATATTTCCAATAATACACGCCATGCATGGCACCGCTAAAGATAAAGGCATGAGTCAAAATAACGATAACTCCTATCCACGCAATGAAATGAAACAAGAATGTCATCCGTGAGACCTAAACAGTTCCATGATGATTCCGCTACAGTTGTATCAAATCAACTTCAGAGAAATCGGGTGGGCTGCGACTGAATATTGTCCGACATTTGCCATCCAGGGCCTGGTACTCGTTGCTAATCCAGATATGTTTACTGAACCGCTGTGTGCAATAGATCTCATCGTCACTGACGCCAATATCATCACGAGGAATCCAAATCACAGGACGTTTAGCCCGCAATGCCTCGTGCTGGAAGGCTCGCTGCACCAGTTGGTCGCGTTCGTCTGGCGTCAAGTCCTCTAATTCATCATGAATACCAGCGAAAAGAGCACGGCCCATTCGATGTGTGCGCTCGCCAGCGTTTTCTGCATCTTCGGCTTCGTGAGCTAATTTTTCTCGCAGGTCTTGGATGCCCGGTGCATTATGGCCAGCATTTACACCGAAATATTTCGAACGGTGATTTCGGGAGCGATCTGCCCAAGAAACCCGCTTAGAGGCGACTCGCTTCCCAACGTTTCCTATCATGTTAATATTCTTAGTTAAAAAGCTATGCTTCTGGCTCCCACCCGCGGCCGTGACCTTCTGTAGTTCGATTTGTGTATGATCGGCGACATCCTCGCTTCCTCTCTCAGACAACTCTTCTTCACCGTCCTCTGAAGCATCGTCATCTGCAGCAGGTAATCCAAGGCGGATCCGTTGAGCCCGAGCGAACTCTTCATCCCTACGAACGGCATCATCCTCCAAGGTAATGGGCAAGTACCGGATGAGCGGAGAAAAGGCTTCGTTCAAAAAGTACTGATACCCAATGGTGAGAATCAAGACAACGATCATGACGATGGCTTGACCCTGGCAAGCAACCGTGTTTTTATCATCCCTCACTAAGAAAAAGAGACCTATCAAACATAATTCCATAACATAAAGTCCGGTGAAGAGCTGGTTTATGGCTTTTGGAAAGAGAAGACCACCAGTATCGAAGCGGAACTTGGTGACGTAAAGTGTATTATATCGGTATACGAACCAGAAGAGACCAAACGTGATAGTGTTAAATATCACAATTAAAGGTGCGATCACGAGATATATAAGTCCTTAAGTCATGTCAGCGTCTATATATGGTATGGATATCGATTAACTCCTATGACCTTGTAAGAATTACCTACCGGGGCACCCCTCACCCTGAAAATGAATGACGACTGTGGTCAATCTACTTTTGGGTGAGGCCCGCGTAGCTAATTCTTTAAATCACAGTCAAGGAGCATAGTGCAGACGTACCAATCGATGCTAGGGTAGTGTACACTGGGAAGAATGTACCCCATTTTACTGTATTCAAGTTCGTGGTGCGCACCCACTTATTGCGAGCTGTAACGTCGAAAAGCGGCCCTAACACGAACCACTTCAGTAGACCCAATATCTGAGCGAGGGCACCCGCGCTAACTGACATGGCTTGAAGAATCATGTAGGAAAAAAAGTAATTAGACGATTTCGGTATGTTTGTAGCAAGAATCTGGGGCCAACTAGTTATGTCTGCCACTGTATCCAAAATCGTCGATGAACTCGTCGCAACAGCCACGACTAGAAACACCTGGACAAAGAGAAAGGCGAAAAAATAGTTTTGGACAGTTAGTTCAACAGACATGCCGGTTTGCAGGCCTTGGGTCTTTGACAAGAAGCGAAGAATGAGAGGAAGTAGAGCCATCAGAATTGCGAGGAAAAGCGGTGGGAGAACACCTTGAATGGCAGAAAATAACCACGACGGCAGCTTGGATAACCAAGCCAGCCATGACACTGCTCCCTCCAGATAAGAAAGCTGAGAAAGAACACCAGTAAAGGCAACAGGGATTGCCCAGCCGATCACCATGCCGCAAACAACAATTATTATTCCACCACTTCGCAGGTATCTCTCCCACCATCTGATTGACATGTTATCCCACACGACATCATCGGGTGAAATCTCTACAACTCGAGGTGACATTTGTTTCGGAATGTGGTGACTGACGGCCTGGCAAGCCATGTGGGCTGCAACTTGATGGTTAAACTGAATGAAGGCCGAATTCATAAGAGGAAATCGTTCAGGGTGTTGTTGATCAATTTCAATCTCGATATTTAGTCGAGCAACCTCCTTTCGACAATAGTCGATGGTGTCGACCTTTTTACCAATCAAAGGTAAAGATGGCATCCAGGTCCAGCCAAAAATAGGTAGCCGCATTGTTTCTCGGTCTTTTTGTCGAACATAACTTTTCCATAGTGGTTTACCGCATTGATCCTCGTAGTCTTCGTTATAAGCGACAGGGTATGAACCACCGTCAGGTTCACTATCGTTTTCACTTCCAAGTGAACTTTCACTATTCGACCTTGAATTACACATCCTTTTGGGACGCTCTTCCGGTTGACTAGGAGCGGCATTAGGAGCGGCATTTGGAGCCAAGGGGACTTCGTCGGGCTGTGGGGGTTTATCGACTCTCAGACTCAACTTAGAATTAGACGATGAGTTCCGTTTCCACCTCGGTCGGTTTGAGGAATGTTGCTCGCCAATGCTGTCTTCTCCACCAGACTGTTGATCGGATCTTACGACATGCTCGGAAGCATATTTCGCAGATGCTGCATCACTTTCCTGGCTAGTGCGGGCAAAGGAATAACCAGGGCCAACACCATCGATGATTCGATTGTCACCGGTCGCAGTATTTTGGTCCTCTGATAGGGTGATGAAACCGGGATTTCGGCTAAGCTGGCTATTGACACCATTTTCAACCTTTTTAAGACCTTTGACGACATTTTTTCCCAAAATATTAGCACCATGGCCGATGACATTATTGAGGCCTTTTTTATTACGACGCGATTCTTTCTGGCGTGATTGCTTACTCTGCTCCAAGGCTTCATGAAGATTGTGCGCGATTTGATGGGGATCACCCGAGCTGATACCAGACTGCATTGCCATATCTGTGGCTCGTTTATTTGCCTCCTGCTCTTTAGCAGTCGCATCTGCAGATTTCTTTCCGGCTTTCTTGGCGTCGACTTTTGCTTTTTTCAATTGAGCCCTTTTACATTTCTTAATCAGCTCGGTTTCTGCAGCTTCGAGTGCCAATGCTAGCTGATTCCGTAACTTGACTTTTTCGTTCAATTCGTCAAAATTTCGATTAATCCAGATATTCCGAATTCCTCCCGGGAAAACATCGTAGAGGTTCGCCAAAGCTTCTATTGTTAACCACTTCTTTGGGATGGCAGTGACAAGGACTGTAGTAGCGGAAGCCCGCAGCCTGTGTTGAGGTGAAGTGAGGTACGCTTGTCGAAGTCGAATATAACCGCGAAGTTCATCAAAGAATACCGCACAGACGTAGACGATGCTAAGCACTGCCAAAACCAGGTGTGCCCAATAGCGATTCGTGTGTTCCGGCTTAATGTTTCCCCATGCAAGCTGGTCCAGCCCACTTACATTCCATCGTGTGCTGTTGGTATCACCGACTAAATTAAAGTCCTTTCCTCCCACCTTATTTAACGGTATCAGAATAGGTAATATAAATAAACCGAGCGGCACGAATATCTTTAACAGCATGCGGAGGTAACGCAGAAAAAAATACGCGTCCAGGCCACTTTTTTGAATGAATTCCGAGTTGGACGTGCGAAATACAGCGATGGCCCATCGGAAGAGACCCGGGGACTGTGCTTCCGTTCGCTCGCGATCTGGCACGAGATACGTCCTAGGTTGACTGAAAGTGAGAATAGTCAGCCTGCGTAGTCTGCGTAGTCGTTTATATGGGATGAGCTAACATACTAGATCCGTTTGAGCCTGTCTTTCAGGAGCAGAAATAGAAGTGTTTCAATAGCGAAGACGATGATGGCTGTTACCAAAGACGCCACAAATGTCTTGAGAGAAATACCCTGACTACTATGGCCAGCTCCATTGGAGCCTGTCAGAGCATCACTAAGGCTGCTGTTCCCCATGTTGTCACAATCCGTAGACCTACTACGTTCCCCTCCAGCGCATATATAGGGGATTATCGAGGAACAACAAAGGATCAAAAGGATTTCATTATCAAAGGCGCACCAAGACGAGAACAATGACAATATACCACGTCAAAGAAGTAGAAGGATATTGAAAAAGAAATTGGATGCAGTAGTGTGGAAGATCAGACAAGGGGGATTCTTCACAGATAAACTGTTGATTCTTTCCCGTCCGAGATGGCCTGCTCTCAGATAATGAATCGCTGAACGCGTGAGTAGAGAAAAACAAGCAGCAGAGAACAGCCAGATGTTCTAATAATGTCGAAACTGGTGTCTAGCCAAACCAAAGCCAGCTGGAGGCCAGCAATTGGCGCTCGCTACCCTCAACAACAACCAAGTTTCTCGAGTAGCACAAAACCTTGGCCATGGAGCAACAAGCAGTATGACATCAACGGGCGCTAGGGCCCGGTGCGAAACACTAGGCGCATTGGCCGGCGCCTGTGGCTTCCATCCTGGCTCGCATCGGCGGCCACTGATTGGGCAATCACCTGCCCTCCACGCGCTGTCTTGTTTTACCCTCACGATGCGAGAATGTGTGGCGGCATCTCAATTGGGAGGCAGATATAGCAGTGGCGGCTATATGCTATTCATATCCGACATCCACTTCGAGTATCGCCCAGTGACGTCTGTGTTTGGGGCTCTGGATTTGGCGTTTGACACATCACAGAGATCGCCAAGATCTTCAATTTCTCGAGTTCGAACAGATTGGTCACCTGACGTAAACACAAGATTCTGGATCGGGATTAGTCTCATCATGTGAGCGGCACTAAGTCACATGACTCGTAATGAACGCGCTCGCCCAAACAGGAAACCACTTAACGCGGTGCGCGTCCCGGGCGCGTCGCTCCACCCGAAATCCCTGAGAACACAAGACCAGAGGGACTCTTTGCCTGTCTCTGCATCTTCCGTATTCAACCCGAACAACACCGTTGGTCGCAGCGATATCATTGATTTGGCAAAATGTCGTCCCCAGCTGCTCGTCGTGGTCGTGGTCGCCCACCACGAGACTCAGCGACCTCGACACCTCGCTCGACTCGCACTCAACAAACCGCCAGCAGCCCGCAATCGCAGGCAGCCGGCTCGCAGGCGACTCCCCGCGCTTCCAGGCGCATCAGAGGTGAAGAAGCTGTGCCATCTTCATCACCCTTGATGTTTCAATCTTCATCGCCAGTGCGTACACGGAATGAACCTCAAGAAGTGACTATGGACGCCAGCTCGCCGATCAGGGGATCCTCCATTACGGGAGATGGCGATACCACACCCCGAGGCAACAGACTCGGCATAAGAGGTTAGTTCAATATTCATAGTCTACGTAGATTTCATCTTTCACAAATTCAAGACTGACAGCTCCCAGACTCGTCTCCAATTCGCTACATGTCCAGTTCTAGCCCACCACGCAACGGTACCCTTCAAGATATTCGCTCCGACATCCCCAGCAGCAGCAGCGGTCTGTTTGTTGGATCGTCTCGTCCTGAGCTATCCGGTTACTCTCGCAATGCCTCTCGTCGGGGAGATATTCATTCCGACGCCTTTGGGTCGACACCGAACCGTCGCCGAAGGGTATTCGTGGATGCAAATGGCATGCCAGTCAACCAGAGCGAACCCCAGTCAGACGCCACCTTTTCTAATGTCAACCCCGATACCTCAGAAGCTGATGCACTTGGTGGTAGCTCCACCCGTGTTATCTGGGGCACGAACATCTCGATTCAGGATTCCATGTCTGCCTTTAAGAATTTCTTGTACAACTATGCACGAAAATACCGCATGTGGGCTGACGGATCAACCGAAGACGACACCCATGCTTTGGGTGATGCTGCCGAAGAAAAGGAATATATCACGATGCTAAACAATATGCGGAAGCTGGGTGTCACAGGACTCAATTTGGACGCCAGGAACCTGAAGTCCTATCCTTCGACATTGAAATTATGGCACCAACTCCATGCCTATCCTCAGGAAATTATTCCTCTGATGGATCAGACGATCAAAGACGTCATGGTTGAATTAGCTCTAAAAGAAATGGAGAGCCTCAGAACTCAAGCACAGAGGAACCAACCACGAACAAGAGATAGTTCGGCACCGCTAGTACCCAGTTCAGATGCTTTGAGTGATGCTGGGCGTGGTCAGCTTCCCGAGATACCTGACTTGGTAGAGCAAGTCGATCTGAAGACGTATAAAGTCTTGCCTTTCGGGCTGGACAAGTCTGTCAACATGCGAGATTTAGACCCAGCTGGTAAGATTTATCTTTGATACCAACAAATCAAGCTCGCCACTAACCATTTTTATTACTGGCAGACATGGATAAGCTCATCAGCATCAAGGGCCTGGTCATTCGTACGACTCCGGTTATTCCAGATATGAAAGAAGGTAAGGATACACCAGTGGATTATGTTTGTTGAGAATATTTTGCTAACTACACACTAGCATTCTTCGCTTGCCAAATCTGTAACCATAGTGTTCGGATTGACATCGATCGTGGCAAAATCCAAGAACCCACCGTTTGTTCTCGGCCGCAATGCAAAAGTCCTAATTCAATGCAACTCGTTCACAACCGATGCGTCTTTGCAGACAAACAAGTTATCAAGCTCCAAGAGACTCCCGATAATGTTCCAGACGGCCAGACACCACATTCGGTATCACTGTGCGCTTATGACGAGCTTGTCGATGTTTGCAAAGCAGGCGACCGTGTGGAAGTAACTGGAATTTTCCGATGCAATCCGGTTCGTGTCAACCCTCGCCAGCGGACAACGAAGACGCTCTTTAAAACATACGTGGATGTACTTCACATCCAGAAGGTCGACAAGAAGAAACTTGGCATCGATGCCTCTACAGTTGAGCAAGAACTTTCTGAGCAAGCAGCAGGGGATCCAGAGCAGGTGCGAAAGATCACTGCTGAGGAGCTGCAGAAAATCAAGGAGACATCTCAGCGTCCTGACGTCTACGAACTTTTGGCCAGATCTTTGGCTCCAAGTCTCTACGAAATGGACGATGTGAAAAAGGGAATCTTGCTCCAACTTTTTGGAGGCACCAATAAAACTTTCCAAAAGGGGGGAAACCCACGCTATCGTGGTGACATAAATGTTCTTCTTTGTGGTGATCCTTCCACTGCGAAATCCCAGCTCCTTCGATATGTCCACAAGATTGCTCCTCGTGGTGTGTACACCAGTGGGAAAGGTTCTTCTGCTGTCGGTCTGACGGCATATGTCACTCGTGATCCTGAAACTCGCCAGCTCGTTCTTGAATCCGGTGCGTTGGTGCTCTCAGACGGAGGCGTCTGCTGCATTGACGAGTTTGACAAGATGAATGAGTCCACTCGGTCTGTACTTCACGAAGTTATGGAACAGCAGACTGTATCGATTGCCAAGGCAGGAATCATCACTACTCTAAATGCCCGAACAAGTCTTCTAGCCTCTGCCAATCCTATCGGAAGCAGGTACAACCCAAACTTGTCGGTTCCGCAGAACATTGATCTCCCTCCGACGTTACTTTCAAGATTCGACTTGGTTTATCTTGTTCTTGACCGTGTTGACGAACAAGAAGATCGCCGATTGGCCAAACATTTGGTTGGCATGTATTTGGAAGACGCTCCTGAGAATGCCAGTCGGGAGGAAATTCTGGTAAGTGACTAAATGACTGGTGATATAGACATGCTGCAGGTTTGCTGACACTGCTACAGCCCATCGAATTTCTCACTTCTTACATCACCTACGCCAAAACCAGTATTCATCCTGTACTGACTCAACCAGCAGCAACCGCACTCATCGATGCCTACGTTGCTATGCGAAAGCTAGGAGATGATATCCGAGCTACGGACCGCCGTATCACAGCTACAACGCGTCAATTGGAGTCCATGATCCGTCTATCAGAGGCTCATGCTCGCATGCGACTCTCCACTGAAGTGACGGCGGACGACGTCGATGAAGCAGTGCGGTTGATCCGATCTGCGCTCAAACAGGCGGCTACCGACTCTCGCACCGGCCTCATTGACATGGGCTTGCTTACTGAGGGTACCAGCGCCAGCGAACGTCGTCGTCGTGAAGATTTGAAGAAGGCTCTGCTGAGTGTAGTGGACGAGATGGGCTCCAAGGGTGTTCCGCCTCGCTGGAACGATGTCTCTCGGAGACTTGCCGAGGAGAGCACAGTGGACATAGAAAGTAGTGAGTTTCATAACGCCGTTCGGTCGCTCGAAACAGAGGGTCTCGTCAACATTGTTGGCGAGGGCATCCGACGAACTATCCGCCGCGTTGGAGGTGCGCTCATGTAAAGCATTTCCCTTTGTCACGATGCATTCCGTTTTATGTTAGGGTATTAGTCAATGAGGAGAATGGCGCAGGGTCTTTTCGAATGTCACGAATCTTATGCGAGATCACTATTATCACTTACTACCACCACTTGTCGCTTTAGTCGTTCTAGTTAATATTATCCATAAGATTAGTCCTGTGTCACGAGCTTCACCTGATATACTCCACCTGATATACTCCTCTTGCTGGCCAATGGTAGAGAGGGAATGTCTATTTCCGTTTTCAGCGTGTCATTGATTCACGTCATTGGACAGGCCGAGCATCGACTATCAATTAGTTACTCTAGTGCATATCGGGCCCACTATCATGCACGATCCAGCCAATAGAAGAGCTCTCCAAGATCCTAGTTCCCTGCGTATTGCCCCTCCTGCCTAGCCGTTTTGAAGAATCAGCTACCACGGCGAAAACGTGAGGCGTTCGCCGTCTCTGGTTGGCCCAGTGAGGACCCCTAAATGAAGCTGTGGCGAATCACAGCAGAGGTGTGCATACTCCATGGCAACACGATGCATCGCCATCCACTGCCTTTACAACTTGAGGGAGAGTCTTGAGAACAGCATTCTGTGAAGCTGTGCACTGTTCGCTCGGCGTCATTGGCCGTAGTTCGCACCATGCGCAGGCCGTGGCAGGACAGAGGCGCATTCAGAGCCTGGACTTGGAGACCACAGCCCTGGCCAGACTACGGAGATTTCCGTATGGCACAGTCGGAGCTGTAAGAGAGCTAGGACCGACCAGTGGCGACGGTGCGGGGTCGCAATCTTCATTTATGTAAGTCGTAATAATGTAGGAATTTAGAAGACGGATTGCCGTGTTCGGTATGTCGAACATGTCACTTGCCGAGACCGAACCGGCCGTAGAATTGCCTACAACACCTGCTCAAGGATCAGGCAGTCGATACACAAAAATTGGTGAGCAATCGCCGAGGCAGCAGTAGTTACTGAGTAGAAACTTTAGAAGTGAAACCACCGCGTGAAAAAACTGTAAAAAACCCAGATGCGGCGTCATCGCCCCGTTGGGCCAGTACTAAATTAACCTAGGATCCAGCCGGTGGATCCACCGTTAGAGCGACCTAGCTACGGCGACCTATTCCCTCTCCTCACGCCCAACATTCTACTCCTCTTCGTTTCTGCTCGACTTCGTGGATTCATTACTGTCGACGTCGACCATGGCTAGTGCTCTTCATCGGTAAATATTGCAATTGTGCTGTGCTCCTTGATTGGTTCTCCTCCAGAGCTTATCACAGGCGGTATCCCGCGCCAATCTCGGAGTTTTCGGCCGTTTCTCTTGTGATGCAACTCGTAATCAGATAACCATCCTGTTGCCTTCAACATTACTGCTTCCGCTCCAGAGACCACGGGAGCAGCTCATACGTCGGGATATCTTTGTCGGCCAATTAACCGCGCCAATTGCCCACAATGAAGTAAGTTTGTAGCCCTGATAAGCTCCTCCCATGCTTCTGCACAGCAACAACAAGCTCACCTTGTGACCCAGGTTCGGCGAGCAGCTCCGCTCGTCCATGATAAAGGACTACATGTGGCACTATATCGCCTATGAAGATCTCAAGAACGCCCTCAAGACCGAATATGTGACAGAACCTACTCCAGCCAACCCAAAGCCAGCTCGACGACCCTGGACAGAAGACGACGAGAAGCGCTTCGTGTCGTTGTTAGAGAGCGAGCTGGACAAGGTGTTTACCTTTCAAAGAATCAAAAGTGAAGAAATCATCCGCCACATCAAGGCCAGCGAGCGCGAGGTCAATGATGTTGTCGGCCGTCTAGAGATTTCCCCTAGTGATACCCGTCGTGCTGCTGACCGGCCAACCGACGAGGATTTCCTGCTTCTGGAAGCCGACCTGAGCGATATTATCGCCGACGTTCATGACCTGGCCAAATTCACGCAATTGAACTATACTGGCTTTCAGAAAATCATCAAGAAACATGACGTAAGTGTGCCGTCGAATGGAGTATTTCAGCTGTGGCTGATGTGTGTGATAGAAACAAACAAGGTGGTACCTCAAACCAGTTTTTGCAGCTCGACTCAACGCCAAGCCTTTTTTCAAAGATAATTACGATGCTTTTGTAGTGAAGTTGTCGCGACTCTATGACCTCGTCAGAACGAAGGGCAATCCAATCCAAGGTGACTCGGCTGCTGGCGGTGGTCAGCAGAACTTCGTCCGCCAGACCACAAAGTACTGGGTACATCCAGACAACATTACAGAACTCAAATTGATTGTTCTCAAGGTGTGTAACTTTACCCTTATTCGTACCATAACTAACATGATTAAAGCATCTTCCTGTACTTGTTTTCAACCCCAGCAAAGAATTTGAAGAAAACGATTCGGCCATCTCCTCGATCTATTACGACAACCCGGAGACATGGGAGCTCTACCAGGGTCGTCTCAAGAAGACTGAAGGTGCAGAAGCCATCCGGCTGAGATGGTATGGAGGAATGGAAAATGATCAGATTTTCGTCGAGCGAAAGACACATCGTGAAGACTGGACAGGTGAAAAGTCAGTCAAGGCGCGTTTCCCAATGAAAGAGAAACACGTGAATGCATACCTCTCTGGCCAAATGAGCGTCAAAGCTGTCTTTGAAAAGATGCGAAAGGAGGGCAAAAAGTCAGAGCAACAGATTGCCGACTGGGAAGCACTGGCCAAGGAAATCCAGTATCGAGTCATCGACCGAGGACTGAAGCCTGTATGCCGCACGTTCTACCACCGAACCGCCTTCCAGCTTCCTGGAGATGCCCGCGTTCGTATTTCCCTGGATACTGAACTCAGCATGATCCGCGAAGACAACTTGGACGGCACGAAACGAGCTGGTGACAACTGGCGCCGCATGGATATCGGCATTGACTGGCCGTTCCCCCAACTCCCTCCCGGCGACATCGACCGTTTTCCCTACGCCGTTCTAGAAGTGAAGCTGCAAACCCAGGCTGGACAGGAACCACCACAATGGATCCGAGACCTCACCGCCAGCCACCTCGTCGAGGCCGTCCCCAAATTCAGCAAATTCATCCACGGCTGCGCTACTCTGTTCCCCGACAAGATCCACCTTCTACCATATTGGTTTCCACAAATGGATGTTGATATCCGCAAACCAGTCACGCACAAATACGGCATTGAACGACCTATCCAAAGCACGAGTATATCCACGACAGACGACCCAGACGACGATGATGATGAATCGGACGAGGAAAACGGGCCTGTGGCTCGTACGAACGGGATCCGCACTGACCACGGCATCAACAACGGGGCTGTCCTCAACTACGGACGCAACGGACTGCTGCAGGAGGCCCCTGGTAACGAACTAGACGTCGAGGAGCGCGTCGGCGCAGACTTCCTTGCCGGCGACGAAGATTACCCCATTTACGACTCCGACGACGAGGACGATTACTCGGACATCCTTGAAGAGGCACGCCGTATCGGAGGCATCTATTACTACCGGACCCTCCTCAGCCAGTACGTCCGCCGCACCGGACACATCACCTGGGAGGTCCTCAAGACCCTAGTCCCCAGACCCATCGCCACGCAAATGCCCGACGAGGGAACCCAAGGCATCACGATTCTCGGAACAGGGAGACGCACAGTAAAACGATTCATTGCCCCCAAAGGCAAACGTAAGCACCACCCCCCCCGCCTCCCTTTCTTCCCACATTGTCACCAAACCAACTAACTGAATATAGGCATCCACGTCCCCATCCGCGTCGAGCCCAAAGTCTACTTCGCGGCCGAACGCACGTTCCTCTCCTGGCTCGAATTCTCCATTCTAATCGGATCAATCGCCGCAACACTGTTAAACTTCAGCAGCGACTACGTCACGTTCGTTTCAGCGTGGATCTTCACCATCATCGCGGCGCTATCTCTACTCTACAGTGCGGTGCTGTACATGTGGCGGGTTGACAAGATCCGGAAACGGCGGGATGTCAAGCGTGTGTATCACGAGAAATTCGGCCCGACGTTTTTGTGTCTGGGACTGTTGGGGGCGGTGTTGGCGAATTTTATTCTCAGGGCGAAACATGGTGGGTTGACGGTGCCGGAAGGACAGGTTGGAGGGGAGATGGGGAATAGCTCTTTGCATCATGGATTAGAGCTATAATTTCGGATACTCTTTTTGGGGGAGAGTGGTTGTGTTGTACATGCATGTGTGGAGGGATTCGATTGTATTTTTGTATATCATTGAACCGAATCACTAGCGGGGTTGGTTTTTATCGTATAAATTAATTATTGACGAGGATGTATCTATGGCTAGGAAAAAATATATATATATATTCATATTCTAGATTGGGAATAACTATTACTGTCGGTATCAATATGTGCAGCCCAGTACTAATTCAAGAAATCAATTGTTCAATGTTTCGTTTCAGTATCGACATTATTTACAGGCTTGATATATTTGAAGTACAGTATTTATCAATGGCTGATTACTTCGAGGAACTGGTACAAAAAAGAAAGCTAAGGTATGGTATTTATGAATTTTTCACTCCATTCCACTACATGTAGCAATAAGGGAAGACTCACACGATTCGAGATAAGGAAATAGAACATATATATAAAACAAGAACTACAGATAAAGTGTATCATTCTATCGGACATTCCTTTTCTGTGGGTTTATCGTTTCCTGATACTCACGTCGAGGGTTCCAAGGAACCATGCAGAAACAAACACAGCGAAGATACCGGCTGTGATGGTGATGGGCTTGCGGAGACCGGCCGCGAAGGGGTAATTGTATGTGATCTGTGGGTGATGTGTCAGTATCTTGAATAATGAAACAAAGAAGAAAAAGAAAGAAGAGCATACCACTAGTTGTGAATCTCTCGCCTCGTCAGACAGGTTGTCAACCGTCAGGGTCAATGCAGCTCGTCCAAGGGTATCCAGGAAGGTGCGGTGAGTCGTTATGTTTGCTGTAAACTGGGACGCATCGGGGAGACCATTGGGGGATTTCCCGTCAAGCAACTCGTAACGAACATCCGTTGCTCCCTCGGGCAAGATGACTCGAACGACTACCTTGTCATATTGAATGCCCTCGGGGTTCTTGGGTCCCTCGATGAACGGAACCTTGAGTGCGTAAGAATCAGAGCCGACCTTGCGGAGGAAAGAGGATAATGCGTTGTTCCAACCGATACGGAAGCTATACTTCCATCCTCCAAAAACGGGATAACGGGGCTTAAGTTCTAAATGAGCTTCGCGACCTGGGTTGCCGGGGCGATAGCGGCTAGTTGATACGTTTCCAACATCGTCGGTGAAGTAAGGATCGACAGAACCAGGTTTCAATGGGTATTTGAGCTCTTTCAATGCAGGCGATGGCAGATGCGTGTTGAATGACAAACGAGCCCAGTCGACACGGTCAAAGTTCTTGGAGAGGTTGGCACCGTCGTTCCGCAACCAGTAGCGCTCCTCAACGGCGAGATTTCCACCCCAGTGAGAGACTTCGAGATCTCTCTCGAGAAGAGAGCTAGCTAGGACAGGCTTGGTGGCCTCGAAGCGGAAAGTGAGGGGGTAGGATGCTTCTGGACCGACCTTGTTGTATGGTCCATATGTGTAGCTGCTTCCTTGTTTCTCAGGGTCGCTTCCAGACTTCAGTTTCGACGTCGTGGTGTATTCTGGGACGTTCGAGCTTGGGAATTTGACCTTGGTTTTCTGGGTTTCGGTTTGGTAGGCAGAGGGGGCGTAGGCATTGGCGTTGTAAACCAAGAACTGCTGATCGACTTGTTCAATGGCCTTAGGAAGAGGGCTCAACGACCCAAGGATGTAGTATGACGTTCCAAGGGTGATTTGTGCAGATGGTGCGAGCGGTTCAGGGAAGGTGACTTTATAGTAGTGCAGGGCGCTGTTCACGCATTGTGGATTAGCGACAGTAGTTGATAACCTGAAAAACCAAACACTCACCTGTCACCCTCAACTCGGGAAGCTGTCACCGGGAAGCTTCCCTTCTCAGGCGACTGCTTGTTCCGCACCTCAAAGCCTCCAATGCTGTCGAACACAGCGGAGGGAAACGATATGTAGTACTCGCTCTGTGATTTCTTGTCCGTATTTTCCACCACCACGTTGACCGATTCACGGGCATAGCCCTTCTCAAGGTTTATGTTTCGGACCAGATTCGTATGCTTGAATACTTGTGGCGGCTTGAAATTGCTAGGCAGAGTAGCTGCGATGCTGGGCTCGGCGGCGCATAGTATGCCGCAGGTGGACAACACCCCAGCGGCGATGCTGATGAACCTCATTGTGACCGCAATGGGTCTTTGTCGGACCGCGTGACGATGCCAATTGTTTCTCTTATTATTTCCGTGGACGCCAGCGACGCAGAAAAAAAGATGGTGGCAGAGAGAAAGTGGATTGACATTGACCGTGGGTGCAGCAGCGTTCTCTTAGGAAGGAGCTTAGGTGGCCCTCCAGCTGCGTTGTACGGCAGCCGCTTCGGCCACTTGGCGCACTCCGCGCCGTGACTCAACACTATCATCAATTGATATACTTCCTGCTGATGTCCATATAACAATTGCTGTTGTATTGTACTATGCCTGGTTGATTGCGTATATACTGTCGTACTCCAGTATGGCAATCTTCAAGACCGCAGCCCGGCTCTGCGCCAGGTCAACAATACATTCTTCTCCTGTCGCCGGGAGACGCATCTCTGGAAAGGCTTCAGACTTTGCCAACAGCAAGTTTTTCCGGGTATCTGAAGAGGTGACGGATGCGATAGCCACAGGGAAACCAGTAGTAGCTCTGGAAACTACCATATATACACATGGTAAGCTTGCTCTGCCACATCCTGCTTGACCACCCATTCATTATCAATTAGGTTTCCCTTACCCCGATAATGTGGCGCTTGCATCGCTTCTGGAGTCTGTGGTTCGTTCTAATGGTGGTGTCCCTGCCACAATTGCCGTCTTCAATGGCGTGGCTCGCGTAGGATTAAACTCGGATGAGATTATCGAGATAGCTGCTACCGCCCAGTCCAAGACTGCGTTGAAGGTCTCGCGGCGTGATCTTGGCTATCTATGTGGATTGGTATGTATATTGAAGGCATGGTAATTACAGTGCTAAACTGAATAGGGACTTTCGGGCAAGCCTATTCATGGCGGCACCACTATTGCAGGAACCATGATACTTGCCCATCTGGCTGGTATCAAAGTCTTTGGCACTGGTGGCCTGGGTATGTGCATTCCAAACACTACGATGCAAACTAATATCAATAGGTGGCGTGCACCGTGGAGGAGAAGTTTCAATGGACATATCAGGTAATAAATGCACTGGCTATCAAGACTTTGTTGCTAAGGTACATTAGCCGATTTAACGGAACTCGGACGAACTCCGGTCGCTGTAATCAGCTCTGGATGCAAAAGCTTCCTAGACCTTCCCCGGACACTTGAATACCTTGAGACTGAAGGGGTTCTTGTAGGCACCTTTGCTGATGGCCGGAAGGGCAACGTTGATTTTCCAGCTTTCTGGACACGAGACAGTGGTGTGCGCAGCCCGAAGGTGATAGAAAATGAATATGATGCAGCAGCAATTATATGTAAGATTACAGACGTATCCGTATCTGAATCATAAAAATGCAACGCTAACTCAGTTTAGATGCTCAAAACCAGCTGGGAATATCATCTGGAATTCATTTCGCGAACCCTGTGCCGGAAGAATATTCTGTTCCAAAGGCTGAAATGGACAAAGTCATTGATGAGGCAGTAAGATTGGCAGAGGTCCAAGGGTTCCAAGGGAGCGATAATACGCCTTTCGTCCTTGCTAAGATCAAAGAATTAAGTGGTGGCTCGAGCATTTCTGCAAATCGAGCACTTATCGAGTCGAACGTGACTCGCGCAACGAAGGTAGCGGTGGAATTAGCAAAGCTGGAACAGACAGGTGGAGGGCTAGTCGATCGGTGAGCTACGTCAGCTCTTACCGCAGGAGGCTCTGCTGATGGTTCTTGTATCTACTCGCACAGGTTAAAGCCGGTAGACTCTACTCCAACATACACAGAGATTAAAACAAATTCCACGCTCAGGAACATCAAGAAAGCAGATGTCTTAGTAGCTGGCTCTCTTGCTATCGATTTTTCATGTGATTTTGCTCCTATCGGCGATCGCAGCAAGGATTTTTCCCCTGCTCAGCATACATCCAATCCGGCTACGATTGGACAGAGCTTGGGTGGCGTCGGACACAACGTTGCTATTGCTGCTAGCTACGCGGGGAGTACGACCGTGTTTTGCAGTGTAGTCGCGGACGACTTGAGTGGCAAGGCAGCTCTTGCTGCACTGGAAAATGAGCAGTTAAGCACTGAGGGTGTTCAGGCATTATCCCCTTCACAAGGGGTAAGAACAGCTCAGTATGTTGCTGTTAACGATGCGAAAAAGGATCTATTTGTAGCGATGGCAGATATGGGCATTATGGAGCTTCCAGAGAGCAGCCTCAACTTTGATGGCTTCTGGGAGCCTCTACTTGCACGGATGCAACCCAACTGGGTTGTTCTGGATGCAAACTGGAGCTCTGATGTGCTCAACAAATGGGCTCTATCAGCCAGGAAAGTCAATTCTCGTGTTGCTTTTGAGCCTGTATCAACTGCCAAAGCGACAAGGCTATTCAAGAACAAAGCAGGCGAAACTCCTGTGATTGGGCCTTTTGACACGATTCCCTCTCACAAAATCGACCTCGCCGCACCAAACGGCCTGGAATTGACGTCGATGTATTCGGCGGCACGTGCAAGTGGGTTGTTTGACAGCCCTGAATGGTGGAAGATCATCAATAGTCTCAACCTGTCCAGTGTTGGGTCTCGTGATTTGCTCGTTTCTGTCACATCAGCGGCATTAGTAGATGCTGGCATCCCTCAACAAAGCATCCAACTGCTTCCATTCCTTCCGTGTCTTTTGACCAAGCTCGGCCATCAGGGGGTCTTGCTGACACAGCTTCTTCCGCGCGATGACCCTCGATTGACATCCCCGGACACAGCGCGATATATCATATCACGAGCAGACAGTGACGATGCATCGGTGGGCGGGGTGTATATGCGGTTGTTCCCACCAGACACGGTACTGTCTGAGCAGGAGGTTGTGAGTGTGAATGGAGCAGGCGACACGCTGCTCGGGGTGGTCATTGCAGGCCTCGCAAGACCCTACGAGAAGAACAAGTCAAAGACACTCGAGGAAATCATCCCCGTTGCGCAACAAGCTAGCCTACGAACATTGCAAAGCATGGACAGCGTCAGCCCCAGCATCAAAGACTTGGCACGGCTGCTCGAAGCCTAGACTAGTTAGCCAGCTGATCTGTATAGCATGTAATAATGTAAGAGACCAGCAGCAACTAGTAAGCAGGACTAAGCACAGTGCATCCAGCTAGGCTGGTATACAGGCTGTTAGGGTTTGCAGCCTTCCGATTCAGGCAACAAAAGGTCGACTCGGGAAAAACCGGAACGGCTAGTCTAGGCCAAAGCAATGAAACAATTAATTAGTAGTCAAGACTCCAGACCATCATAATAGCTACTGATATTATATCAAGGGACGCGGCGTCGTGCTTAAAGCCTACTGTCAACTACGCACGTATACTCGTCCCGAGGCTATGATCGAGGCCTCGGAATGACATCTGAATTTGCAGGACAGCAGCATCGAGCGTCTGGCTGTTCCATTTGAAGGCTGTTATAGCAGAGCCAACCTCGGCTGTGTCCGGAGTCTATAATTTACATGATTTCTTGGTTTGAGCAGCCATGATGTCGCTCCCTTTCCCCGCGCACACTCCAGTATTATTATCGTTGGAGGTATGGAGTGAGGACAAGTAAATTATAATAGACTTTGTTCTAGCGGCGCGCAGGCCAATGACAGCGGGCCGTTTGGCAATAAGTCCCCTCCCCCGTGCTAGTTGAGGCATTTTATAATATTTTATTACTAGTAAGTTGGAGGTCGTAACTTGCAACCGGGTCATGCGTGACAGCTTGCCTATTTCATTGATTATCGAGAATCGCGTTGCAGCCAAGCCTGCCATGCCTGCCCTGCCATGTTTGCATGCAGGAAACATTCTTGCATACATGCCTGTAGCACGGTCCGCCACATGGAAAGTCACGTCTGAAACAAGGGTCTTTAATTATAGGGATTCAATTACATGGAATATTAATGTTAATGTTAAACAGTAAATAATTAGGAATAAATATCGTACTGATGGACTTGTCAGAAACACCTGTGGGGGGCACTGGATACGTAACCTAAAGGGTGCTGTAATAGTAATACCCCCGCAGCACACCAGCCCTGCCGCGCCCCGTTTGGCCGGGCTCAGTTTGCATCGCGAATTTGCTTCTCTTCTCTCCCCGCCAGCTCTGGTTCTGTTGTGTTCTCTCTCTCGCGTTCCCTCTCGCGTTCCCTCTCACCCTCACGTCTTCGATCATTGTCAATCTCTGCTCTCCCATCTCGACTCACTGCCCAATCCGCCACCTCGGCTACGTCGTCATTGCGAATCGGCTAACCAGCCGTCGGCCCGGATCCTACGCCGAGTGTCCCATGTCCTGCGCGTTTGCAGTTCACTGAATAGCGCTTGAAGATCGAATACGCCATAACATTAATACACCTCCTCTGAACCAACTCCCCTCCACCGTGCGACATCAGTCCAGTCGCCCTTTGTCGCCCGCTCCGCTCTCTTTGGATGATCGAGACACTGGGGGCTGGGAACCCGGTGCGCTGGTACGAGAACCGCCCGTATTCCCAGCGATCATAGCGCCTCTTCTCGACCCCGACTAGGCTGTTCGAGGCTGTCTTAGAGTATATATAATTCGGACACCTGGCTGCGCGTGTAACTGTCCGTGGCAGTCGAAAGAGTATGACCGAGAACGACAAGGACGATTTGCGATCCGCCACGGATCACAGTGAGCATGAATCCGGCGACGTCGAGACGAACGGATCGAGCGGCGTGAAGATGGCGAATGGCGCTCAGAACGGGAAAAAGTCGGCTTCTAATTCAAAAGACCCCTCGAGACCGAGGAGGAAGAAAGCGCGCAGAGCGTGTTTCGCCTGCCAGCGCGCTCATTTAACTTGCGGTATGCCAACTCTTGACTTTTAGAAATATATACTCGGCGTCTTTATCTACAGTTCAACTTACGGGCCATCTTACTAATCTTTGTAGGTGATGAACGGCCTTGCCAGCGCTGCATAAAGCGCGGTTTGCAAGATGCATGTCATGATGGAGTGCGGAAAAAGGCAAAGTACTTGCACGATGCTCCAGATGGCGCTCTCATGCCGGGTGCCGAGAAAGAGTTTTACAATCAAGGGAATGCTGTTCGCAAAAACAGCGTCGGTAACACGCTCGCGCAAGAAGCGCAGCAGACCGTCGATAATACTAACAATAACGGCAACAATTTTTATACGCCGTCCACGGCTTCTTACAATACCTTTGAGACAAATAAGACGCAAAATCCAATGCTTACAGACACTCCAATAAATGCAGGCGCTTTCACTGCTACTCCGGTGTCGCCTACATTTAGCATGTCGACTGCGTCGGCAATGCCCTCCATCTCTCAACAGGGGAATGAAATCCCACCAGGGACAGCAGCAGGTCAGAATTCGTTTGGGGCTTTCTTTGACCCCAGTGACCCGGCTCTGTTCAACTTCGATCTCGCCAGTATGAATTTCGGCAACCGATATGGCGCTTTAGAATTCAGCATGCTAGGACACATGGCTACCGGTGCTGGAGACACGCCACCAAGCGATAATGGAGCTCAGCGGGGTTCAATAAGCCAGCGCAGTGGCTCTCAGCAATTTGGCACGCCTGCACCGGGGACATTCACTGATAGCCCAAACCAGCAGACCTTTATGTTCGGAGACTCGATTCTGAATGAGTGGCCGAACGGACAAAACCCGAATCGGGTGAACGTTGGTAGCCTCTACGGACAGGCTGGAATGCACCTGTTACAGCAAGACGTACCTCACGCGTTTGCCATTGGATCGGGCAATTTCGCCAGTTCGCCGTCAACGACGAGCCCGCATATGACAAACACCACTACTACCTATGACGACTCACCAATGAAGACAAAACCCGTCATATCCACGCCGCACTTGCGGCATCAAAGTCTGCACAATACTAAGAGACGCCAGCGTGAGCCGTCTGCGATATACGAAAGCGTCAAGGAGCCGTATTCCTATACCAGCGGATTCCATAAATTGACTGCGTTTATCCAAAGACGGTTCTCGCCGCAAAAGACACTACGGATTGCAAAAGCATTGGCGTCAATCCGCCCATCGTTCATTGCTACCACGAAAACCCTCAATCGGGACGATCTCATTTTCATGGAGAAATGCTTCCAACGGACGCTCTGGGAATACGAAGATTTCATCAATGCCTGCGGAACCCCGACTATCGTCTGTCGGCGAACCGGCGAAGTAGCTGCTGTGGGCAAGGAGTTTAGTATTCTGACCGGGTGGAAGAAGGAAGTGTTGCTCGGCAAAGAAGCGAATCTGAACGTCAACACCGGTAGCAGCGGCAGTCAATCAGAGACGCCGTCGCGCGGCAGCTACACGCCTCGGTTCCCTGGCCAGGACGCTGCGCCGTCGCCGGTGTTTTTGGCTGAGCTGCTAGACGATGACAGCGTCATTGCTTTCTACGAGGATTTTGCGAGACTGGCATTTGGCGATTCCAGAGGTAGTGTTATGAATACCTGCAAACTGCTTAAATACAAGACCAAAGAAGACACAGAGCTCCTCAAATTAGATGACGGAAGATGGAACACGCATGTTGCCAAGGGCGGCATCGTCGGCGAGGCCGGGATGAACCGACTAGGGTTTAAAGATGGTCGGGTTGAATGCAGTTATTGCTGGACTGTGAAACGAGATGTTTTCGATATACCGATGCTGATTGTTATGAATGTGAGGACACACCCTCTTACTATAAACCACACAATGACAAACTAACAAGGACATAGTTTCTGCCGCACATTTGATATTGCGTTTTCCGTTCATTTTGTTTTATTTATGTCCTTCTGGACCCAAAAAGTGCTATATTATGATACCATGGTTGTGTCGTTGGGACAGGCTTTTTTACGGCGTACAGGGCGGGTCTGTTTGTAGATCTGAGACGATCTTGTTTATGCTTATTTTGTTTTTACATGTAAATTCTTGTGATCTCGTGTACATATATCGGTTACATAGTCCAGACCTAGTTAATACTGACTGCGTACGAGAATTCACCTAATATCCGCATTCAGGAAAGCTGTAATCAGATTACACCGATACCCCCCCCCAAACTTACGCACTTGCGTATGTGTAAGCCGAACCTCCACCATCCATGTGCCCCGCTAGCAGCGGCGTATCATTTGTAATTTAACATTTGATAGAACTCTACTGTATCCCGCCACCTACCACCTCTTTTTCGCTCAACATACGTCTAACATACGAGGGAAAGAATAGACTAAGCCCAGCTCGACAATTGAATACCTTTTCTCAAAGAAAATGCGCCCAGACGGCCCTCGAGATCCCGTCGCGGGGCCTGACAGTGGTCCCGAGGCGCCGTATCCAATTCGATTGTCGGGCCCGGTTATCAAGGGATTTGGAAGGGGGAGTAAAGAGGTGTGTATTAGTCTGTCTTTTGATTATTGTTATTCATATTCATTCATATCTGGTGTTGTGGGCGAGGCTGGGTGACACATCTACCCCAACCAAATACCTCACCCACACAAAGCATCCATACATCTAAATGTTAGTATAGAATAGAATTAAACTGACAGGTCTCAGCTCGGCATCCCCACGGCCAACATCCCACCCGATGGGCTCTCGGCCTATCCATCTCTGCCTACAGGCGTCTACTACGGCGTCATCACTCTCGACCCAGCACGCTTCATCTACAATACAGATGAATCCACGGGACAGGCGATACCCTCCGACGCCGCAGCAGCATCCTCTGTTCCAGCGACCATTCTCCCTGCGGTGCTAAGTATAGGCTACAACCCGTTTTACAAAAACGAGGTTAAATCCATCGTAGGGCTCCTCCTCCTCCTCCTCCTCCTCCTCCTCCTCCTCACTCACTCACTCAATCATACACACACACATATATATATAAGATGTGTGCTAAAACTGATTGTAGGAAATCCACATCATGCCTCCCCTCTCTTCCCCCAGTCCGACCTCCCTCCCCGTCAACTCCTCTGACCCCCTTAGCCCATCTACCCAGTTCTACAAACTCCCGGACTTCTACTCCACCACGCTCAAGCTACTCATCCTCGGCTATATTCGGCCGGAATACGACTATGTCTCGCTAGAGGCGCTAGTGGAGGATATCAGGATTGATTGTGAGGTTGCGCGTCAGAGCTTACGGAGACCGGCGTATGCGCGGTATTTGGCGGATGAGAAAGAAGAGAAAAAGGAGGATGGGGAGGATAGGGTGGAGGAGGAGAGGGCGTGGTTGAGAATCTTTTGAGTAGCCGCTACCTACATAGATAAATGTTATTTACGCGGGCCGCATTGTAAGGGGTTAGAGTTAGAGTAGATTTTGTGTTAAAAAAGAAATTGATGAAGTTTTGTATTGAATATACATTAGTTAGGCTATTCTATTTTTGTGCTGTGTTTATATTCTATCATGTCGCTAGGTGTTAATGCAGTCAATCGATCTATATACTAATCATTTCCCCATCTATGTGCTGAGTCTTGGCGGTTATGTGAAGGATGTCGCGAATTTACTCTTCTTGCGGATATCCTTGCCGTATCGGAAGAAGATATACCTGACAGGAGTGTCAGCACACACATTACTTATCTGAATGAATGGGAAATGATAGAAACTCACGGAAATGGAAGCATTAGCAGTGTCAGAAATGCCAGCAAGGATGACGCCCAGTGTATGCCAAGCCGGTCGTACACTTTATACCAATTAGCTCAACGGTCGTGATATCCCGCAACGTGGTCGCCACGTGGGCGGGGTCTTTTTTTTTTTTTCTTATTTCAAAGACCCGTCAGAATCAGGATCGAAGTGTAGACTTACTTTGTGTTCCAAACAGTGGGAATACACCGCCGAAAGTAGACCGCGCAAAGCTGTTGGCTGCGAGTGCACTTGCCGCAAATTCTGGGTAGGCGTCGACGAGGAAAGTAAATATACCGGAGTAGACGAGTACGACTCTGACCGTAACATTAGCACCTATCGTAAAATGAATATGGCTGGCTCAATGCGTACCCTGCCCCGAAAAAGGCCGTTCCGACGACACATACAATCCAGTGTACATGCGGGTACGTGGTCCATGCGAACATGAAGATGCCAACCGTCACAAAAGGCGCGCCGCCGATTGCTATTCTGTCAGTTTGGACTTCTCAGCATTCTAGATAGGAAAACTTGAGCATACCTGGTGGAAGACGCCATTCGGGCATGGCTTCTCCTTTTTCACCCACCGCCTTCATGTGATTACTTTCCAAACGGCGGTAATTTCTGCGCCATAAAGGATCGGATAAGATTGCACAGATCATTCCAACCAGAATTCCCAGAAACGAAGCTCCCGTTTGCCACTGGTTGAAGTCATACACTGTGGAGAAGACCATGTTGAATGCGCCGAAGAAAAGGTACAGAATACCCAGCAATATCGCGGAGTATACGCATAGACACGCACACATTGGCTCCAGAGTAAGAAGAAGCATTGGTCGGTAGCATGAGCGGAGAACGGTTTCGACGACGGATTTTTTCATCTTTTCTAAAGGCGCGATGTATCTGTTGTCACCGGTTTCTTGACGCAGCCTAGCTGCTTTGCGTTTCAAGAGTCTGAATGGTATTAGCATAAAATCGAATTCGTTTGAATTGGGGTTACTTACACAGGGTGATAGGTCTCGGGGACGAAGAAGAATAAGATTGCCAATTGGACGCCTGCCCATATAAGCAAGGTATAAAATGTCCATCGCCTGGGAACCAGCGAATTAGTTTATTGATATCAATATCAATCATGAGAAGGGCCGCTCACCAAGTTGTATACTGATTTATAAAACCACCCACCCTACACGAGTCAGCAAATGTAAGATCCCAGAAAGGAAGCTTCTTACAAAGGACCAATTTCAGGCCCTAAAAACGGACTTGCTGTGTAGAGCATCATTGGCGCCGCCAGTTCATGACGATTGAACATATCACCCACTGTCCCTCCGGCAACACTCAAAAATGCCGCTCCCGAAAGACCGCTGAAGAAACGCACAACAAGCATGGTCTGGATGTTTTGCGCCACGGCACATGGAATCATCCAGATGACGAAGAAGGTAAACGAAACGAGGTATATCCTCCGACGACCGTAGAATTCTGACAGCGGAGCCAGGAACAGTGGCCCAATTCCGAGACCAAAAATATACGTCGTCAACCCGACCGTCGCGACCTCATTCGAGCACCCGAATTCTTTGGTAATTTGCTTATAGGTCATCACATACATGGACGAAGTACAGGTGCTGTAATCAATCAGTTTCCCTGCTAGCTCTATATCTAGTTGCATCCAACTTACACGCAAATCGAGCCGAGAGCGATAAAAACAGTAATAAGCCATCTCCTACCCCAAGACATGTTCCTTGGGTTTTCCGGGTCGTTCTCGTCCCATTTCACCACGATTTCGGTATCAGAGGCCGCAACTCCGTTCCCTGGCTTTTCGGTTTGTTCATTCTCGTTCTCATCATCATCCCCCCCTGCAACACTATAACCGTCGTTCAGTGACCACGACCTCTCGATAATCGTAGATCCACGCGAGGCTGTCTTAGAGATCGGCCGTGGTCTTTCTTGATCGTGGTCTTCGGTAGTAATAGGCGCGTAAGTGGGAGCATTTTCTGTAGAATGCGAGGCACTATCTATGCTTTCCATCTTCTCTATCTCGACGCTTTCTCGATCGGCGCTCACCATTGTTGTGAATAGAAAGTTAAACAAAGACTGGTGGCCACGACTTGTTCTCTCAGCGTCGAATAGCGGATTACAGACGCATCTGCGTTCCCGGTGGTATAAATATTTTGAACATTCGTCGATCAGGCAGCCCGTTGCTTTATAAACTTTAGCATGTGGATCTAGCCCAAGCCCGGATCTCGACTTTCCGCCCAGAGGAGTTAGGAGTTAGGAGCTGGCGTGCTTGTGGTGTGCCATTAGTGGCGGCCCTAGGTAAAGGATGCGGAGTTTCCGGACGACTGCCAAATTGGCCGAAAAAATCATAGTGGTTAGCCGTGATTGTTCGGCAATTGGACGATCAGCAGCTTGACATGATGCCGCACGGCAAACCGGCAACAAAGCCGAGCAATACCTCCGACTAAATCCTGCCAACCCGTCAATCGGTCAATCTGTTCTGTCAATTGGTCAATCTATCTCTTTTCTTCTTTTTTTCACTGTTTGGTACGTCATGAGAATTGATCGCAGTTTACTCTTTGCAGCCATTATCGGATATACGGTCTTGTACCATGGAAAAGCATGCCCATGGTTTTGAGCCTCCACAATCACATGCATTTGTGACCAGTAACAATTATTCGTCTGAGTAGAGTTGCGCCCTCTCACATGGTACGCCAATCCGAGTAAAGTAATGATTATTAGTAATATTCGTGCGTCATGCCACGCGAGCCTCCCACGACCCGCGCGGACCGTGCGGTCATGCTCTAGTATAAGGAAAGCGCAGGTTTGTTTTCTATATCGTCATGATATGTTACAAATCATGCACCACAAATGATACCACCACGCTATCCCATGCCAGACGCCCAAGACAATAATTGCAAACACAAAATACTTCCTCCAGCTGTCTATTACACGTAATACCCCGATGGCATTGGCCGCTGTGGAAGATATGAAGGAACAGGTGGATAAGGGGGTAGAGGCGGCGGTGCAAAAGGAGGATATGCTTGCGGAGGGGGGGTTGGAGGAGGCATTCGAGGTGCATTGCCCCAGTTGCGAACCTGCATGTCGAGTTCTATTTCCTTGATGCTCTCCATCCTCCTTTGTTTACGTTGCGAGCGTCTCTCGATGATTCTATGTGTGAATAGGAAGACATGCAGGATCCTATGGCTACATTAGCGCCGTCCCGCGCACCCACGTACATGGCACGAACATGGCAGCCGAACTCACCAAACAGGAATGGCAAGGAGGATGCCAGCTAACTCCAAAAACCCAATGTGGTACAGCTCGGGGAAACACTCTCTGCTCAGCGCATTTGTGCCCGAATTACACATCACCATATTGGAACTGACTGTCGCCCTGTGCCAGAGCCGGAATGTGCCTCCCCAAATCGAAAATATCAAGCCCGGAACAAGTGCGGCCCAGACAAGGAAGTCGACGACTAATTCAATAGCTAGATGGACTGCTCGCCCTGTGTAAAACACATATACGGCTGTGCCTATGTTGTAAAGGAAAGCGAGAGTCAACTATACCAATAAAGTCAGCCAATACATTCTACATCTTCTAGAAAGAGTGTTTCATACTGGGCCAATTGGAATCCCATCCTGCCAGTCCCCTCGGACTGAACCAGACGTGTGCACAAACGTTCGGTTCCAGTGATCAATCGCCGCAGCAAAGAATGCCATTGAGACAACAGCGAGAATGCCACCGCCTGAACGGATGACTGTCTTTTTGAACAGCCATGGAGAGTTGCCAGCTTCGGATATTTTCTGTTGGACACGTGCCAATTGCGACCGAAACTGTGACATTTTGTATTCTTCGTCTACGGCTCGAGTAGCGATGTTATTAGAATAGGTTGTCAACGGCCAGCGCTTCAAATAATAAAATATGGTAAGATATCAGCCTCGCCAGGAGGAAATATAATTTAACGATGAATGAAATGCCAACCAAGCCTTGAAAAACACCGACCAGTCTCTACCATAGCTTCATGGTAGGTAGGTAGTTGAAGAGAAATCGAGAAGACAAGAAATCACGAGCGAAGAGACGATAAAAGCACTAAATAAGGACTACAAGACATCAGCCATGCGGGACCATTACGCGGAAGTACGAAATCAGGCCAAAATAGAATGAATAATGTCGACAATCCGTTTGAGAAGGTCAGGTCTACTGCAGATATAGTCTCAACCGCCTGTACGCCTCAATGCATAAGAATGTATCCCGCGGTAGTTATTGTCCCAGACATTCGTAGTACAATGGGCTTTTGGAATTGATTGGCCATGGATGCGAGTTTGATATTATCCGAAGCCACTCGTGAGACCAGTGATGGTGATGGTGGGGTGTAACTTGAGACAACAAGGCCGCAGCAGGTGAAGCTGAAACACCTCCGGCATCAAGGGGGGGTCAGGTCGGCTCAACAATGATTAATAATAATGCAGATATCGCTATTGTTGTCAAGTCTCTACGACATTGCATAACTTGATGAGAACTATATCTGATATCCATTATAGAATTCTATTAGACTAACATACAATCCCTACTCAACAGTCCATCAGCGCGATGAATAATCCAAGTCAGATACACAATACAGCATTGTTCCCAATCCTCCTAGCAAAAGTCAAAGAGAATAAAGGCAAAACACAATAAACCAATTATAAGCAAAGAAAACCAAGGTGTCAGCTCACCCAAAAAACAAGCAGAACACCAATCGCCTGAATAAGCCAACTCATTTGTGCACCCCAAAGACCCGCCTAGGTATTTTGAAGCAATTTCAAAGCAGAAAAGAGTAAATCTGTACAAGAAGCAACCCATCAAAGAGTGCCCCAGAAGGCACCTGTAGACGAAAACCCAAAAGAAACGCCTCGTGAAATCCTTAAATCAACCGTCACTTTTATCAAAGAAGACTCTCTTAGGCGGCCACTGCGATTTCCTGCTGAGCTGCAACTTCCCCGCCAGCTTCTGTTTCGGCCCATGAGCCCCAAAGCCCACGCTTCGCCTTGATGCGGAGAGGACCTCCAATAGTGTTGCTACCTTGCTCAACTTTGACGGCATCTTTCGTTGCTAGCACAAGAGTCTCGAAGAACATCTTGGTGGCATCGGCTTTCGATGTTTGTTTCTCAGGGCAAAGATTCTGGAAGAGGACAGCTTTCTTCTGAGGGGTGGCTGGTTCAGCGGCACCTGCACCACCAAAACGTTCTCGTAGTAGATGAACAGCATGCTGAGTGCCCAATGAGACAGGACCGCTGTCAGTCGGATGAATAATAGTGTCATCCAAATCGTCAAGTAACAAGCCTCCATCCTCACTACCGGCGCGGTTTTCATCACCAGGGAATTCAATCGGTGCTTGGTCTAGACCAATGCCTTCATCTAAATTGTCCATGTCTCCGTCTTCACCAATATCCAGATCTGGAACGTTCGCAGCATCGATGTCGACATCTGACACGCCACTATCGCGCTTCCTCTTGAGATCACCTGCTTTACGCACAGTGTCAAAAGACAACATGTCCCGAAGCTCAGGAGCCCACCCGCGACCACGACCTTCGCCAAGAATGGTTGACACAAAGCCACCATTTTTCTGCATTTGCATCAGGGTCAGGAGCACTGGATCACGAGGGAGGAAGGATACGGGCTTGAGAATATCCGAGTGCTCCTCTTGATGTTGTTTGATCGAGGATGAGCTCAGCTGAGTGTCGACATCATGACCAATGATTCTACGTCGCTTAGCACGCTGCAATTCTTGTGCAGCGCCATCATCATTGGCCTCTTCTTGAGCACCGGCATCGGCTTGGGGTGTAGCAAATCGGTCAGCCGATTCGCGTGGGGATCGTGCTTCAGCTTCGGAATCAGCCCGTGGGATAGCCAGATCGCCATCTTCTAGATCCATAGGGTCATCGGCGTTGAGGAATCGGTTGATGTCATCATTGGTCTCATTTCCAAAGTCGTTATCTATTAATGGGAGATCATCGTCTCCAAGATTGAGATCGAGCTCGACATCGTTAAGTTTCCCGTCTTCACTTATCAAGTCTTCCTCAAAAGGACGAGGGGCGGGTGCATCTCGACCAACTTCGATACTGAAGTCGGGTGGAAGAGGGGTGCCGTCCTCACCCAGATCCAAATCAACCAAGGTGTGATCTTCCAGTCGAGCAGGTTCCTGGGATGCCAGACGTTGAGTGTCTGGCAACAGCTGGCTTCCGAAGTCAAGACCACCAAGGTGTTTGCTGTCCGTTTCCAGGTTCAAAGATGGCAGTAGAAGGGAAGACGTGTCAAGATTCATGAACAAATCTGATTCTGTGAGTACATCAGGCAAAGTAATACCGCCAGGCGGCAAAGCCACATTGCTAGGCAAATCATTGTTATTAGTTAGGCGAAAGGCCTGTACGTGTCTGATTAGTAACCGCATTCAAAACAAGGGCAACACAAAGTGTCCTACCATTTTAATCTTCATCAATGCTTCATTGCAATCATCCAACAAATAACGTGCTTTACGGCTGTAAATTCTGACAACACCGAGCAAAAGCTGGCCACTCAAACGAAGAGCCATGGGGGCTTGACCCTGGTCAACAATAGCGCTGACACTGCTCTCAATATTAGACTGCAAAATATGTGATTTAGACAATTTGCGCTCCAGGTTGGCGGAGAGCCAGACACGGGCCAGTGGCCCGGTCTTCGAAAGAAGCGTTTCCGAGTAGAACATCGCGTATCAATGGCGACTCAAAAGCCGTATATATTCAAATAATCAATGCTAGAACACGTCCTCGCGGAATTAGGGACGCTGTCGGTGGTGATTCACGAAAAGGGCACCCGTAGGTCCCAGTGTAGATGACGCGCCTATCCAACACAGGCGGGTCGCGCAACGCCCAAACGTGATAGAGGCAATCCAAAAAGCCTTTGTAGTGAGGAAACACACGCAGTGTCTCGGGCAAGGGCGATTCAGCACGAGTATAGAGCGACGGGGGTGGTGACGGGGGTGGGAGGAGAGAGCAAACAAGTAGAGAAGTTGCGAGGGGCGGGTCGCGTTGGGTGGAAACGGGAAACTAGAAAGAGGCAAGTGCGCCCAGCCTCCTCTTGTGGTGTTTGGGGGAACCGTTTGGCATGGGAATGCGTGGCTGGGGTCACGTGCTGACCCCGTCGTTTCCCATGGTTGCAGCCTGAGTCAGCAATTATGGTGAAGCCTTGCGGCCTGGCCCCTAAGGCAGTCTTCAATCTATCCCGCACAGCCACCTGCCGCATGTCCCATTGTGGCTAGTACGGCGTCCTGGTATGGTGTCTTTTTTTGGGATGTCATCACGCGTTCCAGACCATTCAACAGTGTCAATTCAGTATAACCGTGCATGGGAATACCTTTCCTTTTTCAGTTGATGTTTATTTTTCTTAGTGATTTTATTGAAGTCCTTTGTTTGTTCTTTTCTGTGAATCGCACACTTTATTGCAAGGCTCGGGCTGTCGATTGATGCCAGCTAGCCTCTCCTGATTGCCTGTCACTATCTACGAAGATTGCGAGCTCGTGATGACCCTGGTTCTACCGTGAATACAGCTTCGGGTTTAGTCCCAAAGTGCAAGAGAAATTAAATGTAAATGTCGCCGTCCTCGGATTCGGCGCTGCCTCTGCACGATGTGCATACTCCGAGGTCTCAGTCACAGTCACCGTACCCTGCACAACAGGCGTTAAGGGCTCAAGTGTCTTCTGTGAGTGCTCGCTTTTGATGCCTTGCTGCTGTATTGCTAATATTCAAATAGTCAGTCACTTCCACGTATGCGCTTCTCGAGCCTCAACAAGTCGCAGATCGTCTCAACACATCCTCTACACATGGCCTCCCCCCGGCCGAGGCTGAAGTCCGGTTACATCAAGATGGACCTAATGAATTACCGTACGAAGAGCCTGAGCCCTTGTGGCTTAGGTTCCTGAAGCAGTTCAAGGAGACTTTGATTCTGCTCCTGCTAGCTTCCGCCGGGATATCTTTCTTTATGGGAAATTTCGACGACGCTGTCAGCATCACACTTGCAGTGACTATTGTGGTGACAGTCGGTTTCGTTCAGGAATATCGCTCGGAGAAATCTTTAGAGGCATTAAATCGGCTCGTTCCTCACTATGCGCATCTTATCCGAGATGTTGCCCCTGGAAGCAACGCGGAATACGGGGCTTCAGGAACATCAATCGACGAGATAGATCAACAGAAAGTACATGCGGAGACCCCAGCTGTTATATCGAATGCTGTTAAGGCTTCCAGTACGGTCCCGGCCGCACATTTAGTTCCTGGTGATTTGGTTTTGTTTACCACGGGTGATCGCATACCCGCTGATATTCGAATTACGTCGGCTGCTGACCTGTCGATTGACGAATCCAACTTGACCGGAGAAAACGAACCAGTTGTCAAGTTTTCCGAGGTATTAAAGGGTCATGCAGATAGTTACAAGGAACAGTCGTCAGAATCTCCATTCTACGGATCCCAAGCTGCAGAAGGAGCCAGAACCAACGTGCGCCTCAGTGAGCAACACAACATTGCCTTCATGGGAACATTGGTGCGTTCAGGATATGGCCAAGGCATCGTGATTGCCACTGGTGCGAATACCGAATTTGGACGTATTTCTACATCACTTCAAGAGATCGAAAGCCCGAGAACCCCGCTGCAGTTATCAATGGATCGCCTAGGACAGGAACTCAGCTATGTCTCCTTCGGCGTGATTGGCTTGATCGTTGTTATTGGTCTCATTCAGGGACGACAGCTTCTTGAAATGTTTACTATTGGTGTGTCTCTTGCCGTTGCAGCCATACCCGAGGGTCTCCCGATTATTGTTACCGTTACGCTTGCATTGGGAGTTTTGCGCATGGCTAAGAGAGGCGCGATCATGAGGAGACTACCGAGTGTCGAGACATTGGGCTCCGTAAATGTCATTTGTAGCGACAAGACCGGAACGTTGACTATGAGCCATATGACGGTCACAAAATTGTGGCACCATGACTGCCCTAAGCCTTTTGAAGTGAAAGATAACAATGTACCTGCAATGCCAATGCCAGGACCAGCGGTGCAAAAGATCCTCCGAATTGGAAACATAGCCAATAACGCACGGCTTTCACGTGCCCATGCCAATTCTCCAGCAAGCGCGTCCTCTGCTGCCGTGCTCTCATCAACCCTCGATAGCTCATCTGATCATATCAAGAGTAGATGGGTTGGTCAACCAACAGATGTTGCTGTCCTTGACCTCCTCGATGCCTTTGGTGAAGATGATATCCGCGATCAACTCAGTGCTCGTGTGGCTGAGACACCATTTAGCTCTGAAAAGAAATGGATGGGGGTAATTATCGGAGGTTCTGCTTCAGGTGATACTAATATGGCGTACGTAAAGGGCGCTTTGGAGCAGGTTCTCGCTCGATGCGATACATACTTGACCAAAGACGGTCGAGAAGTAATTCTAGACGAACTACGACGGAAAGAAGCTCGAGAAGCAGCTGAACAAATGGCCTCGGAAGGCCTGCGTGTTATAGCATTTGCCAGTGGACCCATCAGAGAACCAGGAAGACATACTCGAAGACTGGGCAGTCGGAGCGCAACACCATCGCCCAAAATCGGCGAAGCAAACGATGACGAGCAATTCAACGGCCTTGTTTTTGCAGGACTAGTCGGCATGAACGATCCTCCTCGCAAGGATGTTCGCAAGTCCATACAGAGACTCCTTACTGGCCGTGTCAGAGTGCTCATGATCACAGGCGACGCCGAAACCACCGCGATAGCTATCGCCCGACAACTAGGTATAATCGTGAACGACACCCCAGATGGACGCTCCGTCTTACGCGGAGACCAAATCGACCATATGACCACTGGCGAACTATCCGAGGCAATCGCCCGAACAACAATCTTCGCCCGCACGAGCCCCGATCACAAACACAAAATCGTACGAGCCCTCCAAGCCCGGGGAGACGTCGTAGCCATGACTGGCGACGGGGTCAACGATGCGCCAGCTCTTAAACGAGCCGATATTGGCATCGCCATGGGCCGACTTGGCACCGACGTAGCCAAAGAAGCTGCCGACATGATCCTCACTGACGACAACTTCTCCACCATCCTCCAGGCAATCGAGCAAGGAAAGGGCATATTCTACAACATCCAAAACTTCATCACCTTCCAACTCAGCACCAGCGTCGCCGCGCTCGGCTTGGTCCTACTCAGCACAATCATGGGCCTCCACAACCCGCTCAACGCCATGCAAATCCTCTGGATCAACATTATCATGGACGGACCACCCGCCCAATCCCTCGGCGTCGAACCCGTCGACCCAGCCGTCATGAACAGCCCTCCACGGCCCAAACACGCACGCGTGCTCACAAAGCCCCTCATCCAACGCGTCCTCACCCAAGCCGGCGTGATCATGCTCGGCACCCTGATCATCTACATTCACGAGATGAGCGACGTTGACGACACGCTCAACCCCGGCCACATGTCGCGCGTCGTCACCAATCACGACACAACCATGACCTTCACCTGCTTCGTGCTCTTCGACATGTTCAACGCGCTGACGTGCCGCAGCGAATCCAAGTCCATCCTACGCGGCGAGATCAGCGTCCTCGGAAATAAAATGTTCAACTACGCCGTCTTCGGCTCGCTGATCGGCCAGCTCGGTGTCATATACCTGCCCGTCCTGCAATCAATCTTTCAAACCGAAGCCCTCAAGTTCACGGATCTGGTTAAGTTGATTGTGCTGGCTAGCTCGGTGTTTTGGGTCGATGAGGGGAGGAAGTATTATAAGATGTTGAAGCGGCGGCAGAGTCCAGGGCCGATGTACAGCCATAATGTGTGATTATACATTATACATGATAATTTGTTCTGTAATCGTTTGTTTTATTCTTAGTTTGCTTGTACTTCATGTATATGTATGCGTCATTATGATAGACGAGGCGAATGGAAATATTATACAATTTTATATCAATCAGTATTCATTTCACCTGCATCCACTACCTACATGTACACTAACCACCATGCGTCTCATGATTATACGACGGGTAAATGATCTAAGCTGAATATAGGGTTATTGAGTAATACAGTAATTGAAAATCGCTTTGGTCTATCATAATGTATGTACCTAAAGACACAGGTGTAGATGAATAGAATAAAATGAAAAATCCGTGATGATGTATGTATCCACAAAGATCACTTTTTTGACCGAAAGGAGACGAAATTGCGCCTGGTTTATATCACAGCGGTAGAGGTACAGGAAGGAGCATTCAGCCAGGCTGATAGTAAGGTGGAGAAAAGTAGCTATGGGTGGATGCGAGGCGTGAGGTGGGGTATTTATCAAAACAGTGAAGAAAGAAAATTGGTAGATCAGACCGCAACTCCTGGGAGTAACTCCATACAATGAATCAAGAAAGAGCGCCAATCAAGACAAGGCACCACCAAGAAAAGGCGCGGTTATGCAGTTTTCTCGTCCTCGACCGCGGGAGGACCATGAGGATCAGGATGGTCTTGCTGGGCCGCCTGTCGCGGTGCCGGTGGGATGCCATTGCTGGATTCTTCGTGGGGCTCGGTAATCTCCTCGCTGCGCTTGTCTTCGGGTGTGGGAGCCTCAAGCATTGTGCTGTGAGCCTCAATGCCGTACCGGTCGGCATGAGGGATTTCATGGCCGTCTTCAAGCTGACATGTCTTTTGCGGGGTCCAGGCGAGATAGTCTCTTCGGACTTCGACGTAGTCGTAGGCGAATTCTCCTAACTGGTCGTCATCCATACCAAGCAGCTCTGCTTCCTCGGAAGCCCTCAGCTTGAGGCCAGGGGTGAGGTTGATTAGGTAGGCGATGATTGCCGATACCACGAATGAATATGCACAAGTGGCAACCACGTATGCGAGTTGAATGTAGAGCTGGCGGTAGTTGTGGGTAATCCAACCGCCCTGCAATCCCCCAGTCGTAGGGTTCGTCATGCCAACGTTGACGCCGTCTAAGCCAATGATGGCATCTGTAGCAAACAGGGCATTGGCAAGGAGACCCAAAATTCCAGCAACGCCGTGTTCAGCGAACACATCCATCGAGTCATCGATCTTAATCCAGTATTTGACTGCAAGACAGTTAGTTGGTGTAATTGCATGTGATTTGAAAATCGCATACCTTTGGTAGCATAATTGCAAACAATGCCAGTGACAATTCCCAAAACAACGCTTCCCCAGGGGGTGATAAAACCAGAAGCGGGTGTGGCTGCAACCAGTCCACAGATAGTGCCGGAACACCATCCGACCATTGACCACTTCCTGGCCAGGCGCCAATCAAGGAGAACCCAAGCAATTGCACCAAAACTAGCAGCAATGTTGGAGTTCCAGCAGGCCATGGTGGCGCGGAGATTCGCTCCAAAGGCGGAACCGCCGTTGAAGCCTAGCCAGCCAAACCAGAGAAACACCGTTCCTAGCAAGATGAGCGAGACGTTGTGTGGGCGGAAATTGAGCATCATTCTTTCCTGGCGACGACCGAGAACCCAAGAGTAGGCGAGTGCAGACAGACCGGAGCCGATCTCAACGGGACCACCGCCTGCGTAATCCATCACACCGTATTTAAATCCCCAGCCATTAGAATTCCATGCCCAGCAGGCAAGAGGACAGTAGACAATTGTAGCCCAGATGAAAGTGAAAACCATGGCGGGTAGAAGGCGGCCTCGTTCGGCAACTGCACCCATGACGATTGCGGCAGTGACAGCACAGAATTGCATCTTGAAAAAAAAAGTCAGCTATTGCTCAAGCGTCCACAGAGGTTTGGCTTATTGGCTTGCCTCATAAAAAGCAAACAGCAGAGACGGTATAAGTGGCGAAGCCGGACTCGGTGCAGCCAGTGTATTCATCAAACCAAAGTTATGCAAGTTGCCAATGAAGCCATTGGTGGCGGTAGGAGAGAAAGCTAACGAGTAGCCCCAGAAATACCACTGGAAGGTGATGACGGACATGGACCCCATGCAAGCCCAGATCATACTCAACGCCGACTTGCGGCGTGCGAGGCCAGAGTATAGAAAACCGAGGCCGGGGACCATGACCAAGACCATAGCGGACGCAACGATGATGTAGGCTTGGTCACCGGATTGGTACCATTTGTTCAAATTTTCAGTGTCTGAAGAGTCAGCCATGGCCCGCCAGAAAACAGAAGAAAAGGAACATACATGAATCACCGCCTATATCTGCATTGGTTGCCAGACTGAAATCCGCAGGAGCACCGGTCCAGTTGTAGGAAGCATATTCGGGCGCATATGGCGCCTGGCCGGACGACGACGACATGATGTATGTATGCTACACGGAACAAATGAACAAGACAGCCGTCAATGTCTGCTCCAGGGAGCTGGAGAGGACGATTGAGGGAGAGCCGGAGCCAGGGTAATATTAAATAATTGCCGAGTGGAATGCGAGGGCCAGGCAGCGTATATATTTTTCTGGAAGGCAAGACTCGGGGGTGGGCCGGCGCAATACGGGACGGCGGAAGCTGTCGTGGGGATGATTTGCGATTTGTGTTTGCAATTGTAATGGAGATAGGCTAAGCTAAGCCCAGTGCCAAGCGCGACAAACTAATATTAAAAGGGCGAGCGGCGAATCGTGGTCGGAATGCGCGTTTCGATCGAGTGGAGCGGAATATTAAGCACTGGCTAGTTAGACGACAATCAATACTCGATTGTTGCTCAGCCCTCACGCGACCGCGGAGAAAGAGCGCGACAAAGGAATTGGTGGGAAAAGCAATGTTATCGCGTCGTATTAAGGGGAGCTGAGATTGGGGGTCTTGCAGAGTCCTGTCCTGGATCGTGAGTGGTTGGGCTGAGATTTTGTCAGGCAATCGACATGGACGATTGATATGCGTCCAGGAGCACCTCGCACAGTGCCAATTCACGATTGATCAATAATGATCGATGATAGTGATAACCGATATGGCCAGAGGAGAATGAGAACAGCGTCATGGTCACGGCAGGCGAGCCAGACTGCAGCGTGGCAAGCACCTGCAGCAACAGGCTGTCCAGAGTCTGATGCTCGGAGCGCAATCGGACGGCGGGTCGATCTGCTGCGGGCCAATCACAATCCTGCTCCGCCTTGCTTTTCTTCCATCCTGCACGCTGTCATGATTCCAGTCAACGCAGTGACAGTCCCAATGCCAATGCCAGCGCCAGTGCCAGCAGCGCAGCCGGCATTGGTCGGCAGGTCAGCCCAGAGCAGGCCAGAGCTGACCAGAGCCGCGGCCGTGGGATTGCCCCATGGCAAGGCTGATCACAAGCATAGTCGTCGCATTATCGAAGTATCAGAGCCATCGACTCTAAGAATTAATCGATAGGGACGATTTCCAGCCGCCGCGCTTAGCGGGCACAGCGTGCTTTAGTACTTCAACGTCTCTTGCATCCTGCAGCCAGTATTAACTATCAAGTCTGATAAGGACCAGTCTATGCTGTGGCAGTATCAGTGCTATCTACTGTACTACTGTAGCACTATCTCTCTCACCAGTGGCTGTTCGGTGCTACTACACTTACAAGGATGCCGTGTATATTACTATTGCGCTCTATACTACCACAAATATTACTATAGGTGTATTATCGCCAGTCCGAGGAGAGAGATAAACGGTCATAGAATTCGCAACGCCGTCCCCAGGGCCTCGCCACGATTGGCCAGAGATAAAGCCCCTGCTCGCGCCTCCACTCAGGCGGGTCCCGGCGCAGGCTTAGCACGCCCGCTCCTTTCCGCATGCAGCCTAGCGAATCGAGCTTACCATGTTTCGCGCTGCACCCGCTATTGGCTGCAGATAAGGCTCAATGCCGTGCTGCTGATTGGCTGCAGAGAGAAAGATTATTCACGATTTTCTTTCGCTGGAATAATGATATAATATACGGAGTACTATAAATAATTAAACATAAGTATACATAATGATATTGGATACTATTGATAATAAGCTCCCCACGCAAGGAGTTTGTTTGTGCGCGATCACGTGCATTGTCCGTCATCCTCGTTGCCCGATGGCTCGGGTGTTTGAGGGACGCCAGGACGACATCGGCACGCGATAATAATGATATCCAGACGCTTGTCGTTCTACGTTGATGTTACTGGTCCGTATTCAATTGTATACAATCAGGCGATGATCGAGGCCAATGTAGCATGTAATAGGTGGAATGGAATGTAAGATATGTGCTGATATTTGTACTACGACGATCTCGACAACAGGAAAAAATGAGGACTCATGTAGCGATGGGTTACAGGCATACACTCAGCCACCATGGTAGCAGTCACACAGGTCGTCAACCAACTTTAAAATAACTACCATGTTAAGCCCACTTCGAAATATATACTTTATACATATAAGAGTACCATTCAGCGGTGACGGTGACACCAACCACCAATTGATATTCGATAGGTAGATAAGATATGCTATGCAATGTGTGATGGGATGATATGCATACAGGGTAGACGCAAAGACTACCGCACCATCGCGCGCGCCCGCGACCGCTCGTCAACCTGCAGCTTGTCGACCACCTCTGCCGCCTCTCCCCCCCGGACCACATCCTCCCATTCGTCGTCATCCATCGCCATCACCATAGTCATCTGCACGCAGCGTGCAAAAGCGTCCCGGTGACGATACCGGATCGGCGCACCCTGCGTGCCGCCAACCTCGATAACCGCGTTGACAATCCCTGCAATGTCTCGCTCCAGTCGCGTGGCACCAAGTGGGTTGACGCGCCCATGATAAGACCACAGTCTCTTCTCCAATAGCCGCGCCAGGTATGCAACCGTCGCTGTTAGTAGGCGGTTAAACGCCGCTGGGGTGAGGATCCGCGAGATTGGCAGTAGTAGCTCCGCCCAGGCCGTTGCAAAGCGAGGTCGCACTAGTTCTGCGCGGCTGGCTTCGTCGTCTTCGTCGTCTTCATGATCGTAGCTCTGATACGTGCTCGTTGGGTCGTCTGCGCTTTGCGGTTGATATTCAATGTCCCGGAACGAGTCGGCGAGAATCGGTCGTAGACGGTTTTTCACCACGTTGTTGAATACAACTTGAATTCCGTCCGAAAGCAAGTCATTGGCCTTGGACTCGAAACTGGTTGAGAGGGATTGGAGGGCCTGGGTAACGACAGCAGCATCGTCGGAGAGAGGAAATAATGACTCCAATCCCCCAGGCGCTTCATCCGCCCCATTACCACTGGTGGAGTCACCGGGGTTCTGCTTGCTGTCAACATGGCCAGACACAATCCTTCGAATGTAGTCGACAGCAACGTCCAGGTTGTTGATTAGCACAAGAAAGGCGATCACAGTCTGCTCCGGCGGTTGCGCTCCCTGTACAGGCGGCTTGGGGTAATATTCGTCTCGCATTTTCCGTTGCACCATACCAATAAAATCGGCTCCCAATATACGTGATAATGTTGGGACAACATTAATCACAACTTGCTTTTGCGAGGTTGCAATAGACTGCCGGAGGACTTTGTTGACAATATACATAATGTCGTCGACGGCAGACGTGATATGAGGAGGCTCAGAACTGAGCGCTTTGTGTGGATTTAATGTCAGCCCGGAAGGCTGCTCGTCTAGTTGGAACGCTTTCTCCACTGAGCGACGGAAGAAAAAGGTCGTCATCGCATTGAATGGTGTGATCAAGCGCTCTCGAATCTTCTTAGCCAGAGACGATCCCACTAAGAAGTCGGGAAGCGTCAGGGAAATATCGGTATTTTCGTCCTCTTCAGGGGGCTGCTTAAATTAGCATAAACACAGCATTCACTAAGTAGAGTAAACTCACCCTGCAATTGTCAGCCAGAAATCGGCTGTAAAGAGACCATCTGCCAAGCATAACAGCAAGTTCGTTGAGAATACTATCCACTTCTTTCATATCGACTCCTTCGTCCTCACTCGCTGCAGCCTGACCGCCGTCTCTGTTGGCTGGGGATCCCGTACGAGGTGTTCCCGTCGACCGTTGTGCTGGTAGAAAGCTCTGTACTAAGAATGTAAAAGCATACGACTTGATATCCGTCAACTTGCGGTCGACGTTCTTCTCATCCCCCCATGTGTCAATAATGATCCCTCCCTGCACATCAGCCTCAACCTGTAATCTCTCAATAACCCGCGTCATTTTCCCCAAACCATAGTGCCGTTCGACCAGTCCTCCGTGGCCATCCACAATCTGAGCAATATGCTCAAACAGCTTTGTAAGCGCGTTGGCATAGAAATATCCATCCTTCCCTTGTGCACTCCCAGCCCCGGTACTGAGATTCGACCTTGCCCTCGACGCCACTCCTTGACACACATATCGTCCATACACATCCAGCCCGACCTCTGACCTGCCAATAAGGGGGAACAATTTAAAGAACCGCGTAATCTTCGCACCATTGTTTTCTTTGACTGCCTTGTCGAACTCCCGCAAGAACAGCCCACATAGAGACTCGGAGGCATTCTTCAACGTCACATTCGGCGGGTCAGGTACCTCAGCCGTTGGGACAATCCGCGCAGCAAATGCGCCATTGACCACCTCGGGTGGGATCTTGGACGCGCGGTTCAGATAGCTGGCGGCAGTCTCCCAGTCCTGCGGGCCCTCCATGGACCCGGTCACGCCTAGCACGCATGCTTTTAGCTCAGAGACTTGTTCCACCACCTCCAATGTAGCTTTGACTCGAACCTGCTCCAGGTCTAGGCGCCGGACAGCACTCGAGAGACGACCGGCAGTCGCTGCAGCTCCAGAGAGCATGCCATTGCTGATATTTCGCGTGGTGCTCGCTTGGGAGCCGAGGTGCGCGCGCAGGAAATCGAGGCGTCCGAGTTCTCGTGAAAAGTCCTTCTGCGAGGCGACTAGGGCATCGAGGCGGGCGGTCACGGCGGCTTCCTGGTCGTGCAAGTGTAGGAGCGTTGCTTTGATTTCTGAGACCGAGCTGGCATTGAAAATATCCGGTGACGACGACGAGGGTTGCACTACTGCATGGCCATTGGAATCGGCGATTCCGTTGGTTTTGGACATGTCGGTCACGCAGGCGAACGAATGTTTGCGGGGACGAAATGTTGACAGGTTAGCACTAATCAGAAGGTGATCGGTGTCAGGTACTGCCGCAAGGCCCGCCGTGATTGGTCACACGAAACGTCGTAATTGCTGGTGAGTCTTAACTTTGCATAATACATATATATACAGATATAAATATAGATATAGATATAAGTATAAATATAGATACAGATACAGATACAGATACAGATACATGTATCACGGAATGTGGCTGCCTCATCAGTCAATGCGGATTGAGGCTCTTCTAAAACTTTTATTGCAAGACCAAGATCAGGCAGAGATGTATTAAACTATATAACACCTGGCCTGATCATCCATTCTCTGGTTTATCAATATTATTATAAAGGCCACTTCAACAAAAGCTCGTAATAGAGGACTAGCAATTTCTTTGAATATTATTGCGCTTTACTGCATCGGGATTGGCTTGTTCGCCGTTATCGAAGCGCAGCACCACTTATCGTCATCGCAAAGTCATCTTGAAGAAAAACATTTCTTGCACCAGCTGGACGCGTGTAGCAGACACGTCTCTATACATATCTGTCGCCAAAGTCTGAATATCTCGCGACCGCAATACCAACATAGGCCGCTATCATAAACCGCGACGCTCGCATCCCAAAGCTGGACGTCGGCGGGGCAAAATGGGCAACGAAGCTTCTACACTGATAGATGAGAGCACACCTCCCTCGACGTTGAAGCGGCGCGACTTGGAGTCTGTGGCGAACCACATTCTGAAGAAAAATGTCAGGAGGATAGTGGTGCTGGTAAGAAGACAAAACTCTACGCCCCTCGCATCAAATTGCTGAGACTACAGTGATAGACTGGGGCGGGGATTAGTACATCTGCTGGAATACCCGATTTCAGATCGCCAGATACGGGCATCTACTCAAACCTGGCGCATCTAGACCTACCCGATCCCGAAGCCGTGTTCAGTATTAATTTCTTTCGAGAAAACCCAGTACCGTTCTATACCCTTGCCAAAGAGCTCTATCCAGGCAAGTATCGACCGACCATTGCTCACTCGTTTATCACGCTACTACATAAAAAAGGCCTCCTTTTGAAACTGTTCACACAGAATATCGACTGCTTGGAACGGGCGGCGGGTGTCCCGGGGGATATGATTGTTGAGGCTCACGGAAGCTTCGCTTCTCAGCGCTGCATCGACTGCAAGACCGAATATCCGGATGATCTCATCAGAGAGGCCGTGGAAAAGGGCAATGTTCCACACTGCCTAGTGCCTCAATGCAATGGGCTTGTCAAGCCTGATATCGTCTTTTTCGGCGAAGCGCTTCCTGAGGCATTCTTCCACAACCGCGAACTCCCCGCAACCGCTGACTTGTGCATCGTCATGGGTACCAGTCTGACGGTCCAGCCATTTGCAAGTCTACCAAGCTTTTGTCGCGATGAGACACCTCGTTTGCTGATCAACATGGAGCGGGTGGGAGGTCTTGGATCCCGTGCTGATGATGTGCTACTTCTCGGTGACTGTGATGCCGGCGTACGCAAACTAGCACAGGCTCTTGGGTGGTCAGACGAACTAGAAGCTCTTTGGGAGGAAACCAATCCAGATAAGGGGGCAAGAGAGCGAGAAACAGAGCCAGAGAAGACACGAGATGAGCTACTCCATGACGAGGTTGAACGTCTGACTGCAGATGTTGACCGGGCTCTGCATATATCGAATAGCCACCAGGACCGCGTTCACAAGCAATTGGCCGTGCAAAAGGCAGGGGACGATAGTAAGACACAGGCTGAGTCAGAGGAGACATCGGGTGAGAAAAAAGAAGGGAATGAGATCCTCTCCAGTTACAGAAGCGGTGGAGACAATGGACTAGGCCATGTCTTTCCGCATCTGGATAAGAAACCGGCTCTGTGATACATGGACAGTCATCCATGCATATACGAACGATATTGGCATAGTTTGATGATAATGATGTTTATGATGCTGTATAGATGTGTGCTACTAGACAGTGAAGTCAGGAACTTGCTTATAGGAGAGGCTGTGAGCAATAGACAACCCAATCATAGACAAGTAAACCGGTGTAAATATGACTGGTCGCCGCAGGGGTTCTGCAATTCTTCGTGATGGCGTTTCGAAAACACTAGCGGTGAGGCGTGGGGATGCGCGGGGGAACCGTGGCTGGAGTCGGCGAAGAGACTATTGGTTATGGAGGAGCTGCTGCTGGTCATGGGATGTCAGCCAACATTCCTTTTTTTTTTTTTGTTATCCTATCTTCCCAAAAATATCAAGATTGAATCTAGTCTCTGCGTTACGGTGGCATATGGAGTCCAACGTTGATCCGACGATCACGTCCCGAAGATCACCCTGACTGCAATCAAGCTACCCCAATGGCTGGCAGAGTCGATGACCGGCAGACCATTAATAACTGAATATTGGGATCGAATCAGTGAGCTCACCGAACTGGGAGAACAGCCCACTTGCGTTTTGACTAAGGTTGAATAATGATTATTATTTGGCTGACCGTTTGCTTGCTAAGTTTTGCCTCCCGCCGTGCCCCACGTTGCCTGGTGGTCTGGTCCTGCTCTCTGCCTTCTTGGACTGCCTCCCCTCCCTGTTTTCCTTCCTTCTCCTCTTCTACCAGAAACAGAGGAACTGTCTTGATTCAGTTTGTTTATTCTATTGACTACCTGCTCTGCATCTCACACCGCCATCATGGTTGGAATTGGACCCCGGCGCCGGCCGTCCCGCAAGGGTAAGTAGCTGCTTCCCCTCCATGCATATGATAACCGTCGGCCATTGATGAGACTGAAGCACCCATGGCGCGCAACAGGGTCGATGGCCGATATCCCCAAGGATCTCTTGAGCCAGATTAAAGAATTTGAAGAGCAATTCACCGTTGACCGACAAAAGCTGAAGGAGATTGTTGCTCACTTCGTCAAGGAGCTGGAGAAAGGTACTTTCACATGTTGGCTGTCTGTCTCTTGTCCATACGGTGATGCTGATTACAATCATTATAGGATTATCTGTCGAAGGGGGCAATATCGTAAGCCTTTGCGAATGTGATTGGAACTCGAATGTATATTAACTACGACGCAAGCCTATGAACGTTACTTGGGTATTCGGATTCCCCACTGGTGACGAACAGGGCACCTTCCTTGCTCTCGACATGGGCGGCACCAACCTTCGGGTCTGTGAAATCGAGTTGACCAAGGAACACGGAGAATTTGACATCACGCAATCTAAATATCGGATCCCCGAAGAATTGAAGACCGGCACCGCCGAAGAACTCTGGGAGTACATTGCCGACTGCTTGCAGCAATTCATCGAATACCACCACGAAGACGAGCAACTGTCCCACCTCCCACTGGGTTTTACCTTCTCGTATCCCGCTACTCAGGAATATATTGACCACGGCGTTCTTCAACGATGGACAAAGGGATTCGACATTGACGGCGTGGAAGGCAAGGATGTCGTTCCACCTTTCGAAGAAGTGGTGAAAAAGAGGGTATGTGAGTGAACACGGTGCTGCACGGCTGATACTGACATAGTCTAGGGTCTTCCCATCAAAATTACGGCTTTGATCAATGACACCACTGGAACGATGATTGCCTCGGCCTATACCGATCCTGAAATGAAGATTGGGTGCATTTTCGGCACCGGTGTCAATGCAGCATATATGGAGGATGCAGGATCTATTCCCAAGATTGCACACCTGAACTTACCCCCTGATACCCCTATCGCCATCAACTGTGAATACGGAGCCTTTGATAACGAGCATGTCGTGCTCCCTCTTACAAAGTACGATATCATCATTGACCGCGACTCTCCTCGACCTGGCCAGCAAGCCTTTGAAAAGATGACAGCTGGCTTGTACCTTGGTGAAATCTTTCGCCTAGCTCTATTGGATGTCCTTGATATCAAACCTGGTCTAATTTTCGAAGGTCAAGATGTGTCTAAATTGAAAAAACCTTACTCATTGGATGCGTCCTTCCTATCCGCCATTGAAGAAGACCCCTTCGAGAACTTGCAGGAGACTCAAGAGCTCTTTGAACGCGTTCTTGGTCTCAAACTTGTGAAACCTGAGCTCGAACTGTGCCGTCGACTGGCTGAACTTATTGGTACCAGAGCTGCTCGACTTTCTGCTTGCGGCGTCGCTGCAATTTGCACTAAGAAGAATATTGAACGATGCCACGTCGGTGCAGATGGTTCCGTGTTCACAAAATACCCACACTTCAAGGCTCGTGGAGCTCGTGCATTGCGTGAGATTCTTGACTGGAAAGACGATGAGAAGGACAAGGTCGTTATCATGCCCGCTGAAGACGGTTCTGGTGTCGGTGCAGCCTTGATTGCTGCATTGACGCTGAAGCGTGTCAAGGATGGCAACCTGGCTGGTATCCGGGACAAGAACTCGATGCTGACTCTTCTTTGATTTTGACACTGCCAATGGACAGTTCCACCGGGTTGAGGACTAAAACATACATCATAGATAGAATCTTGAGTAGTACAAGCCTTGGGTGTTCTATGAGATCATAACAATCACTAATGAGGTTTGCTCTTGTTTCTTATTGTATTCCACCTGTCGATAGCACTTGTTTATAAATATATTATCATATTATATAATACTCATCATTATCCTTCCTTCTTAATGTACAGTGATAAATACCCCGAATGAATGCGGTGCCAGCCGAGAAGCCGAGGCCCCAGCGGAGACTGTGGAGTACTGGCCGAGTTCCCCGCGTTCTATAAGAGCTTGGCCGAGCTATGATTTGTTATTATTATTATCACCTCAACCATACTCACCAACTAGAACAAAACACCATCACTCCTAATCAACCAAATCAACCACCTGAACCACATCAATCACATCAGCCATGACCGACAAACTCGAGAGCAAGCCCCCATCCTCCCAATACTATCTCCTCTCCTACCCAGCTCCACACGTGCTCTTAGTCACCATCAACCGCGAAAAACATCGCAATGCACTCAATTATGACGCCCATTGGGACGCCGAAGCCATATTCCGTTGGTTCGACAAGGAGCCTTCCCTCCGCGTAGCCGTTATCACTGGCAAGGGCGCCAAAGCGTTTTGTGCCGGCCAGGACTTGATTGAGCAGCGCAACAGGACTTCGGACGAGAAGCCGCGCCAGCAGGGACTTGCCCATCCACCCGGCGGATTTGCGGGACTGAGTCGAAGGCGAGGCAAGAAACCGGTTGTGGCTGCTGTAAATGGGTATGCGTTGGGTGGAGGGTTTGAGATTTGCTTAAATTGGTTTGTTTTACCTTTATTTTCTCTCGTTGAATATTACATTGATAAGGATTTTCTAGTGACATGGTTGTCGCCTCACCAACTGCAACATTCGGCCTCCCTGAAGCTCAAGTCGGTCTGTACGCTGCAGCAGGTGGCTTGGCGCGTATCACTCGCATTGCCGGGCTGCAAATAGCTTCAGAAGTAGCAATGGCAAACCGGAAACTCACAGCCGAAGAAGCACAGCGCTATCTCCTCGCCAATAAGATCAGTAAGACGCCCGAGTCTGTGGTTGACGAAGCGGTTGAGCTTGCCCGCAAGATATCGAATCTGTCACCTGACGCGATTATTGTTACTCGCCATGGTATCAGAGAAGCGTGGGAGACGCCGAGTGTTGAGGGCGCCACGATCCGCACGCAGCAGGAGTATATGGAGAAGCTTACGGAGGGGGAGAACTTTGGTATTGGTGTGCATGCGTTTGCTAATAAGACGAAGCCAAAGTGGGTGCCGTCAAAACTATGATTGATTTAGAATTTTTATTTTCAGTGTTTTTGTACATGAATATTGCATCCTCAGATGACCACTTCCAGAATTCTCAAGTGTAAGCCAATTTTAGATCATATGAGTAGTGATTACACAGCATGTCGTCAACATGGGCGAATGAATTGCAAATCCTTCTCTTGCCGAAAAAGATAATTAGGGCTCAAATATATCATCCACTTACATTCCTCCTTATCAACTTTAATTTCTCTAGTGAATCCTATGAAATATATTAAAGGTTTCAGCCTATCTTACTCTACAAGAAACTCCAAAACACTCGCCAAAACATCTTCTGGTCGTTCCTCTGGAATATAATGACCACAATCAAGCGCCTTTCCTTCCACTGTCGACGTCGACACCTTCTTCCACTCGGCAACAGCATCGAAGCATTTCTCAATAACCCCATGAGCTCCCCAAAACACTGTTAATGGACACTGTACATGCCGCCCCTCTGCGATATCCTGCTTTGCTTCTTCCAGATCAATACTCGCCGCCGCCCGGTAATCTTCACACATAGCATGCACAGTCTGCGTGTCTGTCAGATTCTTCTTATACTCCGCCAGACAGGCAGCTGTAAATGGGCCGAGACCAGCATGTCGTGCTCCCATAGAGCCTTCCAGCCATGTCGTCGGATTCGCCAAAATCAACGTCTCCGGAAACGGCGCCTCCTGGATGAGGAAGAACCAGTGGAAATACGCTTTTGCAAAGACCATATCTGTCTGCGAGTACATCGCCAGTGTTGGGCAGATATCTAAGAATATGGCTTTATGTACTCGCTCCGGGTAGTCGACGCACAAGCGATGAGCAACCCTAGCACCGCGGTCATGCGCGCAGATGTAGAATTGCGTCTTGCCATGGAGTAGTTCGTCCATAACGCGCACGGCGTCTCGCGCCATGGCCTTTTTGCCATACCTTATGTGGCCCTCGCCGCCACCGGGTTTTGAGGATTGGCCGTATCCGCGCAGGTCTATGGCGACGACGAAGTAGGTTTTGGCGAGCTCGTCGGCGACTTTGTGCCAGATGTGGTGGGTTTGAGGGAAGCCGTGTAATAGGAGAATTGCTGGGCCTGAGCCGCCGGAGACACCGTGGATGGTGACGTCTGGTTCGACGGTGATGTCGAAGCTGGTGAATCCATCAAACATCTTTCAAAATGAAGTTTTCAAGCTTTATTGTTATCCTTTCTTCGGCTTTCAGTTATATAACCTTCTTTTTCCTAATGAAATTTACATATATCGACGAATGCTCCCAATTTAGCCAGTTTCCGAGAATAAAGATACTGTAGTTAGCTAACATACTGCCACAGGCTGAACTTTCTACCGATCCGCAACATCCCACCACCCCACAACCCTGCCAACAGTGATAATGCGTGATGATTTCGGTAATTCCATTAGATTCTTTGCATGCAGAAATGTGGGTTGACTTTGAAGTGGACTCTTTTTAGGTATCATCCTCGAGAGATTCGCGAGGAGTTTCTTGTCGGCTGAAATATGACGCGATTTAACTGAACTATATATAAGCATAATACCTTAATTTCATATAGCCAATTCTACATTTGAAGACAAAACTCTCCCTCGTTAAAAGTCCTCGCAAATCAAAATAATTCAAAAAAGAAAGAAAGAAACATATAGATTGCTATCATGCCTCCAAAGAAATACAATATAGCCTCTATTCCTGCCGACGGCATCGGCATCGAAGTTGTCGCAGCTACAATCGATGTTATCGAACATCTCGTCAAAACCTTAAAGACCTTTGAAATCGAATTCACACACTTTCCCTGGGGCACAGCCTATTACAAGAAAACCGGAGAGTACCTGCCAGACGACGCCTTGGACGTGCTAAGGAAATTCGACGCGTGTCTTTTCGGCGCTGTTGGCGCTCCTGGTATAATCCTGCCTCGCCTCCCTCTATCAGAGTAGAATATTTGCGGTATACTGACACTCAATCTAGATGTCCCCGATCACATCTCCCTCTGGGGCCTTCTTCTCGCTCTTCGCGGCCCACTCCAGCTGTACGCAAATGTACGACCGGTGCGCATGTTCCCAGGAACACGACCACGTCTAGCAGATTGCAAACCCTCGGATATCGACTGGGTTCTCGTACGCGAGAACTCAGAAGGCGAATACGCCGGCCAAGGCGGCCGGAGCCACCTTCACCAACCATGGGAAACAGCCACAGAGGTAGCTATCTTCACACGCGTAGGCATCGAGCGCATCATGCGATTTGCCTTTGAGACCGCGCGGTCACGGCCACGCAAATTCCTTACTGTGGTGACCAAGAGCAACTCGATGCGGAATGGGATGGTGCTATGGGACGAGATCGCGCGCGAAGTGGCGCGCGACTTCCCCGACGTGACTTGGGATAAGATGCTGGTTGATGCCATGACTGTGCGGATGGTGTGCAAGCCCGCGTCGCTGGATACGATTGTAGGCACGAATCTGCATATGGATATCCTATCAGATCTGGCGGCGGCCCTGGCCGGTTCCATTGGTGTTGCGCCGTCGAGTAACCTGGATCCAACGCGCAGGAGCCCGTCGATTTTTGAGCCGGTACATGGGAGTGCTTTTGATATTACTGGCAAGGGGATTGCGAATCCGGTGGCGACGATCTGGTCGGCGGGGGAAATGCTGCGGTGGATTGGTGAGGCATCGGCTGCAGATGTGCTTATGGATGCTCTCGAGCAAGTTTGCAGGAATGGCGTGTTGACTCCTGATTTAGGAGGTACTGCTGATACTAAATCAGTGGCTGCCGCGGTTTCTGCGGAGATTGAGAAGATTGTTGCCTCTCAGGCGTCGTCATGATAAACTTTAGTATATTTTCGAAACCCACAGGCTGGATTAAAATAGATGTCATGTACAATCCTAACTAAGAATACAATTCTCTAAATGTTTGATATATTCAAAATTGTTAGAGTATTTGTCGTAGATGCTTACAAGTACTTTGGCTTAAATGGTCGATCATTCCTTTGCAACAAATTACGAGCCGCCTTCTTGATAGGGTTGGGGGCGTTTGTTGTCGTGTTGTATATAGCATCCGTGGGCAACACCTTCCACTGAACAGTTCCGTTACCCTCTCTGTAGGTACTCTTCGAAGGACCGACAGTCTTATATCCTGGATGAATGCGAACCTTTCCGGTAGCAACATCCAATCCATTAATCACACGTTCAAGAAGTGATAGAGATACCAGCGGCTGGTAAAAAGGTACCTCATGGCCACTCTCGTAAATCCTCACAAACGCAAAGTTTGCTGACTGTCGTACTTGCCCGTGCACAACGTCATCATCCGTAGAGATATTAGTATACCCAGCACTGGAGAAGTGGGGGACGCCCACGGCGAGAGACACAGCCTCGCCACCCAACCAATTGCAATTGTAGTCGGCATCCCCGGCATACATGATCACATTAACCCCTTGTTCCACCAGTTTGGCGACATCCTCTGTGGTGTGCGACAAACGGCCATCATCACCTGTGCTGGAGAAAGCTAAACTGACGGCATTACTGCTCTCCGAAAAGTTGACATAGGCTCCGATTGCAGCTTGCACAGAGGGCGTATTGAGGTAGTCAACATAGAAATCGTACGGAAAGGGGTCGGGAGTCAGCTCTCGGAAGTCGTATTCATCACGGCCAAGGTATTTATCATAGACTGATTCTACGTGGTTGGCGCAGAAATTGTCGGCCGTGCTGCAAATATCGTTGATACCACGAGCAGCACAATCGAGAAGCTGCGAGAGGCAGTTACCAGGGCCGTACAAGTTGTTATACAACAAGGAGCTGACTGAGTCGTTGTAGGGGAGGTAGTCATAAGTGTTTCCGGGGTAGACCTATGAATGGTAGACGATCGTTAGGCCGTGATTCTCAGAAAACTTTCATATACAGTATATAAGAGATAAGGAATACGTACCGTGAAGTTGTAGTATGCTTGGTACTGAATAATCGGATCATACCAGCCATTCCCAATCATCACACTCTCTAATTTAATTTTCTTCGCTCCGTGCTGGAGATGTTCGTTCTGTTGTTCAATATACTCGTTAAAAACAGGTCCATAATGCCCTCCGTAACTCTCGGTGGTGAAATGGAAGCCTTCTCTTGAGTAGTGTGGAAAGGCGCCCATGAAGCCTTGCAGAGTACGGTAGAAATTGGGGGCCGCATTGTCGGTTGAATTGGCTGTCAACGTGACATTGGGGTACGAGTAGGTACCACAGGAAAAGTCGGCGGCATATTCAGGGCAGGTGTTGTTAGGCAAAGAGATCACATCAGCCGTGGTAGGATCTTGGTACGCGGGGACTGGAATACTATAGGAGAAACCTGTTTGGGTGGGCTGGTCGATATATAGCATGTTGCTGACATTATTCCAGGAGTAAGGATTGTTGTAAACAGAGCCATTGATATCTATACCGCAAGGTCCATTTTCTTGAAAGAGACCGATCATCGACGAAGAGCCCGGGCCTGGTCGGACGAGAGAAAGACTCCAATTAGAATGGCCATATACAGTAAGTATACCATCTAAATGCGTTACTTACCTCCGTTAATCCACACTGTCAATGGAGCGTGTTTCGGGTCCTGGTTGCGCGCCTCGAAGAACCAGAAGAAGATATGCTGGTCCTCTGCAACATCCACATAGCCCGAGTAGCTTTTCACGGACGGGTCTGTCTCACACACGCCAGTCGGAACCTCCTTGTATCGCACGGGAATATCCATGTGCCCCTTTGTCGAGATAAGATCGTTCGGGGCGGCGACGAATTGACCCCACGTCGCCGGAAGGGCGGTGCCCAGGGAGAGAGCCAACAGCGCAGACCGCATTGTTGCTTTTCGGATCACAATGGCACGAGGGAAGCTTGAAGAAGCGATGATGGGCATTGCGGAGGCTTTTATGATTGAAATATCGGGCGGGGCGGGCCAGTCGGCGAGCTGCGAGCTACAGTCAGCCTACGACGTAGTACGTACATGGCTCCTATCGCAGGAATGCCGTTAGCGCAGGACCGGGCTGGAGGCTTGTTCGTATTTAGCTCTGGGGATGAGGATTAGGTCCAACACGGGATCCAACAGCCCGATAACCAGATCCTGCGCGGGCATGGTGGCTCGCACATAAAGCCATGGGTGGTGAACGTAACTCTTCTGCGAACACGGAGTACTGGTACGACACCAATTGATGTTTCGAGGAAAGACAAAACAAGGAGACGAGACTGCCTGAGAGAAAAGGTAGCGACGATCCCTGCCTATCAGAGCCCCACTGCGCTGTCCCGATCGGGAAGGTGGTACTGCCCGTCATTTCCGCTTTTTCGCTAGCCTGGGTTGCAGTTGGTGCCTGCATCGTCAGGCCGCACATTCTCGATTGCGCCTTCCTGTTCCTGCCTCAGGGCTTCGATGGCTTCGATGGCTTCGATGGCTCCTTCCCTCGCATCGGTCGCCGTTCACGTGATCTCCATTGTGCTCTCACTCTGTACTGTACACTCCAGACGCTCATTATTGTTTGCTCTCTTTAGAGTTCCTGTATATCTCCGAACATTAATGCGGTGACCCCTCCTGTCAATGACCAGGAAAACCCGCAGCAGTGATTCTGCAGTGGAGGCATTGCTTCAATCAGAGATTCCTTTTCACAAGATTCATGAAGCGATGTCATCTTCTACTCGCAGCATTCTGATTATTGTATGGCTATGATTCTGTTGAATGTCGTCGGCTATGCTGCGAGCGGGTCCCAATCCCCCCCCGCATTCATACCGAGGTATGTATTAATACTGCCCCAGAACAAGAAACCCACTCGATAGCGTCCCAGCAGCGCGGTATATAATAGCCTTGGGCAACGCATTGTACAAGAATGTTTCGCTTACCTAGTAGTAGTCATGCCATTGGTTCAGGATCTTACCCCGGTCATCGTCGGCGTGGGCGATATCAAAAATGCTTCCACCAAAGTCGAAGATGCCCGTGAGCCTGCAGAACTCATGCTAGATGCGATCCATCAAGCATTACACGACACTGGCTTGAATTCTGTTGAGGAGCTTCGATCGCAGATTGATAGCATCGACGTTGTTAGGACCTGGACCTGGGCTTACGGAGATCTCCCCGGCCTCCTGGCAGAGAAACTCAATGTTGGACAGCCACCAAAACATCATTCGTATACTGAAAATGGCGGAAATCAACCAGCTAAGATTATGGATGAGGCTGCACGCCGGATCTCTCGTGGAGAAAGCACCGTTGCGTTGATCACAGGTGGAGAGGCTTTGGCTTCGTGTAACATATCCAATCCATACGGGATATAAAAAACTTACTGACTGAATGTACCAGTGGCTGCATGCTCAAAAACGGGACATTATCCACCACCAGGCTGGACTGCTCCGGACGAGAATTTTGAAATATTCTCTCCATCAGAGAGACGGCACAGTTAGTATCAGCAACTTGAACTTCTTTAGTGACAAGAGGAACACGGCAATTAATATACAGATTCTAACGTCATATACAGGAAATATCTATTCAATGGGCGCGCCAATCCATATATACCCTTTATATGAAAACGGCTTCCGAGCTCATCGTGGACAGTCAGCTTCCAAGAATAACGAGGAGTCAGCACGGTTATATGCCGAATTCAGCCATGTTGCATCCGAGAATCCTATTGCATGGAACTATGGAAAAGCTTATGATGCCAAAACAATTGGGAATACTTCCAAAACGAATCGAATGATATGCTATCCTTGTATGCATTTCTCTCTGTTCCCGCACGCATTTACTCTTTTGTTTTCTTAACTATAATGACTGATATAATGACTGATGCATCGATAGATCCTCTACTCATGAATGCATTCAATATGGTCAACATGGCAGCGGCGTGCCTGTTAACTTCAGTAGACCATGCTCGAAAACTTGGCATTCCCGAAAAGAAATGGATATATGCATTGGGCGGTGCGGGAACAAAAGAAAGCGACATATGTAAGACAACACCATGCAGCCGTTATGTTACCATGCTCATAAGCTTCCTTTCAGTTTGGGAACGGCCAAATTATTTCTCAAGCCCGGCGGTTTCGCGCTCTATAGATGAGGCATTACTTGTTTCTGGCCTCAATGCAGATGCAGTCGATATCTTTGACTTTTATTCGTAAGTACTTGGCAGTGTACTATAGTACGAGTGACTAAGATAATAAACAGGTGTTTCCCCATTGTCCCTAAGTTGGCTTGCCGCCATTTAAACCTCGATCCAAGCAACCCATCCAAGCCTATCACCGTTCTAGGCGGGCTGACATCTTTCGGCGGCGCTGGAAACAACTATTCTATGCATGTATGATACATTCACTCAAAAGGAACCTTTTCACACTCCCACAAAAATGTACTAACCAACCAGGCAATTACAAATCTAGTCCGAAGGCTTCGAAATCCATCTGGCAAAGAAAAAGTAGCTCTAGTACTCGCAAACGGCGGTGTTCTATCATATCAGCATGTAGTCTGCCTATCCGCAAACCCTCGAAGCGACGGACGATTTTACCCACAAAAGAACCCTCTTCCGGAGAAGATCACCGATGTGCCAATCCCAACTATTGTAGAAGTTGCTGAAGGAGAAGCGGTTATCGAGGTGAGATATACCCATTCAATCTGGAGAATATAGTCATTAACAACACGAAATTACTGTTTAGACATACACCATAGAGTATAATCGTGATGGATCTCCAAATGAAGGATACATCATCGGTCGATTGAAAAGCAACAACTCCCGATTCATCTCCATAACAGCTGACAAGCAGAACTTGCAGCAACTAGTTACATTGGCTTCTTCCGACGAACCAATCGGAAAGACAGGTTTTGTCTATGTTGAAGATCGACCAGAAATCGACCAAAGTGAAAGGAGGAATTTGTTCACTTTTAGTAGGAAAAGGCATATTGGCAGCACAAGACTTTAACGTTTCGAAACATGTGATATCCGCTGTGTATAGAATGATTTGAAGACGTAACGCTATTTTTATATTACGTGAATATACATCATGGTTTTGTTTCTCTGCATTTAACCATAGATCTCCCACAAACGAATCTTTCCCTGCTGGTTTGCAACCGCTAGGTAGTTCGACTGGGGCGAGATAGCAACCGAAGAAATTCGCCCAAGAGGTGTATTAGACGTAGGCCAATTACGATAGACAGTACATGACGGCAAATGAACTGTATTTGTTAGCTATATCATATCCCCGGAGAAAAAGGATTACTCTAGACTTACCAATTCGCAATGCGTCTCGTTTGAACCGACTAGCCATGACCATGAACTGCCCATCCGGAGCGAAGACGAGACTCGAGATCCCAGTGACGAGCTGGTCAAGCGCGCGGACCGGCGTCGGATTGCTGGGGATAGCGTCTTGGATGTCCATCTTCTTCGACTGCTCGGCATCACGCGCCACACCTTGCCATGGTTTCCGATCATACACATTGACAATTCCACTGGTGCTGCCGATAGCAACCCACCGATCTCCTCCTAGTTGTGGACGACCTGATTGACCTCCTAGAGCAATAATAGTGGTGCCAATTGCACCGGCATCCGTCCATCGCGCAACGACGCGACGAAGCCGAATATCCCATTCCGAAACCTCGCCATTAGTGCTGGCAACAACCATACCATTGCCATCTTGCCACCATGCAAAGTCTGCCACACCCCCACGACCATCGACCCGGACCTGTGCGATCCATTGTGCGGTCGTCGCATCATACACATTGATCATGCCGCCGCCTGTACTGCCTGTGCCGACGAACCCGACGTATCTTCCACATGGGGACAGTCTGAATTTCTCCATGGATTTTTGCTCTTCTTTACGGTCTGCCGGGGCATTGATCTTCTCAATCTTACCAGAGTCTAGATCCCAGACATGATAATAACGACGTCGACTGGCAGCATAAATCCGGTTTCCAGTAGGCGGCGCAAATGCAGATGTGTAGATGGGCGTTTTGCGGAGTTGGAGAGATGTGAGAAGAGTGTTTGGGGATGGTGCATTGGGCGAAATGTGATGCAGCCATAACGTTGACGCGGGACCTGAGGAGAGGAGGAGTGGGTGATGGGGGTGGAAAGTCAAGGAGTCAATGGCAGACTGCATGCTACTTAGTTTCTTCTTGCGCATACAAGTTACGAGACAGAGGATATGTGTCTTACCGGCTGAACGCCCCCGACGTCTTTCAATCGCTCAATGCCTATAACCTCCTGCCGCAGCTTTGGTCGTTCGCCATTCTTGTTATCTTCGCTTCCTCGGATCAAGTCACTAGCGCCTTGAAGCAGTTTGGCAAGTGGTTGCACCGACAATTCAGTCTCACCGTCTGTATCCATCTCATCCACACCACTGGAAACGCTCTCCTGAGAGTCAAGACTGCTAGCACGCTTCCTGCGTTTCTTATTGGGATCTTGGGTTGCCCAGTCTGGCGTAGGATGAAGCCGCACATATTGCCTTCGTAGTCTTCTTATGTAGTCTGTACCGCTCACAATATCTTCTGACTCGGTGATCCGGAGTTTCCTCAGTCGCTGATGCCCCGCTAGTGATACCGCCATACGCTCATCGTCGCTATCCGCCCAGATCGCAGGTTCATATGTATGATCCAATTCGTCTCGATCTTCGTCCGAATGAGGTGTTTCAGGCTGCGATATCAAGACTCCGGGGCCTTCTGCTGCGCCGGAGTCGAAGAAGAAAAGCTACACAAATACCCAGTCAGTAAAACCATACCCACAGAATCAAGTGACATCGCAATGCAACAAAACCATACATCATCATCAGCAACATTTTCCAGATTCTCCTTATCTTCTTCAACTGCGTCGCCATCCTCCCCTTCTCCGTCACTCCGCATCACGAGGTCCATTGTTTGCTGCCCGCCATGGCTTTTCAGCCCGGCTTGAAAGCCCTCCTCATCACCAAAAAGCAGTTTCTCGAGCTTTTGCTCCACCTCATCCTTTTCTAGAACGTCATCGTCACTGGAAGTATCGGCATCATCTCGCGACTCGTCGAACTTGAACCGTGAGGCCGGTGCAGGATCTTCAAAAAAGGTTGATGCGCCGCCAGCTTTGGACTTGCCCGCCTTCACCTTTGGCTTTGCGCTGCCCATGAGTGTTGCTTCTTCTTTCTGAATGTAAATATTTTCGGTGCTAAAAAATTATTACGTAAATTTTTTTATCAGGAAAAGCACTCGGTAACGCACACGTTGGCGATTGTTGTGAATTGAAAAGTCGATTGAGCTGTTGATTCAAAATCTTTTTTTTCTTCGGCTTCTCTAGCTGCGGCTCTGCGGAGAGAGTGCGTTAGCGCGGAAGACGCAGCGAGTGGGGACCGCCAATAAGAGTTAGAACTGATATTTATGCTACTTCTGTGCTCTGGATTTCTTGGAATTTCTTTGTATTAACTAAATTAATAAGGAATTACTTAGGAACTGCACTGGCTACATATGTAGTCAAGGTACATGCAGATCTGATTTAACCTGGTGCACAAAACAGAACCGAAAGCAAAGAAATGAGCTAAGACATCAGTGGAAATGAAGTCGTAGTTGTCTGGATAGTGAAATATTGGTAACAGCTAGCGTCTGCGTCTGCTTTGCTAATGACTCTGAAGAAGAAGAAGAAGAAGAAGAAGAAGAAGAAGAGAAGAAACAAGACAATCCCCAGACTTGTAAAGAGAGACCACCGAGCAGTTAAGGCAAGCAAAGAGTAAACGAAAAATCAGCGTTGGGATATATTAGCACACGTAGATAACACTCGAACAGAACAATGGAAAAAAAAGAGACAACAATGAAGGTACCCTCGCATATGCGGTAAAGACGGAAATAAACCAAGTACATAGTAGCAAAGACGAGAAATCAGTCAATGAGTGGAACATTCGCCAACCGGAAAAAGAAAATACCAGACGCCATGGACGCACGCCTTGCCGTGAAAAAGCGCCGAAATACTCCTATCAGGAACCAAAAAAATCAGAGGAATCAATCGCCATATCGAATAAACCTTAACCTATCTCTAGTGGAACCTGAGAATATGAAAAATATGAAATTTCTGCATCACAGCTTTCACAAGACTCGTGCTTGGCGCCGTCGAAGACCAAATTCTTGTTCCTGTATTTCTCTGATCAGCCGCAGGCTATCGGGGTCAGCGTCGTCCGTCGTGAAGCTGTTACGCTCTCGCTTCACCATCTTGGTGGTGGATGGGGATGATGTCAGCTTCTTCTCAACTGCAGGCGAAGCGCTCTTTTTGTGAGATGATGTCGGTCGGGATAACGGCTTCTTTGCGGTGGAAGACGGCGCACTGGATGGTTTAGTAGGTATCTTGGTAGCTCCGCTTGAGGTTTGTCGAGACCCTTGTCGTGGTACTGTGGGTTTGGTCGGAATTTGATCCGGCATATATCTGTCTATCTGGCGGGGCTGACGAGAAGAATGGCGAGAACTCGATGTTGGCGTGTACAAAAGCTCCATATCCCCTTCAAGGGAGCCATGGAGCTCCTCATTGGCATGTCCAAGTGAGACTTCCACTTCTCCCACGAGTGACGTTGGCGGTGATACTAGAGGATTCGTAGGGTGGGTGGATTGTCTCTGTCCAGAGACTAGCGTCTCTGTATCTCCATCAGTCTTCACAGCCGGCGGAGAAGCGTAGGAAACGTGTTCCGTCGGGACATCCTTTGCCTGATGTTGCTCTAATTTCTCTTCTGGCGGGGAATGAGCATTAGATAAATCTTCATGTTCATGTCTGTAGAGATCATGACCGCTGGGAAGGGCAAACCCAGATGGCATAAGCTGATTGCCTTCTAAACCTGGATGATAAGCATCTGATGGGACAAATGGCGCATCTGGCTTGGGCCGTTTGTAGATTATTGGAGTCAATCCATCGTCATTCGGTCTCGGGCGCTTGGCTGATGGTGTTGCGCGAGGTTTAGCACGTTCCTGAGCCTTGACTGGATCAATTCGCCCATATTCATCATGAATGCATCGACGCTAAAATTTGTCAGTGTGAACAAATAAAATCTAAATTGATTTCGCTTACCTTGCTCTTGCGGCACTCATCACAGGCTTTGCTTCTGCCCTTCTTTGCGCTACCAACTCCATTCGGGCTGGTATCCATTGGGCGAGAAAAGGAAACTGGTGGCATACCCATCATAGTAACATTCACGTTGTTTCGAGAATACCCGTCAATATGATCGAGTGTCAGATTGTTCCCATTTTCGTGGACATTTGACTTGAGTGCACCGGACGCCAATGCGTTCAATACGGATGCTGCGTCATGAGCTAATATTGACTGTCGGTATGGGTCGACTGCGTCAAACATATTGGTAGTAATAGGCTTCTCGGGAGAGGTAATAGCGATCGATTCAGTTTGCTCATCCTTGTGACGGCATCGTATTCGTCTCTTACGGCATGCATCACAAGCTACCCGCTTCGGACCTAGACCGGAGCCTTTATTCGGGTTTCGTGGTTTAGAAGCTTCTTCTTTTACAGCAGGGACAGCCACAGGGGTTTGCTGAGGAACAGGTATATTGTTCTCGGGAAGCTGTGAGACTGGCCCAGCAGTACTTTGCGTTTCTAATGGCAGATCAGGCACCAATTGAAGACTTTGTCGTTCTGCATACATCTTCTGAGCATCTGCATGTCGCTCAGACCGTCGACTTGGTCGCCCTGCGGGTCTTTTCTCTGCTTGCTCGATCTTGAAATTGATGGATATGACACCGGGATGGATCCAATTGGGGGCTGTCTCATTCCCTCGTTTCCAAGCTATCCAGACGGCAAACTTCTTGACAACGTCAACCGGATCGCCTTGCATCTTAGGAATAGAGCGCCTGATTGCATTCCTAGCTTCCATCGTAACACCGTCCACACAATAGTTACCTGCAATAAGGGCTGTTCGTAGGAGGTAGCTCAATAACTGCGGCAGCCCTTCCAGTTCTGCCTGGGAGTAGAAGCGCGCATTGTAATATGCATCCCCTGGAGCCGCACGATTTTGTCGTTCTTCAAATTCATAATAAATAGGGAATTGTCGGTAGAATCGGTAATTTTCATTGCGAGAGAAAGCATCCAGAACAGGCTCTGAGATAGGATCATCGTTCAGATACTTCAAAGCCGTGTACCACTGGATCTTTTGAAAGAAAGGATATCTGAATTTTCGAGGAACTTTGGTGTCTTTTTCAATCTTCGCGACCTTTATCTGCATACCATAGTTCATGCGCGTGAGGAAGTTACCGCCAATGACCAGACTATTCTCCGGAGTCCACACAGCATGAATCCAGCCAGCGGGAATAAGCATTGTATCACCTTCTTCCAAATCAACCCGGTAACACTCTTTGGTTTGTTCTCCAAGGAAAGTTGTATCTTGTGCTGGAGAATTGCACCATTCTTCGTATTTTTTCAGATGTTTCTCCTTTGGAGGAATGAAAAAGAATGTCTTCTTTCCTTTAAGAATCGTGTAGTAGACTGAGGATCCTCCAAAATCAATGTGGAAATCTGTATAGCAGTCTGCCACCGACATCAAGCAGTAAAATTGAACTTTAGGATAATCGCCAATTGCTTTCAACTCCTCAGGCCAGACAGCGTCTTGTAAATCGAGGTCGCGTACTATCTTAGGCCGACGGATGAGTCTTCCTAACTGACTTTGAGACACTTCCAAGCTGATGACGTTCCGCACAACCTTTGCTCCCGTGCTTTCGTAGTAGTCTGCCCATTTCTGCATATTCCACCTCTTGTCCTCTCCTTGCTGAGACTTGACATCTATCACCTCGACTCTTTCTTCTGGACCGTAAAGTTGAGCAACAGTCCGCACGGTCAGACCTTGAGGGACAACCATATCTAACACGTCCTGTCCACAGTCGATGACCACTTCAGACTCACCAGGGTAATTATCGAGGAGATCATCAAACATTTCCTGCGTCTGTGCTTCGCTAAGTAATTGGTCAAAGTCGGCCTTCTCATCTGTAGTATCGGGTAACGTGCGAGGGTTTAACGCAGCTGGTATAATTATAGGCTCCGTCATGCCCACGCCGCGTTCAAAGAATTCAGCAGTGACCAACTCGGCTCTCATGCGTGGAAAGCTTTCAGGCAGAAACTCTATCTTGCCGTCTTTGATAGGTTGAATGTAGTGATGTTCATGAGAATCGGTCGATGTCTTAACTAGACCCTGGTTCAAACCTGCATAGTCGATGGCTGTCCTAGCGCGAGAGGACTTGCGGACAAAAGTGGTCTGGCCGTGAACTGGCCGACAGTTTCGACATATGAATTTATCCACTGTGCGCACCTCACGATCATTCTTGAAGCCTGCACAGACAATATGAAACCAACGCTCACAGCCATCGCAATTGATCCAAGTATCTTCACCTTGATCTTCCCCATTGACGCCCATCCGTACAAGGTGGCATGCTGCACAGCTTGCCGGTGTGGACTCGTCCGACTTTCCATCCTCTTCCTTTGCTTCCAAGAGAGTATCCATGGATTTTCCGTCTATAGAGGATGGGAGACCTTGAGGCCTTGGGATTCCGGCGTTATGCTCCTCAGATAATTTGTATGAGCTAAACGCATCAATTTGTGGAGGTTGATCGCTCTCCCAGGTGACGGCAGGCAACGTCGACGAACTAGTGTTTGGTCGCATTCCGTGAATGACGGGACGCGCAATGGCTGCGGATCCGTCCGAATGAGATCGTAGACGTGAAGGCGAATGGGGATTCCTAGATAGCCATGGAATTGAGGTATCCTGAAATTTCAGGCTAGCGTCATTGTGTATAGGCCATTTCTGATCAATTGGAAAATGTTGGTATGGCTGGGTGAAGCCGTTAATGGATTGCGGGTAGCGATGAGTCGTAGGAAAATTGCTTGGTCGAGCAAAGTTTAAGAGAAGCTCAGCGTCAGTCTTCATACTATCTGGGACGGAAACATGGCTGGTGTATGGTCGGGTTTCAACGCGCTGCGACGTGGGCGACATGGCTCTCTCAGATCGTGCACGTTTTGTTGGTCGTTCCAGTTCTGATTCAGCCGAGGGGAATAAAGGCGGCGAACCTGCACCGGCTGTATTTTGGGAGAGTTCATATGGAAGTGAAGGAAACGTTGGACTGGTTGCCAGTGCAATGTTGGCAAGGGTTTCGATACTTGAGTTCGTGCGGTGGTGACCATGGCCGGGTTTTGGGTGGTTTCCGCGTTTCTCAAGAGAAGCGTGACGCTGATTCACGCCAATTGAGCCTCGAGAGCCTTGAATTCCCTGGCCATATGAGGCTCGATCGAGACTCGATGGGCGGAAAGCACTGCGCTCGTTCCACGGCACTTGAAAACTGTGGTCGAGAGAGGGAGAGATCGGCTCGACGGCGCGTCGCGGGGGCGAAGGGGTGCGATACTTGTCGGGGCGACCATCGGGGTGGCCCAAATACGACGATGTATTCGCCATTGGAAGTCAAAGGATGACTTGTTAATGGGTTCGATGCGAATGGGGACGACCGTAGAGGAGGTAGGTGATACGGCGAATCTTTGCGGCAGGCGGGAGAAGCGGGGGTATCGGCACCTCGTGGGCTAGAGAGTGGCCACCGGGGATGACTGCCAAGTCATTCCCGGTCGAGAAGACGAGAAATCCTCGAGGTCAGAGGTTTGGCAGGTCAAAAACTGATGAGAGATCCGCTAGGGGAGGCTCGACGTGGATGGGCGTGCGGCCGACGATGCTGGGAACGGAGGAGGTCAAGTCGCAACGAGGACGAGAGTCAAAAGCGAGCGCAGCAACCACGGCGGCAACGGGGACGCGGAGCTGGCGCAGTTGGCGCCCAGAAGAATGACGCGGCACTTCTTTCGAGAGGGATGAGCAGGGCTAGCGAAAGCCAGAAGCAGTGACTGAGGGCGATGGCAAGGAATGGACGGGATGCTGAGGGGAGAGGTGAGGCGCGGTGCGGTGTCTAGAGGTGAGGTGGGTGCTCATAGGTACTTTCTTGGCGGGTGCTACTGTGACTACTCCTGCTGCTACCACTACAAATAAGCCTCTGCGACACCGCATTTCCACGCCGCCAAGGCCCACGCGGCTCTTCTACTGCGCCAGCGCCAGCGCCTGCAGCAATCTGCTGCTTGTTCTGTCTACACGAGCTGCTCTGTCAACGAAGAACCGTGAAAGTTGCAGCCTCTCGCAGACTGGCCGGGCTGGCCTCTCCCGAGCCCGAGGGTCGCCGCTAGCCAGAACAGGGAAAGCCCGCCCAGGCTTGGCACACCTCGCCGTGCTCTTTCCATCGTGCGTCCGCCTCGCTCTGCCCGCTGTCCTGCATCGCTCGTCCAACGCCTCTGCGTGTTACGCCCTGTTTTATCTCTACAAATAATCTCTCTCGGTGTTTGTCCGCACAAGAATGAGCCGGAAGCTCGCCCCAGAAGCCAATCGGTTGGTGTTCCCTCGGCCTGCATCTATCTCCGGACCCCTCCAGCCCATGGTAGTTCGTGGCGGCCGGGACAGAGACGATGCTTGTTATTTGTTTTCAAAAGGCTTTAATCTAACTTTCTTCTCTTATTTAGTATCCTCTTCGTGAAGAATCTCAGGTAAGCCTCATCGATCATTGTCTTGCTACGTCGATTTCAGATTACTGCGACACTGGATTCTTGCTCGTCTACAACGGTCATGAGATGGACTTGAAGCTTACTTGTATGTGCGAATAATAGCTACAACGTTACTGCAGAGGAGCTTTTCGACTTGTTTGGCAAATTCGGCCCGATCAGGTGAGCATCTGCCAAACTTTCGAGCCGAGCAATCAAGTTATCCTCGGTGGCAGCCATTCGCATGCTGACCTGGTACTCTAGGCAAATTCGCCAGGGCATCGCCAACAACACCAAGGGTACCGCTTTTGTTGTCTACGAGGACGTGATGGATGCAAAACACGCGTGTGACAAACTGAATGGGTTCAACTTTCAGAACAGATACCTTGTCGGTATGTTGTGTCGGATTGTCAGGAAGGAAACAAAGTGGTCAGTGCTAACTCGGGTTTTCTTCTAGTCCTATACCATCAGCCAGAGAAAATGGCTAGATCGAGAGAAGACCTTGCAGAACGTCAAGAAAATTTAGAACGTCTCAAACGACAACACGGGATAGAATAGTTACGGTATTACTTCCTTCTCATACTTATCAGCCGTGAGCAAAAGCTTGTGGAGGGTGTGTGTTATGGCCTCCTCGTCCTCTGGCGCCTCTCTGTCTGTCGGTTTTCTGGGTCTGGCGTTTCTTTTTACCATTTGTTTCCCTTCCCGATGACATATTAGTTATTCGATATCAATTGTTATGACGGCTGTTTCTTGACTTCCACTTCAAAGCATATTCTCATTCTGGAAGGATCGATCGATATTGTCTTTGTCAGTATTGACATGGAATATTGACATTGTATGCTATTATTTGCTTTATGGAAAAGGATGATGAGCTATGTCACGACTGCCTCGAGATTTTCCGATGTGTAAAATCCGTAGAATCTCCAATCGCACCAGTCAGAATCACCAATCATATATGGTATAAATTTGCAAATAACATTGAAATAGTAGAATCTTCATTTAGCCTACAGTAGGGTGAAGAAAGTTTGAATACAGAACCACAGGAATGAATTAGATATAGGAGCCCTCCCCATATTATTGCTAATAAAATTTGAACTTTTTGCATATACTGGTGCCAAAAAGCCTAGATTTAATTCAACATAAATTGGTGTAAATACAGAGGAAAGGCAGAAAATGTTGATACTGTATGCAGCAAGGGTCTTGCTATTATCGTCTCGGCGGGTGGTGGCGGATCGCCGACGGTCCATGCGCTGATCACTTCTCCGCACTGGTGAACGTCACATCGCCAAGTTGCCGTTCAGCCTCATCAGTACCTCATTTACCTTGTGAGTATCACGCATGCGGGGGCCACCTATCATTCTCATCCTCACCATAACTCTCTTATGATCCTAAACCGACACACGATTCACTCTCATTCATGATCCACGTCACTCTATACCCGCTGACGTCTCTTCTTTGAGGCAGCATCACATCATGGAAGCGCCAGCCTGGACGGCCGCGGCAACATCTGCAACGGGAGCACCGCAGCAATTATCATCCGTTACTTCTATTGCATTTTCCACTGCTACGGCTATCAGTACTATGGAAAACTACGATCCTCCTGACAACGGCGAGTGCCAGCTTCTAGGGCCCTTTTCTCTCCTAATCCAGGCTGCCTTGGGGGCCTAGCACTGCTGTCGCTGGTATACAAAAGATGGAAGGAGCGACCACAACGTCCGTTGAAGATCTGGGCCTTTGATGTGTCAAAGCAAGTCTTTGGCTCAGTGATGTTACACTTAGCAAATCTAGTATTGTCCATGTTTTCTGCGGGCCATTTCGAAATTAGGCAGGCATACCAACCTAATCCGTGTTCTTTCTACCTGCTCAACCTTGGGATTGACGTGAGTTTTATTTTTATTTTTATTTTCATTTTTATTTTCCAATTTGGGATGCATGGTTACTAACAAGCTCTTCCCGTTAGACGACGCTCGGAATACCGATTCTGTATCTGGTTCTACTTATTATCAATCAACTTGCTTTATACACCCCTCTCGCACGACCACCCGAATCGATCGAGTCTGGCAATTATGGAAATCCGCCACGGGTGATGTGGTGGTTTAAACAAGCAGTGCTATATTTCTTGGCTCTGTTATGGATGAAATTTGCGGTTTTCATCCTCATCCAGGTATTCCCTGTGATCGTCAAGATCGGAGACTGGGCCCTTCGCTGGACCGAAGGAAACACAGCTTTACAAATTATATTCGTCATGCTCTTATTTCCTCTGATCATGAATGCGATTCAATATTACATTGTAGACACCTTCATCAAACGGAAGCCGCTTCTTCACGACGAACCTCAACAGTTCGGTGAAGAAAGTTTCCGAAATTCACACCTGGACGATGAGCGCCGACAAGCTTTACTCGGGGATATCACCCCTAGCGATGACGAGTCCGATGCAGGCGATGTCGTGGTTGGGAAAACGGCGGAGGTCGCTGAGCAAGTTCGTGCTGAGGTTGATACCGAATATAGCCCGGCGAAAGACGGTACGAATTCGTTTCCCGAGTCGTCTTCGAGCAACTATCAACTGGGTCGTACCGAGCATTCTTGATGGGTTTTGTGGTGGCTTGTGCGGTATGTTACTATATATATCATGTCGGCTTTGAATGGGGTGCTGTTTGGCGTTGGTGTTTTACTTTGATCATGATGAATGACTTGTATACGTTGACTTTATATATCCTGAACACGCTTATTAGTTGGAATGCCGTGGGTGGTGGTACATGTAAGACTGGGATATCGTTAGATACCTTTTGCGCTAGAAATTTCGATAGATGTATGTAATTGATTGACAGCGCAGAGACGATCAGCTATTGCAATGACTTGAGAGTATAATATGCGAGCCACAGACATCAGTAGACGAGATATAATATGACAAGCTAGAGAGAATGAATCGACCTCTTCAAATGTTGATATTACCAATATTAAATATTCAAAGAATACATATGTACTCTTGGTAAGATATCACTATTGTATAACACATGTGTATTATACAGTAAGGTGAGAAGGTTTGAATATAGCACCACAAAAGTAAATTGGGCATATGAGCTCTCCTCATGTCAATATCAAATATTGTTTGACCGTTTTGCATTATCAACAAGCGGCCCTCTAAGAAGCCTAAATAATCTAACACATAAATCGGTATAAATGCAGATGAAAGACTGTTAGAAAACTGTAATTACTGTATTCAAACTTTGTCATATTGGCGTGTATCAATCGCTATCGACCCGTAAGTATAACTATTAATCATCACATCAACATCAATTGATATAATAATCACATAGTTAAAGCGAAATATCTGTCTGCAGATATCCTAAGCCACTATAGGCCCACAACGCATCGCATGCTCATCACATCTTCCAAGTAAATATCAAATACACGCAAATACGAATATCATGAATGAATATTTAATAGATAGTATTTGGTATCAACGTCGATTTAGCAGCGCCGATCCCGCGCTATTAGGACTCTCCTAGTGCGGATGCACACTATCTAGCACCTGTAGTATTCCGTGCTCGAAGCCAATAGATGAACCCATGTGCGTTCCTGCTGGGCCTGCTCTACTACGTACTAGTCCTACCAGCGCTATCAATGCATGTACCTGGTCCTGTAGAATACTAGAGTCTAGAATTAAGTGATGACAAGAAAAGGCTAGGGCCACTAGAGTATCTATTATTCTCGAGAATGATCTGAGCACAGACAGCTGATCAACTGGGTTGCCACGGTGGTCGACAAATCTGGTGCATGCATGTATCCACGTTGTCTGTTAACGCTTGCTCAGGGAATATTCAATGTAATAACAATACTCATGTCTCGTATATGGATTTGATGCAAAAGGTGGATTCTATAGCTAACCCAAGTTTCATGGTCTGTCTTTATTCTTCATCAACTTCATCATCCAATCAAGGCATCTAGTATGCAAACGTGCCATATTTCAGAACATTATCGGGGTATAATAAAATAGAAAAAAGAGAGCAATAATACGAGCGTCAACACTGTGCAGTAGCAGTAATCATGATGAAGCGAACCCAGCACCCCTCCCGGTCTAGCAGAACTAAAGAGAAAGAAAAAAAAAAAAGGAAAAGCGCTACCTGACAGGGTTCTTTTGCGCCTCCGCATATTGTACTAGCGCGTTTTCGCGACGTCCCATGATCGACTCGAGATCTTCGTCTTCTGGTTCCTCGCCAGCACCGACTCCCGCCCATCGTTTCGCTCGCTTCTCCTCATCGACAAAGTTGCGGATCACGCACGCCTCATAAAATTTGCCCTGGCACACCTTGCGTCGACCGAGGTGCTTGAAGCGCGGCCCGAGTGGGCCGTTGGAGTAGTGATATTGACCCGCAAACCGGTACTGGCGAGGATCGCCTAGCGGGTAGAACTTGTCTCCCCAGTGGCCATTAAAGTAGAACCACTCGGTGGGTGCGAGTGGGGAGAGATTGGACGCTCGGAGAGTGTCGGTCAGGTAGTTGTAGGTGTAGTAGTGCGAATTCAACACGGGATCCCAAAGTGGGCCGCGATCGGTCTGATCATGGAGCAGACCCCAGGGAAGCACATATTCATGGATGCCAGGCGTAGCGTACATTGCATGCGTGCCTGTTGCCGAGTAAATGATAGGCTATTGATCGTTAGTCATCTGATTATATATATTAGTCAGGTAAACATACTCTTTTACCCTGCTTCTCGACAGCCTCGTAGCTAAAGGCCTCGCCCGCGGTATGAGCGCTGAAGAACAGCGCTTTCGGTTGGCCCTTGAAGAATCGCACCATGCAATGCTCCCAATCACCAATATGGTTGCCAAAACGGACGTTAAAGACTGTATTCCCTAGGTTGTAGCTGTAGAAATAGAACCAAAATGCATCCACGATGTCGTTGCCCTTGTCAATAACTACCAAGACAGCCGGGGCATCGCTGCGTCCTCCGCGGACAGGCTTGCCACCATGTCTCTTGCGAAGTTCGTCTCCATCCTCCCAGTGCGAATACCCTTCGTCGAGGACTGGGTCTTCCACACGAGCCCCGACATTATCTTGCCAGTCTCCAGCGTCGTACCACTTTCCTCGGTCATCGTCTTCGTTGTACACAGGTTTATCGTTAGTTGGGGGCTCATCAGGTTCGTTGGGTTGGTTCGGTAGAGGTCGAGGAATGTTAACTTCTCCCCCTAACCAAGCAGGCCGGTCCTCAACATTATCGTTGCTTGTCAGGTAGACGTGCTTTCCACTTTCCCACTGATTCAAGTCGTTCAGAGTGTGCAATGAAGGGTGGTCCCACTCAGCCTGAACGGGTGTGTAGTTTAGCTGCGGAGTTGAATGTGCCAAATGCTCCGCGATATCGCCTGGCCAGAACTCCTCGCCCGAGAACAAATGTACCAACGGTGCGTATTCCAGAACGTACTCTGGGATCTCTCCCAGGATATGTGCATCATTCGTCCAGTTTGTCGTCACTCCATCCGTGACAGTCCAATCCAGACGGAAGTCTTTGTCATCGTCGACACCGATGGGATTCTGGCTCATGGCTCTATCATGTCTGGCTGATGTCCGAACTAGATGGACGTGAGCGATTCCGCATAGGCCGAAGAACCGGCATAGTTTGCGGTCCCACCACGACGTCGAGGTGGCCAGCCATTCTGACTCCTCCAAGTCTTCTTCTGACCATACGAACAGGGACGGCTTAACAGTACGCAAAAGGCTGACGATCGAGAGATAGGCAATCAAAGTCGACAAGACGATGATGATACCCTTTGACATTCGACGAGACATCAGACTGAAATGCACGGAGGGTCCCGGAGCCAGGACTCCGTGGCCGATTTGTCCTGGGCTGGTGTATTTATATAGAAGTCGCTGCAAGAGGCGTTCCGGGACTTCCGACGTTTAGCCAGAAAAGTGCCGAAAGGATTCACGATGGGCAGATAGTCTACCGGGCCGGCGGTAGAAGGACAATCTAACCAGGATCCCGCGGGCGTAGTCGGCGGAGAGGGAGAGAGGAGAAAGAGCGAAGACAGGAGGGAAGGGTGATGGTATATAGTAGTGATAGGGCTCGTAACGATAAGGCGGGATGTAGATGGGGTGGGAGGGTTTAGGGATAATTGCGGTACCAGACCACCAGTCAGCGGCAGGGCCAGTATAAGAAGAGCATTCCCGCAGGCCAACAAGCGCGCTGCGGTGATTGATGGCGATGGTGCTGGCGATGGATGGGCGGGGGGAGAAAACACGAAGAGATGTAGGAAGAGGAGAAAAGATGTGTGACAGAACGGCAGGCTGTGGGTGGTTGAGCACCTGCAGGCACGCCGTGGTGAACAAGCCTTGTCAGCCGACGAACCCGATCTCGGGCAGGCGATCATCCGCCAATGGCTGCCCTCCCTGCGCCCTGCTGTTCCGCCCGCAGCCGGCATTGGCGATTATTAATAGCCATTGCCATAACCATACACGTACTGTATGCTATTATTGTACGTAAAGCGTGACTATATTTTATCTGAACATTCCAATGCCCGTTTTCGACTGAGTAATCGTAGCATTACGTCATGCCCCATGTGGTGGGATGTGCAGTAGTATTTAATATTAGAGCCTTCCGTAGTTAGCGTCGCTGATCAGGCTTGTCTGTCCACTATCCAGCCTAGCGGTTCTTCATTATAAAATATAACGCCTCATGACTCTCTTCGTGTATACTACCAGCTAGTCTATCCCATATGAGCCACGGTGATACTGATATGTCGTATCGTGGAATTGTTGGCCTAGTGGTGACCAGTTACGAGAACAGAGAGTGCCTGGTACATAGCTATTGGTTGATTACTCACCATCAATGAACTATACATTCCTGAAACCCCAATGTTGTTTCGCATGAATAGAATTGGCTGAATTAGTGCATGAGAAGAATACAGGATGTGAGGGTAATGGCAGGCGCAGGGCCGATCGGGTTAGCCTGCATCCGGCATGAGCTTAATCCTTAATCCTGGCCACAGCACTAGCCAGACTCTGCATCCGCGATCACCTCTGCGGGGAACCCAAAATATCTTCAACGGTTTTCCCCAGGAATAATTGTATCATCGCGCCATGTCTGTAGGGCAACAACCAGGCGAAGATTTAGAGTACGAATATGAATACGACGAAACAGAAACCGAGGTACGACACTCCCTCCTCTCTTGAGTCTGCACTCGTCCCCCTACTAACTCATTCTTCAGACCTTCTACGTCAACATCGACCTGACCTCGCACAATGGCCCCATCCGTCCACGACGCCGCAGAGCTGCTCCAGTAACATTCCCCGCCAGCGAACCCCCCTCGTCGCCCTCGCAAGCCACGCTCGACCCGCCCGTCGATTTCGCCGACGTGACGCACTCGCGGCTAGACGACCCGGTCGACCCTCGCGACGACATGGAGAAGCGAATCCAAATCATGGAACTGCACAGCAGCAACCCGCTGGTATCGTACCGCAACCACATCTTCAGCTGCGAGTGGGCCGATATGATTGGCACAGATATGCACTTCACCAAACCCGAAGACCAGCCGGACCCCAGCTACCTCAAAACCACCGACGGATACTCGCTCATAGCTGCCAACCGCATCAAGATCGTCGGTCGCAAAACGCATCTTATTTCGGCATCTGATCCGCAAGACAAAATCGGGGCGGCGGAGGGCGAGTTAGATGCGACCAATATAGCGGGCAAAAACGCTCAAACGCGCTTTCTGCAGGAGCTAATGGATATCAAGAGGGCGAGGGGGGAGACGGATATGTTGCAACTAGTTTTCAGTGCGAAAAGGGGAAAGCAGTTTGAAGAGAAACTCGCTGCGTGGGCTTCTACGGAGGAACGACTGGATACTTTGTACCGGCTGAACCGAAACGCGATCGGGGGCGATCTCGATGCGATCAAGGAATTGGAGGAGCTGTATAATCGAATTGAAAGTGGAGCAAATGATAATGGCGGGCCGGCAAATGCCGCTGTGCAACGTGATGTCGACAACGCGAGTATCGGGTGAACTGTCGGCTTGATGTTTACTACGATATAATATTGTGCTCAAAACAGGCAGACTGGTTAATTTTTATGTAAGTGCATTAACGCCAGTTACATCCCTCGCAACGCCGTCCGAGGCCAATAATTATGTACAGAGATAATAAAAACAATGACTGGCTCTGCATGCAGGCAAAGAGCAAAGAGCAAGGCGGACCCGTCCATACGACGTTGATAACAGACACGCTTGTATTGCTAGCAATTTGCAATCGAGAACATTTTACACCTCACGAGGCAGGATGTGCACAGCAGGAAATTAATTGCGAAACGTCGGACTTGACGGAAACCCGACTGGCGATGGCGGCGGCGGAGGCGGCTGCTGGAAGTTGTAATCTGGATGTTCTACCGACAAGCCAGCAGAGGATTCCGGCGACGTGGGTGTTTTTTGCTTGGTGTAGTATTTAGGCAAGATGGAAGCTGAGGCCTCGAGGGCACGAAAAATATCTTGGTGACTGAAGGTCCCGGATGATGTCATAAGACCGTTGATGTTGGACTGAGAATGATTTTGAGGAAATGTCGAAGCCATTGTGGGATGAGGATTATTGTGATAAACAAGCTTGATTTGTGATTATCTCGTCTTTGTAACCTCAATATCGTCGTTCAGGAATCAATGAGACTATGATGTCGTGCAAAAGTTGAGCTGGTGTCGGTAGTCTAACGGATAACTCTGGGGCCGATATGCTTGTGAAAGCTGATTATTAGCTGACCGAAGAACCGAGGAAGCTCAGCTAACGCGTTGCACACGTCAGATTTGTCAAATGCCAATCACAGCGTAAATATAGTCCACGGCAAGTTCGCACGGAGTCGAATAATGGAAATGGTAATAGCGTAGACCCGAGAATACCCGACAGCCGTGAAGATTAATTAGACTGCGGGATGTTAGCTGCAGCTTGGATGACAAGGAAGAGCAGGAGGTCTCGTGCTTACCAGGGGCGAGGAGAGAGTTAGGTGCGACAGGCAGCAGGGGAGGCGGAAGGAGCGAGGCAGCCTTAAATATTAAATATGGCGGTTATTTATTATGGTTAGTCCTAGTTGTTGGTTTGCAAGGGCTGGTTAATGATGATGATGTGGACAGCCGAAGTTGGCTCTCGGTCGCTGACGTGGACCTTTGTGCAGTCCTTGTTCTTCTTCTTCTTTCTTCTGACTTGTCTATGCGTTTGCCTTGCCTTGCTTGCGCCTGGTACACGACGGCCTGGCTGGCACGGAGAGGGCAGCGGCGGTACCCAACGAGTTGCTGCGTAAGAGGGCTGGTGGAGAAAGGGCAGAGAAGAATGTGGGAGAGCCTAGACGGAATGATTCATCATTGTCATTTCATATTCTGGAGTCGACAGAAAAGAGAAACTGGGGATGATACCAAAATAGAAGAATCAATATTATTAAAAGCACAAAGGGGCCCACTCGCTCCTTCCTTCCCCAACTTTTCCCCCATTCCAGCGCGGCTTCCCCGGGGGATCCCCGTCTCCACCGCCCAATAGTCCGCCCGCCTTGCCAGGGGTGCGACTAACTAGTGACTACTCTGTATTCCTACTAGGTTAATATTATTCCGGACTATTGATTCGCATCTACCCTGGTTGCCGTTCGCTTTCTTTCACCCCTACTCTGACAATAATATCACCCTACTACGACTCCCAAGTTGAAGGCGCTTCTGCCTGACCACGCCATGTCTCGGCTCGGTCCAGAACACGAAGGAAGGCGATCGATGAGGCTCGCCCTACCCGAGCGCGCCAATCAGCTCGACCTCCAGCCAACAGCTTGCCACGGAAAGCGCGGAAGAATTGTAGGGCGCTTCCAATCGATCGATTCGATCCATCTGGCCGCTCACCGCTCCTTTTCCTAGCAGCCCACGTTCGCGATGTATCTCTTATCGGGCAGATCCAGTGTCCAAGGGCCAATAAGGCCCAGCTACCTAGAACGGGTGTCTCAAAGAGTAGGGGGATAGGATCCTGCTCCTGCCAAAGAGGGCCCAACCGTGTACACACTTCAAACAGGTCGATCGTGCTAGCTTAGCCGACCTATCTACTGACACAGCTTATGCAGGGAATTCGCATTGGATGAGTTGACCTGTCAGTGAGCTTGATCGGGCAGCTCTCTTCAGATAGTGTCAGACGATTGTTCCCGCATTGTAATCCCAAACGCGAAGATGATGAGGATGTATGATTTCATCCTGTGTTTGGTTTCAGCTTTCCTTGCTAGTCGGATCCACTTTTAATGAGTATATATCACTCCCCGCATAAGCTCAGGGATATGCCGACATGTTGAAACATACATAAAACTTGAGAAATAAAGATGTCCCGCTTTCATTATTCATCCAACATAATCATCTAGTCATAATACATCCCATTCGTATATCATCTCTTCATATCACATAAGCACCCCTTTTCAAATTAAATCATAACTCACGTCCAAAATAGTTACCCGGGGTATCGGTTGTTCCGTCCATAATATGGTGGTTGTTCCTCACGAGTAGCGTTCAAACGCCAGCCCGAAACAGGGTGAAAATCATTCCTGCTTAAAAGGTTACGTTGCTTCAAATGTCCGCGAAGTGACCGAGCTGCTGGGCACCCCACTCGTCTGACTTCTTGAGGATGTGGTACTCTGTTATGATCACAGATTCAGAGCCGGGTATGGAGCATTACTTTATGAAGACTACGCTGCATCGTTTCTCCATGAAGAGGAACTGCTGAGGCTTCTGGTTTCACGTGGCTTCCGTGGACCGAGATTGCTCGTCCTATTTGAGGATGTGTTATACTGCTGTAACTGCAGGTTCAAAAACGGTTGTAAACCATGACTGAAAGGGTGCGCAGCTTCTTTCTTTCGCGAAGAGAATCTCTCTAGACCCTGGCTGCTAGGCTCCCTGGTCTGATATGCCTTGAACGTCTCGAGACCGTTCATCCGACCTTTTAAGGAAGTGTTATTTTGTCGTGACTGCAGATGCGGAATTTGTTGCAATCTGCCATTTCTTCAGGCTCCGCTTCATTCCCCCATGAAGAGAGTCTCCCCACGCCAGCGCTGCTAGGTTCCCTGGTCTGATATGCCTTCAACGTCTTGAGACCGTTCATCTGACGTTTTGATGATGTGGTATTCTGTTTTGACTGCCTTTCCGTTTCCATCTGCATTCGAATTCCTATAGCTATAAACGTATGCTCCATGCAATATCCCCTCGAGGCTGCAATTTCCCACGCCGGCTTCCGACAAGAAGAAATGACGCAGCGACGAGGAGGGAAGTTTGGGTAATAATATTCTCCGCACTTTTCACACAGTCAAGGAGGCAAGGAAGCGATGTCTGAGAGTTTCAAACTGGGTCCCAAAAGATTGTTTGGGCATTTCCAAGGTGCACCGCGGGCGTGCATCTGGTAACATGCATTACAGTGCTGCAGAGGGCTGAAATAATGAATTTTTCCATTGAGGCCGTATTCGATATGAAGGGAGGAAGAGCCCATGTTTGCTACTTCTTGTGAAATAAAGTCGACGAACGGCTTTTCGATCAGGGTAGGGTTTGTAGAAGCAGAAGGAGGAAGAAAACAAAGCTTTTATATAGGGCAATTGTGTGGCTGTGCTAAAGAGCCCCCTCATTCAAAATGTTGTATGTAGCCTGGAGAGCGCGCTCATTTGATAGATGGCTAGGATAGTTGGGGACTAATAGCTCTCTTTCTATAAAAGCTCAGTTAAGAAGCTGAACCTGTACAATCACCAACCCATTTTATAATTGATTTTAGTAGTTCGTGACAGCCATTGTTCAAAGGCTGGTTAGCCACGAGCTTGAAGCGTTTCGATTGTGCATATTTCATATTTACTGGTTAGTAAACAGTACGCATTTATACCAAAGTTTGGTCATCTAATTGTACTGGCTTGTGAAGGTACCACTTCAATGGTAACAGTTTGCAAGGTCAGGTTCTTGTACAATCGCTGGCAGGTGCTGGTACAAACTCGAGAAGGAAGGTACGATGCTTTAAGTATTGAGATCGAAGTTGATCAAGATGGGTAGATACTCGATTCAACCTCGGACATGGAAAAAAAATCTGTCGATAGACCCGTCCGATTCGAATGACAGATACGACGCATTAGAAGCAAGAATGTCAACGAGGCATCAACCAACAGCAGGGTCTTGCTTGCTATAAGTGACCGGGTTGAGGCTGGAAAGTGTAGGTCAGGAAATTAAGAACGTAATGGAGAAGTTTCTTGGTGTCAGGTGAACCCCGGCCGGGCCGGTGGCCCGGTATCAGGTCAGGTGAGAGCCTAAGGATAACCATTGTTCGAGAACAGCTTATTAATAATTATCAATAATTATCGCTAGTCGCTGTCCTAGACCGCCCAAGTATTGCGCCAGCGCACGCCCATAGTAGATGGGCAATCCGTAGCTCACATGATCAGAAAACATACATTTCTCGAAGTATGATATTTAGAGCCAACATGAGCTACTGAGTACTACCGAGCAGCACTACTGACAGACAGGCTAACGCCACGTGGCGTGGCTTGTGCACTCAGCCAGATCTCCCAGGAACACTTACGGCGTGTTCAGGTGACTCTGAGAATTTGATCTCTGGACCTGCCCCTTAATTGTTGTTATAGCAAGAGAACTCGCTTACTGACGGCACCGACGGCAATTCCCGGTACGCAGTTGACGATTTCTGGCCAGCTCAATTCGTGCTTTTGCGCGCGAATAATATCATCAGCGAGAGGATTCAGTTATGGACTGCGTGCAGATTAATGTTGACACAACGAACAAATCACCGTGGATAGTCCGTTTCTTTTCGTAATCCGAGTGCTGTTTTTCTCGTCGCTTCCCCGCAAAGCCCCGAGTCGAGCCACCAGGCCCACCGTTGGGGAAGGAAAAGCTTGTCCGGCCTTCTTGGCATACCAGACTTGTTGAGACGAAGGCTTGGGTCCTGGCACGCTGAGACGCACGCCAGTCAAGTGACCTCGTGATGCGGGAATTTTCTTCCTTTTCGCTTCTTCCTGTCCTTTTTTTTTACTTCATTTCTGCATCAATTTTTCCCGCCGTCGAAATTACGCGGGGTTTAAGTCGCAAGATCGCCGCCCCACTGCCATGGAACGCAAGTCTGGAACAATCGCTGTGACCAAACATGGCGTATCCTGGTTTTTGTGAGGTAATCCATTATTAATAGCTTCATCTTTTCGACCCAAATAATATCAGAATTGTCCCCTTTGCGCCATTTTTTTGCAGCCGGACTTCTCGGCGATGAAAATGACGTGTTTTATGGTTTGAATTTTTCAATTGTCGCAATTGTGGAGCCGTATCCGGTGTAATTCTGCTGTATTCTTTCAACAGGAATAATCACCATTATGATCGTAATATCGTGAATATTGATATACGTTATATTATTCGAAGACATTCATAGAGTCGGTGTGGTGCACAAGTTTGCATGGGTCTGTTGCCGTTGTTGATTGGCGTGCTCTCTCGGTAGTGCCGGTATGCCGATACCAATCCCGAGAGTCTATATGCCTCTTATTCATAGGTATAATATTAAACTAATATTATGATCTGGACATACTGGGCCTGCTGAATCTGGAATCCGGGACCGCCTAGGTGCTGCTGACAGATAACCCTTTCGTGCCAAAACTTCCGGGCATGCTGACATTCTTCGATAAGGAACCGCCCTGTCGGTATCCGCCTTATGGATCTCAGATGACTCGTCACCACAACACAGGAATTTAAGACATGGCCATAGCCAGTCTTCCGGAAGGAGAAGTTCTAAACCGAGAATGCTCCAGATTGATATGGTTATTAATGGTACGCGTACTAGTAATACCATGTAACTTGGTAACTAGGCAATGCTCGGTGTTGGGCTCTCCTTGCTGATTGGTGGCAGCGACGAGACAGTGGGCCTTAGCGGCGCAGCTGGCCACTCACAGCCGAGGCTCAGCCTGGACGGTGGCGGGTCTGCCACCTACCATTTATAGCATCATCTTTGCCTCTGCTGCACTGGAGATATCATAGACGGGGTCAATGGCAGGATGCTCAAGCGCGAGGATAGCGGCAGAATGGCAGCGGAATGGCGGCATATGAGAGCATGCGCACGCAGTCACGCGGCCGGACAAAAGAACTAGATGCATCACAAGAATAATCATCCTGCGTGTCAATTCTACTAAGAGTAATTAGTTGGTAAATAATTACTCTGTACGGATGCTAAGGAATATTAGGAAGTGGTCCGCGCTAGCAGCGTAATGGGCTAGCTCCCCCCGTACCTGACCGCATCTTGCCGCCGAATGATCGCAGCGAGGCCCGCCCAGTCTGACGTCGTGAGCCAGCTTTTCACAAACCTATTCTTATATATCCCGCAATGGCCGCCGCCCCTCAGCCACCTGTCGCTTTCGCTGCGAAAAGAAAATCTGGTACAAGGCTCAAGCTTGAGATAAAAGAACCGCGAGAACGACGCAAGAGTCCTCCCTCCTTGTGCATGGCGTCCTCTCCGTGACACGTTCTATACTCCGGATAACGTTCCCGAAGCTTTCCTCTTTGTCCCTATCAACCTGTGCAACCCTTGATTGCTCGCTGTGCTTATCAGCCTGGAGCATTCCTCTGACTCCCATTACTACTGCCTTGGTTTCGAAATCATCCGCCTCCTTACCCTTGCATCATCTCATATCGATCTCTTTTCTTTTTAGGCCGTGTTGAAATTGCGGGACCTCGTGCGCATCGTTATCTCGCAACACGCCTGCCGCTGACCGCTTCTCGGAGCTGATAAGAAGCGAGTGCCCCAGTTTACTTCGTTTTCTCGCCTACGAATCCTCTTCCTACTCCTCAAGCACTCCAAATTTCCTCCTCGCCATGTCGTCGATCGACCCAGGCTCGGTACGTCCCCCCTCGGAAGGGCTGCCGTCTCCTGCTGTTGGAGCACACACCAACGGCCTGTCCACTCCACAGTATGTCGTCGACAGCAGCTCAGGCACTGGCACACCCATCGGGTTCCAGCGTTTCCCTCATAATAAGCATCTCGACAATGTGGCCAGATCGCCAGGCCGCCACCCCTCTCCGCAGCCAACCCACCTGGGACTACCCGGTCATCACAAGGTTCTCTCAGAGGAAGGCACCGGCTATATTGCGGCCAAGTTTGAAGGCAAGCAGAAACAGATGGAAGAAGGTAAGCCCACTGCCGATCTGATAGGCATATCGGGGGCCAGATCTAACAAATTGCTCAGTCATGGACCGGTTAGAAGAAAAAGGGTTCTTTCCTAGCGATTTCGTGGTGTCTGAGACCACCTGGTTCTACAACATGCTTGGGATTGACGACATGTACTTCCAAACGGAATCCGTCGAGTCCATTGTCACTCAAATCTTATCCCTCTATGCTGCCAAAGTTGCCGCATATGCCCGAGATGACAAGCGCCTAGAGATTCGGCTCGATAAAGAAGATGAAGACCATGCCGTTTACATTGACACTAGCAAGCCCGGTGTTACGTCTTTCAATGGCCCCAACTACGAATCACGCATAGATTCAAAGTATATCGACGGACCCAAGCCTGGGAGAAGCTACCGAATCGAGAGCTTCCGCTCGACCAGTCCTCTACCGGGGGAGAATGAACAACAGCTGCGCTGTTACTTTGTTTACAAGTGCCAGTTCGCCAATCCTAACCCCAATCCAGATGAGACCAACATCGAGATTATTGGAGAGAAACGATTCCTTCAGAAGGCAACTCCTAATACAAAAGCCATCTATCAGGAAATCATAACGACAGCAGTCTCACGAACTGGGCCTGTCATTGAAATCTTTGACATTGAAGGCAGTCGCGAGAAGCGTTTGGTGGTGGCCTACCGCCAAGGATCTGCCATGGGCATCTTTAGTGCGCTTTCGGATCTTTACCACTACTATCGCTTGACTAGCTCGAGAAAATACCTAGAAAGCTTCTCGAATGGAATCAACGTCATCTCTTTGTACCTGAGACCTGCAAGCAATGTCGAGCTCTCCCAGAAATACCCGCCTATCGAGGCCGCCATCCACCAGATCATGAAGGAAGTTTCCCTTCTTTACTGTGTCCCTCAGAACCGATTTCAAAACCATTTCGCTAGTGGTCGTTTGAGTTTACAGGAAACCATCTACTCTCACTGTGCCTGGGTCTTTATCCAGCAATTCTTGAACCGTCTCGGTTCGGAGTATACCTCATTGACTGCGCTTCTCGATACCAATAACAGCGTGCATGCTGAATTGTTGTCCAAGATCAAGAAACGTCTTCGTACAGAGACTTTCACGTCCGATTACATATCGGAAATTATCAACAAATACCCGGAGCTCATCCACAAGCTCTACCTCGACTTTGCCAACACTCACTACGTCCAAACTGGCCACCCGGAAGATGACTTCCTCCCAACTCTTAGCTACTTGCGTTTGAAGGTTGATGAGATCTTAGATGATAAAGGACTCAAGGATCTGGTCGCCAGAACTGTCGTGAATGAGCATGATGAGATGGTTATGATGGCCTTCCGGATCTTCAATAAGGCTGTTTTGAAAACAAATTTCTATACATCGACCAAAGTTGGCCTGAGTTTCCGTTTGAACCCTAATTTCCTCCCCCAACATGAGTACCCACAACCCCTCTACGGAATGTTCCTTGTCATTAGCTCTGAATTTCGGGGATTCCATCTCCGTTTCCGTGATATCGCCCGAGGTGGTATCCGCATCGTCAAGAGCCGAAACAAGGAGGCTTACAGCATCAACGCTCGCTCTTTGTTTGACGAGAATTACAACCTCGCCAATACACAACAACGCAAGAACAAGGATATTCCTGAAGGAGGTGCCAAAGGTGTCATCCTTTTGGATGTTGAGCACCAAGACAAAGCTCGCGTGGCCTTTGAAAAATACATTGACAGCATCCTGGATCTTCTTATTCCTCCAACCAGCCCTGGTATCAAAGATCCAATTGTTGATCTCCACGGCAAGGATGAAATTCTTTTCATGGGTCCGGACGAGAATACAGCCGACTTGGTGGACTGGGCAACCGAGCATGCACGCAAACGAGGAGCGCCATGGTGGAAGTCCTTCTTCACTGGAAAGAGCCCCAAGCTTGGTGGTATTCCTCACGACGCTTACGGCATGACAACCCTCTCCGTGCGCCAATATGTCCTTGGCATTTACCGCAAGCTTAACATCGATCCATCGACCGTCAAGAAACTGCAGACCGGTGGACCAGATGGTGACCTTGGATCCAATGAGATTCTGCTGGGTAATGAGAGATACACCGCCATTGTGGATGGATCCGGTGTGATTGTCGACCCCAACGGTCTAGACCGCGATGAATTGGTGAGACTTGCCAAGAAGCGAGTCATGATCTCTCAATTCGATCTTTCAAAACTATCGCCCGAAGGGTACCGTGTTCTCGTAGAAGATAGCAACGTCAAGCTCCCCTCCGGAGAGATCGTCAACAACGGAATGGTATTCCGCAACAAATTCCACCTCCGAAATGACCAGGAATTGGATCTTTTTGTCCCATGCGGCGGACGACCCGAGTCCATTGACTTGGGATCAGTGCACAAACTTATTGTGAATGGCAAGTCCGTTATTCCTTATATTGTCGAAGGCGCCAATCTATTCATCACACAAGATGCAAAGCTCCGTTTGGAAAAGGCAGGGTGTATCCTGTACAAGGACGCTTCCGCCAATAAAGGCGGTGTGACGTCTTCATCATTGGAGGTCCTAGCCTCTCTTTCTTTCAACGACAAGGAATTTGTCGAGAACATGTGCGTGCACGAAGACGGAACAGTTCCCGAATTCTACCAGACGTATGTGAAGGAAGTACAAGAGGTCATCAAGAACAACGCCACCCTTGAATTCGAAGCTATCTGGCGCGAGCACGAGCATACCGGTCTACTCCGCAGTGTACTCAGCGATCGATTGAGCTTGGCCATCACAAACCTCGACGAAGAGCTCCAGAAGACTTCTTTGTGGGACAATATCGAGCTCCGTCAGACAGTCTTATTGAAAGCGCTTCCGAGACTGCTTTTGGAGAAAGTTGGCCTGGACACTATTTTGACAAGAGTAAGACCAACCTGAAAATTTTAATCTTTTGAAAAGACTCTTCCTAACTCCATCCCAGGTACCCGAAAACTATCTAAAATCAATTTTCGGCAGTTATATCGCTAGTCGATTCGTGTACGAGTACGGCAGCAGCCCGAGCCAATTTGCATTCTTTGACTTGTAAATCCCCCCTTTCAGGCTTCCAAAATATATCATACTAACTCAACAACAGCATGTCCAAAAACTTCAGCCACCAATTAATGTCCAAGCAGTAAAAAACCACATAATATCTTGTAATTGTCGTTATTGATGTTGAGGATTGGGATTGGCCAGAGTTTTTCTTTTTCTCTTTTTCTTCTTTTAGACAGAAAAGTCAGTCATATCTGGAGCGTACTTGGATTTTTTACCTCCCATAATGTGTCATAAACGAAGACATGCCATCAACGGTGCTTTTTCATCTTGGTACATGTTTGTATGTATTGATGAGTAATGAATTTCGTCGGTTCTATATGGATTAAATGTAGGAATCGACAATATTAATTTAACGATTTTTGCATACAAAATAATATGGATTAAATTATGTACGGTGAATTATCTGTTTATAATAATATGCATGTACATGTGTAGCTCTGGTAATATACACCCCAAATATATGTAGTATTCTCAAATCTGCGTGGCCAAGGCTAGAGGGTAGGGCTACAGCTCGAGTACCTCCTCGAAACCTTCGAAATACATCCCCTCCTCTCGCTCAGTTCGTTGAGCGCTGTCCAATTGGCTCCATACTGTGGGGAACTTGGCCTTGGTCCACTCTTCAATAACATCCTTGGCGATTTCGTGCGGACAGACGTTGTATATCTGCGCAATCCTGTTGTCGGCAGCATTAGCAGATGAAATAATGGACTTGGTAGAAGTGGCGGGGTTAGGAGATACGTACATGTCGGCATCTGGTGACTGGCCGATCTTGCTATGCAGCGCATCGAGCGCTTGCGTCACGGTGTCCTGCTCACCCTGAGCCGCGAGGGCTTTGATGTAGGCGAGATACAGGGACCGGTCTAGTGGGATCTCTAGCATGGTGATTTTCTGCATCATCTTGGCTGCCTCGGCCACACCGTTGGGCAGAGATTGGCACACCTTGAAGAAGATGGCGAGGGTGGTGTGAGTTGGGCCGTCGTCGGAGCGCAGGATCTCGCGGAATACGTCCATCGCATCGTCAGGTTTCTCGCAGGCGGCAAGGGCTAGCATGACCGCGTTTTGCAGGCGTGTGCTCGGTTCGACGTCGACGTCTAGGCGTAGCATGTTGCGGATGAGTTTCACGTTCTCCCAGTCGGCTACACGGGAGAGGCCCAGGAAGCACGAGACATAGGCATCTACGGTTGGGTGTTGGTTGCGGCTGGAGGCGTGTCGCATGTGGCCGAAGACTTCACAGGCCTTGTCGATCATTTTGCGCTCGAAGAAGACATTCATAATCGCGATCCGGCTTTCTGCTTCGGTTTCGGGGAATGCGATTCTCAACAGTTGATATGCTCTCCATATGTTCTCGTCGTCTTGCTCTTTGTTGTGAATGAAGTTTAGCAGGGCCGAACGGATGATGGGTCGCTCGTTGATCAGAGCGTAGGAACTGAGTCGTGGCCGGAGTAGTTGAGAGAGAGCATCCCATTCATTCCGACTTGCTAATATGCCGGTCAAAGCTGCCAGTGTCTCGGGTTCGATTTGAGTGTTATCTTGAATGAGTGGATCCAAAAGCTTCGATATTTGATCGTATGCTGCATCGTCGTGAGGGTACTGACATAGCAACTTGATAAGCCGGTATCTCATCGAGAGACTTATGTTTGTAGATGCGTCGCCTTCTTCTAGGCTACTCAAGATGCTTAGTGTTCCCTTTATATCCGAGGATTTAACACATGATTCCAATTTCAATAAAAGAAGCGAATCGCCATCGGACTTGAGATTCCATTTGGTGATCAATTCTGAATATTCCACTGCTAATTGTGAGTTGCCAATGAAATTTGCGTATTGGACGAGGTCGTTCACGCAAGATACAGAAAGCCCATGTAGAATGGAAGGGTTCTTCGAGCTCCAATCGTCGAGCTTTTTTGTCAAAGCAGGTGCGCCGTTACCTTTAGCCGCTTCCATTAACAAGAGAACATCACGCGTTTCTGTACTCGGAGACGACGCATATTTTTTCAAGAGTTTTCCAGCAAACGCAACATCTCCACTCAGTATCGATGCTTTTGATACCGCAATTTCTGTGGCTTGAGTCGGCTTTTCCTGCAGAGGAAGTGGGCATTCATATATAATCTTGGCAGCATGGACGTCATTTTGTTCGATTAATTCCTTCACCAATTCTTCTTGATCGAGAGGTGTGAAAATATAATCATATTCAGCCGACAAGGTGTTGACGAAATTATCAACTCGAACTCTATCTCGTTTGAGCGCGAGTCCTCGGATTATACAGATCCAAGGCAATTCATGCAAACTGAGATCCGCTGAGGCTTTGAGCATGGGCCACGATCTCATGGCCACTCGTTCGGCGTACACAGGGTTACTACAATTGGCCAGGATTTTTATGTAGGCCAAAAGTGCCCCGTAGCTTATTTCAGTAGAATTTTGTTCTGAGGACGCAACCAAACAGTCGTAGGCATTGTGAGCCATCGTTCGTACATGGTCGTGAGAATCGGGATGACAGATCGCTCGAGAGAGCACATAGAGGACTGTCTCCGAAATTTCTGCAGACCTGAATATTTGCCATTCTTTCCCATCCTGTTCTTGCTGATTGGATTTAATGTATTCGTATGTATCAACGAGGCGCTTGGCATGAAAGTCGGTGATGACTCCGGGTTCTTCAGCTCGAGCCTCGAGGAAATCCTGGTATGACTTGCAAAGAACATCAAAAGGTGGTGGCCTTCGTCTCGTACTCAGCGATTTGACCAATTCGCTCATTGCCTGGAGCCCAATTTCTGAAGCTGGGACATTGGCTGTCTCCGTTCGCGACGGGGTTGGGAAAGCAAAGAACCCTCGTGATTGGACATGTCGGTTGTATATTTGGCCGGTATGCAGTATAGACGATGGCGAATAGATTCGGCTCCGGCGGGGTGAGAAGCACACAGGCTCGTTATTCAAGATGGCTCGAAATACGCGTCGCGTTAGATGGGATTGCATCGTTGCTGTAGAATCTATCGAAGAACCGGCAGTGACATAAGCAGCAGCAACACAAAAGAGATTTCATCAAAGACAGAAGATTTTTTTCAATGGCTCACTGCATCACCCCATATCTGTAAATCAATCAATGCGGACGTGGATGTTGACGTTGTTCTTAATAGAATTTGAAGGTAGTTGTGGTTGACCGGCTCGAACAAATTGTTGCGGGCTTGGCGTGGAGCGGCGAGGGACAACAGGGAGAAAATTGAGCTTCAAGCTTCCACCCTGACCATCTATCAACTGTCCACTCCTTTATCCTCCGCAACGGAACACAATTAGGCATTGGGTGGATTGAAGCGCCGTGGAAATGTCTCTGGGTCTGTCTTTCCGAAAAGGAGTCGTATTATCGTACAATGCCGGGACATTCGCTCCCTCGTGCTGTCGATGGGCTTCATCATCTGCGAGCCTCAAGACAGTCTTTACCACTCCCACCAAGAAGCAATCATATTCATCGCCAGGCAGTATGTCTATTTCTATTTCTATGGCCTGTTTTACAGGTGCTCATGTGTGACCTGGCGCTGATTCTACCTAGAAATGAAGGCACTTACCAGTCGTCAAAGGATCACCCAGCGCTCGAAGATTATGGAGGAGTCAAAAAACCAGGCTGAGGGTCGTACACTCGAAAAGTTCCAGTCTCGGGAATGGACAGCAGGCGATGTCTACTCTCCTCACGACTTTGGTCCAACTGAGATGAAGAAATGGATGAAGCGCTGGGGCCCGGAAACAGACGCCTTTGATGCTTTGAACATAAATCCCCTTGACCAGTATAAAGTAAGTGCCTTTCTTCGAGCAGATTCTGCTAAACTGGTGACTCACGAATTGGCGGTGTAGAACTTCTCTATCATGTCTGAATACGTTACTCCCATGGGCCGGATAAAGGCACGCAAATTCACTGGCTTGCGTCCAGTCAACCAACGCAAGATCGCCAAGGCAATTCGTCGCGCTATCGCAGTTGGGCTCATGCCTAGTGTTCACCGACACCCCGAAATTCTCGCTCTTGAGGCGAAATCTAAATATGGTTCCTTATAGGGAGGAGAGTTCAGTTTTTAATGGTGCTTAGGCTTTACGCGTGGTCGTTTGGGTGGCATATGTGTGTCAGGAACACGCACAAACAGGATTTGTACTGTATCTACTTGTATTATCATATTTTTCTTATTAATGATGCTACCTGTGACTGAATTTCGGTGTTGACTCCTTCGATCTATGACACCATCAACAAACCCCACTAATTTAAAACAACTCCGCCGCCTGCTGAGCGTCTTCCTACTTACACCTACTCCAAACAACAACATTTTGAAATAATCACAGACTACGGAATTGTGACAACCCGTAACCAAATTGCAATTGTGATGTCTCTCACAAACGGTGCGTATTTGTCTTCGTCGACGCCAACTTTCTTTCTGACATGTGTCACAGAGGCCATCTGGGCTGCCAGCCCCTCCACCACACGCGGACAAGCCACCCAGCTATCTTCTGACGCTAAGGGCGAGCGATTGGCTTATGCAGTATTTCCCACCTTGAAGAAGCTGAAAATAAGCTAGACTAACAAGTGAAATCCTTCTAGTCAAACAAATCCATCTTCCTACGCTCTATCGACGACCCCACAGTTTCAAAACAGTACACAGAGCATAAAGCCCAGACCACGGTTGCGCGTTTCTCGCCCTCTGGCTATTATGTCGCTAGCGGAGATGCTGAAGGTACAGTCAAGGTCTGGGATTGTGTTGGAGAGGGTGGCACGAGGGGGGACTTTCCCATTATCAGCGGGCGGATTAATGACATCGCGTGGGACGGTGAGTCACAGCGCATTGCTGCCGTTGGTGATGGGAGAGAACAATACGGGCGGTTCATTACTTGGGATAGTGGAAACAGCGTCGGCCAAGTTAGAGGACATACAAGACCCGTCAATTCGGTCTCCTTGAAACCACAGCGTCCTTTTAGAGCGGCTGCAGGAGGTGATGATAGGGCCATTGTGTTCTACCACGGGACTCCATATAATTTCAAGACTACAATACGCGACAACCATAGCAACTATATCTATGCCGTTGCTTTCAGCCCCGATGGTTCTCATTTTGTAAGTGTTGGAGGTGACCGCAAGATATGGCTGTACGACGGCACAACTGGTGTAGTAGAGAAACAAATTGGAGAAGGAGAACATACAGGTAGTATCTTTGGCGTCTCTTGGTCAAGTGACTCTAGAAAATTCGTGACCGCGAGCGGCGACAGGACTGTCAAGCTTTGGGATGTTGAAACTAGTGAAGCGATCCAGACTTGGAAGTTTGAAGACGAAGGAAAGGCCGATATTCATCATCAGCAAGTCGGCGTGGTTAAGCCATCAGGTCGGAGCGATGGCCTTATTATCAGTTTATCTCTCAGCGGAGACCTGAACTACTTGGTGGAAGGCACCCCTAAACCCAGACAGGTTATCCAAGGACACCAAAAGAACATCACGGCTCTGACCTCATTCAAATCTGCCGAAGGTACGGAGACGTTATGGACGGGAAGTTTCGAGGGCCGAGTCCGCAGCTGGGATACAGCGTCAGGCACTGCAGAACCAATCGATGGAGAAAACCCCACGGCTTATATTTCCGGACTCACATCCACCTCCGAAGGGAAAGGCAGGATATACAGTGTTGGCTGGGACGACACTCTCCGTATTGCAGATGCTGGAGCCAAAACTTACACCGAAATTTCGACCAGATTATCGTCACAGCCGAGAGCTGTTACAGCAACAGAGGGGACAGTTCTTGTTGCACATGCGCAGGGCATTGACATTATTCAAGACGGCCAGAAGACTGGCAGCGCTAAGTTGCCAGCTGAGGCGACTGCTGTAGCTATTCACGGAACCACAGCTGCAGCTGGAGCCGTGGACTCCACGGTCCAGATTGGAACGGTGAAGGACTCCACATTCACGTCTGAAATCGAATTCAAAGCATCACAGAACGGGATCACTGTTCTCGCATTCTCCCCCGATGGTTCTTTACTTGCAGTTGGAGATGCTCGTGGCAAGATTCTGCTATACAATTCCAAAGACGGCAAACTAGTTACCGACCGCTGGGCTTCTCATACTGCCCGCATAACATCGATAGCCTGGAACCCGGAAGGTACTCATGCAGTCAGCGGCTCTTTGGATGCCCACATCTTTGTCTGGAGCGTGGCCCATCCAGGAGAACATCTCCAGGCTGCACATGCTCATAAGGAGGGTGTCAATGGTGTTGCGTGGATTGATGGCGGCAACAAGCTTGCTTCGGCTGGGGCTGATGCCTCCGTCAAGATTTGGAAAGTTGAGAATCTGCCATAAACCAGTATCTCGGGCATTCCAGGCGATTGGGGCGAACAGTGAAACTGTATGATTACCTACTGATTATGTAGTCTCAAATGCAGTGCACTGTCTATACATGTGTAGATGTCAAGATGATTACCGGATATGATCCAAGCTAGCTGCGTAGCCAGGCGAGGCGCTAAGCATGTGAATGCGGCATACATTTCTTCTGCCAGAGCTATATCTAGCCCTCTATTCTTGTGTTCGCCAAGCTAAAGCCCTATAAATAGCCAGTAGGTGTTATGCGTTCATAAGGATCTGTTATTATTGATGGAGTTGCAGCCCGACTATGTAATTATATATTACAAGTACTGGTGGTCCATTATTACGGAGCTTGTCATGATTCCTTGGCAGGTGATCAGTGCTGCGAGCGCGACCTCGTCAAGCCGTCGCTACCTCCGCGTCCTCTCCCCAGTTTATGCAATTTAGGGCTTTGAACAGCGTTATCATTTTTGTCCGTGGTTTTGTTGTACCGAATATGTCTTGAGAATGGTGCTGGATTTGCGAATAACATGATAGCTCCTGAAACAACAGCCCGTGAACGATGAGCCCGGCACGGCCTTCAGCTGCAAATCCCCGCATTCTGCGGCCACAGGTAAATTCTCAAGCCAACTCTTTATGATGACACTTACTGATGGCGCTCTTGCTTCCGTAGCTACGACAAGTGACCTTCATCCTTCCCCAAACCGGCCAGCGGCTCAAAGGCCTGCTGAATCTGGGAAACCGCGATGTTGCAGAAGATGGCAGCGACGACGAACGACATCCATTGTTGGCTGGCAGCAGCGACATGGAATCGGCACACCACCCATCCGACATGATGGCGACCATGCGAGACAAAGTGCAAGGCTCGTGGAACGAAGTGTACGCATTTGCAACCTCGGAACTGGGCATAGGAGTCTTTAAGTTTGGCCTGGCTTACTTGCTGGGATCGTTGGCAACTTATATTCCTGCTATTTCCGACCTTCTCGGCCATCAGGACGGCAAACATCTAGTCGCAACCATAACCGTGTATTTCCACCCCGCACGCTCTCGAGGAAGCATGTTCAAGGCGTTGATCTGCGCAATCCTCGCCTTTCTTTATGCTAGCTTCGTGTCTGTCACCAGCATGTGTGTGTCCATGTTTTTCGAGAATCTTGATCTTCTCGTCATAGGCCATATCATAGTTTTGGTTGTATTCTGTGCCGGAGGTTTCGGTTTTATCGGTTGGGTGAAACAAAGATTCAACGATCCTCTGGTCAATGTTGCATGCTCGCTAGCCTCATTATCTACAATCACAGTTCTCACGAGAGAGGGTGCGGTCCAGAAAGGCGATTTGTCTTTTGCAAAGATCTCGCAAACCGTGAAAATGCTGGTAATGGGGGTGTGTTCCACAATGGCAGTATCATTTCTGATCTTTCCCATATCCGCGCGGAAAAAACTGCGATCCAATCTGACAACCATGACCAACACCCTCGCCATAATGTTAGCTGGTGTCACAGAAAGCTTCCTCACCGGATCTGATGAGAATTTGCGCGCCTCAGGCTTTGCTGATGCGTCGGCACGGAATAGAAAGGCTTATGGCGTTCTCGACAATTTGGTCAAAGAGGCAAAACTTGAGCATTATGTCGCGGGCACTGAAAGAGAATATCGGTTGGAAAAGAGACTAGTTCGATGCATTCAGGATATCAATCAGAATATGGGCGGCCTGCAGAGTGCTGCAAGCCTCCAGTTCCAGCTACTAAAACAATCTCAATTGCATGTATCAACTCCACATGGGAGCAACTCAATGGCCCGAAGGCCAAGTACAACTGGCCCTATGGATCACTTTTCAGCCTATGGAGATACGGCATCTTTGGCATCAGAATATGAACTTGAAACTGAGCCAGGCGAAACTGCTATCCCTGTTCAAACTGACGATAATAATCAGGAAGCTGGGAGCCCCCATTCAGAACAGTCACCACATCGGATGTTTGAAGTCTTCATCAGTCATCTAGGTCCTTCATTGGTAATATTTCTCCCCTCTACCAATTTATTTGGCGCTAATTGGATGAATAGCAATCGTTTGCTTTCACCTTGAAAGAAATCTTGGAGGAGATTCCCTTTGGCCCTGGCCCGAAGTACCAAGTCTCGTTCAATAGCAGATTCAAAACAAGCCTCAACCGTGCTTTGGAGCTGTACCGAGAAGCAAGAGAAAAAGCTTTGGAGTCCGTATATCGTGAAAAAGATTTCGCAAAAATAGTATCACCTGCTGTCGAGGCCGACATGGAAGAAGTTTCAGCTAGCTGCGGTCATTTCAGTTTCACGCTGATGGAATTTGGGGAACAGTTGAAAGATCTACTTGAGATTTTAGATGATCTGAAACTTGAGTGTGAAGAGCGCCCTCAAGGTCATTCATGGAACTGGCTCAAATTCTGGCGCTCTTTCAAGAGCTCGGCACCTAATTTCAATTACTTTGACTACGGTTAGTCTCTATAACAATACCAAAACAACATGATTGCTGAAGATTTTTCTAGGTGAAAGTCCAAACCCAAACCCTAACGCTACATCTAATATACCTTCCATAATTCGGAAAACTTACTATTCTCTGGAAACCGGATACTCGGATGGAACACGACATCGAAATCGGCTCCCGTACCGAATCTGGAAGTCGTTGAGCTTTTTTCGTCGCGACGAGACAAAATTTGCCTTGAAAGTTGGTGTCGGCGCTGCTCTTTACGCACTTCCATCCTTTCACTATGCAACCCGGCCCATATTCACTTATTGGAGAGGGGAATGGGGTCTTCTTTCTTACATGTTGGTTTGTTCCATGACTATTGGCGCCTCCAATACGACTGGATATGCTCGTTTTTTCGGTACCTGTCTAGGAGCTTGCTGTTCAATTGCTGCTTGGTATGCGACAGCAGGAAATGTCTATGGATTAGCCTTCTTCGGTTGGTTAATGGCTACATGGACTGCTTATATCATATTAGTCAAAGGCCAAGGTCCAATGGGTCGCTTTATCATGCTTACATATAATTTATCAGTTCTATACGCCTACTCACTGACAGCGAATGACAATGATAACGACGACGATGAAGGTGGTACCCACCCAATCATCACTGAAATTGCTCTCCATCGTGTGGTTGCAGTTCTTTCTGGCTGCATTTGGGGTATTATAGTTACACGAATGATCTGGCCAATAAGTGCAAGAGCCAAGTTGAAAGAAGGGTTGAGTTTGCTGTGGCTACAAATGAGTCTGATATGGAAACGTGACCCTCTGTCAACGATGGTAGATGGCAAGCCGGCTATTGCATATTTGAGCTCCCGAGAGAAGCTGCAAATTGAACGATTTGTATCACACCTAGAATCACTACAAAATGCCGCGAAGTCTGAATTCGAGCTGAAAGGTGCATTTCCGGAGGAAGCCTACCGGAATATGATACAACGAACGCGAAGCATGCTCAATGCCTTTTATGCTATGAATCTCGAGATACTAAAAAACCTCACCGCTTCGGAAGGCGAGATATGTCTACTGCAATACACTGCCCAGGAGCGAGGACAGCTGTCATCTCGCATTAGTCATTTGCTTTCTGGTAAGTCTTCATCGGCAATGAGACGTGCTCGAGACTTACCTAGTAACCATTGTGTAGTTCTTGCATCCTCTATGAAACTCGAATATCCCTTGAATAACTCTCTTCCAAATATACAGCATGCGAGGGACAGGCTCCTGGCTCGCATATTCCACTTTCGCCAAGAAAGTGAGCGCTCGTCACTTACAACTGACGGTGATTATGCCCTACTTTATGCCTACGGTAAGATTTGCCCTCATGCGCATCTATTGCCATCGCTGATGCAAGTAGTCTTGGTTACGGGTCAGCTTGGGAGTGAGATTGTCGAACTCATCAACGAAATTAGCCAGCTTTTTGGAGTTCTGAACGAGGATGTCATCGGACTCGAGTAACACGGTCAAGATGTTGACTATTTGATTTGAGAGAATGGAAATGGCGTCAGGCCAGAGAAACGAAGAACTCAAACTAAAGAACTATTTGTACTGTAGCTTCTGTAATATGAATTGTATGCGTAGCCTGTGGTTGAAAGAGCGCTCGATTTGCTGCATTTGATCTCCCAGCGTCGTAGCAACCCCATGGCTACCCTCCCTCCATAGTGGTACTATGCACCAATGCGGGTGGCGGGACGAAGCCGAACGTCTGCACTCCCCGTCCATTCAACAAGGAGAACCTTTCCATCAACGTTGATGAACACCGGCGCGGATTTCCATCTCTAACGGTTGTTTTATCGCATGAGGCAAATTAGATGAATCCATATGACACGCCTGATACCGTGAATGAAGACCTAGATCTTCCCAGTGGCTTCGCGCAGCCGATCGCGCGTCCCTCACCATGCAGATTGATCCGGCAGCTCTGAGTCGCACAGACTCGACATCAGCAGGTGTATCAGCTTCCAAAACTGTCGCATCATCCGGTTCTCTGACCCAGAAATCCACAAAACCTCTTATATCTGTCCCGCGACTCGATCTCGAACCTGCATATACCGACCTCAAAGCCGCAATCGGCGACAACTGGGCTGAGTACAAGCAGTCCACAGCCCTTTTCCTCCTTGGTACGCATACATCATTCGACCTTCATCAAAGCTCCTCCCAGCTGGGTGCTATTTATATAGGCAATCTAATTTTGCTAATCATTGCTTCTTCCTTGCAGGCCATCTCAACCAAGATGAATTCTCCTCACGCGCCGATCACATAGTTTGCGCTGATCCGAAAACTGAACATCTACATAACAATTTTATATGCGCACTTATTGGAAACTTATCGAGAGACCTCCCTGATCATGGAGTCGCGAGCTGGGTATCAGCAAATGACAAACCGACTGTGGTGTCCAAACCGGTCTCTAGTGACCTCGCGGAGCAAAGGCTGAAGACGGAGGTTATGCAACTGCCTCCCCGAGATCGTCGTAGAATCAAGGCCATTACTGAGGTATGACGGTGTCTTTTATATGTTATTTGACCAGGAAGCGCTGATATCTATTTCTCTACAGCCGGATCCTCAGGAAATCAGCCGAAATGAGCTTGAAGAATACCATCTAGCTAAGCAGATCAAGCTACCCAGCCAGGTGCCAGCAAGTGCCGGGGGTCTGAATAAAACCAGTAAGAAGTTCAACCCTATTATATCCATGCTTTTCTAATACTTCTTCTCTTTTCTAGATTGGGAACTCGAAATCAGAAAACGTTATGCTCAACCACTCGCGTCAGAAACTGGTGAATTCCCTGATGCGGAGTCGATCTACGCGCGTATGGTGCCGATTTGCTACGAGGAGTCCGTCGCTAGCGGAGCGAGTTTTCCTTGTGCAGAATTAATGGCTATTGCGACGGAAACATATGTCAAAGAAGTATTATCAAGTGTTTTCTCACGCACAAGGCATAACGGTCCGTCTGGGACCATCAATGGCATGGTGACGCGGAAATATCGCAGACAGCTAGAGCGCGAAGAATTGGCGTTCGCCCGCGGAGAAATAGCCAAGGACATCGCATCCGGCCTTCTCCCAGCCGAGGCGCGAGAAGCGAGTATCAGGCAACCGTTGGGAGTGAGAGACCTGAAGCTTTCGCTCACTCTGGGTGGCGCTCTACTTGGCCAAATGCCCTTGCTCATCGACCATATTATGAGCGCATACGATGAAGATGAACTAGAAGCTGAACGACAAGGATATATTGAGGAATTGCAAACGAAGACCGAGGATGATGATGGGGTTCCTAGCGCTGATGAAATGGATATAGACGAAGAATGGGGGTGGGAAGGAGGCACAGGTGTAGAAAGGGAGCAGTTAGGCTCTCTTCTTGACGAATGCCTAGCACTGGCAGCCTAGTGACACCAACCGGATATACAGTGACTTTTTGCGTATGTCGGTGCTTATTAGACACTGCATGTGTCTAGTCTACTATCCGGTTTCATTATCAGCGCTCAATTCATGGGCTGAATAGGCGCGTTGGGCGTTACAATGGACTTACAGATACATATTGGGTCGACAAAGCAGGGGCTTATACCTGGTTCTGCTCCTCTTGAATACGTGGTCCTCTCTTACGAATTCGTTGATTCACGGTGATTGTGTTTTCGCATTTGGGGTGGAGTCGATCAAATCCTGTTTTTGAATTCATTTCTAAAATCTCTGTTTAGTTACCTATATTGCTATTATTATGTACTATATGCTAGATGCAATTTGTGAACAAATCCAAAGCTCCATTGCTCTTTGAGGCTTGGCAGCATCAAATGCTTGTCTATACGATAGTAACTGCAAATACATGGCACTCTAGTTGTGAAGACTATACTCTGTGATATTTCTATACTTCAATGCTTCTTGGTGCAGCGTCAATCATTAGAGAATCATAAGCTCCCATTAAAATATTTAATTTAAAATACAGTCTCATAGCTCTAATGTTCATCTATGAGAAAATGATAGCCCTAGCCTGCATTTGACTCTCATCAGCGAGGCAGTTGTTCCACAACCAGTTTCAAAATCTCTTCTGTAGATTTGTGGAAATTTACAGGATCCTTCGCAACTGACTGCCATATCTCACCGTGTTTTGGCTCGCTAATAATACACTTGGCAATTACATCCTGTCGTTTTTCTTCAGTGCCATGTTGAATTAGGAATTTGTAGTACCAGGCCCAAGTGTCGCCGATTCCACTATCAGATAAAATGGCCTTTTCGAACCATGTCATGGCCTTCTCCAATCGTCGTTCGTCCCAGAAGATACGCGCAACGGTCACAAATAGAATCGGGTCATTGTCAAGCTTCTTAATTGCTTCCAAGCTTCGTGGTTTCCTGTGAGTTCGAGGTTCAAGGTGCCAAATACTCTCAGCCCACAAAAGTCCTGACTGTGGTACTTCCTGAAGAGCCTTGGCCATCAGGACTTTAGCTTGACTGATGTTGTTTGCACGTCGCTCAACTCGGACACTTTCAGTCCATAGCTCGGCATTCTTGGGAATAGCCAGCCGGGCTCTGTCAAGAATCGAACGTGCCTTCACTACCACACCGGCTTTTTCTTCAAGACGAGAAGCAAGAAGCCATAGCGGCACGGATTGAGGACACGCTCTGGTACCAGTGCCATAAGCTTCTCTCGCTTGAGGATACTTCTTTTGCGACTCGTATATTTGCCCCTTCATCATCCAAAGCTTATCAGCCTTGGGATAAAGCTGTAGGCCTTGGTTGACTAGATCTAATGCTTCGTCCATATTTCCCAGCTGGCGTTCAAAAGCAACACTTTTGATCCAAACACGGTCTGTGCCCGCTTCGCGACGTGCAGTACTTAGTAGTTCTCTTGCATGTTCAGTCTCGCGGGCGTCCGTCTCTAACTTGACAGCCGCAAGCCAGATATCTTCGTTATTGGGATTACGTGCAAAAGCCCGCTTCAGGACCAGTCTAGCACTGTCTATCTCCCCAGCTTGCCATTTCTCCTTGGCGAGCTGCATCCAGAGAACCTCATTTTGAGGACAAGCCTCCACTGCCTTTTCAAGAACTTGCCACAAGGCCTCTTTAGTACCGTGGTTTCGTTCTAGATCAGCAGCCGCAAGCCAGACGGTCTTGCTGGTCGTGAAAACACGCAACGCATAGCTATAAATCGCTCTTGCAGTTTCATATTTGCCACGAGCGATGCTTGCCCTGGCGTCCTCCATCCATATGTCTTTCCGATCATCATCCTCGTCGAGACTCCAACCGAGAGTCTCTCGGACAATTGCTCCGCATGTCAGGATTGCTCCTTCTTCTTCACAAATCTCAGCTTCTGTGATCCATTCCTCCCTCTTTGGCATAGCATTTTCACGAACAAGCACTTGGATAGCCCTTTTCATAACGTTGACCTTAGATGCTGTGCCCATTTGCTCTTGCAATCGGGCAGCTGCAATCCAAATTTCATGGCTTGTCGGCACGGCCTTGCGGGCCGCGTTCAACACTTTTTGTGCATTCTCAGGAGTTTCTAAGCGGGCTAACGCAAGCCAAAGCTCCACAGATAGAGGAATCATTTCAGTAGCCTTTGCTAGTAGAAGTCGTGCATCTGCGGGATCTTCTTCCAGATTGACAGCCTCTTTCCAGATTGCGACAGACTGTGGAATATGAAGAAGAGCTTGTCTAAGGACATTCTTCTTAGCACGGATGTCAGACTCCAACTTCATTGCTTCAATCCATAGTCTAGTGGATCGATCGTTATGCTTGATAGCATTCGCTGCTATGATTTTGGCATTATGATTGTTGTTCAGTCGAATATTTTCCAACCACGCATCTTCGCTTTTAGGGCACAATTCACACCCCTTCGCGATGTAGTTTCTGGCAGCGACAATTTTTCCTGCCAGTTCTTCCAAACGAGCGATGGCAATCCAACCAGGTGCGTGTTTAGGATTGGTGCGAGTAACTGATTCTAAAAGGACCCGCACGCGCTTGATATCGCCGATTTCCACTTCGCCAGCCTTCAATTCTGACTTGGTCAAACTCGTAAGATATCCTTTCGGGTCAATATTGGTCGCACTGCCCGATGCTGCATCACCTGAAGAACCAAGTGCTGCTTGGTCAAGGCGTACTTGAAGAACTTTGTCGCGAGCAGCACCGATATCCGCAAAATTTGTCAAGCTTCCATCTGTGCCTGCAGTGTCGGGGTTTTCCGTCTGCGTGCCATCTTCGGCTAAAGTGGTTTCAAACTGAGTTGAGTCTCTAGCGCTCGCAATGACGCTGTCCGGAACAGCATAAAATCTTTGTCGTAAATTCTGTCGAGCACGTCGATTCTTCCCCGTAAGATCGCCAACCTCAGGAATGTTAGCCCAATCGTCGTCAGAAACCGTAGCTAGCGACCGTTTGAGGTCGGCGAACTGTTGCTGAATCTTGGGGTTATTCCTCTCGTATTCTTCGCGTTCTTCTCGTTCTCGGGCTTCCCTATAAATAGCGAAATATATCAAGTCGGCATTCTGTTCACAACGCAGAGATGACACGATAAACTGAAATGATCTCCAAAGGCAAGATTGAAATGAAAAGAATAGGAAATTGATGGGTGAGACTAACCTTCTTGACTTTCGTCTCCTATCCATCCTGTCATCTATCTCTTGATATATGCGGTCTGCTTCATCATCCTCCCTGTCATATTGGCCGTATGCGAAGAGCCCGACCTCATTGTCCGGGTCTTGAAATCGCTCATCATCTTCTTCTTCCTCGTGTTCTTTGCCCTTGCCTCCCTTCTCACGTCCTGCGTTGTATGCTGTAGGTGGCGCGGCACCAAGTTGCTGGGCTCTTTTCGCTAAAGCTTCCTGGATTTGTTCTGGTGTCGGACCTTCTCGCGCTGGACCCAAGTCTGACCGTGTCGTAAATCCAGTGGCGCCTCGACCAAGACCAGCGACATAATTTTCTGGCGCCGCCTGCGTAAGGAAATCCTTCCTATTATAAGACATGTTGGCATGAGCCGTGTAGGAGGGGAGGCTCAAAAAGCTGTGTTGCTCGGAGGTTGTATTTCACAGGTTGCGGCTAAGAAGAGTTTCCCAGCCCGTCGGCAGGTGGCAAAAGCTGTCAGGCACAGCTTATCGGAACAGATAACGATTCACTCTTTAGACTAGCTCGTTTCAGTATATACCAGAATTTTATTATTATAGGAGTATGATGACGATGTGGAAAACAAGAGACACTGGTATTGAATTTGCGAAAAAAATAAAAATAAAAAAGCGGTTGTATAATGGCGGTTGGGCGCATGTATCAAAGTATCATTATTTTATATAGATCAATACATTAATGATAGATGCATGCGAGTCAATAAATATATATTAGTTTATTATATCCTCAACGCGCTAGACCTGCCAGCCAGAGACCGAGTTAGTTCGGCTGTTATACCGTATTCATCAATCAACACTGGGAAATTTATACATAGATCGCCGGAATATCGGTTGGGTCAATAGATGAGACACCGTGGCGCTGCTGAAACACCAATCTATGAAGTAGCCGATCATACATTACGCTGAGAACGCCTGATCCCGTCGTATCATGGAACATGGAGACGGGAACACTCGCTCCACATCTTCAGAGCAAGACATCAACCTGAAAATTGTTATAATCTTATGGAAAATTCAGACTAGTCGAACGATTCATTTGATAATCTAAATGAAATCATCCAACGATGAAACCCTGCTGTAGTCTTTTTGGGATCCTTTAGCAATCGGTAAGAGGAACCTTGACATCAAGGTTAAAATATGAACGTGGGCCCCTTCCTTTCGGAATGGAGAAGGGCATGAGATATCTATTAATGATATGCCTTTTGTGTAGTGGCCCGTGCCTATTTTGGTCAAGACTAGTCGATGATGATAGCTGGACAGAACAATGGCTTTCGAAATATTAATATGTATCACTGATTTGTGCCTTTCAATGACAGTCAGAGGGCTAGTCCCGTTATCGGAGTGCATCGGTGCCTGATGTAATTTCATCGGCATTTCGCAGATGGGCGCTTGAATCTTGAAAGAGGCTCTGCCAGATGAAGGCCTCGCTCAATAACAGTTCAATTTCCTTCTCGGTCCAATCCTTTGTAGGTAGCGCCTGAAGAAACATCATGACTTCCTATTCTCTCATTAGGTAAAGGGATACTTGATGCGATTAACAGCCTCATTACCTGAAAGTCCATTTTGAGTAGCCTGTCAGTCCATTTCACAAGGAAGGCTGCACAAACATAAAGATGAAACCTTGAAAATCCTTGTTCTTCAGCCTATTCAATAAGCTGTTAGCAAGTGAAGACTGTCCAATAGGCAAGGAGAGCAAAATCTAGAAGTCTTACCATATAAGTATCCCACATGCGGATAGTATTCCTAATACTCATCTCTCTCATTAACAGGCAATTCATCCATCTGAAACTAAACTGCATGAATTCCACCCCTTCACTTTCTAAATGATTGGCCAAGCCTGAGTCAATCCGTTTGACTAAATCTCTCAATGCTTTCACTTGTCTGTGAATACCTGGTTGAGCATAAATGTAGTTGTCTTGAATTCCGTCGAGTAGTTTTGTTAGACACCAGAAGGAATCTGCTTCCACAGCATCAAGGACGGACCTGGGTAGTTGACCAGGATCCATCCCTTCCTCAACGTTAAAGTCCGTGATATAGGCACCCAGGAAGACCTGCCAAAATGGTGTGACAAGATCATTGATGCCCTGTACATAGCCACTAGCAGGGTGTCTAATCGCCCAAACATAAAGTATCCTTTCCAAGGAGCGTTGTGTTGCCTCATAGCCATACAATTCCAGATGAGGGCTTGTGCGAGGAACATCAATGCTGATTTGGTGCCACACTGCTTCGTCCAAGCCCCTACCGCGACCAGAGTTTGTGTTGCTTGACCCGGAACCGCTAGTCATCGTTACTCGCTCAAATGCCTGGCGAACTCCATCGAGATACTCTTTACGTTTCCTCTCCAACGTTGAGACACGGCGTTCACTATTAGTCGGTAAATATCCGAGAAGCAGCTGCCAAGTCATGGCTCTCACTTCATTCGGGACTCCGGACCAAGCTAAATCACGAAGCTCTGATAAAGACACCGTACTCGCTTGAAGAATACGTTTAAATTTGTTAATTCTTGAAATTCGGGCAGAATGCTCTTCCCATTGGTTGGGTGGAGCATCAGAAGCAGGCGGGGAGTGGTTAATAAGATTTAAAGAGTTGGCCGGATCTGTGAATTTTGAGTTAGGTAGGCGACCAATAAAGAACATAAAGAAATAGGTGAGCTTACCTTTCAAAATTTCTTTATATTGCGGTCGAAGGATTTTGCCTTCGCTCTTTTTCGCCGATGGGTATAGGGATACACCTCGTTCTTCCGCAATGTCGGAGCTATTAGCTCGCTGTCGGCTTGCAAGCTCGTAATTCAGGCTCAAAGTATTGTTTCCAGATGTTGAATTATTTTTCTTGTTCCCAGAATCGCTCTTTCTCGTGCTTCTTCCCTTTTTGCGCATACTGGCAATGCTAGGGAGACCAAATTCATCTTCGTCATCATCATACACAATCTCGTCATAGTCATCTTCATCTAAAGTATCATTATCGTGTGTCCAACTCCCCGTATCTTGTGAATAAGCATTATTATAGGACTGATTGGGAGATGTGGTAGTACGAGCTGGGGGAGTTGTAGAGTGACGTTCCTGGCTTGTTGGAGGACCAGACCGTGGTGGAGTACGAGGTAGGACATGAGACATGCTTCTAAAACAAACGAATGCTAAATTAGCCATAAAGATACCAATGTACGACCAATAGTAATAAGTACGTACTTCAAAATATCAGCGTGAGAGTAGGACGCACCAACAACAGTGTTGGTGTCATAGGGCTTGTTGTTTCGTTGAACAGCCGCTGCCTTTGACTTCCAGAACGGGGACGTATTCCTTCTTCGAGGACGTTAGCAAATGGTAAAATTGAAATTGGATATAAGACAAAATAGCCATCACAAGCGTTGGAACAGGACTTCACATACTCAGAGCGGTCTGCCAAAATATTGGTCAAATATTAGCTAGACTAGTTTGTATGCCTTGGGTTGCAATTGAAGAAAACAGAGGTACGAACCAACCTGTACCATTTCCTGCTCATCACACCGCAAGGGTTAGCTCGTTCGTAGAGGAGGGGAAGCCAGAAAGCAGGACTGACCTGCTGTTGGGCCTTTTTGTTGGCCATCGCTGTGACCGGCTAGATATCTACCAGATGACAGCCCTTCGCAATATCAAGGAAGGGAGGATAGGCCAATTGATCTCTTATCATGCATGCTTATCAAGATCAATATACAACGATAGATGCTCTGGTGGCATGATGTAGGGCCGATAGCCGCTGCTGCCCCCGGAGCGCCATTCTGCCGGGCGGTCAACAGCTCCACTTTCCTCTGTCATCCACCTCAAGTGCTGGACAGCCCTTGTCAAACCTCACTCCCTACCTCAATCTACTGCAGCATCCCCCCAAAATAACACAACTTCACAGTCAGGTCATTTCATTTTTGACCTTGAACTGGGCTCACTTGAGGTGCACATACAATTATACAGGCTCTTCACGGGCCATCTCAGTCATTCTTCCTTGAGGCCAGCATAGAATCAGGATGACCGAGCCAGAAGATCTTGAAGAAGATCTTTTCGCTGACCTGTAGGTAATCAATCTTTCTGTATGCAAGGACATGCTAAGCAGTCATTCTTAAGGTATGATGCCGATGAGCAAGCCAACCAAGCTACCGCAACAGGAAACACTGCACAGCCGCCTGAACCAGCGTCGTTTCCTCCCCAACCAGACGAGTTCAATGAGGGCTATGGTGCCGATACCAAAAGTTTCGCGGTAAATGACACAACTCACAACCAGTACCCGCAAGAATTTCAGGCAGGTAGCATAGGATACGACAACGGTGTTCAGCATGCGGATATAACAGGCTCTGCAGATGCCGAACCTCAGGGAACAGGCATTAAAGAAGATGGGTAAGTGTATATTTCTATTATTCTCTGTCATTTGTTTTCCTTCTTGTGATCGTATTTTCGAATACGCCATCAGTCAACCTCTAGTTGGCGCAAAGGCGGCTGGTAAACACTGGTGTGGGTTTCATCTCTGCGATTTTGAAGAATGCTTTGCAAAGTGCATCGCAAGGGACAATTGCCGAGGACTTTTCTTCCATCTGTGAGCCGCGGCGGGTGTGTCAGTAAGGAAGTGCATATCAGGATGGATATGTTGATTTACCCGATACGGGGTTTGAGGGAGTGCATTAGGCATAGGATTCGGCCATGTGCTTTGCCTTGCTTTCGGCGGTGTATGTGCTAGGCTTCATATTCCATAACAACTACGATTTTGTGGGCAGGTTAGAAGGGGACACCCGGAGATCTGCGGACGTGCTACAATAGTGGTCAAAATTGACCCAGCATACTGTCAAAGTGCAGTCGATGAGAACTGAAGGCCACTGTGTCGTATTTGACGCGGCCGATGTCGTCAGCGACTATAGTACAGTTGATACTATATAGCTTCTTGTCGATACAGTTTGATAGAACAGAGCAGCATATAGACAATTCGACTGTCTCGCAATTGAAAAATATCGAGAAGCTTTATCTAGCTACCGCGGGAAATTAATTGGTTTACACAATCTGGACCAAGAAGAATTATCACCCATTTACACGGTCCAGCCAACCAATGCCGATTTGCGCCGCCTGAACTATATACTCTTTTTCAGTCTATCAACGCGTAAAAGTTCGCACAAACTCGAATTTTACTGGTGTTTTGCATCCCGTGATTGACAGCTAGACGCACTGCATGTTCTTTATACGACCATTTTAGCACGTAATTGACATTACGTGACCTGAAACTGTCGATGGAAACGTGTACACAATACTCTATCTGAAAGCTGAAACGTTGAATCCCATGTAAAAATGCAACAGCTCTGATCCCACAGAATGGTCACCCATTACCGCCACCATGTCGAGGACACACTTTTGAATATCCCCCATCTAATTGCTTTTGTTTTTTAACGTTATATTTGGACTCTGATTTGGAATGGTTCTGATCATCTAATTGTTGGTTATTGCAGGAAAATGTTTATCGGAGGACTCAATTGGGAGACTACAGATCGTATGAAACATTGCATATGTTCCTCTTTCGGTAGCTGTTTATTGACTGATTATGTCTTAGAATCTCTGAAGGACTATTTTTCACAATTTGGGGAAGTCCAAGAATGCACTGTCATGCGTGACAGCGCGACAGGAAGATCTAGAGGATTTGGCTTTCTCACGTTCAGAGACCCAAAGACTGTCAACACGGTGATGGTAAAGGAACATTACTTGGATGGAAAGATTGTAAGACACCACTTCGCCCTTCTAGCTTAATTTAGACCAGGACTAGGCTAATATTACGCGAAGATTGACCCAAAGCGTGCTATCCCTCGTGATGAGCAGGAAAAGACTAGTAAAATATTTGTGGGCGGAGTCAGTCAAGAGGCAACTGAACAGGACTTTAAACAATTTTTTATGCAGTTCGGTCGTGTGGTAGATGCGACTTTGATGATTGATAAAGACACTGGTCGGCCACGTGGATTCGGATTCGTTACGTTTGATAGCGAAGCTGCGGTAGAAGCAACGCTTTCACGGCCTTTGGAGATCCTGGGGAAAGCTATCGAGGTCAAGAAAGCCCAGCCAAGGAGCAACATGAGAGACGATGACGGGGGCAGGGGTCGTCGGGGCAGAGGTGATAGTCAGGGGATGGGTGAAGGCGGTCAACAACAGCAATCGGGTCAAGGTCAGGGGGGTATGGGTAGTGGTGTTAGCCCGCAAATGATGGCTCAATATTGGCAGAGGATGCAGCAGTATTTTACTATGATGCAGCAACAGATGGCAGTTGTGGCAGCCAATCAAGGTCAGGGTATGCCGGGAATGAATATGCCTGGGATGAATCCAGCCATGATGCAGCAAATGAAGCAGATGCAAATGGCTAGTGGTCAACAAGGAGGTCAATCACCAGGTGGAGGCCAACAAAGCATGCAGAACATGATGAACCCAGCTATGGTGCAGCAAATGCAACAGATGCAACAAATGCAGCAAATGCAAAACCAAGGTCAGGGTAACATGAGTGGGCAGATGGGAATGGGAGGAAACTACGCTGCCAACCGGACTGGGCCTGGTTATAATGCCCACGAACAATTGGCCTTTGAACAGCAGAAATACGAACAACAACAGGCTCGCCGGGTAATGGACAACCGTTCATTCTCTCCTTACCAACAAGGAGGCCCCACATCTTGGGAAGGCATGTACGACGAAGTTCCTCAGCCAAATATTCCGACAGGTCCTCAGGGACGCGGAAATGGGATGGGACGAGGTGCGAGTCAGACCCCAAACAAAGCAGGGTCATCTAAAAGTACAACTCCTCAGCCGATGAGTGCTGCCCCTGCAAATGCACCCACTGGTCCTAGGAACGCCGGCAGACCCGGGGCAAACTATCGTGGTGGAGGTCGTGGAGGTGGTCACAGAGGCTTTCATCCTTATGCACGATGAACTGAATCCATGCCCAACAAGGGGGTTGGTTCTCCCTAGTTCTAACATAATAACCCTCTTCATAAATCCACTTACATCGTTTACCCCAGGATAATAGTTAGAGGCTTGAAAATATCGACCAGCTTATTACTATGGACCTCGTTCATAACCTTCTTCATCGCACCCATGTATTTTTTCCCTTTTCCTTCGTTGAGTTTGGTCAGATGAAATGCAGTTTCACACTACTATACGGTGGTCACATTGAGTTTGTTGCTGTAAAGTGCTTTTTCTCTTTCTTTTTTACATGGGAGCTTTTCAACAGAAATGATATAATGCTTTAAAAAACTGGGTATTAATTAAATACTGCTATCAATGTATCTAAAGTTACTGTTGGAATTTAATCAATCATAATTACATCACGATTTTTCGTCTTGTTCGACGTATGCAATGTGGTACGAGAGGATTGAGGGCCCTCTTTCGTACCGAATCCACTATCCTTTGTGTCTTTGCGAGATGTTTGCTCTGCAGTACCAGCCGGTGGATGTTCCGAGACCACCGGAATAGACACATCTGAAAAACAAGAGTCAAGTTCAGAAAGCAGATTACCTACTTGTTCCACTTCGGCCACAGCGCCGTTTCCGAGACCGTGCCAGCCAAGTCCCTTTCCACGGTATATTTTTTCTTGCAGCTTTGCTGCAATAGGTTCGTCTGCTTCACGTCTGTCTTGCGATTTAGTTGTGTCTTTCAATGTCCAGATAATACGGTCACGGTGATATCCGGTTGTTAAAAGAAACCGGAATTGCAAAGCGGAGTACCGAATTTGGTAAGCTTTGGCACCCCGAACTGATATTTGTATATTTAAAGAGGGACTATGAAGAGGCTTAGTAACGAGGCGGTCCAAGGCGCGGAGTAGCGGGAGGGTAAGTCTGAGAAGTTGTAAAACCGAACCGATTCCAGTGCCCGAGCCGGTTCCATTCAAAATTGTTGCCAGGGACTGCCTGATCCGGCTGTGAGGATTTGGGCGATCAAATAAGATATCAAGGTTTAGACTGAAAAGCGATCCACTTTGCGAGCCAAACTTGGAAGGATCAACATCAGATATATTATCAGGCCCGTTCATATGAATTAATATGCTTGCCCGTAGGTCTTCATGTGGTCCGTAAACAAAAGACAGTCGTGAAAGAGATACGGTCTGTACAGTAGTCTTGTTCTGCTTGAGAGTTTCGAAAAGTGAAAGGATCATATTGAGTCGCTGTATTCGTTCACATAGATCAACAATAATTGTTTGACCTGGTGGAACGACAAAGCGCATTGCAAAGGCAGTGCCTCTCTGTCGGATAAGTACAGACTCGTCCAGTTTAGATGTCATAAGGCCCAATTTCCTCAAGGATCCATGGAAACGTCCATGTGCCATCACAATAGCATGTCTTGCTTGATGATCAAATCCATGATATGAGAGTGTGATAGGATGTTGGATATATGACTTGCCCTTGAGACCTGCTGGTGGGTGGATACGTAATGATTCAGGAAGTTTCTCCATCTGCAGATTTACATGGAGACATGGTACTTCCAAATTGGAAGAAAGTTGTAACTGTCCCACTGTTGGCAAAGAACTCAAACATGCCAACTCTGTCAGCCATAAAGCATTTGAGTGCATTACAAGGATACCGGTTAATGAGTAATCGAGGTCTGCGAAGAAGCGACTGGACAACTGCCGATACAGTAACCTGTTCCCTTCTAGAACCCGCGTGGATTGGATAGAAAATCCTCCTGCAGCTGGGCGATTTTGCTCGATTTGATTGGGGTTCGAAGGAGGTCGTGGTTTGAGATGGAGTATCCACCAGTCATCGCCATTAAGACTGGTGGTTGCCGCAATGATCCATGATGCGCCCCACACACGATTGCGGAAGAAAGAAGCGCGTAGAATATTGTTAGGGAAAAGTCGCCGTATATCAACTTTGAATCTCCGATGATCAATGATTTCCCATCCAATGACTTTTGCATTAGACTCAATTTCCTCCATCGCAGCAATGCAACGAAGTCGAGATATGCGAGCAGCAAGGTCGTCCTCTGCAGCAACCCCCTTCTCAAGGCGAGATAAAAGTGACGGTTTGGTATGTATAGATATGGAACCAGAAACGGGTTCTAAGGATGCATCAAGATGGCGGGATGGAGTTAGTTGCACGTGAAGACAGCAACTTCCAGGTTCAACCGTAGACATTTGAACTTTGATTGAAAGCTGACGGTTGGCAAACAAGGTTTCGGATCGGATACGATCGTAAGCTGAAAGAAGTGAATGAGAGGTATGGATGGCGATCACGCTGCGCAAAATAGACTCCATGGAGAGGGTTTCCATATCAAATACGACGTCCGATGAGTCAACTACTTTTCCTTCGCGGATCCAACGAAGGCCAATATAAGGGATTTGCCGATGTTGCTGACGACCACTTTGAACACCAATTTCTACCCAGCTTTTAGATCCAACTTTGTCCGGCCAGTACTGTACCACTAGGATGCGATGCAACAACTCGACGCGCAAAGCGCCTGCCCACTGCCCTCTTGATAGGTCAATCGCCTGTTTAAAAAGGATACTTATCTTGTTCACAAGAACAAGATTGTGGACAAAGTCAAAGCAGCCCGCTAGGCCGTGTGATTTTAGAATATTGTTGATCCGTACGTCAAGTTCGTTAAAAAAACGGCCTTTCGGTATAGGGGAGGATGGTGTGAAGAGGAAGCGAATGTCAATGAAATAAAATTGAGAAAGAGGATCTTCCTCGGCAATTGATAGATCGATTTCAAACTCTTTGTGCACGAAAAATGTGACGCGGCCATCGTGAACGTGGTAATTATTCATCGAGACCGGTATTGAATCAAACGTCACTAGGCGTGTACTGATAATTCGATTTATTTTCTGCAAGGTTTTCAAGAGGCGTCTGGCACTTAGCGGCTTTGGAGGCTTATAGCCAAGCTAAAGGGAATCATATTAGTAGTGTGGGAATAAATGTGGTGACAATGCTTACATCTGACATGTTAGCAATACGGCCTGTCGTTAAGATTTCTAAGGCTGTTTCTAAGTCTGGGTTTGCAACCTGAGCCCTCACTAGATCCCTCTTCATATCTGCCACTCGTTGAATCGCAGCTTGATATGCCATATGCCGCACCCTAATAAAGCTTTGCAATTCAATCAGCTTACTGACATCCTCAGCTTGGCGGCTCCATTGAGACAGCACTAGAAGCTTGATGAATTCAGTCCTTTTCGATTGTGCAAATTCTAGAAGTCGGACTTTCTTCTGCACATTCTCCGTTGTTTGATTTCCCAAGGCCTTGCCATTAGCAAGAGCCGCTTGCGATGGCTGTGATGCAACATTGATCTCTGCTAATTCGGTAACCAATTCTGAGAGCTCGTTCCAACACTGCTGGACAGCCCTGTTTACTAGTTGCGCGAAAGGAAAAAATCCGTGTGTGATATGCAAAAGCTCCGGGGGGTTTTGCCATTGTGTTATATCAGGAATAACAGCAGTATGTTTTTCCTGTTTCTGTATTGTTAAGGAGTTGAAAGATTCGCTTTCTTTCGGACCATTTCCGTATTGTAACGCCTTGCCTGAGGTTCCTGTCTCGCCATTTTGTTTATGCGACAGATCTGTTGCCCTATCTCGACCGTGGCTATCATGTGAATTCGCCCATTGTCTGGATCCACTCGCGCTGGCATCGTCCATGACGAGACCAGGCATTACTGGGATCAGTCTACCGTACGACCTTCCAGTGAGCGTCGCCTTTGGACAAGCACAGCTTAAGTAGCATATACTCGTCTCACGGTTGGTAATGTTTCAGTGGTATGACATCCAGAAGATTTCGACGGCTCATGTAATCTTACACTGGTTTAGGTAGTGTTCGGAGTATGTGAGAATGGGTCGAAAGTAAAGCACCGGCACGGCGCGGAGCGTGCGACTTCGGGCCTTCAGATGGGTTCTGCGAAGGGTATCGAGAAAGAATATAGAGTCTGGAGTCTAAATCGGAGCAGAGAATTCTTGGTACAGGAGTATCGGTGGTCTCGCAAAAGACAGCGTCCAGGCCGATCCCTTTCGCCTGCAAACAAAGAGCATGCGCTTGCAGAGCAACCGCAAGTTGGCAGACGAAAAACGAGTGAACATAAAATCAGAAGTCGAAGAGCGTCAACAACGGTGTGAAAGAAAGGAAAATCGCAGCTTGAGCTTGCGCGGTCAATTAGATCATCGCCGGCGGACTGCTTTCATGAAGGCAGGTGCGATGTGACGGCGCTTGGCGGCAAGTGCGACGCCAGGAAGGAGCAGTGCTGCCTGAGGCATATATTATGGCTGGCCCCCGTCGTTCGTATGATGATAACACAAAATTAGTTGATTAGTTAATTAACCCAGTAAAGTTCTCCCCAAAACGCTCTACTACTGGTTCCTGCTCTCTTGCCCCTCATCTTATCCTCTGTTTCTTTTCACCCTCACTCCTGTCCTTGAACATGCGCCGTCCATCACCTGTACGGCCTGTAACGTAGAATACACAGTGGAGCCGGGCCATGCCATGATCACGCGCGCCCCATTCGCTGGGATTGAAAGTTAATCGCTTGGCGCTAACAACCTGTTTTGGGCAGACCTAGTGACTTAGCAGGTTATTATGAGCTAACTACTAATTACGCCTCCTCCACTGCAACTCTTCATATACCCAATGTTAATCATCATAATAATGAGTTCCAGGTCTCCTATGGCTTCCTCCTGATAGTGACCGAGGCCGTCCTACAGCACTCAGCATCTACTTTTTCTATTCAGCGATGCGTCATTCGGTTTCGCCGGTTCCGGACCTAACGATCTCATGATGTCGCAGAACGAACCGTTACTTCCTCCCCAGTACCCGGGCGACGACACCAGACCAACCAGCAGAAAAGAGCTGGCGGGCTGGTACAGCTATGGCTGGGCCGCGGAAGTCTTTGTTGTGTGTGCAATGGGTATTATCATCTAGCCTGTTCACAATTAACGGAAGCCTATCACTAACCTCACTGTTCATTGCAGGCTCTTTCCTTCCCATGACTCTGGAACAAATGGCTCGGGATAGGGGTCACCTCGTAACAGATAGGAGCCAACGCTGTCAACCGAGTCAAACAGTCGGCCTACTAAGTTATTACAATGAGGTGATGAAGCCGGAGCGCCCGATGCAATGCGTCGTCGACTTCTTGGGGCTTGAGATTAATACTGCAAGCTTTGCTATGTACACATTCTCAATCAGTGTGTTGATACAAGCACTGCTTATAATAACCATGTCTGGGGCTGCAGACCATGGTAGTTATAGGAAATCTCTTTTGGTTGTGTTTGCTTTCGTCGGCTCTGTTTCAACGATGCTCTTTATTGCTATACAGCCTCAATTCTATGTAATAGCAGCACTTGTAGCAATTGTTGCAAATAGCTGTTTCGGCTCATCCTTTGTGCTTCTCAACTCTTTTCTTCCTCTTCTCGTCCGACACCATCCCTCGATGTTACAGGAAGTCGCGGAAGCGCCTCGGGTTGAGCAACCCGATGAGACTGTTGACTCCTCTCCGATTCCTAGCGTTAATACACCGCTGCTTCAATCTCAACAAGGCTTGAATGCGGCCGCAATATCTAGAGGCATTGAGACAGACGGTTTGAACCGGCCAACATCTGCTCTACAACTCTCTACGGGGATTTCCTCCTATGGTATGGGAATCAGCTATATCGGAGCTGTCCTACTACAGGTCATTTGCATTTTAGTGGTCCAGCTCACTCATCAGACAACCTTCTCATTGCGTCTGGTCATGTTCCTCATTGGACTCTGGTGGTTTCTGTTCACTATTCCTTCGACGATATGGTTAAGACCCCGCCCAGGACCACCACTTCCGTTGCCAGAGTCAGGCAAAGGTCGTCGTACATGGTTCGGCTACATGGTGTATTCCTGGACGGCACTTGGTAAAACCATCATGCGAGCGCGGCGTCTCAAAGATGTTGGATTGTTTCTCGCGGCTTGGTTTCTTCTAAGCGATGGAATTGCAACTGTCAGCGGGACTGCTATATTGTTCGCCAAAACTGAGCTTCATATGCAGCCTGCTGCACTAGGCTTGATCAGTGTGATTGGAACAGTATCTGGTTTCGTTGGAGCGTTTTCCTGGAGTTATGTCTCTCGCTATTTCGCCATTCGTACCGAAAGAACCATCATTGCTTGCATCTGCTTGTTGGAACTCATTCCACTATACGGCCTTCTAGGCTACATTCCTGGAATCCAAAAACTCGGGTTCCTAGGACTACAACAGCCCTGGGAAGTGTTTCCATTAGGGGCTATTTATGGTCTCACAATGGGTGGGCTGTCTGCATATTGCCGTAGTCTGTTCGGAGAGTTAATCCCTCCTGGCTACGAGACGGCATTTTTTGCACTTTATGCTATCACCGACAAAGGCTCAAGCGTATTTGGTCCTGCCATTGTAGGCGCGATTACGGGTCGCTATGGTCAGATCAGGCCGGCATTTGCGTTCTTGGCCATTTTGATATTTCTTGCCTTGCCATTGATGCTGCTTGTCGATGTAGAACGTGGGAAGCGAGATGCAATGGCTTTGGCTAGTGAATTGGATGAACGAGAAAGTGAATAAACGACTGTGTACAGAGAACCCTTGAGAGCTATTGAGCTGCCATAAGCTGCAATAAAACTGGTATTTCAATGTTTGTGCTGCGTTTTGATGTCGAGTAAATTGGGGCAAATCCACGTTGTTGTCATGGTCTTCTGTTAGAGTATGCATTGCAATACGCAATTCTCGGTTCTTCTTTCTCAACTAATAGTACTCAGCTTCATCTCATGCAACTATTGAATAGCATCACAAGTGTCAAAACAGGCACAGTTCCCATTGGAATTCGAGATTCGAGAGGCTCCATGAAGTGTGAAGCGACGTGCTACTAAGTATAGTTTTCAAGACCCGCTGGCGGCCGGAGTCCGGAACAGAGTGGCTCAGCCAATGGGACATCTCCAGCCTGTGTTGATACTTGATAGGCTTATGAAGCACTTCAGGTGGTAAGAGCGAGGGTTTTCCGTTGCTAAGTGCCTCGTGTTTAGATGGACCGGGTTCGTACTCGTATTCATTAGCTATGTTTTTACGTACAAGTATGAAAGGCACGTAGTTGGACGGATTCCTCATCATGGCTCCTACATACTGCGGCCAGACAGACCTCTTCCCGACATCTGATGCCGATAATGGAATTGAGCTGGATAAAAGACACCTGGAATCTGCAGGATACCGACTGCAGAGTGTCTCATGGGCAATTATTCTTCCGTCCTCTTGATTCTGGTTAAGGAAAGATGGTTAATAGTTATTAAATAGCGATCAAATCACTTTGCGCGCTGGTCACCCTTGCTTGTTAAAGCGGCGCCAAGCCCGGCTCCTCCACGCGCTTCCCGTTTCAGTAAAGAACAAACTGTCCTTTGGAAGCTGCTCGTTCTTATTAACAGCCGCCTCATCTCTTGTTCCTCCCCGTGCGTTGCAGTTTCCCATCTCTGCTATCTGTCACCTGTCATTTCTTTTCACCTGCACAAGACAGAAGGGAGACTCATTGCATTTTATCTCTCTTTTATTCACCCCGTGTCTTCCTACTGCTGTTTTATCGGGGGCTTGTCTTATCTAGTTCTCTTACACTTACATCATGCGCTCCTTCTACTCACTGGCCCTGGGTCTCCTAGGAGCCTCGGCCGTCGTGTCCGCCAGCGATGCTGAAGAGTCAAATGTCCTGTCATTAACTAAAGACACTTTCTCAGACTTCATCAAGGAACACGATCTTGTCCTGGCAGAGTTCTTTGCGCCCTGGTGTGGTCACTGCAAGGCACTGGCACCCGAGTATGAGGTTGCTGCCACTGAACTAAAAGATAAGAATATACCCCTGGTCAAAGTGGACTGCACAGAAGAGGCAGACCTCTGCCAAGAATGGGGCGTTGAAGGTTATCCTACTCTGAAGATCTTCCGTGGACTGAATTCCGTCAAGCCTTACGCTGGCGCACGCAAGACTGGAGCGTAAGTTCTCGTCCAAAATACTGTTTTATGCGCTTTCATGTAACAGTGATATCTAGCCTCGTCTCCTATATGGTCAAGCAGTCGCTTCCAGCTGTATCTCCAGTTAACGAGGAAAACCTCGAGGAGTTTAAGAGCTTAGACAAAGTCGTCATCATCGGATACATCCCTTCGGACAACAAGAAAGTCAACGAGGCATACACTAGTCTAGCCGATTCGGAGCGTGACAATTTCCTGTTTGGCTCTAGCGATGACGCAGCTATTGCCGAGGCCGAGGGTGTCGAGCAACCCTCGATTGTCCTCTACAAGGACTTTGACGAGAAGAAGGCGGTTTACGACGGCAAGCTGGATTCTGAGAGCATTCTTGCCTGGATCAAGACAGCTAGCACACCTTTGGTCGGCGAGCTTGGTCCCGAGACCTACACCTCGTACATCAAGGCTGGAATCCCATTGGCTTATATCTTCGCTGAGACTCCCGAGGAGCTTCAGAAGTATGCCGAGGAGTTCCGTCCAGTTGCTGAGAAACACCGCGGAAAGATCAACTTCGCTACTATTGACGCCAAGGCGTTTGGTGCTCACGCTGGAAACCTCAACCTTGACCCTGCTACATTCCCTGCCTTCGCTATTCAAGATACCGAGAAGAACCTCAAGTTCCCATTCGACCAGTCTAAGGAGTTCAATGTGGAAGACATTAGCAAGTTTGTGCAAGATGTCGTTGATGGTAAAGTTGAGCCAAGCATCAAGTCTGAGCCCATTCCGGAGACCCAGGAAGGACCTGTTACTGTCGTCGTGGCCCACTCATACCAAGAACTGGTCATCGACAATGACAAGGATGTTCTCGTCGAGTATTATGCCCCATGGTGTGGACACTGCAAAGCGTAAGCGCCCTTTTCTCCCCGAGTCCCGTCTACCCTTTGGCACGAAATCCCAAATGTTGCGGGAGGACGGTTGAACAACACAAAATATAAATGTTTGCTAATTCTATTTACAGTCTGGCCCCCAAATATGAACAACTCGCCAAGGTCTATGCCGAGAACCCCGAATATGCCTCTAAGGTGACTGTCGCTAAGATTGACGCAACTGCCAACGACATTCCAGAGACAATTCAAGGCTTCCCTACGATTAAATTGTTCCCCGCCGGCTCCAAGGACCAGCCAGTGGAATATTCCGGCTCGAGAAGCATTGAGGACCTGGCTACATTCATCAAGGAAAAGGGTAAACATCAAGTTGATGCCGTTGACGAGGTCTCTCAGCCTGAGGAAGGCGGTGTCACCTCCTCTACCAGCTCTGCTGCCCCAACTCAGACCGAGTCGGCTGCTAGCGAGGCTAGCGAGGAGCCTGCCACCGCTGATCATGATGAACTGTAGTTTATGTCCTTTGAGTTGAAACAACATATTTTTCTATTCTTAACAATGTATTTCCTATGCTCGGTTAAATTGTCTTGCGGTAGTCACACTCCACACGTAGCAGCTTCGTTTTTATGACATGACCGCAAGTGTTTTGTTCAGCGATATTTCAGTTCCGTGCAACAGAATCTATTAACCGTGTATGTATGTATTACATTAGGATCTTTGTCCTGAAAAAAACTCGGCTGGCTTAGCTACTTGATAATTTCACTCCAAACAATGAACGCCCAATAATAACCCCGAAACGAAGAGACAAAGCGAGAATCCAATAATCCATCATGTCGAAAAACTAACATGATATAAACAACCAAAAATATTAGAAACTATGGATTCAGAATGGGCACGAAGATACATCTACTTCGCCTCCTTCACTTGTCATTCTTGGGATCTGATTCTTCTTTATCAGAAGGCTCATGAATCGAAACTGGATCACTTTCAGCAGCGGCCAAAGCTTCGAGCGCGTCAATATCATCCGCATCAGATAGTGAATCAGGTTCCGCGGGAACGCCGGCTTCCACGTTATCCTTCAAGTCGGCAGAGGCGGGTTGCTTGTTTGCATTTTTGCTTTCAATAAGAGGCTCAACCTGCTCTTGACTGGCAGCCGGGTTTGCGGGCAAAACAGGTTTCTTTGGGTTTAGACTCCATTCAATCATTGCATCTTCTCCGTAACGCTCGGCGAGCCACTCGTTACATAGCTTAAAATGGCGATTGGTGAACTAAGAAAATCACCATTAGTAAGAAGAATATAAGTTGATCAATAGGCGTAGGAGTAGAGATAAAACATACAAACCCGTTTTTAGCACTAAAAGGGCTTGGATGGACAGACTGCAACACATTGTGCCTTTCCTTGTTGATTGCGGCGACCCTTTTACCGGCAGGAGTTCCCCAGGCCAAAAACACTACACCGCGGGTCCTTACTTTTGCAACTGTATCAATAGCCTTCTGTGTGAACCGTTCCCAGCCACGACCCGCATGACTGTTTGGGTTGTGGGCTCGGACTGTGAGACAAGTGTTGAGCATGAGAACGCCACGCTCGGCCCAGGGTGTCAACAAGCCATCAGTGGCAGGGATCTCAAAGGATGGGTAGTCGTTCTTAATGCAAATATATATGTTTCGCAAAGACGGAGGAGCTTTCGTTGGTGGGCGGACCGAGAAGCAAAGGCCATGAGCTTGGTTATGGTTATGATAAGGATCTTGGCCGAGAATGACTGCTTTGACAGTATGCAAAGGAGTATGGCGAGACCTGGTTCTGTCAGTCAAGACAACGGGTTGCAAGGAACGGCGAAGAATGCTTACCATGAATAGATGTCTTTTTCTGGAGGGAATATAGTAGCACCTGAATCCCTCTCCTTTTTGATGAAGCGTTTCAGGTTCAGGAATTCAGGAGTGACCACCTCTTCCTTGAGATGGGCTAGCCAGCTCTCGTCAAGCGTATCAATCTCCAGCTGCAGCAGCTCCTTTTGCTCGGCGGTTAACGATGCCACCCATTTCTCTTTATTGAATCTAAATACGGAAGGAGGTGGAGCAGTCGCTGCACCTTGAGAGGCATTTGGTTTTGGCTTTGGCGCTCCAAAGAACGAGGTAATGCTGGCATTAGCCTTTTGCTTCTTTGCAGCAGTGGTCGCTGCTGAGCTAGAGATCTGGTTTGCGCTGCGCTTGAGGGATGACATGTTGAACAGACAGTCGAAGTGAAGGGGCACGGGAATAGGCAGGGCACGAAATGAGTTGTCGTCAGCTTTACCTGCGAGGATGGCTTGTGGTACGTGACGTGTGTATTCGGAGCCTCAACAGCATGTTTGAGCCATGGCAAGACCGCGACGCGCGAGTCGTACGCGTAGAACACTCGGAGTAGTTAGTCCAGATGTGGTTAGACTGTCGTTCAATTATTTCACGCAGCCATAGGCAGTAGGCGTATCGGACACAAGTTTGAATATAGTATCAAGATTTTCTCCCTTGCACCTACATTTATACCAATTGAGGCCAGGTTGAAAATATAGACTTCTTGGAGATTCCACTCATAGACAATACAAAATGTTCACATATATTAGTATTGCTCTAGCATTTACCACCCGTTCCTTACTCAGCACGGCAAGGCTCGTTCGCTTTCTCAAACACACCAGAGTCCAGACAGTGCAGGGCTCATGCAGTTTATGCCGATCAACAGGCCTCAGCAAATGAAAGAACCGGGCTTCCATCAAGCAAATATCGCTAACAGCATCCAACACTCTGGTCTGGCCGTGATTGGCTGGCTGCCCAACCCGCAATCACAAGAACTGCCATCTGCCGAGCTTCATCGAGCCATTTCCATCGACGCTGTCACGCCGTGCTGCTCTGCCATCCGATCCTTAGGCCAGGATAGGAGGCAATCGAGATGATCCAAGACTCCGCTGGTTCCCTTCGACGCCTCAAGCTTTAGCCTGTCCGTAGATTAAATTACAAGTGTAGCCAGCCCACCGCGCCGTCTGCGGGGCTTGCTGCCAGGGACCGCGCGCATCGGCCAATCGTACATCCAGGCACACGGGATAAGGACCGGCACTGGCGAATGTGGCGATAGACCAACATTATGGTGGCCTTGTTTAAGATTGTCCAGCTTGATTCTGAGGGCCGCCATGGCTCTATCGGCACACTAGCGGGGGCATCGATGTCGGTCCAGGTTTGGGTTTGGGGCGGAGAGGCGTCCGAAGCATACGTAGTTCTATTATTACGATTGCTACCGCCTCAATAGTAATATTGGCTCTCTCATCCTCGGCCGCTTTGTGTCTTCCCCTCGTTCATTACTGCTTCGTGTCTTTTCCTTTGCCTACCAGCTGGCACTTTCGCCCTCTACCGGTCCGATGACTGGCTTCAGCAGTCTGGGTAGGGTTGATCTTTAGCAAATGCAGCGCTCCGTCTAACATAGTGTAGGCGGTAGAAGGGCTGCCAAATCTTCCTATCATTAGCCATTATCCGGTTTTTTATACAAATACTACCGTCTATAGAAATCTATATGTAACGAAACCCGCCAGCATTGTGTCGCTTGTCAGCGCATCCATTCATTAACTATAGACAAACTGGTTTTCTTCAAACTGCAGCACGCAAAACGGCACCCGGAATTATTCAATCGTCTTCGAGACGCTACTCCAAAGTCCGTCAAATTATATAGTTGCCAATGAAATGTCCGCAACGTCGAGCGACAAAGAATGGCTAGAAAACGCCGAACAAGCAGAGTCCACTAACTCGCATGCAAGCGAGTATCCGACCCATCCGCTTTCCCAACTACAGGGACCATTCGAAGAGTCTATAACGGAGTCGGCCGACCCTAAGTACCTGCAATGGCAGGTGTTTATTGATACGCAGTCTCGGCGAGACCAGATTTTGACGTCACCTAAATATGAACGCCTTTGTGGGAGAAGATGGCGCCAAAGGCCGGGTGAGAGGTAAGGGATTTATTTGTCTAGCATTGGTAAATGCAGAGCCTCGTCATTGGTGCTAACCTGTTGGACGCAAGATATCACCCTCTTTGGAAGATCGTCGCTCAAATAAGCTTCGGTCTACATCTGCTCGCAAATGACCTAGCCAAGTCAGAGATCCACGTGGTCAAAATTCTCCAGACTCACGTATCCGATATCGATGGGTTTATTGAACGAACGACAGATGATCTCCAACTGGCTCTCAATGACATCACAGAACGTTTTGATCTCCTTCGATTACCACTCGAAAACTTGTCCATCTTCAGCGAGATGCTGGAGGATCCGACGTTCCGGCAGTCAGTTATTATAGATAACGAGCGAATCGAGCATATAATAACCCGCTCCACCTTAGCTATGGATGACTCATTAAAGGACATAAGAAAAGGTAACGAATCCGTCAATGGGCTTGCATTCTATATCAAAGAAGTAGGAAAAGAATGGGTTGATCGACCTCCCGAACTTGATCCTATTTGCGAAGCCATGGTGGGTAATGTCGACGGATGGAATCGCGAACTTAGACGCCTGAAAAGAAGTGTGCATAAGCTTGCTATAGCCTTGACACAAATGACCAGGTATTCACTGGAGATCCAAAGACTGGTCGGTGTGGCTAGCAGGAAAGGCGTGGTATTACCATCCTCCTTCCCTTCAATCAAATTGACCAAGAAATGCTGATTTCAAGAACAGGCATCGCCTCGCCCTATTCCCCGGAAACAGCCGCGGCTTCGGTTTCGAATGTCAACTGTTCGGGGCGGTTCGCCTACGGTGTTAGAGAAGCCCCTTCCTCATTATCCTCAAATTTCAGACCCACCTGTCCCTGAATCGCGCCCATCTTCTATCATCACCAAGAGTGATCACCCTATAATCCAATTTCCTACCACGACACTGTCCTTACCCTTGCGCGAAAGCGCAGTGCCAAACGAGTCGGAGAATCAACAGGATCCAGAAAGCGCAACAATCAAAACCAACGGTTTAAGTAGCGCTTTCAAACAACCGGATGCGTTTACGATACCGCGAAAACCTGTTCCTCGACAATCTCCTCCTACATTGGACTTGTTGAAGAACGACCATTTACCGGATGTCGAAGAAGAACATGATAACTCTGAAGATATAGTACAATCGTCCGAGCCTCCTTCGAACTCCTACGTGCCACCGAGAAACCCGATCAAGTCGTCTTCAAGAATAAGGACCCAACCTAGTCGGTTATACCGATCTGCATCAAAGACATTTTCGGTGATTTCCAACATGCGAAATGCTATCAAGGGTGATAACCAATCGAAGACTGACCCATTGAAATCACCTAATCTATCGGAACGCTCATGGATTGATTTCGAGCCCATAGAAAACAAAATGAGTTGGGCTCCCGACTCAGAAGACACAAATGCTTTCGAGTCCAAAAGTGATGTGTCACCCGAGTTCCCGCATCTGGGCTTTTTGACCATTTCTGAAGGCGAATCATCGAGTGATGGTGAAGACACTGAAGACAGCACGGATCTTGAAACGAATAGCGATGAAGAATCTCAGGTTACTGCATTGCCAAGCCTTGGATCCGTGTCAATCAACCACGATACTCCAGCATCGTGGTATGATGATACCGCGGCAGAGGTAGCATCTCTTTACTCGGTAAGAAGTCGAAAGCGCAAAAAAAGAGAGTCACACAAGCCACCTCCGCTTCCAATCCAGTCCTTTAGTGCTTTCAAAACCCCTGATTATGGTGATGGTGAATCTACCATAAATCATAGTCGTTCTTGGCTAGGCCTACAGACTCCATATTCCCTTCGTTCCAAAGAAGGCTCAGAGGCCCCGGAATCACCTTCAGCAGATACCTTCAAATCAGTGGATACACACAAGGCTCAAACAAACTGGATATCATCTACGAAATCCACCGCGTCATTTTCTTTATTCCCTCCATCCATTCGATCGCCTTCAACTGTCAATGGCTTTAACCAGACTCCGCCAATATCACCTAGAACCCTCCATAATCCGATGTCTTCAGCTCAAAGCACTAGACCTGGAACGGCCTCTGGTGGTGTTTCTTCCCGAGCGTTTACTTACTTAAGCGCTCCTACGAGCCTATCCTTTTTCAGCTTCAGTGAGAAGGAAGTTGTAAGGGAAAGTGGCAACAAGAAACCTACAGTTGTACAAGTGGAAGCAGAAAAGCCAACTCGAGGACCTGTTGCTAAATTTAAACCACGGCTCAAGAAATTTGCATCTACAACTTCACTCACGAGAAGCTTTCAGAATGCAAATATCAGCCAATTTAAAGTTGGGCCACGGTCAAATACTATGATTCCAGCCGACTTTACAGAATTCAAACGGCGGTGAAGTGAACCTTACAGCTCAACTGCTGGTTAAATGGGGCTTGATATGCCTAGATATCTAGTGGACATGACGATCCAATATAAAGACCCTTGACGGACCATCTTCCTAACAGGGCCACATACCAGGGACTTCTAGGGTTGGTCATCATATTTAATATCAGTGCCAAATGTGCTAAGAATATGTTAATCTATAAATATGGTTACATCTATAATACAGCCCTGCTATAATCTCGAATTGTACAATTAATGCTAAACGCTGACATATATATCAGGAAGTTTTTCAAATGTTTGTTAAACTGACTCCTGGCTCGCCAATGCTAACCCACATCAATTAATAAGTCTGTCGGACTCTTTTCCACTGGGCAATTAGGTTGTGGACACCTTAAAGCTCAGGGACTGGGACTACTCAGGTTGTCGTTTTTGAAAGCAACGAAAAAAGTGTTTATATTTTATTCACACCGTGTATGGTACCCAAATAATAAAATTTTGAATATATGCTTTGCCCAATGCAGTATTCTACTTGGCAGGAATATAGATTTCTTCATTGACACGCACTTAATTCGACTATTGGCTGGTAAAATATATCAACTGGTATCGTTGAGATATTATGTCTACACACACTCCTCTCTCGTATTCATAGCTTAATGAATCATAGACATTTTTGCGTTACTACCTGCTCTATATAGAACATACAACCCTAAAAAGAACAAGCCAAATTCGAGATCAAGACCCCCAATCCCATTGGAAAGAAAATATTAAAAAAAAAAAAAAAAAAGGCAACTCCGTCTTGTTTTGCTTTTTTTTTAGAACATCCCCATAAAAGCGAAGCGTAACATTTTTATTTGCACCGCTTTTCAACAATGTTAGGACCATGCTCGTCATATTCCTTCTTTGAGATCCACATTTGATGGAAAGTTCCCAAGCTAGCTAGAATGCTTCCTCCGATCCAAGAACCAAATCGCCGTTCAGCCGTGTTTCCTGGCGCTGATAGTCGCACCCGTGGACCGGGGAACATCTGCATCAATTCTTGATTCAGTCGGTCGGTGAAGCCATAAAGCAAGCTAGATGCACCGGTAACTACCACATTCTGCAACAAATGGGGTCGAATGTCAACATCAACAGCATGAAGAGCGGCTTTTATAAGTTCGGGGATGGTCTGGTTTAGAGTAGGTGCTGCAAATTCGGATTCTGAATCCGCGATGTGGGCTTTGATGTCGAACAATGACTCGGCGACACGGTAACGGTCGACTCCAAACACCTGGTTGTAGCCATCAGGGAATTCGAATGGTCGCCCAGGGCTGTTCTTGGCCATCTCTTCATTAGGAAGACCGTTCGGGCCGACAGCAGCAAGTCTGCCCGGCCCAGGCCAAACTTGCACTACAGATTCCTTAAACTCGGTCAGAGTGCGCTCCTCCAGCAGCTTCCTATATGATGCGTCGGGAGCCTTGTCAGGGGGGAACGTCTTGTACGTCGCTTGAGGGCGTTGACCTGCTTCAACGGCGGTTTTCGACGAAACCAAGTAGTGTGGAGTGATGGTGATTGGTTGAGGGGAATTGGATTTGAAGAAGGCGCGGATCTGCGATGAGATATAATCACCCCCTAGAGGCGAATGCTGAACACCACGCTTCAGCACCATTCCATCATGGACGGGCGTTACTGAGATGTTAGACGCTCCAATGTCGACAACTAGCGCTGAAGCTTTCCCGGAGGCAAACCTAGATGCTCAAGTTAGTAGTCGCTTTTGAAAAGCAAGGATATCATCTTTGCGCTCACGCTGCCAGGACACCATTCTTTGCGAGATAAAACGCGGGTGTTCCCCAATTTTCCATCGCAATCTCAATGGTTTTCTCGCGCGCCTTTGTGGGGTTCCAACCGCACTCCGTCATCAAAAGAGGGCTGTCTGCCAGAGGCTTCTCCTCTACCTCGACACCTTCCATGTCGGCCGGCAATTCGCCCTCGGGTACGTCATTAAGACCATTGAGCATTGGGTTTCCGGGCTTTGTCCCTGTCAACCTGGATTTAAAAGAGTACTCCCATAGTCTCTGGGCCGCATCCCAATCCTCCACAATCCCGTCTCGGCCAACCGGGTTATGAACTGAAATACCAGGGCGAGGGGTCACAAATATATCATCGCCGAAGAGAAACTTCTCCGAGTCTGCGATATACTTTCCGTAGTAGCTTGGAACGAGCGATTTTGGCGTGTCTTCACCGGCGAAACCAGCGCGTGTAGTCGAGTAACCAGGGTCTAGGACGATGGCAGACACCTCATCTAATACGTTGTTAGTGTTTTTGCAGACTTTCATTAGGTATCGCAACTAAGTGGCGATGGTAATTAAGCTTTCAAAGCATGGAAAAGGTACTTACCCCCGCCATACTCGGCGGCCGAAGGTGGAATAGAGGGATTCATGGTGAGCAACAGAGCCGAATGCTTTCAAAGTTCCAGAAGCTGCGCCGCGAAGCGAAATCCCACAATTCACCACAAGGCAAGCACTTGCATGGTATTAGCCAAGGTCGCTAGTTGAGCGCAGAAGAAGGGCGTCGTGGGAGCGTTGCGTTTGAGTCTTACCAGTTTTCTCTTTTCTCGGTGGGAGGATGGTGGTTGCTTGCATAGAGTCAAGTGCCAGCAAGATGCGCCGGAAACTCTATTTCTCCAGCCGGAGGACGACTCGTGGCTGGGCCCGCCGCCCAACATGAGCCATCTATCCATTATCTCTCTGACTACTGACACTACACGATAATAAAAAGAATCATAACCTCGACTTTTATGTTGGTTCGAACATTATAATTCCAGCTAGCGACGCATCATGGACGCAGATGTCGCTCAATCTCCCGTGGTCTCTTTTCGCCCAGTCAAGAGGCAAAAGTACATGCGCAAACGAACCCACGATGATCTACCGATACAAAGCCAGGCGACTCGGGAGCAAGAAGCAAGCCCGGCGCAAGATAGTTCGCTAGGGGAACAAGAACCCAGCGGAAACGATATTACAGGCAGCTCATCCAACGTGGTGCGGTTTCGAAAATCTCACAGGTTACGAAAGGGTGGAATCGAGTTTTCCACGAATAGAAAAGAGGATCTCGATCAGAACACTCAACTTGAATCGGCATTGGAGGAAACAGAGACGGACATTTTGAGGGCTAGATTCGACCGTTTCACAGCTCATACAGGGCAGCAGGTGGATGTTGACAAACATATGTACGTGCCCGTGCTTCTTGTAACAAACGATGGTCGCAAATGGGGACTAACAAGATAAGGATGGAATATATAGAATCGGAACTGTCTAAACGACAGAACCGCAGCCAAAGAGGCGAAGGATCTACTGCAGCTAGCCGTGCCGATACAGCAGATGCCAGTCACTTGCGCAAGGACTCGTTTTCCCGTCGTGAACCCGCTTCCTTGGGCAAGCTCCAGGAGATTGACCTTGGCCAAGAAGCAAAGTTACAGAATATCGCTCGTACTGAAGCTGCAACGCGACTCATGGTCGGTAATCCATCTCTGTCCGCAGTTGGTTCATCACCAAATAAGTCACAAGTCGGCAAGGATATACATATGGGGCGGAATCGAATGCGGAATTGTGAAGACCTTGAACGGGATAGACTAGTAGATGAAGTTTTACGAGAAAGCAAATGTAAGCGACCGGTTTATTGCTGGTATTGTGTTCTGCGGCTAACGATTTTCTAGTGGATGTATATGACGAGCCAGAGCAAGAGCTTTCACAGGAGGATCAAGCTGCAGACGACCGTATCGCCGAGCAGTTCCGCCGAGACTTCATGGAAGCTATACAGAGTAGACGCCGTACGCGCACTGCTCCAACTACTAATAATAGCAAAGTTGCTAAGCCAGAAGCGCCAAGGGGACCCAAGCTGGGTGGAAGCCGCAGTGCTCGGGCAGCAATGCGAGAAATGCAAGAGAAAATCAAAAAGAAACCAAGCTGAGATTCTCCACCCAGTCTAGATTGCGGCTTGGGCTATTGCCTCTATAAACCAAACCTTCAGGTTAAACCAAGAACCTAGGCGACGCTTGCTCAAATGGCATACCTTCTCGCATACAAACAAGGTGCTCCGTCGAGAGCCTGTGCGCTATGCAATTGGCGGCCATTGGACCGGTTCGCCCGTTTCATTCAGTTGAAATTTGAACAACAATGAATGGCCTTTGGTCGAATTCCCTCTTTCTACCTCGCGTTCGAACAGTCGAAACAGAAGCGGGACAGATACTTTGATTAGATACTTGATTAGAGTGTCCGAGCAGATACCTGCTCCATCCTACTTGATAGACAATACCTATCTTCTACCACTCGTGGCATTTTTTGGTCCAACAAGCATCTCAATGTTTTTCTGCTTGAGGCATCCTCGACTGGCTATAACGTAAAATCAACTGGTTCCGGGACAGCCGCGATCAGTATTGGATTCTGTAGTACTGTACTAATTGGTAACTATGTTCTGGAACCTGAGCAGTGAAGTAGTAGAATTCCAGGGGCAGTGCTAGATGCTGACCCCAACAGTCGAGCCAATTGGCGGTGGTTCTGGCCAGCCACAGTGGAGCGGGATGTTTGAGCTGGACGAGCCACAATCGTAAGATCAATCAGAATCGTCACGATACAGTCGCGGTATGTACGTGGACTTACGCTGTCAACCGGCTCATTCCTCGAAATGATGGGTCGTGTGGCGATCTCTAAAGGCGGTCCACTGCCGTGGTGGGCGAGTATGTTTACACCTACCCGGTGCCGGACAAAGCGCGAAATGTTGAGGACTGGAGTCTGCACAAAGGCTAAGCCCCCTGGCTGTCTCAGTGACTTGCTCACCGGATCGTGATTTTGTGAGATTCTTGGCCATGGTACCTGTGGGCAGCTGGTTCTCAAACTTCTCAAAGACAGCACAGGCTGGGTAGACTCATGTCGCAGGATCAAGAGAAGCGTAGATGGAGGGAGATCACAGCGTCAATGACGTCTGCTAGAGAGAGGGCCTAAGCCAGTCGACCTGGCTCGAGGCGCGCAGGATGAAACAAGACAAACCAGACGATCGCAGAGTCCAGACGGTAGATCCAACGCTACCGGCGCCTCTAGACTGCGGATGTCTAATAGTAGCAGCCAATATACCGCCATTACTGCCATTACCATACATACAGCGCGGCGCCTGCCGCGAATACTGCCTCCAAACATACCAATAGCGCCAATACCAACAATAATGTGCTCCGTGCTCCGCTTTTCGCTTTTTATACCAACACAAACATTGCTCTGTTTCTTTCCTCTCTATATTCATCATTATTGTTCTTGTTCCTGTTATTGCTATCCCTGTGCCTGTTACTATTCTTACCAGGCGCCCCTCTCTCGTTCTGCATCATCGTCTCGTTCGTTGCTCTCGTTTGTAAACCCTTTCCTTCTGTCCTCCTCGCTCTCCACCATCCATCGGGGGAGCTGTCAGAACGCCTCGCTTGGCAATAATGTGTCTGGCTTGACAATCCATCTTTCTTTCAATTGGCTTGCCCTGCCAATTTGAAAAATATTGCTTCTTAATATTATCAGCGCCTACTTTCTTTCTCACAGGTTGATCCTGCTTAGCTACTCTAGATTTCCTCTTTTCTTTCGCTATCAACCCATCACTTAGCGATGCACGCGCGATGGTGGACGGCTTCGGCCGTGATTACCCTCTTGCATACGCCCCTGCATGTCCTGGCTACTGATGTCCTCAAAACTGACGGCTACTCGCTCTGTGCCCAGAGCTCGGCCATTCAAGTACAACAGTTCAGCATCCAGTATGACCGCAGCACAGAACAAATCACATTCGACGTCGCCGGTACCAGCAACAAAATGCAAAATGTGACTGTCTCTCTATACGTCAGCGCTTATGGGAAACAGGTTTACCAGAAAGACTTCAACCCCTGCGACACAGATTCCAAAGTCGTGGAGCTTTGCCCGTTGCCCGCCGGTACCTTCTCTGCTCAGGGAAACCAATCCGTTCCCTCAGATTATGCCGGCATGATTCCTTCCATAGCCTTTTCGGTGCCCGATCTGGACGGAGAAGCAAAGCTTGAGCTCAAGGCTGCGGACACTGGAAATGAGATTGCCTGTATCGAATCGTCGGTTACCAACGGTAAAACTCTTCAGCTCGCTGCTGTGTCCTATGCTGCAGTTGGTATACTCGCTGCATCCTTGTTACTCAGCGGCTTGAGTGCCTTGGGGACCGCAGGTCACCCTGGGGCCGCTCCCGCCAGCCCCAGTTTTGCCCAGGTCGCCGGCTGGTTCCAGACCATGGCCACTGGTGGCATGATGAGTGTACCCTATCCGGCTGTGTATCGAAACTTCGCATCCAACTTTGCTTTTACCACCGGACTTGTTCCCTGGGGCCAAATGCAGAACTCTATCGACCATTTCCGAAACATAACCGGTGGTAACCTGACTGCCAATAGCTACGAGTATTTGAGGAATGCTACTCTTCATTACTATGGCGATAACGATTCTACAAGTACTACGACAAAACGTGCCTTTGCTGAGCTGTTAGAGCGAGCTGCCTTGTTTTCTCGAGACGTGTCGACTTCGGTTAATAGCACTGGAAATGATACTGCGTCTAATGCGACAAGTGGTATTCAACACACGCTTCAAGGTATCCAGGCATACTCCGAACAGCTCTCCATCCCGTCCTCCAGTATCTTCATGACTGTTCTTTTGTCTTTCGCCATTGTCATGGCAGCCGTTGCTGTAGGAATCTTGCTCTTGAAAGTCATTCTCGAAACTTGGGCACTCTACGGCTCGTTTCCCGCCAGTCTCACTGACTTCCGAAAGCATTATTGGGGTCTTCTTGGCCGGACCATTACAAACTTGATTCTTATTATCTATGGCATATGGGTGCTCTACTGCGTCTACCAATTCACTCGTGGTGATTCATGGGCCGCAAAGTTGCTAGCAGGTTTGACTCTAGCCATGTTCACCGCGCTCTTACTAGCCTTCACCGTTAGAATCGCACAACTTGCCCGTCGATACAAGAAATCGGAAGGAGACACCTCAGTTCTATATGAAGATCGAAAGGTTTGGAGACGTTACAGTTTATTCTACGACAGTTACAAACGAGACTATTGGTATATATTCATTCCAGTTATTGCGTACTCTTTAATCAAGGGCTGCATCATTGCTGGTGGTGATGGCCACGGTCTTTTCCAAACGGGCGGCCAGTTGGTTGTTGAATCTTTGATGATGATTCTGTTGTTGTGGAGCCGACCATACGTTGCAAAGTCAAGCCAATGGATCAATCTCGTGATCCAGGCCGTTCGGGTCCTTTCTGTGGTGTGCATTTTGATATTTGTACAGGAATTGGGCTTTTCGAAAACCACAAAAACTATCACTGGAATCGTTCTCATTGCTGTCCAGTCGACTCTCACGGGTGTACTAGCCATTCTCATCGCCATCAATGCGTTGATCAACTGTATCCGAAAGAATCCCCATGCCAAGCTGAGGGAACGTAATGGTATGCTATCCCAACCTTTTTGCAGACAACATTTACTAATGTCTTACTACAGAGAAACTAGACCATGATATGGACAACCTCACAGCCCTCGACGCGCGGAACTCACTACTTATGGACGGCCCTCGTTCCCGAGCTGACATTTACGAGGCTGGCAAATACAATACCACTGGACCTTTTGAACCCTACCGCGATCAGTTCGCTCATTCTCATGGCCGTGAGAAGAGTACCGATCGTTTGATCTCGACTAACTCCTTCTATCGCGGTCATCACCAGTATTCTCGCAGCACCGACCGAGGTCGCAGTCCTAGTCCTGAAGAAGCCCATCATCAACCTCAGTCTTTTGGAGTTGCTTTATAAGCGGAAAAGCTTCTTGCATTTTAATAGCAGGCGATTTTTTTGTTTTTTGTTTTTTTTTACTTTGTACCTGCTGATTTTTCGTTCTGGATCTTAGACCTACTGCATCTTTCTCTAATTCAATGTTAATAGTTCTACATAGGTGACTTTAGCTGATGGGAATGACCGGTTTTCTCTACAGTAACTGCTTGCTTATACATCGAAGTGGAGTTTGGGTTAGGAAATAGTCTATTATATACTCTTCTAGCATTCTGTCCAGGATACTTCTAAGCAACTTTAGCCTTGTTCTTTGCGCCCTTGCACATCTCTTATCGAAGTAAATAGTGTCATAAACTGCAAAATTTCTACAGTCGGCTCAGCGTCCCATATCACAAACGTCGCCGGAAACAATAAATCTGTACGAAAAACACAAGGCTAAATCATTACTAGAAGATGCACGCTTATATGACTTGAGCTTCACAAACAGTTCACATGCTACATAAAACAAATCTAAAATCTCATTGCCACATCAAATTATTCTAATCTAATTCCCCCTTTGCCTGACCCTCGCACGGTTCTTCAAGACATCGTATTCCAGCCATGTCGCAGGACCCCGCTTGCCATCTGATAGTAATCTTCCAGGATTCATAGTATGACAGCCCTCGTACGTAATTGCAAAGGCGGGTGACTCGCTATCAGCAAGGACAAGAGCGGTCGGAAGGGGGTATAGTTGGATAGAAGAAGCGTAATCCCATAAAACCGGCCGCGATGTCAAGGGGGATGGAGATAGATTTCCCTGGTCTAAAACAGTCTTCACCAATTTTCTGGTAGCAAGGACAGAAGGCGATTCCGAATTTTTATCCTCTGCATCATCCTTCATGACGGTGTCGTCAACTGACATTCCGGCAAGGTTGGAATGATCTGTCCCTTCCGGCTGTGAAGCACGCTCGCTAAAAGTCACACTACTACGTCGTAATCGGCCCGAAATGTCGTCACGGAACACGACAATCTCATGAACTGGGCCGAAAATAGAAACTCGTGCGGGATTTGATGTCCAAATGGCCTCACCCGGTATAGAATTTGTGCTGGAGCCATCATATTCGTTGTTGGCCACGGTGAAAGCACGCTTTACTCTGGAAGTGAATAGCTCTGGGATGGGTTTGCATGGAATAGGGCTGGCAGCACCAGTAGAGAATGAAGAGGCCCAGGGATCACTGTCTCCTGGAACGAATATAAATGTCGTATGCCGCAAAAGAGCCGGAAACTCGGAAAGTAGCGAAGCCAGGGTGTCGAAGCATTCTTTATACTCAATGCTATTCCCACCACTGCCTTGCCCAAATCCAACTTTCTCGATGAAGTTTCCAATCATAACAAAGCCAAGAGGTAACTCTTCAAAGGGTAAGGCATTGTATATCTTGAACACGTGCCTTAATGCGTCAAAGGTGTTCATGTTATCCAAGTTGACCTCGCCCATGATAACCATATTTCTCCGATTATTCTCGCTTTCTCCGCTTGTATTGTGGCGCAAATATCGATTTTCAAGTTTTCTCATGCGTTGGCCTTGAGCACGTTCGCTTCCAACACCTAAAAAGTCGATCCAGCCAAACCCACCGCTGGTGCCGATGTCCCTACTCGAATGAATACTACTGAGTCCAAGAGTAACCTCCCGTCTTTCGCAAGGAGGGCCAGCAATCGATATCCCCAAGAATTTGCCACCTATCGCTCCCCCTATTCCCCCATTCCCACCTAGGACAGACCCTCTCACTATCTCCTCTTCTTCATAAATACCATCGACTAGTACCATCATGCCCGGAGAAAACCAGGCACCATCTTCAGGAACAGGTCGGGCATGGCTAAGATCCAACACAATACTCCCAGTCAAGTCGGTAAGCGATAATTCTCCAGTCGGTGACAAAGATAAAAGTCCTACCAGTAGATGTGGTGATCCGCTTCTCCCTAGTAGATTAACGATTGGAGATATCTTGTATGACTGGGTTACATTGCTTGCAAAAGATGAAGTTTGAAAAGACTCATTTCGTAATAATCGCTGGTGAACCAGGTTGTGTCGATCTCTCCAGAACGCAGTCTGATGAGAGGGCTGAGGAAGGAGGGATGGCTTCGTGGTAGATGTTTCGAAATGTTTGTTGGTGGGGTTATATGTCAAGCGAGGCTGTTCAAACGCACTAATTGTTTTGATCCATTTCCTAGTGTCATTATGCTCTGCATCATCGTCCTCATCTTCGATAGGTGTGCTCGTGGTATTGGTGCCTGTTGCTGCTGTCCCGTTTCTTTGTAATTTAGGTCGATCTTCTCGGTCTGTGACTTTTCCAGGAGTAACTCTGCCGCTAACCATATTATTCTCTATCGACTGAAGAATTGATTGCAGGGAAGTGCCATTGCCCTCTTCCACAATGACACCACCGCCGTTCTTTCTCCAGATCTTAGCCACCTCGTCGAGTAGCCGTTCGGCAAGGCCTTCTTCGCGCCATTTTGACCCGCAATTTTGTCCGACAAATGTCGCCAGCACTTGTAGTGCATTTGATGAAAGGGTTAGGTTGTGTTTCCTGGTAAAAGTCCTGAAAGCTACAGGGCGTAGGATGGACGGAGGTAGAAGAACGGGTAAGACGGTGGGTTTTGCGTGCAATGAACTTGATTTTCCAGTTCGAACTGGCTTCACAGGAGTACCAAATGCTGGAGATGACGAAGGAATCGGGTCTGCGACACCCCGTGCTGATAGTGGTAATCTGGGCGTTGATGGTTTATCCATGGTGTGGTCAAACGTCAATGCGGGGAAGTCGGAAAAACACCGAGTAGTTTTCTCAGGAATTATCTCAGATATTGATAACCCGAATAATCAATTTGACTTTGCAAACATTTCTTCAAGGCTAGAAGTGCAGTGACCTCACATGAGTCGCGAAGGACATGTTTCGCAGTGTCGTCCATGTAGGTGATTTTGAGCTCCGCAAACGCGTCTCTTTCGGTGACGAGACGCGCCGGCCTTTGTGGGGCAGACAGCCATTTAAACCGCTTTCGACTTAAATCCTTGTGATACTACGAGCACTGGATGGTCTCTCACTTCTTGATGCGCCAACCACCCTACTCACCTTGAACCTAGCGAGATACCATATTCGAATCACCCAGATCGCGAATTTTACAACCCGTCTTTTCATTTTCAATTTTTCGAAAGCGTATTGAAAACACGCCCGTGCCAAATCATGAGCTCCGCCGAGGAGACAACCGAGCAGCTTCAGGCTCGTTTAACCGACCTGACGACTCGAGCTGCTGCTAAGGATGCCGTTAAAGATTACAACGCCTCAGCGGAGCTATACTCACAAGCAACCGAGCTACAAGCTCAGTTGAATGGAGAAATGTCATTGGAAAATGTGAGAATTCTATACGCATATGGAAAGTCGCTATACAACGTCGCTGTGAGCAAGAGCGACGTTCTTGGTTCTAAAGTCGCTGGTGAAAACACGACACAGCCATCCAAATCTGAATCCACGAAACCGGGTATTATTCAATCTGCGGTCTCTAGCTCTGCCACGAAAGCTTCCCTTGATTCTGCGAAGCCCAGTGAACAAAAGAGTCAATTTTTCCAATTTACTGGCGACGGAGACTATGAAGAATCTGACTCTGAGGATGGAGAAGATCCTGAAAAGGCAGACGAAGAAGACGATGACTTTGAGAATGCTTTCGAGGTTCTGGATTTGGCACGGATCCTATCGCTCAAAAAGCTAGAAGAGACAGAGAACAGCTCAGATAGAAAGGATAAAAGTACAGGCATTGACCCTGCGACCAAGCAGATCAAAGAACGCCTCGCAGATATATATGATTTGCAAGCAGAGATCTCTTTGGAAGGGGAACGGTTCGAAAATGCCGTCTCAGACCTTAGAGCAGCTCTTGAGCTAAAAGAAGCGCTTTTGCCTTTTGAAGACCCGTCTATTGCTGAATGTCACTACAAGCTTTCGCTTGCCTTGGAGTTTGCTTCGGTCACACAACCTGAGGATAGTGACGAAGGACCACCGCAACCTGCGTCTGTGGACGAAGAAATGCGAAAGGAGGCTGCAAAACACATGGAAACAGCGATTGAAAGCTGCAAGGTTAGAATGACACAGGAAGAGACCAAGTTAGCCGACGGTGAAATCAGTGAAGAAGATAAGGTGAATGCAACGAAAAGGAAGATTGCGAACGTAAAGGAAATCGTGGCAGATATGGAACAACGGGTAAGCATATGTACCTCGGGTGATTTCAGCCATCAGATCTAACCTATCGATTCTTTTCATAGTTGGTTGAACTTCGTCGACCACCGGTCTCAATCAATGACCCCAGTCAAGATGCTGGTACGAGGGACACCTTGAATGGGATTCTTGGGCAAATCATCGGGAAGTCCTCGGAGGAGCAGAAGGCAACGTTGGATAGCGTCACTAAAGGCGCCAACGACCTTTCTGCACTAGTGAGGAAAAAGACTCCTTCCAGCAGCAAGCGTCAACATGAAAACAGTGAAGTGGAAGATTCTTCAAAACGAGCTAAAACCGAGGACCCGGCTTGATAGAACAGGATCTGGGAAGAATCGTTAAAAAGTCTCATCCTGATAATGGCTCGTCAGTGATAGAATCCCCATAATCTAAGATATTAGGTTTCTTTTGATACATGACTATCGAAAAATGTCTAACTTGGTGAAGTCTTAAGAAAAATGGATTCATAATACGGCTAAAGATGTAGCTTCAGCCCACTCTTGAATCGATACAGAAACGAGGAATTAATGTAATAGAGCACGAGGGTATCACATTAGTTAAAAAAAATAAATCATGGCATCCGTCATATCACAGCATTATATTTACCTTCCAACAAAAGCAAACCAACAAGCAAAAACTGTACACATAACATCATGCTTTGTATTCATCGTTGACGATCCACTCTACGACTTCTTCGCCGAGTCGCAAGAGCTGGACTCCAGACCCCTGCAAAGAGGTCTTCGCACTCGTCTTCGTCTTGGCTGTCGAATTCAACTGCTGAATCGTGCGCTTGGTTAGGGTTCTCACTGGTGAGGAGCGGAGTATCATCAAACTCCCAGCATGAGTACATGCTTGTACGTTTGGTTTCTAATATAAAATTGCCGACCTTGTATCGCTGGGATTCTTCCTCGGCGGCAATATATTTCCATCCCAAGACGCTGCCACAGATAACACAGCTAATATCACAAACGGTATGGGCACCGGTCACTAGCTGGCGCGGCACTGGCTTTTGAGTGATTGTGTTCAATAGGGAAGTTGGATAATGAGGTGAAATTGACGCAGGCTTGTCTCTGGGCAGAAGATGCTGTCCTGAGACTAAATAGGCACGTCCATGACGACCCGTGAAACCTTTACTGATGATTTGTGAAGTGCGACATATATCTGTCCCACATCGAGCGCACCGAATGTAGGATATATGTGACCCCAGCGCCCTGTCTTCTGGGCTATCTCCCGCTGCCTGACTTCGTTGTTGTGAGTTTACTTTCGAAGCAGAGAATAGTGAAGATGGTAGAAGGAATGCAGGAAATACCGAAAGGGCCGGGTACCCTTTTGCGAAAGGCATTCTGTCTCGAGGGGCGAGGTGAACAATAGATACGGTTATTATTAAATTATCATATTCTGGAAGTGTAGAGTTATATTAGTAACAGGTTATCGATGGCATATATTTTCAGCGCGTCTGATCAATATAACGTTGAACATTGAACATGAGTAATAAACAATGACGCATAATAGAGTGCGATTTACGTCACGATGTTGGAGGGGGAGCGTGTCGTGGCACTAACAGGAATTTGGTGTGGTTTTAGGTGACTTACGTGTTCCCAGACAAGATGATTCGAAGCTACAGCTTAAGCCCACAAACTGCACGACTTCCCCCTCTCAGCCCTGGTCACCTGAACAGAAAGCGAGATGCCCTGCCCGCAGAAGTGGCGCCCTACACGAAAGCTCATGTTATATAACAATAGGATAGCTGTAGTAGTTTGATACTAGATCAAGAGCCATGATATTCGTAAGGATATGAACTAGCCAAAAAAAAAAGGTTGCATAGGCTTGGTAGGTGATACTCATGTTATCTACAGGAAAGGAAGAAAGAAAAAATGTCAAAAAAGAAGAATAATATTCCATACCAATTAAAAACAGAAAACAGCGACCTTAAACAACTCCATCTGCAGTCGAAGAATTTGATAACCTTGCACTAATCCTTCATATCTCCGCGACCAAGAATATCCACCTGTCGCTGATTGAAGCTGCGCTACTGTCCGTAGTCATCCAGGATTCTAGTGTCGTCAACGAGAATCCACACCAGCCGAGATTTCGTACAATACCCAGTCCCATAGGATCGGCTAAGCGTGGAACACAGGCGACTACATGGTCACAGCTTAAGTGTTCCATTTCGGCAAGTTCAAAAAGAGCAAGCAACCTGATACAAGAGCCCGTCAGCGAACAACTTTTCAGAAAGGATTTTCATTGATAATTGGCTTACCCATTTTTTATTCCGTGGTCGGCCGTACGATCATCGAAGAAGACGAAGAGCGTCTTCTGGTTGTCATACTCGGCAACAAATCCTCGATAGATGGCATCATTTGCATAATCCCATATTTCAAGGTAGGCATCGATAGTCTGATGATTTGTTCTCGAACTCTCTGGCCTGGTATTCTGATAATACGCACCCATCGGTAGCGACGTCCGGCGTCTGCGGTTCCTCTCACCAAGGAATACCACGGACAACGTGTCGCAGAAAAGTCTCTCACACTCTTCTTTGATGGTTTGCGCTGCCTCCCTTGCATTCTTAGATGCTTTTTGTCTCGGCCAAAAATCCTCTGTCTTGAGTAATGCGGAGGATCCAAAGGGAGGACTTGTCGTGCGTGTCTTAGGCCCCGAAGGGACCTCAGGAATACCACCGTGCTCCTACGATTGGGCATCAGTTAGCGACGCTTATATTTCGGTCAAATACAATGAGTTGACGACATACCTGCCCCGTTCGTAGTGCAGTAATGGAATCCCTTCACCAGCACCGAGGCGGGGGTAGCCATGTAGCAGCTAGCAAGAACACTAATCTGCCCATAATTGCCGTGGCGATTCTGTTGACTAGAACAATTACTGTCACTACTGAGATCCTCCATTGCGAATCAAATGACACAAGTGAAGGCTAAGTTTCTGGGATCTGCAGGTTTTGGGAATAAAAAGAAGAGACTTGTAGCAGTTGGTTGTTTGTAGAAGGATTAATTAATGATTAATACGGAAGGTCACGGTGGTGGTTTCTGACTCCCCCGCCGGTTAGTTAGCACGCTCACGTAATCTTTAGGTTAGGTTTGCTTGGTGCCTTGCTGCCTTCATACATTACTGCCTCACCGCCTCGCTCTTCATTAGGGAGATGGCTAGAAAAAAAATTATATGGAGTTAGCAAAATTCGCACACGATGATTATATAAACAATAATATTTGTATTTTTTGAAGCGAATCGCATATGTACAGGAGGTGTGGATCCATAATGATTTTAAGCATGAAAAAATGCCCGCCTTAGACAATGAACAAGCCTAGAAAACAATGCTCTATGAAATAGTCATGTCAAGAATAGGGATGGCAATGCAAAACAGTGCAGGGTAGGAAGAGCTGCTGGCTGAATATGTCGGAAAGCAAACCTACGCCGCGATTGAAAAAGACGGGTATATACGAAGGCTATACATGTCACAGTTCACGGTAATCACTTGGTCGTATTCGGCGTTGTCTCGCTTGATGCCTATGGGGATTAATAGGTTGGCGAAAATATGCATTATCCTCATCTCTATTGGATGGACCATTGAAATTGGTCCTTTGTTGGCTTTGATATCCATTCATACTTCCACCATAAGGAAAACTAGAATGTGTCTGCATGAAAGGATTTGGTTGGGTAACAGGCATCGAATTGAAGGAATTGAACTGCTCATAGTCATTCCCTGGAAACATGGACCCATCTGCAAACATCCCATTGACCGGAAGGCCGAAAGCACTGCCGTTCATCTGGTTCCAATTGTTGTTTTGAGGTTGAAAATTGTTATTCATAGGCATCATAGGATTCATCATGCCTACTCCACCAGTAAGAAAGCTGTTGTCGGGAAACGGCATTTGAGACTGAGGAAAAGCCGGGTTTGGGAAAGGCATTTGCTGATTAAAAGGGAAGGGCATTGTGTTTGTAACGTTATCTTGAGATGGAACTTTCGGCGAATCCGTGTCGTTTTGCTGGTCATTGGACTTTGGCCTCTTCATGGAGGCTGATGGCTCGGCTCCATTAGGATTTTCAGCAGCAGGCTCTTCCTCTGCTGCTCTCTTCTTGCTCTGAGGTTCCTCGGATTTGTTTTGGATATTCGAGGGAGACACAACAGTAATATTTTGGGACGTCTTTGCGACCGGGGCTTCAACGTCTTTTTCCTGAGTTTCGTTTGATTTCTCAACTTGATCTTGCTTTTCCTTATCTTTCCTCTCTTCAGCCTTCTCGGCCTCATAGGCTTTGATTTTAGCGGCGGCGTCATCGTCAGTGACAAGATTATCTAACAATACGCCTTCTGTAGAACATCCCGGGCATACGAAATCACTTTCAATGAGAGCATTCGTGATACAGTCATTGCAATATGTTTGATGGCAACAGGGCGTCTTGGTTGGTTCCAAGAACATGCGCTTATCAATTGGGCATTCAAGCCCTCTAGCTCGAAGATCCTTGCTACCTTCAGCAGACGCTGCTTCAGCCGCTGCTGCAGCTGCAGCTTTCACCTTTTCTTGATACAATTCCCAAGCAGCCTTATCAGGTTGCGCAATAACAAAATCGCCATCAGCATTCACCATGACACCGGAATTCTTCAGGTCCTCCGTAGATCCATCAAGGGCCATAGCTGCGGACTTTTCTACCTTTGTTTGCAAAGACCGAGGAATGCCCGTAGATCTCTTTACACGATATCTGCCGTCAAATTTCGGGTCATTATTTGTTGGACAAGCTTGAATCCAATGTCCTTTTTCTCTGCAACGATAACAAAGATAACCTGGCGGAGGCGGGTGGTCGGGTATATTGATGGGCTTTCCTCGGCCGCGTCCAGCTGCAACTGGGATTGCACTACAAGGAAAATAAACTATTAGTCCATATTCAATACTTGAATTAAGCAAATTTACTCACTTAGCCATCTCTTGTTGTTGTTCCTTCCATTGATTCGCTTGAAGGTTGAACAGAGCGTCTATTTTTTCATCTTCAGTTTGAGCACTATCAAGTCCTGGTATACTGGCTTTGTTGTTAGAAAGAGCACCGGCTGTAATCCGACTTGAAGATGATACGTCAGCCCGTGTAGAGCTACGTGCAGTTACAGGCATTTTGCCGGATACATAACGAGCCGCGCCCCCTTTACCCGGTCTTGCTGCAGGAAGTCTACGCGCGATAACGGACGTTGAACGAGGGATAATCGCAGTGTCATCATCGTATTCTGGGTAAGAAAGATAGTTAGTGCTATTTCTTAAAAGACAGAGTAGTAATATACGCAACAAACCTTCTCCAGTGTCCTCATTATAGATGGACAACTCGAAATCGGTGCCGTCGCCTAACCTGTTCTGATTGATGATTTCTCGTTTCAGTTCAAATACCGAGATTCCCGTGCCGTCAAACGTCACCCTCGAGGGTTCTTTTTGTGATTTGAACTTGAAGTGAACAGAAGAAGTCATTGTATTTGTTTCTTCGATGTCGGTGGTTTGAAGCGTGAACTAGAGACGACCGGCAAGGATGTGTAAACCGAGAACAAAACCCGATACAGAAGGAGATAAAATGTACGAAGAATTCGATCAAGTAGGTGAATGAGGATCCCAGTCAATAGCCACGGCCGAGAACGATCCTATTTTCAAAAAGCTTTGAAGGGTAGGTTATTATGAAAATATAGAATCAAATCAGATGTCAAATGAACCACAGTTCAATGATTTCTATCGATGAAGGAATGCTTTCGAATTTGACAGGATTTTTGCTTGTATGCATGCGACTTGAGACAAAAAGAAATGTTACATGAAAGGGGAAAAAGATCCTGTGTACACAAGACAGGATAGGCCACTTGCAGGCCTTCCTTATCGCCCTACAACGAACGTAAAGCCTCAGTGATCAAAACAGTCTTTCTTTTTCTTCACTTCTGTAAGGACTCAATTAATGTCAGTCCACCCTGAACCGATTTGAAAAGACGCGATCGAAGATGCGATCGGAGTGGCGATGTTGAAAAAGGCACCGAACTTTCTCTTCGAACGCCAAGCAGGAAATCCCCAATACTGACCCCCAAAAAGAGTACTTTTTGGCTTTTGGGTGATCTGTGGCGACCGAGATGGGAAGGTGTTGTTGGAGAGATAGATCACTTGGGTGGAGAGAAGGAGGAAGAAGGGGAGAGATAATTAATAACTTGTTAAATGGTGGATTGGCGGGAGAAGGATTAGTCAACCATGAGATCACGTGGGCTTCTTCAGGAATGATGAATGGTGTTATGGGCCGCTAGTGCAATTTAGGGCTAGTGCAATATTGATCACGGCTCTATACTAGAAATGGATCGGTCTATGAGCAATTAGAGATCCTGTAACATATTTCACCAGGCACCCTAAGAGGCCGGCCCACCTTCAATTCGCTGACAAAACTGGAATTTTTGGGCCCTCAATATTTCGTAACTTTTATTAGAAAATATAATCTAAAATCAATATTATAAACAATATATATGGTAAATAAAAGTATATTTCAGTACTAATAAGAGTATCCTAAAAATAAAAATCTATTTTATTTATTTTTCATACGTCTAAATTATTTTAATAATTATTTTAATAATAATAATTATTGGTGTCCATTGGGAATTCTATTCGCAAGTCAACATTGAAAGGCTATGCAGACATCCCAGCCTCCAAGTTTTTACTATATCGTTCTAACATGCCACTCCCCTAGACGAAAACGTCGCCTGTTTCAGGTTTGCGGACAAGAAAATCGTTTTCCACCAGATAATCTTTTACATCAGCCACAGTGAATTCGCCTCGATGAAACTGGAATGTATTAGCTAGGTTAGAATATTTGTAAATATATGTAAACAAATTTGAACTCACCATGCCAGCCCCCAATGCTGCGTCTGTTGTTGTTCCTGCAAAGACATCCGCAAAATGGGAAGGGTTCCCAGCTCCACTGGAAGCAATAACTGGAATTTTGATGGCAGACTTTACGTCTTGGATCAGCTCTAGGTCGAAACCGCTGTTGCTTCCATCTTTGTCGATACAATTCAAGAGAATTTCGCCTGCCCCCATTGCCTCCACAGCCTGCACGAGCTGTCGGACATCGAGATCACGCAATTCTCTGCCACCCTTAATTGTGCACTGGTACCAACAGGTGTCTTGACCCTTGGAGTCTGGGAATGCAGTCTTGATAGTGTGGTGGCTTGTTTCTTGTGGGCCACTAACGTAGATGCGCTTGGGGTCAACACTGACGACAACGGCTTGGTTGCCATATGCCCTCGAAATTTGTTCGATTGCTGTTTTTCCGGATAAGGTCTTTCCTCGCTGATAGTACTCTTCTGCAGCAATGACGGCATCTGAGCCGATGCTAATTTTGTCCGCACCAGATTGAAAGTACATCTTCGCGATTTGCGAGGCCGATACTTGGGTTCCATCAGTATCAATCGTGTCACGAATTCCTCCTCCAATCGTAAGTGGAACAAAAACCGTCTCCGATGTGCGCCTTAGAATCTCCAGCATGGGTAGGTCCCTCAATGGGCAGTTGCGGAAAGATGTTATGTTCAGGAATGTCACCTCATCAGCTCCTTGCTCGTAGTACTTTTTGGCCATATCAACTGGTTTACCCAGGTTTCTGACTTTCCCGCCGCTAGAAGCACCATCGTTTTCTCGCACATCGTATTGGTCGCCTTTGGTGACTACAAGATCCCCTTCATCATTGGTTCGTACGTCGAGACATGCAATGACTCTTCGAGTCAATCCATCTTTTGTCACAGCCGTCGATGTCGGAATATCCTTATTCTCAGTCCGCTGTCCCGTCAAGAAGGCATGAATGGTGCGCAAGCCAGCCTGCCCACTCTTTTCAGGGTGAAACTGGGTTGCAAAAACATTTCCACGTGCAATTGCGCCAACAAATTCCTCTCCTCCGTAATGAGCTGTCGCCACTGACCAGCCTTGCTCCTCCAAAACACCAGCCTCATATGGCACGGCAAATGAATGGACATAATAGTACTTGCTCCCTGGATTCAGTCCGTGAAAGCTGGTGTCAGCGGAGTTTTCGTTGATCCTGGTCTTGGCTGAATTCCAGCCAATATGCGGCACACTTTTATCTTTGTCGTCAAATTTGCGTAAGCTTAATGGGATTAAGCCTAGCCCTGGAACACTAGGATCTTCCTCGGATCCGCTAAAGAGTGCCTGAAGTCCAACGCATATGCCCATGAAAGGCTTCCCTGATCGAATGTGCTCTCGTATGGGTTCCAGAAAACCACTAGATGAAAGTTGAGAGAGGCAATGTCCAAAATGCCCCACCCCTGGCAATATCAACGTCTATACTTGAGGTTAGCACTAGGCAGATGACACAAAGACTATCATCTCACTTCGGCATTAGAAACTTCTTCTGGTGACCTAATCCATTCCACTTCGTATCCAACTTTGTTGATTGCATTTACCAGAGATCTAACGTTCCCTGCCACATAGTCTAGGAGATGCACGGTAGGCATGGTTGCGAGACGCTCAAAAGTGTCGACGATGTTTTTGAAGGGGTCACACGACAACTGACGCAAAGGAATTGGCCAAGTACTCTGGATGGTGAAATGGCAGAAATGAAAATAGGCTCACCAACCCGGTCCGGATCTGTAATGAGTCATACAAGAAACAGCGTTCTAGAAGTGCCGCAGTAAATTGATATTTTGGTCGAAACACCGATTCCTCCTCCTAATTTTCATATGCTGTCATCAAATCCGATTCGTTACAAGTCCTGAGGAATATTTCCAGCTTCCTGCATGCCCATTGAAATCTCGTCGAAAAATCTGGTGAAAGTCAACTGGGTGGTTTTGGGTGGTTTAATGTGGTTCTGCAATTAAGAAGCCCCACCGCCACGAGGAAAAATCGCTGTGCAAAAACGAGGACTTCAGTAGCCGCTTCTAGCTAGCATTCCCGCTTCAAACATCTCAATTAAATATCTTCAATTCCTAAACGGCTTTTAGTATTTTACTTTGTCTTTTTTCCACTGGGTGTTGACATTTACCTAGTCGCTAGCGGTTCCTGGTTCTCCGTGTTTTAAATGTCCAATACCGAAGGGTTGTCTCTATGGGGGTGGGGGGAATAAGTAGTATTCGAATATTACGTGGCCTATATCTGAACATTAAATGTTTGCATTTTTATTATAACGCATTTTGTAATAGATGTTATGCTATGATGAGGTTTGGAAACATAGAATATATATCAATTGATAGTAAAATCTCAGCTACTTTAAAATTCAGTAATAGTTGGTACGGTGAATTGATGCCTGATTCCAGCATACACCAAGAGCACGTGACTGTATAGTCAACAGAGGATGGCTATGATAGCTATGATTCTACTTTAGTACATATAGACACTCGTTTACCATCATGTTTTTAGTTGATCGTGTTATATTTTCATAATCAAATAGCATACTACTATTAGTATCTCAACGACTTGCTTTTTATATACTATTATCACTGCGATAAATAACCCTTTATCGCCTATTGCCTACGGCCCTTCTTCCCTTGTTAGCAGAATACCCTAAGTGTCCTTCGATCTCAGAAGAATCGTTGATTACTTTTGACAATAATATGCTTTAAGAATCTCAATCTAAGGATCTTTAATAGTTTTGATATCAAATAATTAGGAACTAGATTTAATTTATATCTTATTTACTAGTGAAGCTGATTGTTAATGATTACCTAAATAATGGTAAATTCTCGGAAATTTCAGCGAAAAATAACGCGTCAAAAGCATGGGTTTGACATACCGTTCCATGGCGTGTTTATTATCGCATTAGCTGATTGACATCATGCCGAGCTGTCATGGAGAATACATAATAAACACCGAAAATCTCGCCTGTCACCGAGGCTTACCATTTTCATGTGGCAGTCGCTAATTGGTGCAGAAGACATCTAAGCTGTCAGAAACAGCTCGTAAAGGCGAGAAAATGAGAAAATGCAAGCGGCCGGCTAGGCGATGCTACTACATAGGGCAATCGACGCGGAGAGACGCAAGGCGGATCTAATGGTCCAACAAGGCGTGGAATAACCTGCGGGGAAATGAATCTATTGCATTCCGTAATACGCGTTGCTTATCGACTGCCACTACGTACTGGCCTATCACGATATAGAATTTCATAGACGTTGTAAGACAGACCCCACTGAGCTGCTGTATATATGCTCCACACCGCACGGTGCATCTGTGTCGTGGTATTTCTCTCTATACAAATAGAAGATCACGTTTTAGACAGTGATAGAGAGTACTGGCCATTTAGACTCAACTACGGGGTGAAAGTCATAGGACTCGATGATGCTAGATTGAGCGACCTCTTCTGAGGCTATTTTAGTGAGGGGTCTTTATTAGTAATATGCTTAGATTTAGACTTGAGCTCTAAATAATGTCTTAACGCTTTCAACTAAGTGACTTGAGATAACCCGTAGCCGGTGGCGTTATACTTCGCGCCCTTGTGTTGCTGATAGCTAGTCCGTGCATGCAACGTAGACTGTTTCCTTACCAACCAACCGCTTTCATGCTCCGTAATTGGTTGAAGCACCCAACACGTGGAATGGTATCGATTCCTGCAAGTCCATAAAACAAGCCTTTGGACTCATCTATCGTGACGCTAAAAAGCTCGCTCCGGCTCCGCTCCGTGCCGTGATGACAGTGGAGTGTGAAATTCTCAGACTCCAGTCCAGAGACCTCTGCAGCGGGCTATCGGTTGACATAGTGATGCATGGATGCTGCAGGAAAATTTCTAGCGTCAGAATTGCACCTGTTTACAAGGCGCAGTACCAGATTATTAGGCTCTTTGCGGTAATGCATGAAGCCATTTTCCCGTATAAACTACCTATATTTTTCTCTTATCTTCAGGCTGTGGTCATACCAGTATGTAGTTTCCGAACTGGGAATGGTTTCTTTCTCAAATGGGAACTTTTTAATATAGGATCTCATACCAACTCGTATCTCTGACGAGGTCTGCAGCAAAATACGAATGGCGATATACCCTGGTTATTGGGACAAGGATTACGCATATACGATGGGGCTAGAAATTGCAAGCTGACATGGGAGTATTACTTTCAATACACTATTCTCTCACAAATTGTATTCAATGCACGTTGAATGGCCAGTGATTGGCTGTTTTTCAAATGGATTTCCGTGTATCGGTGAGTGTATCTGCATGTGCATCTATATGCTTACTTCTCAGCCGTGATGCCTACTAATTATATAATGATCTAGGGAATTCTCATGTCATCAATTGCAATTGAGTGTCTTATTTATGAATATCAAGTACTTGCTTATAGCTTTCTGAAGAAGCATTGGATGATAAAAAGTCTACAATTAAAAAAGAAGGAAAGAGAAAGAAAACAGAATTTAAAAAAGGCAGAATTAAGAAGAGAACCAAGAGCAAGAAACTGAGGGCATTATGCGTACCCAAAAATCGAGCAATGCCGAGAATGGCACTGATGGAGAGTCACCTTCATTCCCTCCGACTCCAGACGAGCATGAAATGGACAATGAGGATGGTGATACATCCGGATCATCGAAGAGTGGAAGGGTAGCGAGGCGTATAGCATGTGATGCCTGCAGACGACGCAAGGTCCGCTGTGATCGAGCCCAACCGATCTGCGGTAGGTGCACTAAGTTAAATCAGGATTGCAAGTATACTGCATCCAGGAACCAGCGTGGCTCCGACTCCAATATGTCCCAGGCTTTGACTACGTTGCAATCGCGATTAGGTAATTACTCAAAAACCCAGACCCGTCTACTGTATAATCAAATGAAGACTAGGGCTCAATATCTTATCATGGTGCCTCTGTAGCCCAAGCAGAAGCCCGTTTAGCATCAATACATCAGCCATTACCTGATATGTGGAACACTGCCTCTACTATCGGCTTGACATTGCCTCCCCAGAACACGACTGCACAACTCCCTCTTGATTTTCCACCAACGAACACGAGCTCTGCGTTTTCATCCCACATGAACTTCCACCACGAGCCAATCTCCTTGGATTCAAACGGCGGCCACATATCAGAAAACAATAACAGCAACGATAATGATTGGTATGTCATGCCGCTATTACAATTCTAGCCAATATTGACACTGGAGCTTATTTATCCTTCTTAATACAGGCATGAAGTATTCAACGATCACTCGGGGTCTACATTCATTGACCAAATTGACATGACCGACTTTGAAGACGAATCTTCCCATATAATATTCCTGTCCTTGTAAAACCAACCCTCCAATCCCCCCATTTTGAACATGGCTAACCAAGGGATTCACTATTCCTTCTTATTTCATGTAGGCATCAAACATACTTCAATCATATCCATGCTGTGATACCAATGATTGACCGGCATCGTTTCTCCCTTGAGCTAGACATGTCACATCCCTCACCGCAACTCATGAGTCTCAGCTACGCTATCGCTCTTCTTGGCGCCACAGTCTCCAGTGAACATGCTGATTTCGAAAGAACGTACTATAGCCATTCCAGAAATTATGTTGAAACTGCCGAAAGGGACGATGATGATGCCCAATTCAACAACCTGAATCTATTGCAAACTTATATCCTTCTTACGTATTACGAATTTCGACGCAAGTCGTTTGCACGAGCTTGGATGAGTCTGGGCAAAGCAATTCGATTGAGTGACATGCTAGGATTGCATAGGATGGATCAGGGTGAACAGACCGGAGTCGAGTCGTCCCGTGTAGTCTCATTTCAAGGGAAGATTAGCCTCACTGAAGCAAGAGAGAGGAGGCGGACTTTTTGGGTACTATTTGCATTTGACGCCTACGCGAGTATTAGGACCGGTTCACCTCTGACTATCCAGGAGGAAACGGTATATCACCCCCCCCTATCAAACATTCATATTCACATGACTAACATACGGCACAAGATTTCGACTAGATTACCTGCTGCAAGCGACTCATCGAAAGAGCCACTGGTACCAAATATGCCATCTTTGAGAAACATCAATTTATTATACGAGTTAACACCCATTTCTTCCTTCACTGGGATTGTCCTCATGGTCTCAATGCACTACCGTTGCCGACGCCACTTCCAGGCCTCTCAAAAACAAACCCGTATCTGTGACCAACACTACGATTTCTGGCAGCATCACTACCAACTTGACAAAGACTTGGATTCTTATGCTACCAATCTTTTTGGCCACATAAAACCACGGATCAGACCTGATGACCCTCTTGTTTTTATCGTCCATATGAATCTATGCGCTATCAAGATTGAGCTTCATGAACATGCGATATCAAAAGTCAGACAACAAGAGCTTCCAGAGATGTTGATTATTGAGAGTGAAAATCAATGTAGGAGTGCAGCTGTGGAGGTTGCAGAATATGCTCATTTGCTGGAGCATATAGACCCTGGTAACGTTCGTAAATGCCATTTTCTACTCTTCTGCTAGTTTATTTAGTATATGCTGACTTTCCTGATAGAGAACGACTTTCCAACAGACAAATACATTTCTCATGTGGCCTCTTGCAAAGGCATCGGAAGTCTTAAGCCGGCATTTGAGGGACCCTACAAAGGATGTCACACAGCTTACTGTTTTATTAGAAAGACTACAGTTGACTATGCAAAATCTGAACGATGTTAGCGGACACTGGGATAGAGTTAGAAACATGATTTCTCAACACTTGGCAGTCATCGATAGTGCAACTGGTTGATTCTCTACCTTTGCAGGAGGTATGAGAGAAGGCACTGGGATTTCTACGAGTACAATAAGGTAACTGGTAGATTCCATATGATCGTTTTATGTCTAGTTTTACGACTCTTTTAGCGATGATACAAGAAATAGATTTCTTTTATCGTAGAGCCAATCTTATTGTTAATGTATATGTTTCATTTTAATAGTTTTCAGATGGCATTCCCAATACTATGAGAATACTATGAGAACACCATCAACACTATCGATCGTGGATCTATCTCCCGAGACTCAAATTTGGTTCATGGTATCTAGGCAATAGTAACGCCCGCCGGGTGACAGCGCGATTTTCGATTATGACAACGTGCACAAGGATGATTATGATGCATCTCTAGTAACGTATGAATAGGAATACGGTAATATAATGAGAACTAGAGACGTAAATTGAATTAACAAACGTCCCTCGGCCTTCTAATGCCGCTCGGCTTCGCAATGCCGCTCCGCGCGGTATGTAAGACCGCACACAGTAAGAAGTTTCCATTAACGGGATTGATTCTAGAACGATGACTTGCATATCTTTCTAGAAATTAAAAGAAATTCAAAGGACGCAGAAAATAATATAACACGACATCGTAAGATTTTCTAGCCTTTGAGCTCTGGTGGATATCAGCCCATGAATCTTGTGTTGCATCGAAGCTTCTTCTGAAAAACTTTGGGAGAACGTGAAATACAACGCGGTTGTTTGATTAAATATCCGAACAATGTCTTTTATGTCGATAACCGGAGCCATACTTACAAGCATTGTGCTTTATTTTGTATATACTATTGCTCACTCTAGACATGCGATCAAACCACCGTTACCTCCAGGACCGAGGCCGAAGTTTTTAGTAGGAAATCTGGCCGATCTACCTAAGCCAGGGGAGCGAGAATGGGAACACTGGCTAAAACACAAAGATCTATATGGTGAGCGGCTAGGTTTCTTTTTCGATTATTACCAAGCTTTTTTCTTTAGCTTAGGATCTCATCTAATGATGATGAGATGTAGGCGGAATCAGCTCCATCACAGTCTTGGGTCAAACTCTCGTTATCATTCATGATATCCGCCTGGCCTATGAGCTTATGGAAAAGCGTTCCGCAAAGCATTCATGTAGACCGAAGCAAGTTTTTGCAGGTGAATTGTACGTGAACTCTAAACCCTTGTTGAGGAACCTGTGACACTGATAGAAGTTGGGCAAACTATAGGCTGGGATGGAATGACTCTCTTGGTCTTGCGACATATGGAAACCGATTCAGAGCTATTCGAAAAAACATGGCCAAGGTAATTGGATCGCACGCTACTGCGTCTCAATTTTATCCGCTTCAAGAATTGGAGGCTGGTCGCCTTCTATTGCGAATCTTGGACAGTCCGGAAAACCTAAAGGAACATATCCAAAGGTATGTGGTTTTGCTTCTTATTCATTGTAAATGTTCTTATACAGAACTTGCTAACAGCTTGTCTTGAATTTTCTTCCCGAAAAAGTGATGCCATCTCAGCCATTCTGAAAATCATCTATGGATATAATGCCGAGGCTCATCAACGAGACCCTCTAGTACGGTTGGCCAACGAGGTTATGGATGAGTTTGCTCAAGCCGGTGTCCCAGGCGCATGGATGGTCGACATGATTCCAGCTTGTATGATACCCTCTCAATTACTTTTTGTCAGTCGAAACTGGACTCCTTGTTGACTTTTGTCCCAAATAATAGTGAAACATATTCCAGACTGGTTCCCAGGAGCGGGTTTCAAACGGACTGCGCGAAGTTGGGCTGCTTCTTTATGGGAGCTCTCCGAAAGACCCTTTGCGTTTGTCAGATATCAAATGGATACAGGTGTTGAGAATCTGTCCTTCTTATCTCAACTCTTGCAAAAACAGTCCATTGCAAATCCTAATGACCGGTCGGTTGTTAAGTGGTCAGCGCTCTCTTTGGTCACGGCTGGAGCGGATACGGTAAGTAATCTTCTTTTATAGGATACCATCTGGGGTCGATTTCTTTCCCATACTGAAAGACTATTTTTGGGGGCTATGAATTTAGACACAGTCGTCCCTTAGGTGTTTCTTCTTAGCCATGACTCTATATCCTGAAGTGCAAAGGAAAGCTCAGGAAGAAATAGACAGGGTGGTGGGTTTTGATCGACTACCAGAACTGAGCGATCGCCCCAATCTTCCCTATATCAATGCAGTTGTTAAGGAAATCTTCCGATGGCATCCTGTAGCGCCAATGAGCTTGCCACACACAACAACTGAAGACGATATCATTGACGGCTATTTAATACCTAAAGGCGCATACATAATGCCTAGTATTTGGTTGGTTTTATTTTTCTCTTGCCATTCCAATTTTCACTTTTTTTTTTTTTTGATTTCATGACTGATAAAATTCCAGGTACTTTACCCATGATCCTTCGGTTTATTCAGATCCTATGTCATTCAAGCCAGAAAGACACCTAGCAGCAGAAGGCTATCCTGCAGAACTTGACCCCGAAACGCTTGTTTTTGGCTTTGGTAGACGTATCTGCCCTGGCCGTCTTCTAGCGAGTTCTTCAATATTCATCAATGTTGCACGATCTCTAGCCGTCTTTAAAATAACTAACCCTATTGAAAACGGCGTAGAGGTGAAGCAAGTCGCGGAATTCATGCCAGGGGTTGTCAGTCATCCAGCGCCGTACAAGCCAACGATCAAGGCCCGCTCAGCAAAACATGAGGCGCTTGTCAGGGAGATAGAGCAAAAACATCCATGGCAGCAGGCAGATTCCAAAATTATGCAGAATGTCAGTTTTTAGGGAGAATTCTTGAGCATTGTTTTATATGTGGATAGATATAAGAGATTGATGTCGAATAGACGGCGCAAACAATATCAAAAGATTCAAGCCCTGTTAATGTTTCATTCCTTCGGTATAATGATTTCTAGCTCTTCCTTGTTCACAGTTTGAGTGTTTTTTTGTTTGTTCGACCTTCCCAGCCTTTTACCTGAGGTAGTTTAGAATCACACTCAGAGAAAGGAACTCTAGTAAAGACTAAAAATATAGGGAATATAATTATGATGACGATAACCTGGTTTTTTTTTTGAGTTCTCCAGTCTACCATAAATATAAGCTGCTCTATAAAAACGGAAGGTGGGCTCTGAATTCATCTTTAAAAGGTAACCGTTGTATGATTCAAATATATCAACCAGTTAATTGATTCTTGTTGCTTTTCTAACATCATCTCAGATAACTAGTGAAATAACATTTGGTAACATCATTTTCACTTCTGTAAAACTTAAGACATTCCTCTGAGAGTAAAAATACCGGAAGCCTGATAAGCCAGGGCCCCTTGCAGCTTGAGAGAGGCAATCACTTTAGTCCATATCTGTGCTCGGTACAACCTTGGACACTCGTGACTCCACGGTCAACTTGCCATCAGCTAGAACGAATCGACCGTTTCCAGCCCATGAAGAGTTTTGTAGATCACTGTATTCTGGGTTTCCGACCTAACCGGTTTTCAAAGATTAGAGTTCACAGAGTGTGAGAAATGGGTGATTAGATTGTGACAAACCTCGAAAGTGTGGATGGTGGCTATTTTTGACAAGCAAAGAAAATGATTAGTCTAATACGAGAAAGTGGATTTGAGCGGACGGAATAATAATCTCAAGTCTTACTGGATTGCCCAAAAGGAATTGTCCGAGCATCTGGGTGGCCTGCAAAAATCTTTCTGATTTCATCGTTGACCTTAGCAATACCACTGTAGGCGAAGCTAATATTCTGTCGGGGCATGCCAAAAAAGAGATTAGCAGTTGTTTCAATGTAAATATATAAGCTTGCATTGTTAGTTCCACTCACCGTTCCATCAGCAGTTCTGAATACACATGAATGCATTCGTCAGCATACATCCTCTATTTGCCCCACGCAGTCACATTTTCAAAACTGCTCTAGATTTGAGAGAATAAACGCACTTTGCAACCGCCTTCACGTTAATCCGAGCACGTTCCTTATCAGGGTCGAAGTACAACCAATCGCCTCCAAAGACCACATCGGCCTCAATTTTAGGCTCGAAACCATCAACGGTAGTGATAGAACCAGTTGGAGTGTTCTGTCAGATTGGATTTTGGTCAGTGCGTCGGAATTGATAGCAGGACTGCCTAGCCGTGCTTATACTCACGTAATGTACAAAGCTAGATCCCGTATAAACGTCGCCTTGAAAAATCGCAGGTGTTAGAACGTGGGTTCTTTTTTATGTGCTGATTTTATGCAATAGTACATACCTACGGGATTGCCTTGACCGACATTGACCTAGAATGTTTATTTGCATGAGCACACCTACTCGATCGATGTGAATAATCAAGCCCCCTCACTTTAATGATGTACGCAGGCTGGAGGCCTGGGAATCCGGACTGAGAACCCATTTCTTTAGCGTAAATACAGGAAGAGCGCCGAGGCTTGGACAATATATAGATTGGTATAGTATTATCTCAACATCGGTTGAGGAGTGTTGACTTCCAAATACGGGGCTACTTATGATCTTTATGAACTCGACAATTCTCTCTGGTATCCAAGAGCCACCATCATTTTTTTGAACCGTGAAGAAAGCCAATACCATCGCCATCGGTATCACAGCGCGGTATTCTTAGCACTACCTGATAATTGCGGCCCGCCCTGTAAGCAATCTGCATTGAGCGCGGCCCGCCTTTCCCCGAGCCTCCGTTTAGGGTTAATATTTGGCTCGATGATAGGGCCGAAAGGTCTTTGATGTGACTTGGATATTGTGCTCCCGACCAATCATTTAGTATCTCCCATTATTTCGGTGAAAAAGTGATTTGCTGAGTGCCCCCCTATCCGTCGATCAACATATCCTAGTCTAGTCAATTCCACAGGTTTTACAGAAAGAGACGAGAGTTTAACTCCTCAATCCATTTTTGAATACACAAAAACTGCCTCATATATCTCTTTATACTATTGCATATGATATTCTCAAGTCATGTCTACACCTGCTGCACTGTGGGAGTCCTCGGACGTAACGTCTTCCACACAAGTGACAGAAAAGGGGGATCCAACCGAGTCCAAGAACAGCCAGAATTCATCCCTGAGTCTAGCTAATGAAGCCCCGGAAACAAAAGACAATGAGAATACTTCAGAGCAGGAAAAAAGACCTATTCAAGGGTGGCGATGGTTTGCGATCTGCACAGCCGTTTACGGAACCTCCATTCTCTACGGACTCGACACAACAATCGCGGCAAGTATCCAAGCGAATGCAGTTGAAGATTTCGGAAGTGTACAGAAGCTTGCCTGGCTAGGAACTGGTTTCTCGCTGGGATCGATTGCTATAATTATGTCTTTGTAAGTGTCGTCGGTTAAATCACAACAGCCATGGCCGCTAACAGGATGCACTAGAGGGAAGGCCTACGGGATTTTCAATTTGAGATACCTTTATTTCGGATTTATTGTTCTCTTCGAAGCAGGAAGCGCTCTTTGTGGAGCAGCTCCAAACATGAACGCTTTGGTTTTTGGCCGTATTTGGGCAGGTCTTGGTGGTGCTGGAATGTATCTTGGGTATGTTACATCCGGTTCTTAGATATTGATCTCGCTGATCAATGAATAGGGGTCTCAATACCGTGGCTATTTTTACGACCAATAGGGAGAAAGCGCTATATATGGGCTTGATCGCCCTGTTCTGGGGTGTGGGTTGTATTTTAGGGCCCATAATTGGCGGCGCATTTGCAGATAGTTCTGCAACCTGGAGATGGGTAAGTCATATGTTTCTTTTTTTTTATTATGTCAAGTTACAGAAGATAGAAGAAATTTACTTGATAACACAGGCTTTTTATATCAATCTCGTCTGCTTCGGAGCGTTACTACCTGCTTACGCCTTCTTACCATCGTTCGATCCCCAGCCTACCAAACCATTGAGTGCCAAACTTCGTGAAATGGATTGGATTGGCGCTATTCTCAACGCCGCTGTCTACGCCACTTTTGTTATCGCTCTGACGTTCGGAGGAGCCACATGGGCATGGAACGCCGGTGGTACCATTGGAACCTTCGTGGCGTTCGGGGTCATCTTGATCGCTTTCATTTTGCAGCAGACATTTGCAATTCTAACCACGGAAGAAAGCCGCATCTTCCCGGTGGAGTTTCTAAGGAGACGCATAATGATACTTCTCTATGTATTAACGGCTTGTTCTGCGACTGCTGTCTTCGTGACCGTATATTACATCCCGCTTTATTTTCAATTCGTTCATGGAGAAAACGGCATTACGTCGGCTGTACGGCTGCTCCCATTTATTTTCCTATTTGTACTGGCTGTGTTGATGAACGGAATCATCATGCCCAGGTCAGGATGGTATATGCCGTGGTTTGGAGTAGGCACTGTCCTAATCACAATTGGCTCCGCGTTGATGCATGCCTTGGTGAATAGCCACACGGGCAACGGTGCGATATACGGATATAGTGTACTTCTCGCTATTGGCTGTGGCCTGACGATTCAAGCTGCATATTCAATTGCCCCGGCCAAGGTCGGTCCAGCACGCACAGCCGATACAGTCAGTTTTATAAACTCTGCTCAGATTGGTGGTGTGACAATCGCTCTATCTATATCAGGAACCGTCTTTCAAAATATCGCATATCAGCGTATTCAGACTGCCACTGTGGGAATGGGGTTTACTTCCGCTGATATCCACGGTGCTATTTCAGGCACTAAAAGCATTGTGTTCGATAACACATCCCCAGAGGTCCGGGCTCAAGTTATTGAAGGGATCGTTGATGCCATCAGTCAGGTCTACATTATGGTTATAAGTGCTGGGGCCCTAGGAATTGTCTGCTCTATTTTGCTACCCCGTGAGAAACTTTACATGACGGCTAACGCTGGCGGCTAAAATGGAGAGTTTATCGTTCAATGATACTTGGATTGCTCTTTGATTGTAGTTAAAAACTGGTATTGCTATTATTGAGGCCACATAACATGGGATGATAAAGAAAATTCGGATTCATCAGAGCCGTTGCAATAGATTTAAGTACATATAGTGGCTCTCAACTTTCAATTGTTGATTAGTGAATGCATGGTCAGTATGAATAGTTGGAACAAAATTGCCGAACTTCCTTTTTGCGGTCCGGGCTCAGCTATAAACTTTCCTTTCCGGCTCATATAGGACGATTATATTATAGACGAGGTAAATACACTTGTTTCTACCGAAATCTTGCAGCCTAAGCACACTACTTTTTGCAGGTGGCTGATATTACCTACGAATCAAACTCGTGAAACTATTTCTTTTAATTAGACGGTAAGACAGCCTCTTACATTTAATGTCCAGAGTTGATAATAATTCATATAATCTAGCCGAAGTTGTATAGTTAACTATTGGGCTCATAATTTCACATCTCATACCGTCACATAAAGATTGTAACACGAAGATAGCAACTTGAAACACAGTAAATTCATATCCATGAGTGACAACTTCAATCTAACAGGATCTCAAAACAAACAATACTTCGACCTCATACCGGCTGGACCGCATATTGACTACGAAGCAGTGAAACAAGATAATAAGACGCATTCAAGCTCAGAATAAGACCCAAAGCCCAAAGACCCAAAGACGACGATTTCTTCGAAACAGGAAGCGAAGCTTCCTTCTTAGGGTCGTCATCCCACGCGACTGTTCCAAGCGGCTGGTTTGGAAGAGGCACGTAATCCAACTTAATACCCCCCTTGACGAGATCGGCAAAGTGGTCAGCGACACGCTCATCGCCCACCCAGGGAATTACAAATCGCTGGACGAATTTCATGAACCACCCGTCCCAGGCTTGCAAGCGAGTCAATTGGTATGCGAGGTTGAGAACCTTTTTCATGCGTGGCTTTCGGAGCTCTTGGTACTCTTCAAAGATTCTTGAAAGGGTTTCTTTGCTCATCTTCTGGTTTGGATTGGCTTTGAGTTCGCGATTGAGCTTATTTACTAGAGCGGCGGTACTTTCCAAGGCGGAGTTTCCACCAAATGCCAGGTTAATCGTTAGCTGTAGGCAGATTTTAGCTATCAGTCATGTGTTTTTTTCTTTCCTTAAACCGATGTTTCCTATGGCATACCTTATGCGCTGAATCGCCCAAAATGGCAATTCGACCAAAATGCCAGTGGTCAAAGACAACCTCTTCCAACGCGATCAGTTGACCGCGAATACGCTTCTGCCATAGTTCTCCGAAAAGAACAGTATCGCTGATGGGTAGATTGGACAGCTTTGCTGCCTCTTTCTCGGCGTCTTCGGCAGTAAAGCGTGGTCTATCTGGCCAGTGAATGACCTTGGGCAGTTTGATAAAAACAAAGAAGAATGTTCGTCCTGGCTGAGTGATAACGAGGAAAGAAAATCCCTGATTGTGGACGGTATGGCAATCACCACAGCTCATTCCTGGCATATCTGGAGCAAAGCCAATCAGGCAAGCGTAGGTAGTGGCGAGGGCTGTATTTATGTCAGCGATATATCCACGGTCATGAACAGCTTTTTTATTTTATTTATTTATTTATTTTTTTTGCCTTGTCTCTTCTCCGATGAACTTACATCTTTTCTCTGCCGCCGAGATATAACCGGGAATCGCTCTGTTGGCATTGGCCCACATAATGTCTCGAACAGTGCTGTTGACACCATCACAGCCGACAACAATATCTCCCTCGTACTTCGCCCCATCTTCAGTGTGGACTTCAACACCATCCTCGGTCTCGGTGACTCCAGAGACTCTTTTGTTCACTAATATTCTGGACTTGTCCGGAAGGTTATCATACAAAGACGAGACAACCAACTGACGCTCCAAAACGACAAAGTCGTATCCATGACTATGAATTCAAGTTAGCTTTTCTTAGTCGATAACCATTCCTTCACTATCCCTTACCGAACTTTGATCATGTCGGCAAGTCGACTGACACTGATTGCCCGGCCATCAGGTAGACGGTTGTAGCTGTCCACCATTGGCGCGCAATGGTTTTTGATATCTTTCCAACAGCCCATCTGCTCGAGGACCCGGATACCATTGGGCCATAGCCCAATACTAGCACCGACATGCGAACGAACATCTCCGTATGCTTCCAATACGACATGATCGATGTTTGCCAGCTGCAGGGCATGGGACATGGCCAGTCCGGCAATGCCACCGCCGGCCACGATAACCCTAAAGCCGTTCTTCTCAGTCGTCATCCTTGCAGTTACACTAGCATCTAACAGTATAACAAGCCCAAAAGAGTAAAACCTGGGCTCATAAAGAAACAATAATTCACAGAGCTACTCCCTCAACCGGCCGTCCACCTCTATAAACAGCTTTCTACCGCTTCACTATTATACTATACCACAGGTGTAAGCATTGCCCAAATTGGATATACAATTGGACCACCCTCCAACCAGACGGACCGCTGGGCCGCCTCGCCGGGCATTCGGCCCGCCCGAGACCGTCCGTGACAGGGTCCTCCTTGTTGTCAGCGCCCTCTTCCTATCGTGTAACAGCATGCATGTTGCGTCCACTCCAGCCCGAGAATTGTGCTCTGTGCCATTCTTCGTGGTGCGCGGCCATAAAGGCTGCCCCTCGATTTACACTAACGCATTGTTTTCCTGTCCCCCTCGGCAGTCACTTATATATCGCTTGGCCGCGTCTTATCACCCGATAATATTCCCTCTCGCCTCTATCATCTCGCACTAAAAAGCAAATAAAAGAGAGAAGAACAAAATATGGCGCGCACCTGGTTCATCACTGGATGCTCCTCCGGCTTCGGAAAAGCTATTACCAAGGCCGCTCTTGGAGTGGGTGATAATGTCATCGCAACCTCCCGCGACGCTTCCAAACTGGCCGATTTGGCCCAGAGCGGGGTATACACTGTATCTCTGGATGTAAACTCCTCTCAGAAGGATATCGACGCTGTCGTGGCCGACGCTGTGAACAAGTACGGCTCTATAGACATCCTCGTGAACAACGCCGGATATATCTTGGAAGGAGGCATCGAGGAAGTAAGGTAAAATAGCCCAACCGTGATGAATCCAATAACTGGGGAAGTTGGCCTGATCAGAAAATATAAATTCCATGTAGTGACGAGGAAGCCCGCGATCACTTCAACACCAATGTTTTCGGCCAGTTGGCGGTCACTCGCGCTGTTCTTCCATACATGCGCGCCAAGAAATCCGGCGTGATTGCCAACATGGGCTCTATCGCTGGCTGGCGCGGTGGAATTAACTGCGGCATGTACTGCTCGACCAAATTTGCCCTGATTGGCATCACAGAGGCTCTGAAGAAGGAAGTCGAGCCGCTTGGAATCACCGTCGTCGCTATCGAACCTGGGTATTTCCGTACCGACTTCCTTTCTGGCGGCCACAAGGTGTCGCCCAAGAACAGTATTCCGGATCTTGAGCCAGTTATCAAGCCCTTTAAGGATATGTTTTCCATGTATGATCACCAGCAGCCCGGCGATCCAACCAAGGGTGCTCAGTTGATTGTCGAGGCTTTGACTGGAACTGGCCGTTGCGCTGGCAAGAAATTGCCCGCCAGATTGGCTATCGGGTCTGATGCTATCGCCATGATCACTGAAGTGTTGGAGGACAAGAAGAAAGAGTTGGATGAGTGGAAAGACTTAGCTGTTACCACAGACATTGCAGCATAAATTCATAAATTCATGTGTCACACAAATCGCCAGTTTAGCGATACATGCAGACAAGAAATTTAGAGACAATAAATTGAAGCTGTGAATGAGCCAAGAATAAACCTAATAATGTGTATGCTTGCAGTTGATGTGTTTCTCAATCTAAACTAACAGCATGAGCGATCAAGGATATTGAATGTTCTTCCCTAATCACACATGGCTCATATAAATTTCAATGGCTTGACGAAAATACTTTGGATTTAAATTTAAATAACTAACACTCCAGGCACGCTTACCATTAATATGTCACACAAGGGGTCAGGTCACACTACATTCCTTATCCTTGCTCTTAAAAGGGGAATGATTGGTCAAGTCTCGAAAGACAGTCCCGGGGAAAGAGATTATAATGTACGTAAACATTGAATTCGAGGAGAATATTACAACTTTCATGATCAATTTCATTCGGCAAAGTCAGGTGGAATAAGTATCCAGTCACCGTAGAAGAAACAGGTCAGCTACATTCCGTCGAAAGACGGACTACTATGATTTATCGTAATAGAACTTTCTTTTTCCTTCTCCTCGTATTTCCAGAACAAAATTTTCGGCGAAGCATGGGAAAACTGCCTCGTAAGCTGCCATGTGGCTCGGTGGCTCGGCCCGCGTGTATGCCTGGGGGTCCGCGACGCACCTTAGTTAACAAGAATTATGAAAATAGTTACGGAACTCGTGCGGAAATTGAAAGCCAAGGGATCTTTTTCAGCTTCTGAAATATTTTAATTATAGAATCTAAGGCTGAATCAGGATAGTGTATGTTTGTAGTGCCTTGATATATTAACCAGTACCTTCACCGGCCCCATGGTCAGAAAAACAAGGACTTTCTTTCTTATTGCCCTGGGAGAGAAATAATCTGCAATTGAACCGATCCCTCAGGGGGAGTGCTTTTTATTCTTTACAATGGTGGTTTCCATTTCCTCGATCTGCCTAACTGCAGTCGGCTTGTCGTCGTTGTCCGGATTGGCGGCTGCACAACACATAATCAGCGCAGCGCAAAAAGGGGCACAATGTGTACGCTGTGTCAATTTTCAAACTGATTGTAGTTGCATTGCTAACGTATTGTTCTACTTAGTGTAATCTTTTGACAAAAGCCTTCCCAAGTAAAGTGGCTCAAAATGGAACTACAGCCTACACTACTGAGGATCAGAATTTCTGGTGTATGTAACACTCCAGTCCTCGTTCCAATTATATAGGAATAGGAAGAGAAGCACAAATTATGTTTGGGTCAAGTCTAGATTTCTAATATTATCTAGCGACTTCCGAATGGCTCTCCCCAAGCTGTATCTTTGAGCCGACACAAGCAAAAGATGTCGCCAAGGCAGTCAAGCTTTTCGCAGACAACGAATGCGAGTTCGCTATTCGAGGTGGCGGTCATTCCGCTGTCCCGGGTGCAGCAAATATTGATGATGGAATTCTCATTACTTTTACAAACATGAAAAATGTCAGTATCCACACTGATAAAGAGGGCGCTCAGTTCGTCTCTGTCCAACCCGGGGCAGTTTGGGGGGATGTCTACGCATACTGCGATCAATACTCAGTGGTACCGATGTGCGGCCGTTACTATCCAGTCGGCACCGGTCTCGCCCTTGGTGCGGGCTTTTCGTTCTTGAGTAACGAGAACGGCTTTGCAGTGGATAACGTGAAAACCTACGAAGTGATCCTCGCTGATGGAACTATCCTAGAGGCCTCTCAAACCAGCCACCCGGATCTTTTCCGTTCTCTGAAAGGCGGCGGTAACAACTTTGGTGTTGTTACGCGCTATGACCTATACCTCTACCAGGGCGGACCGGTTGTTGGTGGTCAGATACAGACTCCAGAGAACCAGACTGAAAAATGGCTAGATCTTACATATGACTACAGTGTCAGACAAGCAGTAGTTGACGTCAAGACTCATGCATTGCCTGCTATTCTGTATCTGGGAGACACGGATGAAGTGTTGACATCGACGCCAGTATATTACAACGCTCACAATAGTAGTGCCTTGCCACCTATCATGGCTGGATGGTACAATATGACTGCTTCGTCCGATACCGTCCGTCAAGCTTCATATGCAGCGCTTGCAAAGGAATTCAACGCAAACCAGGGTGACGGCTCTTTGTAAGTATCATTCGCTTTTCTCTTTCACTTTTTAATCAGAGCTTTTAAAACTAACCATCGATTTAGCCAGGAACAACGCACTTATACCATCACCGCAAATCGGGAAGAATATGCCCGTGTGTGGTATTCATTCCTCGAATGGGGTCGGTCTATTGAGAATGTCACCGGATTGACTCTTCTCCACTGCAATATGCCTCTGACTCCACGCATGATGGAAGCCGGTGTTGAAAAGGGATCCAATTCACTTGGCCTTGCTGGAACAGATGATGTTCTTTCTAGTACGTATACTCAACTTAAGCAACATTATTTCATACCTAATACTGACATGCGATTCTCATCGTGACAGTTCTATATTTTGGACTGACTTTGGAAACTTACAATGAAACTATTGTCAATTCTTTTAATTCCATTTTCGCTACTCTTCAGGAAGAGTCCAAGTCTCGTGGACTTCTCAATCCATACATGTTAGTACCTTCTCTCCCTTTATCTATCCACACACGTCAAAATGCAAAGAAAATACACCCCAAGTATACATTTGCTAATCTGTTCATTGATAGAATGTGGAACTATGCTGGTCTCGGCCAAGAAGTCTTCCCTAGCTACGGATACTCATCTTTGGGCTTCATGAAAAAAGTCAGCAAGCGCTACGATCCCAAAGGCGTTTTCCAGCGCCTTGTTCCAGGAGGGTTCAAACTGAATTAGTTACCATCCTATAGCTTGACCCACTCGCATGTGTCGGTTATGATGTCCGAGTAGTCAATGGGCTTTTTTGGATATTTTCTTGCCAGTTCACTAATAGAGCAATCAATTCACTACTCTTTGGCTATTTTTTTCCTGAAACAATACGACCGTATTTATCCTTCCGTGTAATGTTGCCTGTATAACTTGGGTAAACACAAGTGTGTAGTGTATCCCTGCTATCTATATTCCTTTTAACATTAAAAGATACGTCTCTTAGAAACATGAAATATATCTATATATGTATGTATTTTATATACTTGTGCATAATACCAGATATTCGACGATCTTCCATCAGATGATGCCCGATGTTCATCTCAAATTTCCACCAATTATCTCACAGCCGTCATTTTATAGGGCTGACGTCCAGGCTCAAGTTTCTCAATTATGAGAGTGCTTTCAGCTCATAAGAGGGGTCAATAAATAGTCATCCCTGTAAGAATATCTTAGAAGGCCCTGTAAAGCCTGTGTTGTATTGTACTTGTATAGCATGGCATCGGGCCTAGGCCTCTGTTCTCCCTGCTAGTGCTGCCTAATCACTAATGGTAACACCTTGTCCTCGCCAATAGATGGAAGTTGGAAAGGAGAATCCGAAGCTGAGTAAGAAACTAGTATTAATGACCCAAATTTTTGACCGATCGCTGTAGAAAGTCCGTGTAGTCATCATTCACTCATTCCCCACCGTGTCCTGTTATGCCCAGCTTCATCCTCACCTGCAACTCCTGCAGTGATGACTGTGACAGCGGCCTCGCTGTCGTAGATACACTGGTACAAGCCAAAGCGTGGGGCGACAAGGAAGAGAGGAAGGCCAGCCGTAAGCTCGTTGAGTCAATATTCTGAAATATGTAATCAAATACGTGACTATAATCGTAGGTAGCGGCTCGTACTATTCTTGAAATGATAGATGTCTACGTTTTTTTTTATCATAGGATTTTCGTTGTATCGTGTATTATTCTCGCGGAATCTAACATAGAAAAGAACGCGGGAAACATTTTTCGAAATTCGAGTTTGGATTGATGAAAATTCCTTCAACTACTCCATTCCTATGGAAAAGCTAGTGGTATCCATTGGCGTGTCCATTCGTATGGCCATTTGTGTGGCCATTTGCTCTTACACCAGTCTTGAAAAGCTTGAGCCTTTTCTTTTCTTGGGTGTGAAGATACTCATCAATAAGTCCCTTGTAGTCGCTAGGCACATATGTCGAGAACATTTCAGCAATTGGATTACACTTACGGTTCGGGTTGATACCAAGATCGCGGGCTAGTGTGTCGACATACTGCGAGCAAGATACCATGAATCCGTTAGTCAGTGCACCGTTTGCATATAATAATTAATTGCTTAAAGAGAACCTACAGCAAGGTAGTCGTAGATGGAGTATGCATGTTTCCTTCCTTGTTCCAGATACCGCTTCCGAGTCCATGCATTCCACACCGCAACCTCCTCTTCCATTTCTCTTTGGTCAGGGATTTCGAGTTGATTGAGTAAGAAGGAAACACCCCATAGAGCTTGAATTTCAGCCACGAGTGGCGTGTAGACCGAGTGTATCTGTCCCGGGAAGAATATCGAGCGATCTCCCTGTGCAGCCATGCGAGGAGAAATAAGCCTCCGATACAATCTCCACGGTCGTCTCTGGGAAGCAGACGGCACGAAAGTATCCGGCGGGTTAGTGAGAATTGGAAGAGCCTTATTGACGGTCTCCTCCGCTTGATCATCTAGTTTCTGCCACTTGGAATTGAAGTCCTGGTCAGATGGTAGGCCAAATTGAACACGCAGATCCTGTTTAAATGGGCCGAGAGCATCCGTCCATCCAGTGCACAGAACTACAAAGTCGGTTTCAAGCGATGTTCCGTTTTTTAGGTTAACTTTGTTTCCGTCTGAATATGATGCAATTTCAGTTCGGTGGACTGTAGCACCGCCAGCATGGAATGTCTTCCAGAAATCAGGAACACTAGCTAAACCGAGACCAGAATTTGCCCAAAATATTCTGAAAGAATAAAAAGAATACCCGATCAGCATTGCATCAATCAATTTGAACTCCCTGATATCATCACTCACCCGTATCCCTTTGGTATGGGCCGTAATTTCTCTGCATTGGAGCTCTTGTGATACCCAGCTTGGTACTCAGCCACCGCAGTCAAGACATTCCAAAACTTCATGGTAATGAATCTCCCAATACTATTCTGATGAAGAAGTTGATACCAGGCCCCTCTAGTACCCAAGATCGCCGGACTAAATGCAGCAAGGGCTCGAGTACCCATCAAATCAACAGTGTTGAAAATACCAAGTAATCGAGGTGGCATAATTGCCAGAGGTCCAGAGCCTTCGTCTCGGATTATCCAGTCAACTTTCTTGCCTGCTTTGAGTAGCAGAAAAACAGTGTCGTACGCGGATTTGGCAGCTCCAAGAACCACAACTCGCTTAACAGCCAGACTGTGAAGCTCATCTAGTGATGTTCCTGTTTGAGCCGAGTGGATTATAGGCTTCGAAAAGCCTTCTTTTGGCCAGGTTGGAATATACGGTTCTGAAGATACTCCAGTGGCAACGATGAGTTTGGAGGCCCATAGGGGCTTGTCACCGAGGATATCAAGCCGCCAACTTCCACTGACCATCTTCTCTACATTGGTCACGGTTGTTTCCAGACGAGTTCGACGCACCAAGTCATAATCTTTGGCAAAAGAATAAAGATAGTTGTGAATAGTATTGCCCGAGATATAGCGATCTGGCGTGAGGCCTTCTTTCTTCATAGGGTAGAAGGAGTACTCAAATAGGCCATGACCTACTTGGGCAAAGAGATTGGGGTATATCCTTTCTTTGCTCCATACACCACCAATTGACTTGCCATTATCAACGATGAGCATGTTTGTGTCTGGGGCGAGTCGAAGATAGGTCGTGGCCGCAATAAGCCCGTACCAGCCTACGCAACATCAAAATTTATCAACATCTTTTCCCCTAGTCCATAGGAATATTAGCATGCATACCTGCTCCAATAATTATAACGTCATAGCTCTCCTTGTCCTTCATCTCTCTATCTTTTTTTTTTCCGTCGCTATCTTACTGCTTGGCTGGTCCTGGTCATTCAGGAAGAAGGGGAGATCTGCCAGCAAGATACAACTCTTACGCAGCACTAAACTGCACAAGTTTACGTGAGTGTACGCTATCTGACTACACTTATCTTTCTTAAAAAAGTACAGCAATAAGAAAAGACAGAAAAACACCAAGCGAAGAGAGAGGGAATAAAACGGGCCGCATTGGCTCCGATGGGTAAATATTTCAATTTCGACATAATGCAAGCCTCCAGCTATTAGCCCCAAGCCCGAGAACAAGGCAACCGTTCACGCATTGGGAGGATGAGAAGGCGCAAATGCGGGCCGTCGTGTCGAGTTGTCATCTGAACGGGATGACCGTCGCGGCCTTAGATGTCCGCCCTGCATGAAGTGCCGCGGGTTTAGTTCTGAGAAGCCCTAACGTTTTCTGAAGACCACGAATAGTTTGGGTTGCCTCTTAGACCGGACTTCAAAACGATTAGTGGATTATACGATTGTACGTATACATATTCTCAGTCCGTACTGACACTGATCAATCTTTTATCATCCCCGTCATACGAATAACTCACTAGTTATCCTTACTTTCATAAAATATTTACTTACGAAAGGCTTGATCAACATTCACTCGAAATTAGAACCCATCCTAGGAGAGAGTCCTCGCAACGAAAATGGAGCTACGCAGTGTTTTTCCCATTTTGAGTGTGATAGGCTTCTATCTTCTCTGGGTCGTGATGGCACAGAACGGTACTATAGACGCTCTTGACCTAGTATCGAAGATAGGAGAGTACCCCAATGGCAGACCGCTGAAGACATCTTATGTTGGCATTCCCGTCGTTGATAGCTCAATTTCAACGCTTGTCGCCTTTACCGATTCATTGACAGGCGGTGGCGATGTCGCATGTCGCCTTGTGATGATTGATGTGGTCTCTACATTGCAAACTGCCGGACTATGGGTCATCGTAGAAAGTGTCCGTAATGGCGCCGGGCCATTGAGAATTGTTCTGTATGTTTATATCTCAAACATGTTTATATCTATGAAGTGAAGACCTCTAACAATCTCCTTTAGATCCTCACTATGGCCTCTTTTGTGGAACGGAATTGGCGCTGGCTTCATCCTGCCTATTTACTACTATGTAAACCTGATCGGAAAAAATTCGCACAAGAAACAAGTGCCGCGGTTAAAACATGCCAAAGCGTTCCTTTTCACTTCGATTGTTGCACTATTTCTTCCAGCAATTTTCGTACTTCCACCGATTGAAGTACCTCGTTCTGCTGAAGACAACCAGACTATCGCCGCTCTATTCCAGATCACACCTCTGATTGCAGCGGTTTTGCAGACGGTCATCCCTTTATTTATGGCATCCAAACCCGGAGCTGGACGAGACGAGGAGAAAATTCTTCTTCGCCGAGCATATCTTTTCTCGGCAGTATTTTCAGCAACCGGGCACATATACTCCCTGCTTACGTCTATTTTTTCAAATGATCCCGCTGTAACGTGGTATAAGGTCTATTTTCCTTCCCCATCAGACGTCGTGCCCGACAGCGAGTGGACTATACGAGAAGGGTCGTTATTGTTTATCAAATACGATTTTATCATTATTAACATCTCCTCCGCTATATGGCTTTACCTTTCCCTCAAGCCATATCTAAACATGAAGACAGCGTTTGAAAAGGGGTCCACTATGTTTTTGATTATTCTCTCCACACTGGCAGTGGGGCCTGGAGCCTGTGTGTCTTGGGGTTTACGACTACGCGAGGACTGGATTCTATGAGTGGTGGTTGACTATATAGAAATGATGTTTGAAAGTCAATCGTGCTGGCCTCTATTAAGAAAGCAGTAATGTCAATTTTGAAATTTCATTTAGTTCAACAATCATATCATCGAGACACAACTTAGGACAGAAAGAATTTGGTCGATATAATGAAGAATTTCTTTTGCACTTTTCAGGTGATATCTCTACGACTCGCTGTAAACCTCTAATAATGTATCTACATGATAGGGGTGTATCTGTTAACTTTCTTCATATCGAGGTTGTTCGATGTGTAGACGAGTATGCTTTTATTTTATCATGTAATTTCAAGAGCTTCCAGAATCCCAAAAGATCGTCTTTCAAATGAAACTTCACGTTTCTGCTCCTGAAAGCAGTATATGCTAGGCTGATCCAGAATTCTCTAGAACATCAAGGGTGGAAACCCTCATACCACCACACAGCTTGCGGGATATGTTCCCCGCTGTGAGCTGATAGGGAATCGGAATTCACGGTAATGCTCAATCATACATGACCCTTACTCTCGCCGACAAAGGTGTTATCTTACTCGGGGTATTACGGTTGGTGCGGCAATGCGGCCCGCTGAATCGGAGCGTCCGGCCGTTGAGATAGACATAGTAAGGAAGATGTCTGAGGCATACTCTAGGTGACTAAATGTATGTTACACTTCTAAAATAGGCAATTCCATTGACTCTAATACTTATATAATTGTTGCAAGCATCCACTGTACGTCGAAAAATAGGTGCGATTCCTCCATGTCTTTTAGATATCGTCCACAACAAACTTGAAGATGTCTCCATACCTTCATGAGTCATCCAGCTCCGGGTCTGGAGGCTTAACACCGGTCTCTGTTGCATCTCATGGATCTGACAATGGCTCAGTTATCGAGGACTCTGAATACCCGGCTCTGCAGTTCCCAGGCTATGCAGAAAAGCCCCTTTCAGAGCAACTGGAGCCTATCGCAGTTGTAGGAATGGGTATGCTCGGAACACATCACACATAAATAGGTATAAGCTGCTAAATAGGACTGCTTCTAGGATGTCGTCTACCGGGTGATGTCAGTTCTCCAGCTCAATTCTGGGATCTCATGATCAACAAGGGTACCGGTCAAACCCCGAAAGTTCCATCCGATAGATTCAATATTGACGCCCACTTCCATGAAAACAATGAGAGGCCTGGAAGCTTTAACGTTCTGGGTGGATACTTTATCAAAAATGACATCAAAGAGTTTGACCCTCAATTATTTGGTATTTCTCCGGTTGAAGCAATGTGGATGGACCCTCAACAACGAAAGTTACTTGAGGTCGTCTATGAGGCATTTGAGTCCGGAGGTGTGACTCTGGATACGGTTTCCGGCTCACAAACCGCTGTATTTGTGGGAAGTTTCACCAGCGATTACCAGCAGATGTCGTTCAAAGAACCCGATTTTCGGCACAGCTACGCTGCTACGGGGGTCGATCCGGGCATCATTAGTAACAGAATTAGCCATGTTTTTAACCTGCACGGCCCGAGTATTCTCGTAAATACCGCTTGCTCATCATCTGTCTATGCTATGCATAATGCTTGCAATGCTCTCCGCAACCATGAGTGCACTGCGGCCGTGGTTGGAGGCACAAATCTTATCATCACGGTGGACCAGCACATGAATACTGCCAAGCTGGGTGTCTTGTCACCCACTTCCACTTGTCACACATTTGACGCATCTGCTGATGGCTACGGTCGTGCTGATGGTGTGGGTGCGGTCTACCTGAAGAGGCTGTCTGACGCTGTACGAGATGGGGATCCCATCCGAGCTGTTATCCGTACAAGTGCTGTCAACTCGTAAGCTTCCCACTCCAGCTTTCTCTATCTTGCGTATACCGCTGTTTTACATTTGTGGTTTTGAAAATCCCTTCTCCCCTATGCGTACCAGATTTTTGTTCTATTAATACGGGTAAAATGAGGTAAAATGAAACTTGACTAACTATAAACATAACAGAAACGGCAAGGCTCCAGCGGTTGGTATCACACATCCTAATCTCGAGGGCCAAGTCGACGTGATTAAACACGCCTACCTTCGTGGAGGAGACCTCGATCCAAAGCTCACAGGTTATTTCGAGATTCACGGCACAGGCACACCTATAGGAGACCCCTTGGAGGTACATGCCGTTGCAAAGGCTATGAATGGTAGGAGGCTTCCTGGTGAAGAACCTCTCTTAATTGGAGCTGTGAGTTCCCAAAAACTCTATACCAAGGAAATTCGGAGAATGAAATTTCTAATTTCATCAAGGTAAAAACAAACATTGGTCACAGCGAAGCAGCAAGCGGTCTCTCCGCTGTCATCAAAGCAGTTCTGACTGTTGAGAACGGGATTATTCCCCCAACACGTGGTCTAGTCAATCGCAATCCTAAGAGTCAGTATCCAAATACATCGGCTTGGAATTATTCTAGTACGGAATTGCTAATAATATAAACAGTTGATTGGGATGGTTGGAAAGTGCAGGTTGTCACAGACCCACGTCCATTTCCCAGCCACTTGCCAGTCAAACGAGTCAGCGTTAATTCTTTCGGATATGGTGGCACCAACGGTCATATCATGATTGAAGGCATTGACTCGTTTATCCCAGACTATAAACTTGCTCGCAAATCGACGACCAAGCCTCGGGGTATGCATAATTTGAACCGGCCGTTTCTTCTCCCATTCTCAGCCCACGACAAACAAACTCTAAAACACAATATCGGGGCATATAGTAAAATCGCAGGCAATTATAATCTCTTAGACCTGAGTTATACATTGGCGAATCGCCGTTCGCTCCTCCAGAGTAGGGGATTTGTTGTGTCTTCCTATGCCGCTCTTGAGTCTGCCTTTGGAGACAATCTTGCAGCATTCTCTTTCGCAGAGAAAAAGAAAACACCGAGAATCGGATTTGCATTTACCGGTCAGGGAGCCCAGTGGGCAAGGATGGGGAGTCAGCTAATGACCTATTACCCAAGTTTCTTGAGAACGATAATAGAGCTTGACTACGCACTAGGCTCTCTGCCTGATGCGCCCGAGTGGACACTGGAAGATAAATTGCTAGAGGATGCACAAACCTCACGCGTCAATGAAGCCGAGTTCTCCCAACCCTTGTGCACTGCCATCCAGATCGCAACAGTAAAGTTGCTCGAATCTTGGGACATCCGACCACAAGTAACCGTTGGGCATTCATCTGGAGAAATTGCTGCTGCGTACGCAGCCGGCCTGATTTCGGCAAGCGAGGCTATCATTGTGGCATATTATCGGGGTCAGGTTGTTGCTAAACTAAACACCAATGGAGCAATGATGGCTGTCGGTCTCGGAGCGGAAGCCGTGGAGCCTTTCATTCGAGAGTTCAAGGGCCAGGTTGTTATTGCTTGCCACAACTCGCCTGTCAGTGTAACTCTTAGTGGCGATGCGGATGCAATTGATGTAGTCAGGAAGGCTTTGGATGCAGAGAATATCTTTGCCAGAGTCGTCAAAACTGGTGGGAAAGCTTATCACTCGCATCATATGAATTCCTCAGCACACAAATACGAGGAATTAGTTCACCGTGCAAGGGAAACTGTGTCTTTTGGTGTTCCTCTAATAACTGACGCGGTAATGGTGTCATCTGTTATGAACTCGAGGATTGAACCAGGACAAGTCATCGGCGAAAAGTACTGGACTTTGAACTTGACCAGTCCGGTGCTGTTCAACCAGGCAGTTCAGACCATTGCAACCAGCAGCGATGTCCACGTTGATACTTTGATTGAGATCGGGCCCCACACGGCCTTATCTGGTCCTATTAAGCAAATTTCCAAAGAGTTAGGAAGTCATGGATTCAGTTACCTACCGACTCTAGTAAGAAATGAAGATTCAGCCTTCCAGATCCTCAAACTAGCTGGCGAGCTGTTCCTCAGAAATTACCCGCTTAATATGGAAAGAGCGACTGCAATTGAAGAGACATCTACCAGTGGAAAACTCAAGTTGGTCAAGGGATCGATTCTTGTCGATCTTCCAACCTATCAGTGGACCTACTCCAAAAGTTTGTGGGCTGAGCCTCGCCAGAGCTTAGAGCACCGTGCCCCTAACCATCCACGTCATGATGTCCTTGGGTCTCGAATGCCTGGAGGGTCCGCATCTGAGCCTGTGTGGAGAAATGTCCTCCGTATCAGGGACGTTCCTTGGCTAAAAGACCATTCCCTTGGTGGTGAAGCTGTGTTCCCTGCTGCTGGATATTTCTCTATGGCAATTGAAGCAATCACCCAGCTGAACGAATGCAGTGCTCAACCGGTGAACATCGAAGGGTTTGTACTCAGAGATATCTCTATTAAAGCAGCTTTGGTGACACCAGATGACGATAATGGAATTGAGGTATTGTTTGCCATGCGTCCGTCATTATTCTCTGGAGGTGAATCCAACGTGTGGTGGGATTTCAATGTTTCATCTGTGTCAGGCTCTGGTCTTTGGAATGACCACATGACGGGAACTATCAGCATCAACAGTCGTGCTCGAGGGCAAACTCCCAAAAAAGTTCCCAATCTTCCACAGCGTGCCATGGGCAAAAGCTGGAATCAGGGTCTGAGAGAAGTTGGCTTTGACTATGGGCTAACATTCCAGGACATGGAGGACATTAGATCAGACGGCAAAACATATAGAGCCGCGTCAAGGACCTTTGTCAAACAACAATGCGGGGTGGTTACAGGAGAATCTCGCTACGCTCTGCATCCTGGAACGGTTGACTCATGTCTCCAGCTTATCATTGTGTCCATTTATGCAGGAAAACTCAACGATATGACATGTGGTGCCGTGCCGATTCAGGTCGATGAAGTAGCCATCTGGCCACCGACAGCACAACAGCTCAAAACCCCTATGGCATCGGCATATTCGTATACCGGTCAACGTGGCATCCGTTCTTTCGTCAGTGGCTCCCAGCTAGTTGCGAGCGACGGCGAATTACTAATGGACATTACCAATATGCGGTGCGTCGCCTACGAGGCAGCTGTTCCTCAGAGGATCGAAGAAGTGCTGGAACCAAAACCTTTCCAGGAACTGGTTTGGGAATACGACATTGACAGCATCAACTCTGATGAGCAATTACGTGAAATGGATGTTGGCAAAATTGTTGAGCTCGTCGGCCACAAGAGCCCGGATGCCAGAGTTCTGGAATTTGGGTCCGAGAACCTGTCAAGCACATTGGATAAGTGCCCATACGTCAGCTATACAGTCGCTGTACGTTCCACGGAGGCTCTTGAAGAGTCCAAAGCTCAGTTCGAGGGAATCAAGAATGCCAGCTTTCAAGTTCTAGATATCTCTGTTCCTCTTGACGATGATACTGGTCTCGAGACTTTTGATTTGATCATTGCCACTCGTCAGTCTATTGACAACGTTGAAATGCTCAAGAATCTCCGCTCTTTATTGGCTCCTAGTGGTCGCGTGATCTTTGCGAAGAGCAGTGTCATATCTCAGGACTCCCTTGTCAGTGCTGGCTTCAACAACGTTGGTGTCTTCTTAGAGGATAGTGAGACAAAGGCGCTTTCATTCATCAAACCAGTCGAGGTTATCAAGAACGGATTACACGCTAATAGCTCAAGTCCGCAAATCAAACTCATTTATCGGAACAAGCCGGCGGCTGTTATCGATGAGATCGCAAAAGCTATAGAAAAGGGAGGCTATACGACCAGTTCTAGTGCTCTGGCCACTCATGGTATCACTTGTGGGCATGCGGTGGTTATCGGGGATCTGGAGGGCTCTTCACTGCTAGCAACAATGGAAGAGACCGAATTCGAAGCTCTCAAAGAACTCACAAACAAGGCATCTTCCATCCTGTGGGTTACTGCTGGTGGTCTTCTTACCGGGAAGCTACCAGAATACGCTATGGCGAATGGCCTCGCAAGATCTCTCACCTCTGAACAGTCCTCACTAGACTTCACCACTTTGGACTTTGACCTTGAAACTACTTCCCCTAGGCAGATTGCCGATAGCATTTCTGCAGCTGTACAACGCCAAGTCAGTCAGAACGAATCCCGGGAGTCGGAGTATTATGTGTCTAAAGGCTATACTTATATTAGCCGTCTTCTGGCTAACACGGATCTTCCAGGTGCCTCCAAGGCAGGTAAAGAGTATATGGCTCCATACGAGGGGCAGCATCTAGTTGGTTCAGTGCAATCCGGTAAGGTAGTATTTTCCGAGGATGAGCTTAAGGATAAAGCACTGGATGGCAACGAGGTTGAGGTCAAAGTAGTGTACGGGGGTCTCAACAAAGAGGATACGCTTGTCATTACCGGGAATGATTACCCTATGACATTCAGCCACGAGATCAGTGGCGTTGTGTCTCGCGTGGGCTCAGCAGTCAAGGGCATCAATGAGGGGGATATGGTGGTTGGATTCAGTTTCGACAAATTCTCGACCCTCCAGCGAACATCTGCCGATCTCCTCCAAAAAGTGGAAAAGGGCGAGTCGCTAGAACAAATTTCATCCCTTCCCTGGACCTTCTCTACTGCTTTGTACGGGTTGAGGGATTTGGCTAAACTTGAGCCAAACGAAAAGGTTCTAATCCTCAGTGGTACTGGTAGTGTTGGCGCCGCTGCCATTCAAATAACTCGGCTTCTCGGCGGCATACCTTTTGTTGTAGTCGCAAGCTCAGAACAGCAACGACTCATGGCAACTTTTGGTCTTCCCGAACAGCAGGTTCTCAACACAGACAATATAACTTCCCAAGATGAGATGTTAGCTCTCACAAAAGGGTCCGGATTTGACGTCGTCTTTAGCGGCTATACTGATTTCACGGAGGCCCGTGAGGCATGGCGTCACATTCGTCCCCTCGGTCGCTTCGTCGATTTCGGCAGGAAAAACGTTCTTAAACGCAGTGCCATTGATACAGTTCCTATTCACAACGGCGCTAGCTACCTCTCGTTTGACATGCTGGACCTCTATGCATGCAAACCTCAGATTTTATCGAACTTACTAAAGTCCACCCTCTCCCTTTATCGTCAAGGTCTTCTTTCACCCATCTCATCACCAAACATTTACAGCCTTGATCAGCTAGACTCAGCCGTGTCGTCTTATTCCGAAGGTTTTGTTGCAGGAAAAACATTGATTTCTTATGCACCATCAGGAGGGTCTCTCAGCATCGTGCCAAATCAGACGAGCATGTCATTCCGTTCAGATGCAACTTACCTACTCGTTGGTTGTTTGGGTGGCTTGGGAAGAAGCCTTACTACATGGATGACCGAGAATGGTGCTAGACGATTGGTTTTCTTATCTAGGTCTGGCGCGGATCAAGAACAGGCTGGCATTCTAATCAGAGACCTTGAAAAGGCCGGTATCATCTGTCAGGTTGTCAGAGGTGATGTTACGAATCGATCAGACGTCCAAAAGGCAGTCGATAGCGTTCCGGTTCAGTTCCCGATTCGTGGTGTTGTACAGGCGGCGATGGTTTTAAGGGTATGTTACGTCTCATCCGGAATTTGAAGTGATCAAACATCTAACAATTCCAATCTAGGATGGGTTATTCCACTCTATGACATATAGCAACTGGACTACAGCCACTTACCCCAAAGTTCGAGGTACCCTGAATCTTCACAATGTTTTGTCTGATACTCCTCTGGATTTCTTCATCATGACGAGTTCTACCTCTGGTACTCTGGGAACTCCAGGCCAGGCAAATTACTCAGCAGCCAACAGCTTCCTCGATTCACTTGCCCGACATCGGGTGTCCAACCAACAGCGAGCGTGCTCTGTTGTTCTCCCCATGATTCTTGGCGTAGGCTACGTTGCTGAGCACCCAGAAGTCGAGGAAGCTCTAAGACGAAAAGGAATCTATGGTATTGATGAGACTCACCTACTTGAGTCTCTCGCTGTCTCGATGTTGACCCAGGCGAGCCCAACGCCTGCTGACCATGTGATCGTTGGACTTGATCCTGTCAAGTTGCAAAAGTCAATCCGCAGTTCTGAAACCACCGATGGTTTCTGGTTTGAGGATGCTCGTTTTAAACCTCTTCTAGCCTTTATGACCTCTTCTGATTCCAATGGGGTCGCCGAAGCTGGACGCACCATTCTCAGCACAATTCACGCGGCTGACAGCCCGGCTGGGGCCGTGAAATTGACCAGCGAAATCATGGTTGACAAGTTAGCAAGACTCTTGTTGGTCGACCTGGCCGAATTTGAACCAGATGTGAAATCCATTGCATCCTATGGCCTTGACAGTATGATCGGTGCCGAGCTCCGGAACTGGATCTTCAAGGAGTTGGCGCTGGATATTCCTTTCCAGCGATTACTAAGTGCAGATCTCACAATCACCAAGTTTGCAACTGAAGTTTGTAATAACCAAGGAATTGTCCTTGACTCCCAAAACTAGGTTGTCAGCTGGTTGTCAGTAAAATTACTTATAAGTTTTTATCTTTGCGTCTGACAAGTTGTTGTTTTATTTGATTATTTTTTGCTTTACTTGATCTTTATTTCATGTTATAGTTAGTGCCAGAATATAGCGCATAGGAACGGACTCCTTCGTATGTCCCTACCCCAGGTTACTTTGGCCGTGGGCCTACGCCATCTGAATATTGCCTTTTCCCGAACCATGGACGCTCCACTCCCTTAGAGGACTAGATCGATGGGCTATTAGTTGATGAGAATAAATGACCGACACCAAGTCGGGCCGGTTTGTCTTGTGCCGTGTCAAGACGAATACTTCGGCCCTTTTTCGCACTAGGTAAAAGACCTCAGCTTGCACACGTCTTGCAGCCACAGTGCTAGTAGAAAAAGATGTTGTTCTCGAGGAGGAAGATGGATTTCTTGTTTACGGTATAGCCCAGTCCCTTTTTCATTTCGCGAAGATTTAGCGCTTGCTCAGGATTAGGATAGAGTGCCGTGCTATTGCTCAATATATTGCTGCGAAAGATATAGGGCGTGGTACTGATTTATATCCAGCAATAAACCTATTTATTGACTGGCACCTCACAGTAACATCTCTAATATAAAAACCTACCGAGGCATATTAGGACGATAGATAAACCTTGGATCAGCCCCAGAACGGAATTTCTCCCACATCCGTGATTTCTTGTAGCCTCCAATAACATCGGGAGAAGAAAGAAGATTGAGATCATACTCCCCACCCCTACCAGCGGCTTCGAGTGTTAAGTAGCCAGGTGCATAGACTTCCACATCTTCCTTCCATTGATCGCGGTCGCATATATCCATATCACCAACAAGTTGGTTTGCCGCTTGAGCATTGCAAAGAATGTCAAGGATAGGCAGGTCCATATTAAGCCTTGAAAGATTCTTTTAGAAACAGCGTCACTTGGAAAATGCAAAGAAAAGAGAAAAAAACGCAGAAATGAGTCTCACGGTGGGTTCTGATGTCTAGCGCCACCCTCTCTGTGCTTGACATCATCTAAACCTTTTCCAAGCGTAGAGAACCATAAATACGGCTGTTGCATATTGAAAGGACGAATAAGCACCGAGTCCTCAAATACACCATTATCTGTGAAAGCAGTCAGTGCAAAGCGACCTGTTTTTAACCCATCTTCGTCAACGAGCATATATGGGCCATGAGAATCGAGGTAGAGAACTGTTCCAGTACGCGTAAGATAGATCGACCCGAAAAGGGCAACTTCAAGATCATGCCAAGCAGGAAAATCTTCAATCAAAAGACGGTTGGTAATGGCTGGATTAAGAACAATTTCTGAAGGCATATAATCAGTCTGCAGACAATGCCCAGCCTCAAGACCATATCGATACAAAAGAATAACGAATTTCACCCACCGCGCCCGGTTGATAGGGTGTGTCTGATCAACCGGCACCAGTGAAAATGACGCCGTTCGTAAAGGGCTGGGTGGTTTGGAAAATTCGCTCTAAAGCCTCTGCTGGGTATCGAAGCCCTTCTACAGGCTCGCTGCGTGATCGTTTCCCTTCTGTGCCTGGGAGTCCAATTAGGGCGCGGACGTGAAATGACTACACCTAACAAGTTAGCTAGATCTCAATCTGTAAATGAAAGTTACAGAGGAATTTTACATCACGGAACTCCTGTGTGGCCGAAGCCCACCGCTCGACGAGGTTTCGCCGTTGGCGTAATTCATATTCTTCATCTTCATCGGCGATGATGCCGCGTGCGCGCGGCAGCCAACTCTCCTAATCTCGCTAGTTATTCCCGCATTCCCCTTGGAATAATTTAGATTCAATGTCTCACTTGGACAAAGAGGAGCCACCCCTTGACCTCTTCTTTAATCTGATCAAGGGATAAATCGCCCTCGGGATGAGGTCTAATACAGTGGGGAATACGACCGGGCCAGTGCCGGACCGGTCTTGACATGCCTGCTATTTATTATATATTGTGTTTATCTCGCTCCACCTGTCTCCCGAAAAAAAAAAAAAGGGATATACTAATTCTCTAACGGTGTGAAATCAAGTGAAAAAGCTCCTCTTCCCGAGGACATCACATGCTACTAAAGACCTGTCAAGGGCCAAGTAAACTAACCCAATATCGAATAATCCTTCGCAATTATAATCGGCTTCCTGAACACGGTTGGAAACCGATGATCCCCCTGAGATTGAGTGGAATTATGGACGATTATGTGATTGGATCAAACTACTGAGGGAATGCCTATATAAATTGATGATGCCCTTATGTAGATTAGAATATTATGCTTCCTAGAGAGAATCAATCAAATCTATATCTTCTTAATACTGGTGCATACTTATTAATCGTTGGCTAAGACCTGTAGGTCGACAAGAGGTGTCGGAAATTAGGATAGTGTCCAGAAGGCACATGTTTAAAATCTTATACATATCACCTGACAATGAAAGATTCGGTAATTGTATTAATGATACCGCTTCCTTACAATCCTGGTATCAAACAATCTATGGACTGTGTATCCTCTAAATTTAGATTCTATATAATTTAAATTAGGGATATATAGGCTAAAAATAGGGAGGTGAGGTCTAAATTTCGGGACATATAGCCTATATTTAGGGATAACAAGGCCTAAAGTTAGGGATAAAGTCTAAAAATAGGGAGATAAAAGCCTATAGTTAGGATTGGGCCTAAACTTCAGATGATTTAGTTAAAGTTAGGTCCTTCCTTTCTAAACTTCAGTTCTATTCCCTAACTTTAGGCCTATTCCTTGAACATCAGCCGGCCAGCTATCTTTAGGGAATGCAGCCTAGTTTTATATTCTCAAAATTGAACGCCGCTTTCTATGGAATATAGGAATATCCTTTGAATTTAAACCTATCTTCCATATGAAATATTTCTTGAGACAAACTAATGTAGGATGTTCAATCTCAAATAATTACATTTCTTGAGACTAAGCTACATGTGGAATTCCATTTCATGGTGGGTTAATCTAGTGAAAGGAATCTTGACTATATATTGTAGACCAGACAATTAAGTCTTTAGATGGTCTCCATAACTAGTAATAGATAGTGTTTATTCTTATTTAATCAGTATTTTCATAAAAAGCAATAGTTGCTACAATATATATACATAAGACTTTAATAAGAAAATAGCCATTGTTCTATTAGATCTGAATTTAAATAGTAGATCTGGCCTGTTTGTTAGTTTTGAGTAATTAAATATAGATCTAAGTCATACATAATACTATATTTTTTCACTTTTTTTGAAAAGGATCTTTCTGTGTTTAATTTTTTGCTGAGTTTTATACAAAATGTGGGGAAAATACTGTATCATATTCCGTTTGACCCTATCTTTGTCCCCTCAGAACCAAGCTTACTGATTCAATAGGCAGACTGGGCACATTCTCGCCGCCTGCAGCCCATCCCCTGTCACAGAGGGGTCGTGGCTGTTGCTCATTCGTAGCCGAATCTGTCGGCACCGTTTAGAGTGCCTTTTGCGGACAAGCTGAGATACAGTACTTGGAAAACACAACAATATGACACATCCAATATGCAATCAACAGCATCGTCACTTTTATCCCGCATAAAGCATGTTATCTACCTCATTTGATTGGGAGATATAATGGTGGCTTTTTATAACTTTGTCCTGCTAATGACCATAGTTGATCCATTGTAAACGATGTGCAGGACAACGCAACACTTCAAGGATAATCTCATGCAGTCCCTCTACATTTTCTCCTTATCACACCATCTTCTGATACATACCGGCTCACGTACAGATATCCAGCGTGCAGCCATACATTTGTGTAACGACACGGTTGGCATTTAAATGTCAACTTCATATCAAGGATCTCCGTAGTTTGGCAATCGTATCAACTTGAATTTTTGAACGTCCCAACGTGCCCAATTCTCAACTCTTTTCTCTTGTCGCAAGTTATTATCATGGCCATCGATACACTTAACCGAGAGTCTAGCCATCTGGCGAACCCAACCTTGTTACGAAAGATCGACGAACTCCGCGAGAAGAATATCGGCCAGCACGTTCCTCTTCCTCAGGTAAGCGCCCAATGCCTCATACTATACTTCCTTTCTTAAATCTCAAGTATCCATAGCTCGTTGTCGTAGGCGACCAAAGCTCTGGCAAATCATCTCTATTGGAGAGCCTGACAAACATTCCATTTCCTCGCAATTTAGAGCTCTGCACCCGCTATGCGACGCAGATAACGTCCCGCCGCGACTTACATTCTCAAGTTGACATCACCATAATCCCAGGGCCTCACGCATCTGACGCACATAGGAAACATCTAGAGGAGTATCATCCAGGGATGTTATCCCCAGAAGTCTTCCGCGTTGTGTTCCCACGCATCATAAAGGAAGTTGGTCCCCAATATAGAACACTGTTATAGCTATGCACTGAACCCGGTACAGGTCAACATTCGAATGGGAATTCGGACGGACACTTCCTCAAGCGACGGCAATGTTTTCAGCGAAGATGTCTTAAAAGTCGAGATATGTGGTCCAAATGAAGACTATCTGACCCTCATAGACGTGCCAGGCATCTTCCGTACCCCTACAGAAGGGATTACTACCAAAAAGGACATTAAACTTGTTCAAAACATGGTTAAAGGGTATATCAAGGATAAGCGTACCGTCATTCTCGCAGTTCTCCCAAGCAATGTGGATCCCGCTACCCAGGAAATCCTGACGCTTGCCGAGGACTATGATAAAGCGGGAGAGCGTACTCTAGGGGTTTTGACTAAGCCAGATCTTGTAACTGAACTCAGCGCTCAAGCTGCTGTGTGTAACGTTGTGTTAGGGAAGAAGAAACCACTCGCGCTTGGATACTATGTCATTCGAAACCGCGGCGCAGATGATGACGACAACTTCGACCGGCTCTCTGTAGAGCAGCTGTTTCGGGAAAAGCCTTGGAGTGCCCTGCCGGCAGATCGGCTCGGTGTGCAGGCATTGAAGACACGACTGAGTGAGCTCTTAGGCCAAATCACGCGCAGAGAATTTCCTGAGCTGCGAAAGGATGTTAAAAAGCAGTTGATTGATTGTCAAAGAGAGCTGGATAGCCTCGGTCCGGCACGTCAAACTGAGCAAGAGCAACGATTATTTCTGAGCACCGTGAGCCGTCAATTCCAGGAGCTGGTTCAGGCTGCTCTTAATGCTCATTATTACAGCCACAGCGCATTTGAGGAAAGCGGAGAACTTAAGCTTATTACACATGTTGTCAACCTCACCGAGCGGTTTAACTCTGACTTCGACGAGAAGGCGCAGCTCCGTTATTTTGAGCCTCAGTCAAACAATGACACGGAAGAGGATGCCGACGACAGCGAGGAAGTCGAAGAGAATACTTGGGCTGATGTGAGCGCAAAACAGGAGTTGGTCGATGATGTTGACCTTGAAGACCCTGTTCTCGAAAACATTATCACAAAGGATTACGACTTCGACTACCCTCAAGACGGCATCATGGATTGGCTTGAGGGACTTTATCTGCGGTCTCGTGGTGTAGAACTGGGCACCTTTGGTGGAGCTATACTTTCCAGCGCATTCAAAGAGCAGTCGAGCAAGTGGGAAATTATGACCAAGGTGTATGTGAGCAATGTTATTATAGTCATTCACCGGTTCATGATAATCACACTAAAAATGCTTTGTACCGACGTCCGAGTTCATGAGGAAATATGGTCCTCTGTTCTCGACGAAGTGCTCAACAGGTACAGAGCAGCGGTAGACCAAGCGATGTTCCTCGTGTCCATTGAGAGGGAGAAAAGACCGTACACTTTAAACCACTACTTTAACAAAAAGCTCCAGGTTTCACGTGGTAATCGGATGGCTGCGATGTTAAAGGGAAAGGCTCGGAAGGAATTACAGCCTGGTCCTTTCGGCAAGGGCGTTGTCACTTCCGAAAACCTTATCGTAGATCTCGACTCTGTCAGGCATTCCACAACTAGCAAAAGCAATGTGGAACACATCAAGGAAGAGATACATGATATTCTTTGGTCTTATTATAAAGTTGCACGAAAACGATTCGTCGATAACATTTATCATCAAGCTATCGATCACTGCCTATTGACAGGACCCATGAGCCCTCTTGCTGTTTTCAGTCAGGAGTGGGTGATCAAATTGGAGGCGGAACAGCTGGAGACGATAGCGGGCGAATCACCAACTACTAAGGAACGGCGGACAACCCTGGTGAAGAAGATCCATGATCTGGAGGTTGCTATGCGGATCTTGAGACATTGACAGATGAATGAAATGCAAGATCGCTCCGCTAAGAGGAACTGGGGAAGGATTCTTCCCGGCCCAGCTCTAACATACGTTACGACAGCTGTGGGTGATATTGCACTAGAATATTCCAGAAAATGAGATTAACTATGACATCTAGATATCCATCAATCAAAGCTTAATGTTTCTGAATTCTGCTTAGTCAGTAGATTGACTCCAGAAGATTTGAAACATGTAATAATTTCTTCTAATACAAACACTGAATTGGGGTGGCTTCTTTTCGCCCAAATTTCCTCTTATAAGGAATCTCATAGACTGATAACCATTATAAGAATATTATATTAAAAAATTGGCCTTAGAATTCTCTCTTTATAATTTATAACGATTCAAAAAAACAATAATATACCAATCCTCTGCATAATACTACCATTATAAACTATTAATGCTCATTTATGTGACTCTCTGGTTAGGGCACAACCCTGCATAGCAGCGATAGTATAGAAGCCAGCTAGATCAGGCCAATGAAATCTACTTCTACTACTACTACTACTACTACTACTACTACTACTACTACTACTACTACTTTCGGCTTCTCATTCACCGACACAACGTTAAAATTCAGGTTATTTTTCCTATGCGTTATGAAGCGTCTCAAATTTGCCAAGTGTTTATCTAGATCCACCTCCAATAGTATATAATGCATGGTACCAACGTTGCACACAAGTTTGCCCGAGGTTCCGAGTTCTAAAGACACGTCAACCCGTTTGGAGGCTATAGAGAATTAGCATAACTCGAGAAACGTTTAACGAGAGGTCTCACCAGAGAAAGCTGACGGAGATTAACGCCAGCAGCATTGAGGATCGCGGCGCTCTGTATACGAAATGAGCTGAATAGCCAGTCAGCTAGCGGAATTGGACACTGACCTCCTTGTCCATGTTATAACCCTTGGAGTAAACAACTTCAGATATCCCAACTTGGGCGATTTTAACCGTGCACGTCAAACATGGACATCTATCAAGGGGTCAGTATAAGCTTTTCACTCAGCATAATACTAGATTCGTACGTATCACAATACAAAATGGCACCCTCTCTGATCCTCTCTCTTCCCGCCTCTAAAAGTGCATTTTCTTCGGCATGGATACAGAGGCACGTCGAGAGGCCGGCGCCTCCGCCCTCTCCCCGATTACACCGGGGGCCTATCAAATATAAGACATTCCGAATCACCCTGATAGCGACGGCCACTTACATCCTCCTTCATTGCAGTTGGTGATATTTCGAGGAGTGCCGTTGTAGCCAGTGCTTATGACCCGACGGTCTCGTACAATGACACAGCCAACTCTCCGCTTCATACAATTGCTTCTTTGAGCGGCAAGAGACGCCAGCTGCATGAAATAGTGGTCCCATGTTGGTCGCAAACGCTCTTCATTCCGTAGATCAAGGACTTCGAGAGCTGCGTATAGCTCGTTCAGTGAAGACGATGGGTTGAAAAGTCGTACTGCAGCTCGGTCTGTTAGGTAAGCCTGGCCAATGTCTTTGTCATATAAGTGTCGATCGCTCCAGAGCAAGAACTTTTCGAGGCTTGGAGGCTCCAACTGGTGTTGCCGACATCTATCAAATGTGAGAACCATGATCTATTTGACTGAACATGATACGCCCTTACCTTCTACTAAATCTTTGCCACCGTAGACCCAGCGGTGCATCTACACTTACGAGCAAAAAGAAGGGCCGCAGGAGCAGTTTTTCCAGAACTGTACAATCCCAGATATCGGTGGTCACCCAACGCTCCGTCCACCGCTTTGTGACGAAGTCCAAAAACACGTCAATTGAGTCAAATCTCAGTTGATTCTTAGGTTTGAGCTCGTGTCTCGGGCCACAGGTTTGCAGGCGAGCCTTGTCCTCCGGATCATCTGAAATCTGGGCGGAATCTTTATTCTCCAACGCAAGCAATTGGAAACCATGCTCGCGAATCAGGTACTCTGCTATGGCATGCTTCCCCGCACAAATGCCTTGTTAACGCCAGGTTAGTACTGGTCCATTGCTCCAGCTCAGCTCAGATCGAACGATGATCCCGCGAAATAGTAAAACATGTTGAAGACTAACCGCCACATAGCCCGATGAGCATTGTATAATTATTTTCTTCTCTGGAGATCGCGTCGGGGGAGCGTCAACAAGAATATCGCGGAACCCCACTTGTCGGAAAGGCAGTGGCACGGCTGTGCGGGGCAAACGTCACTCCACGCAGGTACGACTCAATAACATCATTATCATTATCATAAGATATTATAATTCAGTCACACTGTTGAGCAGAGCAAGTCGCCTGTTTTTGTCGCTGTTTTCACGTGAGGCATCTTCGCAGTTCACGCTTTTCGACGCCAGCCAGCTGCAAATCATGGGACCTGTCCGCTGACTCGGGCCGCTGCTTATCACCAATCCATCATCCCTTCTCTCTCCAAACATAGCAAACATTCTTGCACCTAACAAAGACTGCTGTCATCTCATCTCAAATATTCAATACTGAGCCTAGTTTTCTTTCTTCTTTTTGCTGCTGGCCTATCTCCCATCCTTGTCAAAAATGCAGTACACACCCTTTGCCTCAGATATTGAGCTGCCTTTCTATACCTCTCTGGCGTCCCTGAAGATCAACCATGACAAGCTAAACGATGCCCCGAGAAGAGTGTTGGGCTTGTATGAGATTCGTCCATCGGACACACCCGCTGCATCGTGTCGGATGCAAATTTTAGGGAATTCGCTGGTCAGCGATACGTAAGTTAGAAAACCAGACTGCGCTGTATTTTAGTATACTAATAACACATACTTCCCATTATAGTGTCCCACCTACTTACTATGGAGCGGAGGGTATGATCAAGAACTTCAATACCGTCGAAGAATATAAAAATGTAGATAAGATGCTCATGCTACAACAAGCGGGAAAGACAGTAAGCATATAGTCGTACTACCGTTTGTCTCGTATGTCTGATTCACGTTTCACTAGGTCTTGGATGCTATCAATGATGGATCGATATTCTCTACTCCATCGTTATTGGCATCTTTTCTCATACTTGCATTCGCCGACCTTAAAAAATACAAATTCCAATATTGGTTTGCATTTCCGGCAATTGTTCCCCAACCGCACTGGGTTCCTGTGCATCAAGAAAACACAAAACCTGATGATCCTGCTGATGATCCGTTATTACCTGGTTCTAGACGATTGTCTAATGAGGAAAGCTCAAGACTTGTGGATGCTGTACAATATTGGAAAAGCGGCATAGATGCACTCCAGCATGGTTTTTTCTTAGCACTTCGAAACCCGGAGAAGCTGGGAAGTGATATTAGAGCGGGTGAATATCTCAGACAAGACTCTGATGTTGTCAAAGGCGCTAACCCTCAACATGTAGATCAATCTGGATGGAAAATTGGTTCACTTGTGGAATATGAGAACGGCTTCTTTGAAGGCACCGACCCAAAGGATCAGTATATATGCTTCGCCGATCCGTCAAATTATCCCAATGCTCCGGGGTGGATGCTACGCAATCTTCTAGTGTTGATACAGAATCGGTGGGGGCTTAACAAAGCACAAATTCTATGTTACAGAGACACTCAGTCCAGACGTGATGCAGGGCGAAGTTTAGTGGTACCACTAAGACTAGACATTGAGCAAGGTCAAACATCTGTTAAGGGCAGTTTGTCCTCCGAAAATATGCCAAAGGTCACCGGCTGGGAGAGGAATAGTGCGGGAAAGCTTGCTGGGCGTATAGCTGATCTCACTGCATACATGGACCCCCAAAAGTATGTTAAAATTCTCACCCCATTGAAGAATATACTGACAGATGGTCTCGGTATAAGGCTGGCCGATCAGGCTGTGGATCTGAACTTGAAACTCATCAAATGGAGAATAAGTCCCGGTCTTGACCTCGAGAAGATCAAGGCAACAAGCTGTCTCTTACTTGGCGCTGGAACGCTAGGAAGCTATGTCGCGAGGAATTTACTTGTATGTGATTGTCGCTTTTGTGCTGTACGATGTACTGAAAACTGGGTCTATAGGGCTGGGGCGTACGGAAGATCACATTTGTTGATAACGGCTCGGTATCATTTTCCAACCCAGTTAGGCAGCCTTTATTCGAATTCAAAGACTGCCTAAATGGAGGAGTGAAAAAGGCACATCGTGCTGCAGAAGCATTGAAAGAAATATACCCAGGAGTGGTGTCAACCGGCCATGTGCTTTCTGTCCCCATGCCAGGTCACCCGGTTCCGGATACTCAGCAAGCCACGGCTGATTTCGAACTTCTCAAAAAATTAGTTGAGGAACATGATGCCATATTCCTGCTTATGGATAGCAGAGAGTCCCGCTGGTTGCCTACTGTAATGGGGAAATCCTTAGGTAAGATTGTAATGAATGCTGCTCTAGGATTCGACACTTTTGTGGTTATGAGGCACGGGGTCAAGACTGGAAATTCAAGTGACGCAGAGCTCGGGTGTTACTTTTGCAACGATGTCGTTGCCCCCATGGATGTAAGTCGTTTCTCCAATCATATTGATGTTAACAAGACTGACCGGAAGAACAGTCTATGAAGGATCAGACCCTCGATCAGCAATGTACAGTGACTCGACCAGGAGTCTCTACAATCGCATCAGCGTTGCTAGTGGAACTTTTTGTGTCTATTTTACAACATCCTGACGGAGCTTCCGCGCCTGCCTCGGTTTCTGTGGACAGCAGCCGTGGAAACCACCCCCTTGGCCTTGTACCACACCAGATCAGAGGTTTCCTTTCCAATTTCACCAATATTCCAGTAGCTGGTAGAAGCTATGATTGCTGCAGTGCCTGTTCAGACAAAATCGTAGATGTCTACAGAAAAGATGGTTGGCAGTTTGTACAAAAAGCGATTAATGACAAAGAATATGTAGAAGAGCTAAGTGGTCTGAAAGAGGTGATTGATGCGCTGATCACGGCTCATGATATTGATGCTGACGAAATGCACAGGTTCAGCGAAGAGCTGAAGAAGCTGCAGCAGACATTGAATGGGAAGACGATTCTGGTGAAGAGTTTGATTAAGTTTTCGACCCGCGAAAATCTTCGATAATGTTAGAATGCCTTCTAGAGAAGGCCTCGAAAGTCAGTCAGCCGTAAGGACTGCTGATCTTGATGCGTCTTGCTTCCTGGCTATAGCGACAAAGAAGGCTTCTCGTGATTCCTATCAGGGTGGTCAGTGATGGAGATGTAAATTCAGTTTTTTCATGACGAATCGTACGCTCCGAGATGAATCTGGCTTCAGCCTATGCACTTTGTCGAACAGAGCTTTGAGTTGCTTTTCGAGGATTTTGTCTTCCGATCCTTGGTAAAATTTGCAGACAAAGTGCCCGCCAGTTTTGAGAACGTTGAAACTGAACTGAAGAGCGGCTCGACATAGATCCTAGATCGAAATATTTAGTTATCATCCACCTTTATATATATAGTCATTTCAATCAATACCCACCATACTACCAGCATGGTCTCGAAAGTTGATACCACTGGTGTTCATCATCCTGTGATAAGGGTTACTAAGACTTCTATTCCAAAATCCTCTCGTCTGGACCCAGGGTGCGGACATGTCGCTTAGAACTACATCGACAGTACGTTCTGATGGTATACCAGATCCCTTGACGGGCGATCCAGTATGATCAGACGCCTGCTCCCTTGTGTTACTGGTATCTGCAGCAATTTGATCTATTGTGCTTATGAATCGTCCTTCCGATAGCGAAGGTGATCGGGGTCGGCCTCGGTTTGGATCGCGTACGAAATCCAAGACATATTGCTGTATTTCTTGAGAAAGGAAATTGCCTTGTATTGTCGAAACTCCTTTTGGTGGCTGGGCCGGAATGATATCTACTCCTAGAACCCTTCCATTCGGCTGGGTACGACTCACTGCAACCTACATCGTAAGCAATAATATTTACAAGATAGCCCGTATAACTTACTTGAGACCAAGATCCTGGAGCATAGCCCTACCAAAAAATATTTATATCAGCACAAGCCATGCGATCATGACAGCAGGGTTCAAGACTAACGAGATCAACAACCGTCTGCCCCTTCCGAAAAATCCGATATTGCTCGTCAATCTATGAAAATAGTATAAGTGGGCTTGGCCAGTTAAAAAGAATATGCGCATTACCTGCAGCAGCTTGAATGCTGCCCTGCTTTTCAGCCCTTGGACAGTGGCTTCTCTTGTGTAGATATCATTTTTCTGGCGCGACTGCCACTGCTTCGAAGAAGCAAACCGCCTGAAAGTTACCGAGAGGTTGGAAGTCTGACAGTACTGGAATCGTTGCCGCAACGAAAAAGAGAGGGAGAATCTTAAAGGCATGTGTATGAGGCCACAATTGGACTTCGACAGAAATAAATTCCAGACTTCGAATTCCGAAGAAAGAGAGAGCTTGTCTATTTATCGCAACCGCATGATGACGCCAAATTTGAGCCAATGTCGCGACTAATCCGAATACGCCTTAGTGCCGTGCCATTCAATATAATCCAAGTCTTATAACAATACAATTCTTTATTGACGAACGAGCATCTAATTCCATGCCTCGTACTGGTAATTGCTATTCTGGCTACAATAGATAGAACAAACTGGTATGGTATCTCTACTTTCTTCGCGTGCTACTTGAGGTGGAGTTGACATACTATCTCGTTTATCAAAACTTTAATTCATCAGCTGGACATGGTGAAAGTAACTATTCATCCAGGAATAATTCGTTGATCTCATTAATATCTTTGGTGTGTAATTAGGCAAGTCTCTTGTCACGCTTTAGTGGAGAAAAGCTGGACATCTCATTGAATGTCTGACGTGCAAGGCGGAATGGCTGAATCCCAGCATTCAAGGTAGAAGTGAGCCTTCTCTCTTTGACTGGTCTTTCCAACTGTTCGTCCTCGTCATCGAATAGCGTCTTATCGCGTTGTGTGCCTAATACTTTCCTTTTTCTCTGATTTTGCTTACCCTCCAAGGAAGGGTTCCTATTAGATGCGCTCTGCGTAGCTGGTCGTGTTCCTCCATTCTTGCTCGGTAGTCGCGTATCGTCGCGCGCTGAGTTAACATTGAACTTTCCCGCATTAAAAGGCTCAGAGCCGACTCCGTTACCATCTAATGTATGTTGATTCATATGATCAAGTTTAGGAACTATTTGATCTTCATTGCGCCGCCTAACGTGGGGGCTGCCTATCGATGGTCTCTGCTGCTTTTCGAAACTATGTTTATCGACATCTAGTTGGAGGTCATCGTCTGAACTAGTTGGAGAGCATGTCGTATTTTTATTCCGATTAAGGTAAGGAGTAATCGAAAAGGCAGATTTTTCTCCAGGAATAGTAAGCTGTCGTTTCGTATCTGCAGCAATGCGAACGGCCCCAGGTGTTGCAATAGTCATTTCGGGACCAAATCCGACACCATCATGCACAAGGGAAGTATCTCGATCAATTGAACCATTTTGGCGAGATTGGCTTTGTCTTGGCAGTGTGTGCGTACTCTGCCGATATTCTTTTAATTTATCTTTAGCCGATCGTAGCTGTTTTCGCACTGTCAATAACCGCTCCTCCAGAGCTTTCTTCTGATTCTCCCATTCGACAGACTTGTCATGTCCCTCTTTTTCCAGACGAAGTCTACCTTCTACCTCTTTCTTCAATTCTTCCTGCACCAGTTCCAATTGGTATTGCGCCTCATTCCGGCTATTAGGATTGGTTAGATTATTTCTTTCAAATGCGCGTCTCTCCTCTTCCATCTGGACCTCCAGAGAATTTAGCTGGCGTTCTAAGGACTGTTTCTCAGCAATAAGCGCTTTGTGAGAGCTATTTTGACCTTTAAGGCGATCAAATTCTTGCTTTAAAGCGGCTAATTCTTTCGAAATAGCAAGTCTATCTGCTAGAATGTGCTCGTGGTCGGAATCTTTGTGGTTTTTTGCATCAAGATCGGTCTGTTGAACCATTAGAATTTGCAGGTTTAACATTGGATATACCCACCTTCAACCCTTGCATGGCGCGACTGCTTGTTCGAAGAGATGATTGCAAAGCTTTGATTTCATCTTGGGCTTGCGCTAGCTGTCGATTCAAGTTGTCTCGTGTCTTCGCAAGCTCCATAACATCATTGTCCAATCGATCACAGTGCATCTTTAACAATTGATTGTCCGTCTCGAATATGTGACATTTGGCACGCAGTGCTCGAGTCGCCTCTTCGTTGATAAGGCTTTCCAGCTGACCTATGGTCTTTTCATATCCGGTTTCGAGCTGTGCGGTCTTGTACGCCAACTCATACTGTCCACAACAATACTGAGTTCCGAGAAGCGATTGGGTATTGGGGGCGCAAAACATACCTGACGAGCGGAACACAGTCCATCGTGGCAAAGGATGCTTGCCTTCATTCTCCAGAGGGTCGGATCTCTTTCCTTGCTCCTCCGTCAATCACACAGAGCTTGAGGTGACGCGCAGCGCGTGTTGTGACTTGCCGCATTGATTACCGTAGAGTGGGGCTCAAACTAGGCCAGCCTCAGTCAAGCGCAGCGAGTCTATCTCCGTCTTCCGTATTGGACACCTAGCAGCATCTAAAGCTCCAAGCCAAGCCATTAAGCAAGCAGATGCAATTGTGCTTTCACCACCTCCTCTGCTGCTGTAAGAAGCTTTTCAGACAGTCCTCCCCCGACAACATGCTGCTTTCACACCTTACTACATTACTATGCACCGTGGGAATTGCATTTTCCGCCAAACCAGCGGTTGACAAGTTCCAGCGTTTCCAATCGCTATCTCACCCCAATCCTGTCGACCTAAACGATGCGACATACAATGAGATCACAGCTGCCCCCCGTGACTACTATACCGTCGTTCTTCTCACCGCTCTAGATAGTCGCTTTGGCTGTGCCCTCTGCCGAGAATTTCAACCTGAATGGGACATAATCGCCAAGAGCTGGAATAAGGGCAAAGTCGACGATGTTAAATTGCTCTTTGGTACCATGGATTTTAACAATGGCAAAGAAACATTCCAAAAGGCATGTCAATCTTCTCAGAACCAATTTAATGCATATCTAACACTTTTCAGCTCATGCTACAAACTGCCCCTGTCGTATTATTATTCCCGCCTTCTATAGGACCCTCAGCAACGCCAGACGGTTCGCCTTTCAGGTTTGAGTTCAGTGGGTAAGTATTGTATCCTGTTCTAGTTTGAGTCGAGACTCATGTTCTTGTGCAGCCCAATTTCTGGTGATCAGCTCTATACTTGGATAAACCGTCACCTTCCCGACGGGCCAAAACCACCTTTGGTGCGCCCAGTTAACTACATGCGAGTTGCTTCGGCGATCACTCTGTTGCTTGGTACAGTAACTCTCTTCACAGTCGCATCGCCATATGTCTTGCCCGTCCTTCAAAACAGAAATATTTGGGCCGCAATTAGTCTCGTGTCCATCCTGCTCTTTACCAGCGGTCACATGTTTAACCATATCCGCAAGGTACCGTATGTCGCCGGTGATGGGAAAGGTGGAATAAGCTACTTCGCCGGTGGATTCTCAAATCAGTTTGGCATGGAGACCCAGATTGTAGCTGCAATCTGTTAGTATCCTCATCCACAATGCTAGTTGAACTTTGACACTAACTTATGATCGCTCAGATGGATTACTGTCATTCGCAACCATTGCACTGGCGCTGAAAGTTCCCCGTATGTCTGATGGTAAATCTCAGCAGGTGGCTGTTGTGATCTGGGGGGTGGTGCTTCTTGGAGTCTACAGCTTTCTTCTCAGCGTCTTCCGAGCAAAAAACGGGGGTTATCCATTCTTCCTTCCGCCTTTCTAAGGACTCTGATCCATATGTAACTAGAGTCTCCCCTATACCGTTTGGTTGATGCTGGCGTATCGACCAAGATGTTCTTTTTTTTATCCCTTTTCACCTTTACCCAAGCGGGTTTGGTAACCAAATCGACATTATGAGAGTGGCCTGTATAAATAATTTCTTCGCAATTTACATTATGCCAGTTAGAATCCAGAATATTCATAGTTCTCAATGATCTACAGATCCCCTGTCTAGGAGCCTTCCTCTCATATATAGTCCATAGTAGTTAACTTTGGTGCTTGCCAACTTGTATATTAGATTGATGTGGGGCTACCGTAGCTTGAGCCTTATGTGGCTTTTGCTGTCAACGGCCATTACTACAAAATCCGAGCTCTCTTCATAACAATTGCATTTTCGCTTTTTTGCATGATGCCTTTCATTCATGTCTCATAGCACCCGGTATGCTAATTGGTCCTAGGAGGATAATAATCCAACAAATCCATCATCTTTTTACTTGGAGCAGGACTATAAACTCTAAATCAAATCTCTACTCATCATGGTCGAGAACAAGAATAGCAACCAACCAGCTCAGCCATCATTGGCTCATGGTACAAGTTATTTGATATTAATTCAAGTGGTATCACGCGTCTTGACATTCGCTTCAAACCAACTGGTTTTGCGTCACTTGTCTCCCGCGGTCTTTGGCGTTGCTACGCAATTAGAACTTTATTATATCACAGTTCTATTCTTCTCTAGGGAATGCGTGCGTGCTGCTATTCAACGAGAGCCTCTGTCTAGATCTCCTGTGACTGCCTCATCTTTGAAGGATGATCATCAGGGCCGTGAGCGTGAACGCACTCAAGGCGACTCTATCTCATCTCAAACGGTGGTCAACATGTCCTATCTTGCTATGATTATCGGTGTCCCGTTATCTGGATTATTGGCAATTTTCTACCGTTCATGGGCAAAGGACGAGACTATCTCAATTCCATTTTTTTACACGAGTCTGCAGCTAGTTGGCTTGTCCTGCGTTATCGAACTTGGAACAGAACCCTTTTTTGCAGTAGTCCAACAACGGATGCTATACAAAGAAAGGGCCACGGTAGAAATGCTGGCAGCTTTTGCACGGAGCATAATGACATGTGGTGTGAGTATCCTGGCAGCTTTAAAAGGTTGGGATATTGGTATTCTGCCATTCGGACTGGGTTACCTAGCTTTCGCTTGTGCCTTGTTCTTAGGGTATGTATGGCAAATACTGGCGCGTTTTGAGTCCAAGCACTTCTCCTTTTGGCTTACACCGATTCAGTCAAAGTATGAAAAGATTCTCCCTCCTTGGACGATGTTTGCTAAATAACACAACAGATCTGGACTCGAGTATATTTTGGATAGGTTCTCGCGTCGCCTTGTTTGGTTAGGTAGCAATCTGTATCTTCAATCCGTTGTAAAGCACTTTCTCACCCAGGGCGATTCAATGATACTTGCTGCTTTCTCGACCCTGGAAGACCAAGGCATTTATTCTTTAGCATCGAATTACGGTGGCCTCGTTGCACGCATGGTTTTTCAGCCTATTGAAGAAAGCTGTCGGAACGCATGGACAGGACATCTCAATTCCAGTGACAAGAACAATCACGAACACAAAACTTGTGTGGAAGCCGCTAAATCACAGTTAATCGACGTGCTTCGGGCATACTCAATATTTGCCATCCTTGTTTTATCAATCGGGCCCAGCACAGTTCCTATATTGCTTCAATTCATGATCGGTTCTCGTTGGATGTCACCAAAAGTTCAAGAGTTGTTATCGACATACTGCTGCTATATACCATTTTTGGCTTTCAATGGAATCACCGAAGCGTTTGTATCTGCTTCAGCAGGCCCTTCGGATATGCGAAGGCATGCAGTGTGGCTAAGTGTGTTTTCTGCTTGCTTTTGCCTAGCTTCCTTCTTGCTCTTGAATGTTGCAAAATCGGGAGCCGTCGGCCTAGTGTGGGCGAATGTCCTTAATATGTCGATCAGGACAATCTGGAGCTTTTTATACATACGGAAATACCTACGTCAAAGCAGCTCAGACTTGAAGATTTCAGAATTTAGCCCTAAGCTTCAAACCTTCGGCGTATTGGTTCTTGCGGCTTCTCGAGGACTGGTGGAACGCCCTTCATTATACGGCAATTTATACCATTACGTTTTTACACTGGGTTTTGCGGCACTTTGTGGCCTCATGGCGTGAGTGGGCTCAAAACATTTAATTCCACATTCAATTCCACCTTCACTTGCTGACAACCAAAAAAAGTCTATTTTCAGAGCGAGAATTTCTACTAGCACAGGTCAAAAGCTATTTTCAGGTTTGACGAAATACCAAAACGTGTGCGCCCTAGCCTGAGAAGTAGGCTAGTCATCGAAAGTGATCTTAGTTGCGGATTTAGCTGTATCCACATCTTTGAAAAACGCCCCATATGCACCGTGCTGCTTCTTCTTGACAGTAGTACCAAATTTGAGAAGCGACTCAGGAACATCCTGCCCCGCTGCCTTCAAAACGTTTATTAACCTGAAGAAGTTAGAGATTTCTTCTTACTCCTATAATAATGCAAAGAATATGTGAAACTTACGCCCCCGAATGTGTTTTGTCATTTTCCGTGAAGAGTGTGATAGCATGGCCATCAGCACCAGCCCGTCCAGTCCTATAATTGGTTAGCTGTCGAATACAATACACAGAAAAGGCGAACCACATACCGTCCAATCCGATGTACATAGTCTTCAATAGTTAAAGGAAAGGTGACATTAACCACCGTCTTCACCTCGGGTATGTCAAGACCTCGTGCTGCGACATCTGTAGCCACGAGAACTGTAACAGCGCCGGATTTGAAGGCGGCCAGGCTTTTAAATCTATCACTTTGGCTCAAATCCCCATGAATGCCAGCAACCTGGTAACCCTTGGATTGGATAAACCGTTCAATCCGTGTGGCTTCCTTTTTGTAAAGACAGAACACCAAGACTCTGTCCTCAGATGATTTCCTTTGCAGTTGCCCTAAAATCTGTAGGAGCCTAGTTTCTTTGTCTCGAGGAGATAGTACTTCGACAACCTGCTTTATGCGAGTGTTTGCACGAGGATCTGCAGATGGTTTGCCGCCAACAGTGATCGTTATCGGATTCTGGGTAAAATTTTTTGCTAAATTTTGAACAGCGACTGGCCATGTGGCTGTGAACATCGCAGTTTGCCTTTTTGAGACGGGCATAGTGCCAACGATTTCTTTTATATCTTGTTCAAACCCTTTATCCAACATTCGATCCGCTTCATCAAGTACCAAGTATTTCACTTTCCCCAGATTCACCGACCCTTCTCCTTGGAGATCTTTCAAACGACCAGGAGTGGCGACAACAACAGTAGCGGATTTTAATGCCTCCCATTGATCGTCCTTCTTGACTCCACCAAAAATGCATGTTGTCTTGATGCCCAGAGGTGAGGCGTACTTCTCTAAATGCTCGTGGATTTGCATGGCAAGCTCCCTAGTAGGCGTTATAATCACAGCCTTTGGACACGAGGGCTTCGTTTTTTTGTTCTTCAAGGAAACCATTTTCCTAAGGCAGGGCAGCCCGAACCCCAAAGTCTTTCCACTTCCTGTTTCTGCGATGCCAATTACATCGCGTCCGGAAAACAAAAATGGCCATGTTGCGGCTTGTACTGATGTTGGTGCACGGAAATTCCGGAGGGGTTTGTATATAGCATCGCCTTCGTCGGGTAAATGTTCGAACGATATGATAGGTCGTAAGATTTGCTCTCCTTCTATAGGGTCTGACACTTCTATTTTATTGGACTCTAGAAAAGAGTCTATGTCTGCTTGGGAAACGGCCTTTAGCGATTCTGACTGGCGGTACGCCTTTTTGGATTTCTTTTTTTCATTCTTTTGGCCATCGGAGTCGTCCGAATATTTGGCAGAGTTCTCGTCTCTTTTTGCTCGTTTTCTTGCCTGTTTGTGTTCACTGGTATTGGATCGTTTGGACATTTTGAGCAGGAGTTTTTCGAAGGTTTTTTAAAATATGAATGAGTGGTCGTCTTGCACAACAAGAGCGACTCTTAAGCGAAATATGAGTAGCCTTTTCTTTTTTCTTTTTTTTTGGAGCTCTTCCATTTTTGTCCTAGTGGCAACCCCAACTCTAAACTACTCCTGGCGAATCCGCAATTTATTATTAATTTCAATCCTAGTTCCCAGTAGACTTGCAGTGTTGATTAACAGGCGCCATCACAAGAATTTGTAAATAAAACATGGACGTTATCTTTATAGAAATTTAGAAAGCCAATCCATACCACTAGAATGCGAGAAAATTTGATGTGCAGTAACAGTCATTAGCCAGGGGATGAATTACTTGAGATACGTGAACACAATTAAACAGGTAGGAGCATGATCATCTCGTGACTTGAATAACCACAGCGTGAGAATCATGATCATAGTCCATGGGTAATGAAAGGTAGTGAAAGCCCTTGTTAAAACAACATTGATAAGGTTTCATGCTAAGCTGTAAGACTGAATGAGCTCAGACAAACGAGTGGCTTCTTCCGAATAATTGATTGGCTTGGCGGAAGAGACTTGGTATCGGACCCTATTCGGCATTATCAGCACGAGTAACAATAAGAAACGTCATCATAGTATCCCATACCTCGCCTGTTCCCCATAATGGTCCATTTTGGCTCTGCACCAAAAATTCCACGTCTGGCAATTAGCTTCCTGGAACTTCTCATCAACTGCTTGGTTGTTCTCTGCTTCCAATTCCATCAATTGATCGGCTGTTGTGCCCATTACAAGTCTTCCAACTTCATCAAAACAATTGAGCCATAACTGGCCAGTATGATCGCTAACATAGAGGAGCATGATATACCGATATTCGGGTTGAGAATATGTTTTATCACACCGCTCACACCGCCATTGCCCAGGATCCATCTGACTGACTTTCTTATTGCACCCCTGCGAAGGGCACGCAGGATAGCTCACATTTTCTCGTCTGATGTTGACAATGGTTGCTTTGAGAGAAAAGAGGTCTGCATTTTCTGACATGCCCAATTGTTCATCTCGGACCTGTGCAATGGTCTTGTACTGGCTAAGTTTTCCACCCCCAGACATTGTTGCCCCTGGCATCGAAGCATGTGACGTAAAGGTGTCGGTTCTACCTTGAGCATCATACCATCCCTTGAGTTTATGGGCCTCATCCATGTCAGGGTCGACAGTCATCGTACCAGAGCTCAGTAGGCTAAGGCTTCTCCCCCCAAAATCGGAAACTTTCACGCCTTTGAATGCTATTACTGACTCTGTCATCGTATTGAAGTTTGTAGCTGTATTGCCCCAAATAGTGAGACGAACGGAAAAGCCGGTGTTATCGACTAGCGTAAGCTCACGCTTGTCGTAAGGTCGATTCGTTGTTTTTGAAGTAATTTGGGAAGCTTCCCCGGCCTCCTTCAAGATGCCAATGACATCAATCGTCGTGTCTTTCTCTACTGATTGGAGATCACCAATGCTTGTGAAGTTGAATCGAATTTGAGGGACATCATGTTGGTCTTCAGCCTGTTTCAATAGATCAGTATCTGCTGTATTCGCTGCAATTAATGGGCTGGATTACATACCTTCTCTACAATGGTGTCCCTTTCGAATGTCAACTCATAGTCATTGTTCAGGTTTGAGAACTGTTTTTTAGCGAGCTGAACACGGCAAGGGCTTGAAATATAGTAAACTGAGCCCTCTTGGAAAAGGTCATACAGCAGGTCACATTGATCATTGAATCCCGTGGCTCTGATTTCCCCACTATCATCAAGGAGATTAACGCTAAAGAGCTTCCCTTCCGAGTTATTACGATGCCATGTTTTGATGCTTGACTTGCTTGTGCAACGCGCCTTGATTGTCCACTTATTCGAGTATGGCGATATGGCTTCAATGGGATATATGGTTGCATGCGCGGGAGACGATACCGAGCGAACGTTCTCGGACCTTTGACGGAGTCCATCCTCTGCGGGATGGGCCTTGGCACCATAGAAGCCATTACTGGATATCACAGTTGGTGTCGTTTTTTCCTCGTCTGCAGATTTCGCTTCGAGTGGCTTCGGCTCGCCAATTTTTTCGTATTCACCAAGTTCAGCAAGGACTTCAAGATCTAAAATGATCAGGATCCTAAACTTGTTAACAGGCTAGACTTAGATATTCTCTCTCTGCAATCGTTACTTACTTTTTGCCTTTGACAGCGTTCGCTTGGAATGATTTGAGTCGTACTAGGCACCCCTTCCTCAAATGCCCATCTGTGACAAAATGGTTGGCCTCTGTTATTTCAAATGTAATGATTAGCTCAACTGATACTGTCAAGGGCTCCCTGAAGTGCATAGGGGGGTGTACGGGTAGCTAGCATGGTCTGGACATAGTTGGAAATGTCACTAAAAACAGCCCGGTATCGCTCCTGACCATTAGGCTGAGGAGCAAGAGGCTTTACTTGCACACACTGGACGACGGGTTCCTTGTCACTGGCGCCATTATCATCGAAGATGGCCCTGTACAACTGTTAGCCAAGGAAGCTCGTGCAAGAGGTTGTCAATACATACCGAAGGGACCCAACCGAGATGTGGGAAGCCGGATCAGAAGCCATAAGGGGTTCTTTTTTTCCCTCCTAGATGTTTTAGAACAGAAAGACTATCAGAACGAGTATTACTTCTGTCTAGTTGATCGATGTTTTCATGCGCAACACAAGAGCAGACAGCATCTATCAGTTTGTTTGAATGGGGCAAAAAGCAACGCGTCTGCGCGACTTCCCTTCCGGCGACCGCGTCTCCCGCCACTCATGCCTGAACAAGTCTAGTGCGTTTGGAAGAAGTCCCAAGAAGGCGCCCCGCACTAGGCAGAACTGGCCCTAGTGGGAACTTGCAAGTGCGGGCTGTATTATTATTGATGCTTATGATTGCGTAGTGATCAACAGCTCATACATTGCATGCTTTCACACACCACCACTGGCACCACATAGCTATTCCTCCGCTTATTTACCTATGAACTGTCTGCATAACTCTCATTTATCGTCTACAGGTCGTTTCTCTCTTGGAAAATCTATCCCGTTCTCCTAGCCCTCCAAGATGGTGTTGTGTCCTCACATTGAAAGTCCAGGTATGTAATTGGTCCTATTTTACCACCTGAACATTTTGAAGGAGAAATCGACTTACACTCTAAGATATTCGGCCTCCAAGCTCTACACAACCTGTCTATAGGGAAGATTGTACCCAGTGCTTTGATTCGATTGTGAGGAAACAATTCAACTTCACTTAGGGATTATTTTAACACTGAACAGGACGACTCGACCGGGTTAAACGTTTGCCTGAGCTGTTTTAATGGAGGCTGTACTGGGGAGAGAAACCATGCACTGATTCACAGTGTTCACAAAGACCATCCTGTAGTGCTCAATATCAAGAGGACAAGAAAAAAGGTCCAGGTTGGTTCAAGAGAATCCTCGATCAAATCCAAAGCAGTATGATTGATGGAACTTAGCGTGATGAACCTCCTCAGAAGATGTCAAAACTAGCCATCTCAGCAGAGACTGAAGAAGACCACTACGACACGGCAACCAAGGTTGTCTGCTATAAGTGCGAAGCTGAGGAGATTGATGACCCTACCGGAAAACTTGCTACTGTGGTCGAAGGAATAATGACAGCAATGACATTTTCTACGCGTGAGGAAGTAAAAGCCTGGGAACAAGAATTTGTGCCTTGTGAGCATACACTCTGCTTGGTCCAGCAGGATCGAGACAGCTCCTTGAACACTGGTAACTGAATCCAATGAGTTATATATTCTTGAGAACTTCGACACTTACATATATCATTAGGCTTAAATCAATGCTCGGGTTGCCAACTTCACGAGAATCTTTGGCTATGCTTGGAATGCGGCAATGTTGCGTGCGGAAGAAGCCAGTTTGGAGGCGTTGGTGGCAATTCTCATGCCCTTGCACACGCTGACACTTCGTCTCACGGTGTTGCAGTCAAACTCGGTTCCATTACACCTGAAGGTGGCGCAGACATATTTTGCTACAAGTGCAACGAAGAACGAACAGATCCAGATATCGCTTCTCATTTGGCACATTGGGGAATAAACATAGCCGAGAGCCAAAAAACCGAAAAAAGTCTCATGGAATTGCAGGTTGAACAAAATCTCAGATGGGAGTTCTCCATGACCACGGAAGACGGACACGTATTGCAGCCTATATTTGGTGCCGGCTTTACTGGCCTCAAAAACCTAGGCAATAGCTGCTATCTGGCTAGCATCGTACAGTGCCTATTCTCTTTGGAGGAGTTTCAACAGCGATATTTCCGTCCAAATGAGGAGCCGCCATTAACCGAAAATCCTGCAGAGGATTTTGAAACTCAGATGCGTAAACTTGCAGATGGGTTACTTTCCGGCCGATATTCCAAACCCGATACCATGGTATCGGCCACTCCAGACTCCACGGAAGTTCCACATCAGAAGGGGCTACCACCTGCGATGTTCAAATATCTCATAGGCCGTGGCCATCCGGAATTTTCTACAATGCGACAGCAGGATGCATTTGAATTTCTCTTACATTTATTCAAGCTTGTGACACTGTCAAAACATTCTAGTGGACACAAAAATCCAGTGGACAGCTTTCGATTCATGCTTGAACAACGAATACAATGTCTCGCCTGTGAAAAGGTTCGCTATAAGTATGATGAGCAAGACAACATTTCTATTCAAGTGCCAGCCCGCCCTCTTGCACCCTCCGACGAACTGGCAAAGCCCGATAATGCATATCAATCGGTGACTATTAAAGAATGCCTTGATATATTCACTGGAGAGGAAATAGTTGAACTTGAATGTCCAGCCTGTGGCAGTGACAAGGGTTTCCGCAAGCGATCACTGTTCCAAACTCTTCCTCTGGAATTGGTTGTAAATGCCCGCCGTTTCGAGCTGATAAACTGGGTACCCACAAAACTCAACATCCCAGTAGAGATTGGTGATGTAGACTTAGATCTGAGCTCTTACATATCCCAGGGTCCTCTGCCAACGGAATCTTTCCTTCCAGATGAACCCGAAGGCGGCAACTCTGCCTTTGTAGCGAACACAGAAGCCCTCCAGCAGCTATTAAACATGGGGTTTCCACAAGTCAGATGTGAGAAAGCACTACATGCAACGGGAAATTTGGATGTAGAAAGCGCTGCGAATTGGCTCTTCGCTCATATGGAGGACCCGGACATTGATGAACCAATGCCGTCTAGTAGCACGCAACACAGAGCAGTAGAACATGATGCCGAGAAGATCAATCAGCTTGGTGAAATGGGAATTGAACCCGAGCGTGCCGCAGTTGCTCTTTCAGAAACCGGTGGTGACGTTAATAGGGCATTGGACTGGGTTTTCAGTCATCCGGATGACTGGGATGTTGACGTACAAAACAGTCAAAACAAGAACGGGAAAGAGTCATCTACACAAGAAACGCCTGGCAGCGCATTATTGCCCGCAAAATATAGACTACAGTCTCTTGTATGTCATAAGGGGGCTTCACTTCATGCTGGGTAAGTGTTTATAATATGCTATGAATTGGAAATTAGGATGGTTAACTTTGACAGACATTATGTTGCCTTCATACGTAAACAAATCCCAAACACCGGTCAAACTTCTTGGGTTTTGTTCAATGACGAGAAAGTTGTGGAGGCTGACAATGTTGACGAGATGAAGCAATTCGCCTATGTTTATATTTTCTCACGCGTTTAGACCTAAAGAGTGCAGTATTCGTATCGGTGTATCACCCCAATAGGGGATATACTGCAATTATTACACAGAACTCCTAGTCTTTACAAGTGAATAGGCATTCATATTAAAAAGAGATATCTAGTGAAATCAGTTGTATCAATAAATCACTAAGAATCTCTAATTGAATTGAAATGTTTGGCTTGGCTATCGGTTGGGCGTGAAATTGGTCTAATGGATCAGCCTCTCATCATAGACACACGATCTTTTGCCCCTTAGTGCATATCACCCATCATATCTTCGTCAATGTCAATATCTTGCCCTTTCATCCTGCTGCTTTGAACACCGTCTTTAGACATACTGTCGTTGTGTCTCTGGCCTCTGCGCAGGTAGTCGACATATTCCCTACCGAGTTCTAGTTTTCTGTCGCTAGCTTGGATATGTTGCACCAGAGACTCTAGCTTTCGCTGCTGGAACAATAAGTGACTGTCCAAGTATGTCTCCTGCTCGGTGCTCTGTTTGTTACGGCTTGATGAAAAGCGTATGATCGAAGATTCCTGCTCCCCTGTTAAATGCAATAGAGAAGCAAAAATCTGTTGCTGTATGGCGAGAGATAGAATATATTGCTCAGTTGCATTGATATCAATCATATTAGATAGAGCTCGCCTCGCAACGTCTATTGTAGTAACTGCAGCAAATGTAGCACTGAGTCTAAGAACAGACTGTTTCCGGAATGCAAGAAGAGCTTGCTGGACCAGACCGGTATTTTTGTCCTACATTTACAGATATTAGCTTCAAGTCCACTTACAACCGAAACAAAGCAAAAGACTTACCATGCGCCAGATGGATTGTCCGAACTCAGCCTCAGCTCGCAATTTCTCCCAATCACCAGATACGAAGGCGCTAGCGAAGGCATCATATGGCCTTGCAAGAGCCTTATAGACTTTTGTTGCAACGGGCGCAGTGACTTTAGGAAGAGATATAGACTGATGGATGTTAACCTATGCAACATGAACAAACCAAATGGGTTTCTCTTACCGTGCCCTTCTCAAGCAAATTAACTAAGACCCATTTTTTGTATGCCTCCACCATAATCAAACTGACAGAATTGGTGGCAGGAGAAGAGACAACAATGCTCAAAAAATGGCGTGCTTTACTCCATTTCTTCAATGCCATGTAAATCATCGCGCCATACAAGAAATACTGCAAATGGTCGGTGTGAGTAGTCTTTGGGAAAGCTCCAGAAGAATGCAAATCCGATACAATATCTATGTCTGATTCGTTTTGTAGGCTTTTTTGGTGGAAATTATTGACTGTTGTTGAGAAATTATAGATGGTTTGATCAAGAATTGGTAACGCGAGCGTATACGCCTTTGCCAAAAGGCATGCGCGACTCAATAGGACGTGGGTTGGGGTAAAACTCGAACAAGTTGGATCTAGCCTAATAATGGCATCTCTGATGGGCCGAACTGCAAGGAGTGGCTGTCATCTGTTAGCATAAATTACAACTAAAAGAAACTCCCCTCTATAGATACCTTGTTTTCCATCTCAGCTGTTGTTGCAATAAACCCCATCAACCGGTACCATTCGCTCCCCGCAAATTTGATCTGATTTGGTTCAAACGTTCTCAAAAACATTGTAGACCTCGTCCAAAAAACACTCCCGGGTCTCGTTTCAGTTGAAACATTATCGTTGGGGGTCTTTTCTAGAGTTTTGAGGTGGAAGTGCAATACTAAGAGATAAGATAGGGAATGGGTTGAAGGGTTGATTTTCTACCTCTGTCAGAAATCGAATGCAAGTCCATCGTAGAAACTCACCTCTAAGAGATCGTTAGTATTATTAGCCGATCCATCTATGTAAATGGGAAGGCGCTCATTCACATTGGCTAGAAAGTCTCGAGCCTGGACATTGTAATCGTCATGAGAAGCTGCTGCTGCTGCCTGTGAGGGAAAAGAAAGAAGCAGAGGCAGTATGTCCATCATGGGGAGCTCTGAGGGGATTTTGGATTGGGGAGGAATATCGATGCCAATGACAGCCTTGAGTCACCTAGCTTCATTTGAAAATCCAAGCTCGTATTTCGCAACTGGATGGATTTCGCACCTGTTGGCGTCCAGCAGCTTTGGATCTGCGGCGATGCGTCATAACTTTAGCTTGCCTCACCGCCTTCCGGTTATCACTGTACCCCGCACGATGTGCCTTTTTTTTTCTTTCTCTGGGAACGAACTGTTGTTTGACCATATGCATCGTTAGTGCGTACTTTTATATGATACAAGAAACATGACTCAGTCGAGTGACAGAATATGTCTACTATACTCTATACCATATTAGGCAGTGCGTACCTTTAACCGGTCAATGAAAGTTTCAGTTTGATCCAATGAGTCAATCCTGAGAGGTCCACCAGAGGATAATCTCCACTAAAATAATCTATCAAAAATCGTCCCCTCCTATCTTGACGAAGTCGACAATCTCCAGTATCCATTTCAGTAGAAAAAGAAAGGGACGCAAAGTACTTGCGAATTATTCCATGCTTTTATTCATTTTGGACTAAACCTGTTACAACCCACATCATGTCCTTGACGGAGCTGTCAGCCCCAGAAATTGCAAAGAGTGCATCTGTAGCGTCACGCCGCCTAGCTACCCTCTCTGAAGAATCCCGCAACAATGCGCTGACTATACTGCACACGGCATTATCGGAGAACCGGGACTATATTCTACAGGCTAATTCTAGAGATGTTTTCTCGGCAAGTCAGGCTGCTGCAAATGGCGAACTCAACCAGAGTGTATTGAAAAGGCTTGATTTGTCACGTCCTGGAAAGTATGAAGATATGTTACAGGGAATCCTAAGTGTCAGGAGCCTTGAAGACCCAGGTATATATAAAAATGCACATAGGCTCAGAATTCCACTAATATTCCATAAGTGGGCAGGCTGGGTATGAGGACCCTACTGGATGATGGTCTTGTTCTGGAACGAGTTAGCTGTCCATTAGGGGTTCTTCTTATAATATTTGAGGCACGTCCAGAAGTCATCGCCAATATTGCTGCTCTGTCTATTAAATCGGCGAATGCTGCCATTCTCAAAGGCTTGTGCTCTCCTACCCAGAACTCATGCTGGTTCTAACACTGCGACAGGAGGGAAAGAGTCCTCAGAATCATTTACCGCCATAGCTGAGGTGATATCAACAGCATTGTCAAAGACGGATATTCCTATCCCAGCTATCCAGCTCGTTAAAACTCGCGATGCTGTGTCTTCACTACTCGCACAAGACAAGTTGATTGACTTGGTTATTCCTCGTGGTTCCAATGATCTAGTTCGATATGTCCAGGAGAACACAAAGATACCCGTTCTTGGCCATGCAGACGGGCTTTGTACCGCATATATTCACCTTGACGCTAACCTCGAAACTGCAGTTAGAGTTATCGTTGACTCAAAGACCGATTACCCAGCTGCTTGCAATGCTCTCGAAACCCTTCTCGTGCACGAGAAAGCCCTAGACAGCATTCTTCCTTCCGTGGCCGAGGCTTTACTTGCAAAAGGGGTTTCTCTTCGTTGTGACGAGACTTCTAAGGCAGCACTGACAAAAAGCCTCCCTCCAGCTAAAGCAGTTCTTTTGCAAGAATCGTCGGACGGAGATTATGATACCGAGTTTCTGGATCTTGTTCTAGCCGTGAAGACGGTATCATCCCAAGCTTCGGAGGTGCTGGCCGTAGAATCAGCTATTACTCATATCAACGCCCATTCCTCCAAGCACACCGACATTATTATTACATCTTCAAAAGAAATCGCCGAAACTTTTATGGCTAGTGTGGATAGCGCCGGGGTCTATTGGAATGCTTCTACTCGGTTTGCAGACGGAATGAGGTATGGATTTGGTACGGAGGTTGGGATCAGTACAAACAAAATCCACAGCAGAGGTCCGGTCGGTCTAGAGGGCCTCACCATTTACAAGTATCTGATTAAAGGCGACGGTCACATCGCAGCTGATTATTCCGGCTTGCCTGGAGGAAAGGAGTGGAAACATAAAACATTGCCAATCACACATTGAGTGACATTTACTACCAGACTTCAAAATACACCAGTCAAAAGTTAATGATAAAAGTCTTGATGAACATCTCGCATTAACCGTATTGAGCCCAAGGCAAATAAAATTTTTAATTCATTTGAGAGACTTCGCCCTCGCACTGCGCCATCATAGCAGAAACTAATTTTAATCGGCCTGAAAACTTGATCTGCAGGTTTGGGTACAAGCACAGGCGAAAATAGCTTATCGATTTCATGTGACAGTATAATCGTCCGAGTGAACCTCCATTGGTGATAACCTCAGACCTTGAAACCACGAGACCGTCTGCGTCCACGAGCCCTTTCAAACTTGCGGCCCTTGCTTCGTACGTACGGTTTCTAAAAAAAAAAATTAGTGAATAATGTAGTAATTACAGCTAGCAGTAGTAATTACCTTGTGGCTATGCGGGCCAAAGCCAAAGTGTTTCACGGCTTCACGGGCATTCTTAGGGCCACGAAGCAGAAGAGTGTTGGAGCCAGTAGGGGCACGAAGCGCAAGTTGGTCAAGTGTAAGAATTTCACCACCAGCCTTCTCAATCCTGGCGCGGGCAGTAGCGGTGAATCGTAGAGCAGCAACAGACAACTTGGGGACGGTCAAAAGTCGGTTGTCATCTGTGACAGTTCCAATAACAACGACAGTCTTGCCTTTATGAGCCTCGGTCACGTTGGAAGCGATGCGAGACAAAGAAACAGGAGGCCGGTTAATCCGGGACATAAAAAGTCTGCGCAGGACGACTTTGTTGAAGTTGGCATCGGTACGGCCTAGGATATTGTTATTATTCGTCAGTTAAACTAATACATTGGTCTGCGTCTTTGCAATCCTAAAGAATGGGGGCACATACGAGCCAGAAATCGGTACAATTTCACCAAGAGCTGAAGATAGACGTTTTCGCTCTTTGGCGCCTTGCGATGTGTGCTACGCACATGGTGACGCTGCAAGTCGATACCTGGTCAAATAGTCAGTACAATACAGACAATAATATTTCATTGAAAAAAGGGTAGCATTTCATCCAGATTGATGAAGCCCTAATTGTCAAACCTACCCATGGCTCCTGATCGTGCTGGGTTGCTCGGACACGGTTTACTGTCGCACGTCGGTAAAACTGTGAGTTTGACTCTACAAAAATGAGGATAACCGGGTGTGTGTGGGCTGAGCCCTACACTAGTATGTTTTCGGTGGGTGGATCCTGAGCAAGCACCAGAAAACGTAGGCTAGTACTATAGAGGCTAGTGTCTATCCGTTAGTTCTTGTTACTAAATTGTCTCGATGTGTATGTAGTGTTGATTACTGTAAATACCCCAGCATCCTTGTTGTCTTTTATTTAGGAGTTTCAGTTACTATTCAGCCAATTAGTACTGTCAACATGACTTATTATTGTACATGGTATTTTATATACAACTAATGGCTAGCCAAGTTTAGATTACACTCATATTAGAGTCTTTTGTCACACTCTACTCTTGAAAGGATTGTAAAAATAGTTTCCGCCACAAGACTTGAGAGCTCCAATGGTCTAACTAGTTTTCTTTCAGTCCAACAAGTAGATCTCGCACGATCTCAAAGCTCAGCCAGCTGCTTGCCATGCTAGGCGCAACCTTCAATAAGTTAGGGGCTATACCCTTGTAAAGGCCACGGATTCCTTCTTGGCCCACTATAACTTTAACAGCATCCCAGATTGACGAATACTGGTATCCCATTCCAGTCATGGTATTGATCTGAAATCTCCGCCGGAGGACGTCACTGGATTTCCATCAATAAATATAGATGAATGAGACAACGAAGCACGGAGGGCTTACAAAGGATAAGTGCACGTTTGAGCAACTGCCCCTGAAATAGCACCAGCAGCGAGCTTCCTCGCTGAACTCGGGTTTTTCTCACCATTAGGTGTGAGATAGACTCGCACGGATTCGTAGACCATGAAATTCAGTCCCACCTATAAGAAATTAGTTAGAAAATTCCGCAGTAGTTGCGTAGACAAACTTACATAAGGGGCCACACCAGCTACTGTAGGGATGATACCGCGATACAAAGCAAGAACACCTCCCTCGCTTTTATACATTAAAATCATGGTTTCCAACATGCCAGGCAGTTTTCCGCCGCTGTTCTGATGACCTAGTTCCGCGAAGGAGGCTGATTGGATAGAGAGCCTCGTACGAACAATATCGAGTGGATATGTCACTGTAACAGAGGTGATTCCAGCAAATGCACCACAGAGAAGCCGGCGAAGAGGTGTTAAATCAGCACCTGGTGCTGGCTCTATGAACTGATGAAGATGTTAGTATTCATTGCGTAGCGGCGTGAACAGAAGATATGCAGTCAGGAACACAGTCCAGGATTTGCACAGGAATGGTTCGGCGCACTTGTAAACGTGAATATCGTTACCTTTTTGTAAAAATTGTAGCTTCCAAACTGAACCGCTGAGTAGGGAATGATTCGTATGCAATTTGTGCCGTTTCCCCGCATAAAGCCTTTCCAACCTTCCTCCCGACCCATCTTTACTAGCGCCTTCCATATCGATAGTCTATACTCTTGCCTGCCGGCACTCTGAACTTGGAGTAAAATTTTTAGGCGCTCAAGAGGTGAAACAATCGTGCGGGAAACAGCCCCTGCTACTCCACCAGCGATGAACGCTGCAACTACAGGTTCTGCTAGATTTTTTTTCGTCTTCTGTAAAAATGACAACGAAGTGGGCTTCTGCGATTAGGTTAGAAGAAAAACGGATCGCGTCTCGCCGGACATCATGGTCTGCAAGGATGGTAACGGCGACTGGCATACAGCGTAGTTTTGCTTACCGCGAAAGGATCGGCTGCCAATGCTGAGAACTTCGAGGTTTTCTTAGACTCGACATCATGCCCTTTGGAATCACCGTGCTGGCTTGAATTCTGATTCTGTGGGTCGAGGCTCATCGTGGGAATTCTAGAGCTAAGCTCTCGTCTTTCGAATGCTAGGCGACGGCAGGGATGTACTGCAGACAGGCGAAATAACGGCGTCTCAAACGCACAACCTAGTCGGCGTAAAGAGATAGCTTAGCCGAATTGTCGTCAGATTTTTTTATGTAGGCTAATTCAGCGTCGGCGTTGAGTGTGCTGGCCATGAAGAACGATAGATAGACTCAGACTGCGAAGTTTATATTTAGCTCAGGAAGCCATGTTCACAGGCCGATTGTAACGAATGTATCTGTAGAGTTCCAAAATCACGTGGAGGAGCGGTGGTCTCAACGAAGTTTTATATGTTAGATCGGAAAGACGACAAAATATGAATGACAGATAAGCAGTCGGATTGTTCCGGTTTGGAAAGTGGAATTGAGTCGATGCTCCTCAAAGTCTAAATTATGGCTGGTGTACCAGCTGAATGGCATTAGACAGACCTTGCAAAGTCTGCCCTCACAGGTCGGGGCTTAGCGAGTAGTAGTAAATGGAGGACGCGTTATTTAATGTCGGCTGTCTGTACCAGATTCGCGGAAAGCTACTTACGATGTGGTTACGGGTGGCAAACTGGGATAAAGGGAGTTTGTCTTGTTTGTCCTTCCTAGCCTACTGGGTCTGACCCGCCTGCCGTAGCCTTCCTCATAATCTTCTCCCGATGCTGCAACTACCTCCTCTCTCACCGCAAATACATCAAACGGCTGTCACGACAGCATCGGCGCCATTGTATTCAATCATTGCCACACAGCATTCAGAATGTCCCGTTCCGGTGGAACAACACTTTACGTTACGGGCTTCGGTCACGGCACACGAGCGCGCGATCTCGCCTACGAATTCGAACGGTACGTCCAATCCGCCGATGGTCTACTAGACGACCTCCTCGATCCCTTCCCGAATCCAATCCCATTTCCAGCCCGTTTTCTTCGGTCCAAAAAGCTCGACTTTATACTCCGTCAGTCATCTTGAGCACGCTTTTACTTCGATTGAACTTTGTACCTTCACGGACGGCATCTCTGACTCGTCGAACACCCTTACTTCCTCTAACCCACCGCTGACAATGCATTCTCATCAACTTCTCTCATCTGTCTAATCATTTCCCTATCCAACACGTGGAATTTGACGTCTAATCTGACCAATGCAGATATGGTCGCCTTGTTCGCTGCGATATTCCTGCACCACGCACTGCATCAAGTCGCCTGTGAGTTTATGTTTACATTCCTCTCTACTTATTATGCAGTTATATTGATTGAACTTACTTCAGGTTCGCATTTGTAGAATACGAAAGTCGTCGCGATGCTGATGATGCCTACCATGAGATGCATAATAAACGCATTGGTCGTGATGATTTGCTAAAGATAGAGGTGAGGTGAACAAATTACGTTCTGTGACTATTCTGACTATATTAATCAAGTGGGCTCGTACGCCACCATCTGCATCTTGGCGCTTCGACTCTGGCCGTGATCGCCGTCGAGATCGTACTCCTCCTCGTAGAGGACGTTCTCCGTCTCCCCGTCGTGGACGTGGTGATTATTCACCGCGCAAGGACGACAGGCGAGAGCGCGACTACGATCGTCGTGATCGAGACCGTGACCGTGATCGAGAACGAGAGCGTGATCGTGATCGTGACAGGTCTCGAAGCCCTGAAGACCGTGATCGCGATATCAAAGAGGATCGTGATCGACATGATGATAGGGATCGCCGTGAGGATGACCGCGAAAACGGCACTAATGGGGAGGACAGAAAGAGTACGTGTGATAACTAGACTTGCTTAAACATGCCAAACAATCGCTGATATCTTAGTATAGCCCTCGATCCTCTCCCTTCCGGCCACGATGAGCTTGACACAGCCGAGTAAATAAATGCTGGAGTTGTCTAATGGCCGTATGGTAGGCGTTCCCGTGTTTTATTATGTGACTCTTGTGACTTGGTCATGCTTTGTCTGTAAATGGCAGAATCTCGCTGTAATCAATGCTTGCTCGATGCTCTCGGGGAGTCTTACCCTGTGTAGCTTCCATCAATTAAAGTAGTAGTAACCGTGCCATCCTGCGCACCAACGCTCCCGTTTTTGGTGCGCACCGGTCTAATCCGAATTTTTCATATTTTTCAATAATTCGCCTTATTAGCTAACGCCATGAAGTCGGACATATTAAAAAAAAGGGAAGCTATTTTAAAGATTGTAGAAGCCTATAAGGTTGAAAAATCTAAAAAATTTACTGAAGTATTAATATAGCATTCCTAAATGATTCTGAGATTATAGTAGTAGTAGTAGTAGTAGTAGTAGTAGTAGTAGTAGTAGTAGTAGTAGTAGTAGTTCTTATTGACCTATTCTAACTAGCTTTCATACTATTGCTACTATGCAGGATTAAAACATCTTTTTCTTCGCGGAACGAATTTTTGAAATTCCTCGCCCAAAGCAGGCCGGACACGGCCAAGAATTAGATCAAAAGGGAACAACTCTTTCTCGCGGAATCGAATTCTTGAAATTCTACGCCCAAACACAGCCGGATTCGGCTAAGAATTAGTTCAATATAAATTAATTCTAACTGCTATTGATTGAGCTTAAATTTATGTGATTTAAATGAAACAATAGCTTAGGATAAGGGAATAACATTTTCCGAGACTAAAAAGTCAAGTATATTATATATGTTGCAGCGTATATATAAATAACTTATAAATATAAAAGAGCTAGTAAATACTATTAAAATAATATTTAATTATATTAAATATAGTGATAAGTAGTTTTAAAATGAATTTATTATTAATTTTATTAAATAGATATAATAATTTATTATTTAGATTTAAAATAATATAAATAATTCTAAAGGTTTTATAGATTTTTAGTAATTATTAAAGTAAGTTTATTAAAATATTAAAATAATTTAAAAAAAAATTTTTATAAATAAATATAGTATTTAAAGTGATTTTTCTTTCTTTTAGAAATCTTTTAAATTTAAAAGTAATAGTAAAGTTTAATAAATATAATAATATCTTTCTTTTAGAATATTAGTTTATTAATCTTAGATATTATTCTAAATAAGCTCAGTCTATATAGTAAAATAATAATTAAGATTTATAATATTATTTTATAAATAGAGTTAAAGAAAATAAAACTAATTAATATTATTAAATATATAGAATCAGCTAAAATTTAAATAATAAAAAATATTTTAAATTTAACTCTTATAAGATATATATTTATTATTATATATTAATTATTTTTAAGAGATATTAGTTTCTAAATTTATAATATTATCTAAAAAGAATTATTAATTATAGTTAGATTAATATAAATTTAATCTAATTTTTATTTAAATAATTAAATTATATTAAAGAATTTTTAATTATAATTAGATTTTATTCTTAAAAATATATTAAAATTTCTTTGAATTTTAATAAATTAGATAGATAAATAATATAAAAATTATAATTAATTATTTAAATTATAATTTTTTATCTAATTATTGAGATATACTAAAAAATAAATAAATAATAATAAATACTATAAAACAGATATAGAAATATATTTATATTTTCTTTACTAGATATACTATATAATATAATTTAAAAAAATATATATAAAAAATAGAAAAAATATTATTATTATTTAGATAATTCTTAGATTATAATTTAAATATTAAGAATTTATTATAATATTTATAAAAGTATCTAAAATAAAGTCTTAATTCAAAAAATAAAAATTCAATTTATAAAAAGCTACTTTGGAAATGATTATATAATTAATAATAATTATAAAGGATTAGAGTTAACCTTAAATATATTAATATTATTGATAGAAATCTACTAGTATTTAGATATTTAGATAAAATTAAATTAAAAATCTAAATTAAACTAGATCCAAATAGGCCTTAAAAAACCATATGGTTCTGGACTTAGTAAACTGAACCACTTCGGTTCACTGTATATAGGACCAGAACCGGACCATTCGGGTTTCAGATCAGTCTTGGTTCGGTTCGGACTGAACCAAATGACAGCCTAATTTAATTAAATAAAATATTATTTTCTATTCTAAATTTTATTTTTTAAAATTAATCTTAAATTTATCATTGTTTACTTTATTTTTAATAAAAAATGTAAAATATTGAATATATTTTTATTCTTTATTTTATCTATTTAATATTTATTTTATAATTATATTTATTATATTATTCATTATAAATTATATTGTTAATAATATTTATATTTAATTATTTTATTCTTAATAGGCTGTCATTTGGTTCGGTTCTGGTCCTAAGTTTCTGGACCAAACCTAAAAATAGATTGATTCGGTTTAGTCTTTAATATTAAAACTAGAACTAAAAATTAAATAATTTTAACTCTTTAAACTGAAATTAAATTACACTAAAAAAGAATTACTAATTATAATTAGATTAATATAAGTTTAATCTAATTTTTATTTAGATAATTAAATTATATTAAAGAATTTTTAATTATAATTAGATTTTATCTTTAAAAATATATTAAAATCTCTTTAAATTTTAATAAATTAGATAGATAAATAATATAAAAATTAGAATTAATTATTTAAATTATAATTTTCTATCTAATTATTAAAATATACTAAAAAAATAAATAAATAATAATAAATATTATAAAATAAATACAGAAATATATATATATATTTTTTTTTAATAAATTAATTATATAATTATAATTTAAAAAAATATTTATAAAAAATTAGAATTAATTCTAAATTTATTAATATTATTAATAAAAATCCATTAATATATAAATATTTAGATAAAATTGAATTAAAAATCTAAATTTAATTAGATCTAAATAAGTTTTAAAAATTATATAATTCTAGACTTAGTATATTGAACTATTTTGGTTCATTGGATATAGGACTAGAACCAGACCATTCAGATTTTAGTTCAGTTTTGGTTCAGTCCAAACCGAACCAAATGACAGCCTACTATAGAAAGATAAAATAAACTAATTAGTATAAATAATACAAATAAATAAAATATATAAAAATCTAAATAATATAAATAATATAAATAATTAATAATATTTATAATACTTATCTTTATCATATTTAATTAGTATACTACACATACTTGGTTTATATAATATTACCTGAATATTCTATTTCAGCTTAGTCTATCTAGCTTAAATCTATATTTATACATTCTTTTAAATTATCTTCTATTAGGCCTTACTTCGCATCACTTCTATCTTAAATAGAATATTAATATTATTACTAATTCTTATTAATTATAGATTAATCTAATATATTAATATTTATATATTCTATACTCTATACAAGCTATATTAATATTCTTAATTATAAATTTTAACTACTGTTTTAATTTTATTAAATTATATATTAAATACTTTAAAATTAATTATTTTAAATTAATTAAATATATCTATATTAATTATAAATTATATAATAATAATTATTATCTTTTTTTATTAATTATTTTATTAAATTTATTAATTATTTTATTAAATTTATTAATTATTTTATTAAATTTATTAATTAAATAGCTATTTTAAATTTAATATTATATTATTATATATTTATATATATATTAAAGATAATGTATAATAATATATTTTAAAGACTAGCTATTAAAATTATATAAATATAAAGATAAATTTTAAAATTTAATTTATTATAAATAATAATTTAAATTAACTTATTCTATATATAATTAAACCAATATTTAATATAATTAGTTTATATAGATTATCTCAATATCTTAGTATCTTTTTAATTAAAATATTAAGTAGTTTATATATTAAAGTCTTTACTTTATCTTTTTCTATTTTTATTTTTATAAATTCTTTGTTAATTATTAAATTTAATACTTAATAGCTAATATTAATCGATATTATTTTAATATAAAATTAATATTAATATTACTATAAATAGATTAAATAAATTATTTAATAGCTTTTTATATAATATATTTAACTATTTAATATATTATTTTATTATTTTAAATATCTTTATATTTAAAAATCTATTAAAATATAATTAAGATACCTTTATATATATATTCATTAAATAGATCTTAATAGCTTTATATAAAAACTTATTTTAAAATTATATTTAGACTAATAAATATTTTAAAAGTAATTTAATTATCTAAAAAAATAATTATTTTTTTATTAATATATATTTTTTAATTAGATATTTTATTATAATATAAAGCTATTTATAAATTAAATTCAATATTATATATTTTAATAATATATATTATTAAAATATTTTTAATACTAAAATATATTAAATATTATTTTTTAATCTAAAGATATATTATTATTAATTTAATTTAATCTTTATAATTACTATTATCTAAATAGATTAATAAAAGAATATTTTATATATGTTAAATGATATTATATTACTTTAATTACTTTCTATTAATCTTTTTTAATGATTGTTTTTAAGAATATCTATTAACTCTTTTAATTATCTAATGTACTATTTACAAAAATTAATAAATATCTATTCTTTTCTAAATATATATCTTTATAAAGATATAATTCTTTAGTTTAATTTTATTCTCAGAATATTATTAAATTAGGTTGTTTAATATAATATAGATTAAACTAATATATAATTATAAAATAATCTTTTTAATAAATTACTTTATTTAGAACTTGATAGAAAATAAATATAGTTTAATATTTATATTTTAATTATTATTAATTAAATATATTATATATTTTTAAATAGAGATAAAGCTTTATATTATTTTATTAATTTATTTCTTTAATAAATATCTTTAATTAGAATTAAATAATTATTCTATAAAATATCTAAAAGATTATAATTATTTAATAGATTTATTATATAACTGATAGAATTATTTTCTATATTGATTTTATGAAATTTATAGTATTTATAAACTTATATTAGCTTTAATAAATATTTTAGCTTAGTATTATTTAAAGATAAAATTTAAATCTAATTAGATATTAAAATAATACTCTACTTTCTATATGTAATAATTATATTATTAAATAATATAAATAATATATAATTTAATTTAATAAGATTATAAACATTAATAAATAAATAAATTTATATTTTTTAATATTAAAAACTAATATATAATATTTCATCTAGGAATCTATCTTAATATAAATATATGATAATTTTATAATATTAATCTATTCTAAGACTTCTATTATTATAATATTAATATTATTAATTGATAGATTAAAATTATAGATTAAGTAAAAA